AACACTGCTGACGTGGTAGTGTCGAACAGGTAACCGACATGTGGCTGTTGTCAAAACGGGATGGTTCTCTCAGGGGATACGGATCCCATTCTAATGAATGTCATGGATCTTTCCCCAGAAGTTCGTTGTCGCATTTGCTTTGCTTGGACCCTCTGCCGGGCTGTCTACATATGGACTTTTCTCCCGCAGAAGATATGATCGGTGATTGATCAATGCATACTGTGCATGACCTGTGTTCATGGTGTCCCATGAGGTTACTGGAAATTGCGATGGAATCTTTGTCATGCTTGGAGGGGATTTTAATGGGTATCTAATGGTGTTGATCAACGTTGGCAAGTGACTCTTATCATTTTAGCTGCAGCTGAGCATGGCATGCAACAGGAAGCTAGTCTTTGTGTTCGACACTGAAGATATGGCGACACTCGAATCTATTAACGTACGATCGCCGTTGACTGATTCAACATAACGTTATGGGTGAAGATCCCGCTAATCTACTCCCGGTGGTCAATGTTGAAACAAAACAAAGCTTGGTACAATCCCGCACAATCCTTCACAGCTTTGCTGTCTTACTCTCGTTGTCAAGTCATTCACCGTCGTCAACTAGAAATGATTGCGTTGTCGGCAACAGCGGTTGCTGTCGGTCTACTTCCACATTCCTTAATTGGTGGCCGCTCCGATAGAATCAGTGGGATGTATTGATCAGACAAGCGCCATAACCGGTCAGGCTGGCAGGAATTCGGTGTTGTGACCAAACTGCTTAGCCAGTCCAGAAAGACTAGGTGACTAACTACACACATATAGAGTTCACAGGCCCAACTTGGAGACAGCAGAGGTTTATAAAGTCAAATCACGATGGACGGGAAAATCGTTGGCGGGGGACAATGTTCATGAGCTTTATTTCTTTCATTGACTTGAACCGGTTCAAAGACCAGATCCAATTAAGCCCACGACACATAGGTCATGGGGAGAACTGCGATCCATTGATTTGCATTGCGTGTTCTCACTAAGAGTCGTCGCTTTTTCGTCACTCCAATTGGTATATCCTCAAATTGCCCTAGACCCATTTTACCCCGAAACGCCTTGAAATGCATTCTCTATCAACGAGACACTTAAGCCTGCTGGTCGCTGAGGATGTCGGAGTCACCAGCGTCGAGAATGGCCATGGTGGAGCATCGGAAGAGCTTACCGCAGGCGGTACCGAGCTCGATCTGTAGAATTACGAGTAAGCCTATGAACCCTCCAAAGTCGAGATGACTTCTTCTCTGGGTAGGCCGCAAGAACTAGGGAGCCCTTGAAGCCAAGGAAATGTTGTTATGCACAAACATTTCCGAGAAGTGTCATCTTGCAGAAAATTGCAAGATGACAGTATTTAAAGAAAAACCGTGACTTACGTTGTTACCAGAGAAGTGGTGGATGGGGGCCTTGGACAACATGCTGTAGTACTCGAGCTCAGACTTGCGGAGAGGAGGAGTGTTGCCAGCAATGATGATGAGCTTGGCCTTGCCGGATCGGAGGCTCTTGAGGGTAGACTTGTATCCAAGAGTGACTGAAATTTCAATTAGCGATAAGTTCGTCAATCGTATTCAGAAATCTGTATGCGTACCCTTTCCGGACTTCATAACAAGCGCCAACTTGGAGTTGATGCTGTTGGCATCCTTCTTGCTCTTCTTGACGGGGGCCATTTTGACTGTTGGGCGACTGGTGGGCGACTGGTCGTTTGGTGATGGAGTGCTGGAGTTGATTGTCTTGAAAAGTTCATTTCGGAGTTTTGAGGAAAGTGCGAATGTGTGGACCCACTCTTGTCGTGCTTACCTAAGAGCCCTAACGTGGCGAACAATTGCTGCTTTGAAATCCACCAGGAGGGCCGCAGGCTAGAGTAGGCACTTGGGATCTCCTCCGCGCCCACCTCAATCTCTCCTCCCACAACCAACTCCGGACATATCCATCAACAATCCGACAAAATGGCGCGCCGTCCCGCTCGTTGCTACCGATACTGCAAGAACAAGGTCCGTTATATTGCTCTCGACGTTTATGAGGAATTTTGGAGGATTTCGGCGTTTTCTGGAAATATTTCCATGACGAAATTCACCCACTCTGCTCTTTTGCCGGGTGTTCCTCTGACGATGACAAATTCATTTTGACGATAACTTCATACTGACTTTACCTTTAGCCGTATCCTAAGTCTCGGTTCAACCGTGGTGTCCCCGACCCCAAGATCCGAATCTTCGATCTTGGCCGAAAGCGCGCCAACGTCGATGACTTCCCTCTCTGCATCCACCTCGTTTCCAACGAGTATGAGCAGCTGAGCTCCGAGGCTCTTGAGGCCGCCCGTATTTGCGCCAACAAGTACCTCGTCAAGAACACCGGTAAGGAGGGTTTCCACCTCCGAGTCCGTGCTCACCCTTTCCACGTCGTCCGTATCAACAAGATGTTGTCTTGTGCCGGTGCCGATAGACTGCAGACCGGTATGCGTGGTGCCTGGGGTAAGCCCAACGGCACTGTCGCCCGTGTCAACATTGGCCAGATTCTCATGAGTGTCCGCACCCGTGATGCTAGTATGTGAAATCCGCTTGACAGTGTTGAATCATGTTACTAATCCACTATCAGACCGTGCCATCGCCCTCGAGGCCCTCCGCCGATCCCAGTACAAGTTCCCTGGCCGACAAAAGATCATTGTCTCCAAGAACTGGGGTTTCACTCCCCTTCGCCGCGAGGAGTACCTCGACAAGAAGGCTGCTGGCCGCGTCAAGGTCGACGGTGCTTACGTCCAGTTCCTCTCCAACCACGGTTCTCTTGAGCGCAACATCCGCCGCTTCCCCGACGCTTTCAAGTCTGAGGCTTAAAGGAATGAAGGATAGGATGGAATATGGGTTTTCTGGCGTCAAAATGGCTTGTCAAATAAGGACCTCTATGACTTGATAGTTTAAGGGCGTCGATTAGGCAAATTGAAATCTTACATTCAGAACTGTCATCTTGCTGCATCACTATGTTTGTGAAGATCATGATATCATGCATGTTTGGTTCAGAAAACGTCTTATCTCAGCAGGAAATCGTGCCCGAAAGATCCGGCTTTTTGGATCTATGTACCACCTAAGCTGCCACTCAGCTACGGTGCTGTGGTCTGCAAGGTTTTCGATAACTACCAGACTTCTGTTTGATCCATCAGTTCAGGCATGACATTTCTACCGTCTCGATGTGCTGATTGGCGGAGCATGTTGTCCGTTCATCCACCTATGTCTAGTGCCGATGTTGTGGTGTGCTCCCGCTCACTTTACATGATTTAATGCAGGAGGAATACTACCTTTCCACCGTGCTGGTCTGTGTTTCCAATTTATGGCACATACTGTAGATGCATATTTCTATAAGAAGACGATCTGATAAGTATTTATTGATAGAGCGGAAAAGCAAGACATTGTCTTGTTGGGGCACTTTGAAAACAAAGCTACTGCGTCTCTATCTGGGCCACATGACTTCACTTGGGTGATTTGTGACGCCATACAGGTCACAGGTAGCGCACATCCTTTTAAATCCCAACGTCTAGCACACAGTCATCAGGGGTCGCCGTTGGACAAGACACGACCGTCCCGCAATCTCAGCGAACATGAATCGTGCCGAAGACTACCTATGGAGCACGACCAGTAGTTTCCTCGTCGTCGGTGAAATTTGCTTCTTATTTGTCAAAGGATACAACAAGCGTAGTGATATCACATCATATTGATATTAGCCTAGACATGCATCTTGGACTTGTGGCGTTGCCGCTTATAGAAACTGCACTGTAGCATCTGCCAGCACAGTCAGATGCAGCGGGAATGAGATGAGAAAGTGGCTGGGTAGTGGACACTGAATCAACGGGATGGAGGGCCAGTGGACCACCTGCGGTTGTGTCAGGTCGCGGGAACCAGCAAGGTACAGCAACTTATCAGCCTGCATCTGATGGATCTTGGCCCGACCACACAGACACAGACCCTTTTTCTTCAAAGATGTAACGATATCTTAGCCGAGCGATATTTGATAGGTACATCAAATATCGGTCAGCGCAAGTCGGCGCAGCATGAAGTTGGTGATAAGCAGGCCCGAAATGCCATAAGGCTCCGACATCGTAGGTTGCATTTGCAATGTAAAAGATTGCTATGTCTGTCCACGTCAGAAGTACCTTACTGCCCTTGACGGAATGGAATCAGGGTTGCACGGTTTAGTTAATGCGGTCTTGTTCATCCGCGTCTGGCGACTCATGCGGGCGGACTCTGTTGAGTGGAACGCATAGTCTTTGAACGTTAGTTAGGACAGACCCTTGAGAGTTGAGACCGAGCATGAACTATGCGCAACGGTCCTTTGTATCCGTCTACCCGGACGTTGTGTTGAAATATTTGCTACGTATATATGATGGGCCATCCTGAATGAAACAAACACTAGAAACAAAGCCATATACAAACCAGCTGAGCTCTGTCAAAGGTACTGGTTGTAGCGGATGGATGGATACCAACTGAACACGCGAGCGTCTTCCCCCCCACCCGCCGATCAACCCCCCGACCTACAGCATAGAGCGTCTAGATGACGCCTATGAGAGTAGCATCCTCTTAAGGTACGGATACAGGCCTAGCTTGAAGCGTTTGGTTGGTCCCATCTTGTCATCCATACAGTACTTCCCGCCTCTTTTTCTCCCTGGGCTATCTTATTTAGTGAGACTACCTAACTTGGAATCCCTCTTCTCCCAACACCCTTGTTCTTGGCTCTTTCTTCTTCTTCATCCATTATATCCTCATTCTTCCTTGGATCTGCTCGAGGTTTTTGACCACGAGCTACCAAGGTTTGTTTATTACCTTTGTCCCACTATCTCTCCTTACTTACTCGCATATCGCCTCTGCAAGCAAGCCCGATATAGGCGGGCAATCCATATCTAGGAGGGTCCACTTCCATCATCAACGCATCTTATCTTGCCCTCCATTTCCTTATCAGAACCAATCTCACGACTTTGCGACGACTGAACGAGTGCCACGATCATGGCTTTCCATCAACCGACTCGACAGTCGGTTCAACGCGTTGTACGGCCTCCAGCCGACGAACAGGAAGTTCCTCGAAGAGAGGCGCCTATTGTCCAAGAGCGCCAGCCAGATGAGTCGCAGGCATGGGTACTATTTGCGCCGACTGAGGTGACGACAACGTCATATCTCACCGAAACAGACCATTCATTACAAACTCCCGGAAGGTCAAGAGTTGGTGATTTGGGAAGTCTGAACCCGACTGCGAAATCGGAGGATGCGTCACGCCAATCCGCTTCAGCATCTGCTCTCGACGATGAGGAAGACGCTGAGCTGGATAGTCTAGATGGGCATTTACCTGGCTTTCGTTCGATACCCGCGGTGCATTACCAGCAACAGGAGGGTGATAATCAAGCATCTGGTCCCGTGTTTCCTAGCCACGACGGGCTAGGATCCTTCCATCTTGATCAACCGACGTTGGGCGCCGAGGCCCAGGACCACATTTACCAGTTCGAGCGCTTCAACCCTAGACGGCAGTTTCAACGAAAGGAGAGCTATGATTTGAGGCAACTCGATGTGGAACATGACCAAGTACATGAAACAGAAAAGCGCCAAAGAATCGAAGCATGGCGTCTGGAGCACAGTCGAGTACTGCTCGGCGAGATCCAACGGGAGACAAGGAGGAGGCGCTTTTCTCAAGCCTCTATTCCCAAGCGACCATCTTCTAATGTGCCTTCTGTAGCCTCGGCTCTAGCATATGATGGGGAGTCAGATAACATGACGTGGCACGATGAGGACGCCATCACGACACCCACCGATTCAGAAGGCATGTTCACTAAGGTTACCAAGAAATTTCTACGAGATTTCGTTGGAATGGACGAACACTCAATCTCAGTTATGCTGGGAGAAATTGAGCCTGAGAGTAACGAGGATCTATCTTCTACACCCCGCGCCTCTCAGCACTTGGCATGGGAGTCACAACAATTCACCAACAGAGAGGAATGGCAATTGAATATGCTCGAGACGATGTCCAGAGAGCTCGGTTCAATCGTGAGCCATATCTCGCATCACCCAGGTGCATTCTCAACATATACTCGAGTGCAGCAAATGCCGTTGCCTTATGCCGGACTACCAATCATCCCAGAGACCAATTCCTCTCACTCCGCTACAGAAAACATCCGACCTACCGAACCCGAGCAATCATCATTTCCTCAATTTAAACCAACAATGCAGCCTTCTTCACAGCCTATCGATGTCCTTGGCAGGTCAGCCGAACAACCAACTGAGACAGAACGTGCCTCACGACAAGATACGCCGATGAGCAATGCCTTCACCCAGGAGGAGTGGGAGAAAGATTTGGATATGAAGCTCGTATTCCGTTATCTACGCTCTCGGTTCATGCCACGAAACAGCAACCCGCCTCCTTCTACCCCAGCCCATCTAGCGACAACAAGTAGTCAAGATACGGCCGCCAAGCTGGCTCGCGTCCGACAACACCACCCGTTGGTCTCACGCATGCGGCCTGCAGCTGAGCGTCGAACGTTCAAAGCCACGACGCCCAGCAGTCCAGTGGCGATCCGACATCCGAGTAGTTGCGCGAGTCAGAGCACAAGACGATCAGCTCGACGGAGCAGCGTCTCATCACGGCATTATTGGGACATCGGTGGGTCGCTGGGTACGGGTTCAGTGATTGCGTCCAACGGCCCGATGGGTAGTTGGGGCGAAGTATGATGATGATGATTGGGAACTTACGACGTCAAACCACGAAGGACACTGTAACGACAGCATAAAGGGGTGTTTTGTGTGTAATATCCTATTTTGGGATATTTGTTACTGAATATTTAAACGTTGGATACAACCACTGGAAATCATCTAAAGACGAGATACGGAGCTTATGGGCCACGATAGAGTTTCATTAATTCATGATTTTTACAGCTTGCTGGGCAGGCTGGCAAGCCAATTCCACTTCACAAAACAACCACATTATTGGAATCATTTCTGTCTGCACTTTTGAAAGTTGAATCACTACATTATTCTTGACCCAGCCCAATTTGTTGGACCGAGTCTTGTAGAGCCAGCCATTGCTCGAGGCGAAAGACCCAGCTGTCGCCTCACTGAACGAGTCGAGATCAGAACGTTTCCGAAAGAGACAATCACGTCAATTTCGGACTTAAAATGCAATAGAAGGAGAGACTGGGAACCAATAGCATCAACAGCCTCGTGTGATGATTGCTTCATAGAAGGGTCTGTTCAATTATGGCACGGGTTACTCATATCTTGTGAAAACTGGATAGTAATGGACCTTTGTCGTCATGCTATTTCGCAAGTAATATAGGTCTTGAGCAACGTTTCTTTCACTTGGGACAATTATAACAATATCGATAGGTATTTTCTTGATGTTTCGCGTGACTATGACTCTTCAACCATTGACAACTCTTATTATCCTATCGTCGAGCAATTACCTGCCCAATGCTCAATTGTTGGGCTTGGTTTGACTCAACTTAGACGAACAAACTGGGACAAGACTCCAGGGAGGCGCCGTTCGCTCCCGTCATTTACCGTACAGCACACAGGCGAGCGGGGACGCGAACTCAAGTTCCTATTGGCTCAAAAGTCCTTATCTCGAAGCGCTTCCCTGTGTTTTTGTACCTTTTGGTGGAGGTGCACTGGCTTGGGTACTTGAATTGGCGTGATTTGGTGTAACCAGGCGGGGTAGATCAGAGGAGCAGCTCTGAAAGTGACTTAAAGTAGTGCGCGCTCCAAGACATTCTGGTGCTGCTTTAACGAGTTTCGTGTCTCCTTGCATTCGACATGATGAAGGCTGGTTTGGACGGTGATTTGAGGCTTCAGTATCTCTACCGGTAACCGTTGGAAAAATCCCGTTAAAACGGGTATGGCTTGGACAGTTAAATGTATTGCCGCTTAAGCGATTGCAATGATAACTCAACGTATGGGGCCATGTCATTTTCTAACTCACCTCCACTGTCTTTCTCTTTGATACCCATCCTAAAAGCAGCTCTAGTGACTTGCCTTAATTAGCCGTAGTGCATCAACAAGGTGCTCGTGTCGACACCGTCGAGGCGTGGTTCTGCTGTGGGGGGAAAGTGCATCCATTCCACTGTACTGTACCACTTCCACTTCCAACTCCATCCCCATACTCATCCCAGTCCCATCCATTTCGTGAGCCACTCGAAAAGTCGTCGCCTTGTTCGCCTTGTTGCTCTAATTGCTTCTTTCATAGGCAGGCAGGAATTGAAGCACCCCTCCGTTTCACGCATTCTCGTCCACTCTCTTCTGTTCGCCTGCGATTTCTACGTCTCCTGAGCTTTCAACATATAAATAGTGCTATTCCGTCAATCCACGATCCTCTGACTTCTTGAATTCTTACGCGCCGTGGTTAGTCTCCTCCATTTTCCTCGGACCCCATTCCCATATTCATCGCCCGGCCTCTATGGATTGCGCCAGGACTTATTTCGACTTTGGAAGCCAGGACCGTGTATCTAATTGATCTCATAGTGCGATGAACTGAATTAGGCGGCCTCTCTGCCCGCGACCCTCTGGGCCTGGTTGAGGAGCACCCGTGACCATCCATCGCGGCCTCCGTTGCTTTCAACCATCTGCGATATTATACATAGACTTCTATTCAGCACTTTCCCCAGCTTCAACTTCCATCGCGAACGAAGGCGCCGAGCCTACTTTATCCGCTTGCGACCCTGATTTCGCGACATGAGCGCGCGCAACTTCCAATGGCAGCGACCCCATTCGACCCGTCCCACTTCACCCCAAATGCCTTCGATATATACACAGATGCTGTCGCGATCAGGGCATCGACCCCCAGCCTGCCAGGAGGATCGTGCGGTTATGTTGACTTAAATCCTGGTGCCAATGGAGCTCGCTGTGGATGCAGGAGGTTTTGGAGCCGTTGCCAGACAGGCAATCCCACACCGGATCAATCCCAATGGTGTATGTGCAATCACCACGCCTGCTACCACGAGGAGGGACCCCGTGATTTCCAGCAGCCTGAAGTGAGTATACTAGGCCAAGAAAATGAACGGCCCAGGACTGGACGGGAACCTCTAAGCCCCGTTATGGATATGGCCATCAAGACACCCCCAGTGATCCCCGGAATGGACTTTTCAAGTTATAACCCAGGAGCCTTATCTTTCACCCAAAGGACTCCTGACCTAAGATTTCCAGACCAAAGGATACCCATGGACATCGGACCACAGCCCAGGATCATGCCCAGTTCACATCCTGGAGCTTCTGCCTCAATACCGGATACCCTCAGTTGGGGCGGGTTAATACAGTCACAGCCATGCCCTTCTACTATACCACCAATCCCATCTCAATGCCTGATGGCCTCTCAAACAGCGTCTACAACTTCATCCGTCCAGGCCAAGTACATTCGGCCCTTTGCTGGAAAGGGTCTAAACACTCTTAACAGTGTCCCAGAAAACAAGCCATCATCTCCAACACAGCCCAGGACCCAGGACTCCCAGCCAACCGCTGTACCCCAAGATCAAGCACAAGGTGGATCTTTTACATGGACATCCCAAGACCATAAACCAGCTGATACCCCTCGGGCTGGTACACCAACTCAATCTGGATCTCGAGCTTCAGCTTTCAGCGCCGCCGTTTCGCGCCGCGCTTTCAAGAACCTTTCTGATACCGTTAGCGGCCACGACCAACGGTTAGACCGGCTAGAGACAGTCTCCTTTACTGTCAATGGACATGAAGATTGTCAGGAAAAACATGACCATGTTGATATCCGGATGACCGATCTGGAGAGTCGAGTTGAGGAGGTTGAGAAAATCGTCAATGATAATAAGAGCGTGCTTAACGATAACAACAGCAATGCGTCTCGCCGCGACGATGCCAGCATGTTGTCGGTCTCAACCAGTGTTACAAGTCGTCCGACACACTCCCAAGAGCTTTGGAGCCAGGTCCAATCGCTTCAAGAACAAGTGGTTCAGCTACAGTCACTAATGCCCTCTCCCAACCACCCGTTTGAGATTGAAGTAGTCTTCCTGCCCTTTCCCCTTAAGAAAATTTGGCAGGAGGCTCAGCAGTTCAAGAACGAGCCACAAATATCCAACGACGACTGGACGCAATTGCCCATGACACACAGCACATCAACTATGCGATCTGAAATGTCTCTCTACCCTGACTGGATAACTTCTGATCAAGAGACCAAATGGTTGCTGCCTAAAGCCTGTCCCGATAAGGGCATGATTGACCGACGGCTGCGCAGCCGTGGCTTGATCAAGACGATATCAGTCAAGGGCTCAGATGCTCGTAGTGTCACCATGGCCATGAATGGGGCTTTTGGTCACCTCTTTCGCGAGATGAACATCTTCTCCCGTGCCCAGACCACAGATCCGCGCTCGTCCACATTCCTCGGGCTTCAATCCACCTGGGTCCCTCTGCGTAAGATCCATAAGGATTCGCGATTACGTTTCCTCAGTCCTGCTGAGATGATGACACCTGCAGTATGGGATGTCCAGTTCCTTAGCCAGGTCATGATGAGAGCTTCTGAGCCTAGATTGTTCATAACTCATCCTGACGCATATCTCCAAGATTTTCAAGCATACGAGATGGGCTGGACTTGGCAGATGCTGAGGGAGATGAGCCCAATCATTCCCGATCCCTCGGACTCATTGGACGATGCCAAGGCTTTTGAAGAGTGTTGGTCATGGGTCGAACAACTCGATGAGCCACATAGAGCTGATACCTCCATGAGCATGCGCAATGAGAAGGCCCCAGCTTCAGTCTCGCCATCGCAGACCTTCTACCCGGCTTTACAAAAGCTTAAATCTTCTAGCCCGTCTCTGGTGCGCGGTCAGTCGCCCCGGCTTGGCAGTCGACGAGGTTCTCACCCACCTCACATCAGAACTTCCTCAATGCCCATGGCTGCTCCCCCAATTCAAGCTTCGCCTGCACTAAGCCGACGCCGAGTTTCGTCTTATGGACAAAGCCGCCACCAATCTCCTGCCTTGCAAATCAACTCTCAGGCAGCAATTATGAAGCGTCGTCGTACGAGATCCCCTAGCCATCGATTCACACCGAGATGGACTGCATCGCCGAGTCCTATGCCCTTCGGTCTTAGCGAACGTCAACAAGCGCGCGGTACCACACCTTTTGCATATGCCACGCCGTTCAGCAACGCACCTCTTCAAGAACGGCCTCTGCGATCAGGAAGTGCGGCGCCTGCCGCCGCTCAAGATGATTTTGCAGATGATTCAGACTTCAACATTGATATCTATGAGAGTGGCTCTGAAGATTTTGAAGACAATGAGAGCGAAAATGAGATGGAGATTATTACACATAACCAGGCCCCTGCTGGCCGAAGATCGCAGGGCTGGCAACTCCCTGAAGATGAGCCATGGCCTGGGATCGAGGACCAACGCGGTGCTTCAGATGATGAAAACGTCGACCCTGACAGCAACGTCAGTAGTCAGCCTTCGGAATACCCTAGCACACAAAATGTTTGGCCCAACAACAACAACACGGGCGAGTTCCATATTCACGAAGATGATGACAACACCAACAACAATAACAGGTCATGAAGTGTTCAGAATACGTTCCACATGATCCATGCCGTATGAAACGAGGCAACAACACTTTCTATATGTACACACTTTTTTATCTCCATCTATACTTGGCTGTCTCATCATGCTATTTCTTTGCATTTATACGTTTGGCGTTTATACGGAAAGGTTCTGGCTTACAAGGCGTCCCTGCAATCAAGGTTTCTTTGGGTGCGATGGGAGTTGGGTGATGATTCAAGGAGTACGGTGTCTGTGATATGGGTTGGATGTTATAGAAGGATCACCGTCCCATCGGAGGGGGAACTACCTTGATACTGCGGGAAAAGTCTGTAAACCTATGATAGATCTTTTGTATCTCGATACCAGCTCATTTACTCCCCTTTGTTTAAGCTTGTTCATGCATATACCAAGCAGGCAAGCTGTAGCTTTTATCTGAAAACCATATTTGTTCATGTCTGATGCATCGAACCACATTGCTTCGACTTGAGAGAACCCACTCACCCATCAACTGTTCTCTGAATTTGCTATCTGAATGTGCCGTACTATTGATAGACCAGAGTGCCTAGATACGTTCGGTCAGTTGATATACTTGTATGAAACCGTTGATTGGATCATTCGTTTAATACTTCACAGGGTCCATTCTGAAGTCAAACTAAAAACACCAAAGACTGGGGCCAAGATCAGATTACCAAAAGTGGAAATATTCGGAGAGAATGGAACCAAACCTCTTATTGTTAAAGAACCAGCTCTCCAGAGTCTGTTCCACCCCACGTTGTGTTGAGTATTGAGCTCTTGTGTCACTGACGTGTTAGCGGAGGTTTAAGCCAGAAACGGCAGCAATTAGGCAGAGTTTGACAAAATTAGCTTTGGCAAAGCATGAATTAAAGACCTGGGATCAACGGTACATGATACTTTTGGGTATATCAGGTCATGGTATTGTATCTTTACTACGTCAAAGCTTGGTTCGATAACACGAAGTTTTGTTGATCTAGGGTACCCAGACCAGGTATATGACTTGATCACCGCCTAATAATCGTCTGGGGCCCCAAGAGATCGATGCCCAAGATCAAAGCGATGGTACCGCCATCACCAGTTTCTGTTGCTGGGCTTGGGCGGGCGGTGTCAAATTTTTTACCCGCTTGGATGCCGTCCCCACCAATTGTAATTGGAAGATGCAGTATTAGCAGCTTGAATTTCAGTTGCAGGCGCGGGTACAGCTACGGGTACAGACACAGGTACAGGTACAACGCGCATGAGCTTGTTAATAAAAAGTCAAGACTCCTCCCGCATTTTTCTTCACCTTTACGAAACTTCACCACATCATCGTCACTTGCTTCTACTTCTTCACTACCTTCTACCACCTTTAAAATGTCTTCCGAGGAGATCACCCACCCCACCATCGTCGGTATGTTAATGTTTATGTTTTTGTTCCCTTCATTCTTTTCCATTCTGCTGCCCCGCGTTGCGCTGCCCCTCTCTCATGATGATCATACGCATGGCTTGCTTTTTGCTCTCGCCAGTTGCTGCGAGAGTATGAGGCTTACGCCGTGGAAGTCAAGCTCATCATATTGCAATTGATACTCTCAGCTTGCTGTGACCATCATGGACAATAGAGCTCTTGACTTTCAGTCTCAGTCTTCCCCTCCATCGCAACCCGCCCACCTTGAGAGCAGCCCAAGCGTCCTACCAAAATTCCCCTCAAAAAACCTCACAATTATCCATATTTAGCAATTGACTAACTTTTCCTCTAGATGGCTGGTTCCGAGAGATCTCGGACATGTGGCCCGGTAAGCGAACTTAACACGTCCAAATCTACCAACTCAATTCTTATCCAACCATGCAGGCCATGCCATGACCCTCCGCGTTGAGAAGGTCCTCGCCCACGAGAAGAGCAAGTACCAGGACGTCCTCATCTTCAAGTCCACCGACTTCGGCAACGTCCTTGTCCTCGACAACGTCATCCAGGCCACCGAGCGCGATGAGTTCTCCTACCAGGAGATGATTGCCCACCTCGCCCTCAACTCCCACCCCAACCCCAAGAAGGTCCTTGTCATTGGTGGTGGTGACGGTGGTGTTCTCCGTGAGATCGTCAAGCACGACTGTGTTGAGGAGGCCACCCTCTGCGACATTGACGAGGCTGTCATCCGTCTCTCCAAGGAGCACCTCAAGGGCATGGCCATCGGCTTCGAGCACCCCAAGTCCAAGACCCACGTTGGCGATGGCTTCAAGTTCCTCGACGACTACAAGAACGAGTTCGACGTCATCATCACCGACTCCTCCGACCCCGATGGTCCCGCCGAGGCTCTCTTCCAGAAGAGCTACTTCCAGCTCCTCCACGACGCTCTCCGTGAGGGCGGTGTCATTACTACTCAAGGTTGTATGTTCCCTATTTTCTTGAGGAAAGTAATTGGCGTCCCTAGGAACGGCAGAATCAGGGACCCCTGCAAGGTCAAAGTTGATCAGCGTAGAAGGGCTCTCCCTCGATGGGTACACCATGTACCACTTCCATCCTAGGGATTGCCAGAAGCTAGTGCTGCTTTCCCAGCTCTGCTTCCGGTAGTCCCGCGATAGCATGTGTTTCGTTCAATGGTTCACGTCTGCCGCGCTCCGGCCGGCTACGTTGTGTTCTGCTGTTCCTGAATCGCCATTTTCTTATTCTATTGCGCCGTAGTTTCTCTATGGACCACACTGACTCGTTGACTCACAGCCGAGAGCCCCTGGCTTCACCTCCCCCTCATCGCTCGTCTCAAGAAGGACTGCGGTGCCATCTTCCCCGTCGCCGAGTACGCCTACACCACCATCCCCACCTACCCCTCTGGTCAGATCGGCTTCATGGTCTGCTCCAAGGACCCCAAGGCCGACGTCAAGAACCCTCTCCGATCCTGGTCCAAGGAGGAGGAGGATGAGAAGTGCCGATACTACTCTTCTGAGATCCACAAGGCCGCTTTCGTCCTTCCCAAGTTCGCCCAGAAGGCTCTTGAGTAAGGTTCTTTACACACGACCAAGAAGAGATGCAGTTTGGTATAGTTGGCTACGTTTATGAGTTTACGCAGGCAAGGGATCAATGGGGACAAAAAAGGCCATGGTGGCCGCATAGATACACCCGGACGCAAAGGAATATATGCGTTCCGAAAAGGAAACAAAAAGACTCGGGCGTTACTGCGAGTCGTGAAATAGAGGATTTTTGGTCTCTTTATTTTGAGATATCTTGTGCTCATATTTGGTGATTCAAACTTGCTTACACATGCTTTTTGGGGGACGAACTTTGACTTAGGACGCTTGGTTCAACCTTAAGGTTCCTCAAACTGGATCTTACCCTCGCTCACATCTGGGTATACGTCAAATCTTCGCTGGGTGTTGAGCGGAATGTTCTTTCTCGCTTCTGTGATCTTATCAGGGTCAAGCTCCCAGTCAACGGTCGTCTCCTTTTCATCTGCCTCAACCTGCACTTGCGCCATAGGGTCCGCGACAAGACTGTGACCATAAGCAGGGTAACCTGTTTCGGCGCGGGCGGGACTGCACAGAGCTACGTAGAGCTGGTTGTCCGCAGCGCGAGCTCGTCCTAGCAGCTGCCAATGTAGAGGGCCAGTTGTAGTGTTGAAAGCACCAGGGTAGATGAGTGCAAATGCACCCTTTCGAGCCGCGATAGTGGCTAGCTCAGGGAAGCGTACGTCGTAGCAAATGGCGACGGCAATTTTTCCGTACTCGGGTAGGTCGACGAGGGTCACTTTGTTACCAGGACTGAGGATATCTGACTCGCGGAATGTCATCTTGCCAGGAATATTGATATCGAAAAGATGCACCTTGCGATGTGTGTCCAACAAAGCACCATCAGGTCCGAAGATGAGAGTTGTGTTGTAGTATTTCTTGGTATCCGGACTGTATTCTGGGATAGAGCCACCGACTAGGTAGACCTTGTTATCGGCGGCCATTTTAGAGAGGGCGTGATAAGAGGGCGCATCATTTTGGGATGGCGGACTGGGCAGCAGAGTCTCTGCGTACTGAGGGAAGTGGTCTGTTCCGTATGGCGAATTGAAGCATTCTGGCAGAACAACAATCTTTGCACCCGATGAAGCTGCACGGCCGACGTGAGAAGCCGCACTATCGAGATTGGCCTTCTTGTCTGACCCGGAAGCGAGCTGAATAAGAGAGAGCTTGACACGCTGTTTGAGAACGGGAGCTGTAGTGGACGACATCTTGCGAATAACCGAAGGCGCTGTACGCTGAAGCAGTGAGAGAGGGGTGGGAGATGATGTAAAAGATCGAGCTGTTAATGCAAGTCGACGGAAGACAGTTCTCATTGTTTTGATTGAGGCAGTAAGAAGATGGAGATGGCGAATGTCATGAAGATGGGAGGGACTTCCATAGTGGAGGCCGGCATCGGGATTCGGATTTGATGATGCAAGGGGGGGTGGGGTTCACAGTAGGTATCTAAAGACAGGACGCGGGGCAACCCCAAGCTCTGCTATTCGTTCATAGTTTCTATATCATATGAGGACTAGGAATAGAGGAACCCTTTCCTACAGTACGACGGAATGATTTAGTATAAGTCAATAAGTATCCTCATTTACGACTATCGACTCAGGTTTGTGTTGAGGTGAGAGCATATTCGAAGAGATCGCCAACTATTTAATAGAGCTTTCTCTAGCAGAATGGATACAATGGAGGTGCCAAACGTTCAAACAAGACAGACACTAGATGTTCGTGTTTTCTGATGGTTACTGGTGTATTGGAACATCGACTGTTCGAGCATAGAATTCAACTTGTAAAGAGAGAGCTAGCCGCTGGTTATTGCTCCCACAGCGACAACTACATCCTCCCAGAAAAACATATCAAGACTCAAAATGAGAGACTCCTTTCACAAACGACCACCATAATCACAATTCTAACCCCCTTGAGCCACTGTCGCTATAAATCAAATCGCAAGGTATCTCGAACTAATGATTGTGCACACTTGTAGTCGTATTCGACTGGTCCCTTACATGTACTGAGATACAGTTATATGCAGGACCAGATTTGGTCCTGCCACGAGTGAAACTCCTTAGGAGCGGCGGCCATAAACACTGAAGCCACCAGAGCTTCCGCGAGAATGGTCAGGCTTGCCATCCTTTGAAGGAGGAGGTGGTGGGGGAGCAGCACCCCCTTGAACCTGAGGAGCCGATGTTCCATTAGCGAGATAGCTATAGGAGACTCTGCGAAGTTTGGTTCCATAGCAGCCCTGGCATGATTCACTGGTTTTCAGTTAGCCATGCTGAACAATAGAAGGAGATGACGACTGACCCTCCGCGCTGGAAAGAGCCGGAGCACAGGTCACAAGTAATCCAAGTCATGTTTTGGTCGTCAAAGACATAGGATGAAAGAGATGAGGACATTGTGTTTAAGATCAGGAATGATTCGAGTGTGATATTGAAGCTTGGTAGTGGTTCTGAATACTCTTGTTTGAAGTTTTTCATTACAACTCCAGGAAAGGTCTCTGATATATATATAGCCATTTATATATGGGTGACAACCGAAACAAGCAAACCAAACAGCTTAATAGCATCATACCACGATCTATCTTTGCAACGGCAACCAACACACCGCCTCTGCAAACGATATGAAGCCGCGATTCGATACAGAGGCGTCGTTTTATCATGCCTGTCAGAGTCGGTAGCCGCTGTCATGATGCCGGCTGCAACCGGGTCTCGTGGTGACGATCAGTCAAGGATGCTTGGTTGCCTTAATCGGGCTCGAATCCCTAAACAATCATATCGAAACGAGTTCGTGCCCGATTTTAGAGGCGCTCAACTGAGCTGAGATGGCAATTCTCACATCTGCCGTCGTAAATTTGGGCCTCATTCTTGGATGCATATCCCCACACCAAATCTGCCGGCCATGAGCTGCAGCATATGGTTGACCGAATCCCAGCAGTTTGTGGCTGTACATGCAGCTCCCCCTTCGGTCTGCACCAAAAACGCCTCCTGAACCGCGTCGTCGGTGATGTATATGGGGATTAAATCCCTCGAGGTCTTGACCGGTTGCGAACGCACTCAGAAATTGGAGCCCATGCTGACCAAGCCTGACGGCTTGCTGCATGATCGCAAGGTTGTGCCTCATAACCCCAAGCTCTTGCGACAAACCAGAGCCTTAGAAAAAGTCACTTCGGCTCAATTAACGCAGCTTTCGCGGGTAACGACAGGATGCCAACTCTCAAATAGAAGTGATATTGCTTGCATGCCTAATTAAGTGCAGCAGCCATGATATGAGACTGCTGGCTCCCCGCCCTTTTTGGAGGATATTCTGGAAAACGTAGATCGGGTGGGTGTGACATATTGTTTTCGAGTGATAGATGTGCTAGGTGTCATGAAATGTCAGCTTAAGCCTTGCCTGAAATGATGATGAGGCGTTAAAAGGCGAAAGGTTTACCATCATGTGTGGAACTGTTCCTGTTTGAAGGCTGATGTGATAGACATCACTAGCCGCGGATTTTGTCGTTGATGTGTAGTTTCAAGGTGTAGGAAGCCATGGGAGGAACGCGGCCTTGGCTGTTATGCGGTGTCTGTCCCGTCTCTTAGCCGGTGCAACCTCCCGATGAGCATCGGGCCTGTCCAGCCGGCGTCGTTTGAAAGTCGACCGACTTTCCTTTTGCTAACCCGCGCCCGTGGCTATTTGCTGCATCCGACAGTCCCAAAGGCCGTCCCGAAATAAGACCAGATACATGAGGCCACGACATCGTTTTGAACATGCCACTCTTGTACACCCATCGATAATCTGACCGGTCAAAAACTAACTCTTCCCCGTCGGTCAAGCCTACACCGAAAACAACGGGCTACGGGCCATGATTTTGGTGGTGTTTCTTGGAACGCGGAACCGTACACCTCTCCGGCTCTGCTTTTTTGTGTTACCCTCACTCTTCAATGTTGCAATGCCAAGCACACCATCGTTTATCCACCAACAGTTTGTCATGAAGTCATGAATTGAAGAACTTTGACCAATCTCAATTCTCTTATCGATCAATGCCGAGTCTGGCCTTTGCTCGGCTTAAGATTTCGGCGGCAAGAAGAAACTACTCAAAGTCTGACCACCACACTTGTGAATACTAGCAATATCAGAGCGCGACAATGGGTACACAATTTGCCAGATAGGCAAAGCTATCGAAGATAGCGATGGTCAAGATGTAGATCCTGGACATGTCGCGCGAATCGTCTTGCAGGTTCTTTGCCAGTGTGACATGATGTCCTTTATCTCAACGTTCGAGGCCATGCACATTCGGTCTTTAGCTTATAAGGCGCAACTCAATGACGTCTAGGCTCATCAGAGGACTGTCAGATGACCTTGACAAAGGTTAAGGCCTGTTTGTTACCAATCAGGGACGATAGGATATGATCTGTGTTATCTCCGTGGTGGTCAATCTGGATGTTGGAGTTCGAAGTGGGCGAGAGATACAATATCGGTGATCTAATCAGCTTGTGGCATATATCGTTGATGTCGGTTATGCTGGGGCACCTGGATCGGCGAGTCGGGATAGATTGCATGCCAGCCTGTAATAGCTAACTGAGGGAGGGACCTCTGTTTCCAACCTTTGTTAATAGTAAGTGGAAACGACAAAGGAGAAAGAGAAGCGTATTCTGAATACTCAAATATGACTTGTTCGAATGTCTCAAAACTTCCGAAATACCAGGGTCAAGAAGTCGTATTCATTTGCAACGGTGTTGCACGGCATTCGGACCTGCGTCTGTAATATCGTAGTTGATGATCTGATGATATGATCCGACAGTGGTTTGAAATTGGCAAACTCGGGGCGAGATATTCTTCAAAATGAATACGGCGTAATATCTCCAGCTTGCCGACTCTCTTTCTGGAACCCCCTAAGGAGAGCCAAACCACAATTGGTACCGAATGCTGGCCTACTCTTCAAGATGACCGCACTTGCAGCTAGATTGAAGAATGACTATTGTCATTCTCCGTCAACAAAGCCAGAAGAGTCTCGATATGGTGTGTATGGTCGGGCTGAGTATTGGCAAGTCCACTTGTTCTTGCGGTAGCATACTGTTGGCAATGCCGTAAGGCAACCACTGGAGCATGGATGCTCGGGATGAACAAGCTGCTCGGCGCGGCGTTACTGAACTGCAGCGGCGGGTGATGGCATGGACGAAACTTCGATGAGCCTGTGTGACTGGTTACACAACGTACGCCCTTATGACATAATGACGATTCTTGCTGGCAAGCAAAGCTCATGTTGTTCTTGGCAGAACCCTGTTAATCATTCCCTATTTTCGTGTCGCATGACTGCCGGAGGTCGATTCGTAGGTAACTTTTGTTCACGATATCTGCACTTGCACTTGCACTTTCACCGAGGTGAGTGAGTACGTAAGGTAACACATGGTATGAGTGGGAGATGTAAGTGGTAATATGTATGTGTATTTGAGCAATTTTGTTGTATTGAGTAATACGATAATCTGAATGAAGGAGAAATATTATTTTTGATGAAGAGAAGCAGATGGCTACTCTCGATCATGTCATGGTAGATAGGGCAGGAACGCCTTCCCCAGATGGTCGTTGGGAGAGCATCGGGTATATGCATAACCCGTTTCCTGCATACCACTCCGCGTCCTCGTGCTGCGCTGCGCGGTGGAGAGTCTTTGGGAGTTAGGAATAGTTAGGATTTAACAGATTCAGCTGTGTTTTGGTTTTAATTTCCTAGCCAGTCTCATTTATTAAAAGGTCCCTTGTGGACTTCTTCTGCCATGAGCTGGGTTCTAAGCGACTAATTTACCGTCTTCAAAATGTCTGTCATTCTCTGTACAGGTAAATGCGACATCTACCCTCCCATCCTCCATCTAAGCTAACCCATGTCGCAGCTGGATACGATCATACTATCAGGTTCGATGCGACGCGCCTCTTTGACCAGCTCACATTGACTGACCCTTGACGTTAAGATTCTGGGAGGCCCTATCGGGTATCTGTTCGCGTACAATTCAACATCCTGATTCCCAAGTGAACCGCCTCTGTATCTCCCCCGATAAACGATACCTCGCCGCCGCTGGTCACCACACCGTTAAGCTCTACGATATCAAATCCACGAATCCAAACCCACTGTTAACTTTCGAGGGACATACCGGTAATATTACAGGCGTCGCTTTTCATTGTGAGGGAAAATGGATGGTTACTAGCTCCGAAGATGGCACTGTCAAGATCTGGGAGACGAGAACTGGATCAATTCAACGAAGCTATAACCATGGCTGCCCGGCGAACGATGTCGTAATCCACCCGAATCAGGGTGAGATTATCAGTTGCGACAGGTCGGGAAGTGTCAGAGTGTGGGATTTGGCCGAGAACAACTGTTCCCACGAACTCATTCCAGAGGAGGACGTCTCAGTCTCCAGCGTCACCGTAGCCAGCGATGGATCTCTGTTGTGCGCCGCGAACAATGCGGTAAGTAACGTGACGCCATCTGGTCTTTATCTCTAATCGTTTGTCAGGGCAATGTATTCGTGTGGAACCTCATCCAGAGTTTCGACCGTACACAGCTGGTGCCTGTCACCCACTTCAACGCTCATAAGGAATACATCACCCGTATTCTTCTATCTCCAGACGTCAAGAAGCTGGCGACGTGTAGCGCAGACCATACAGCCAAGATTTGGGAAGTTAAGAACATCGAACCAACTCCAGACCAAGAGCCCAAGCCCTATCCCCTCGAGGCCACTCTTACAGGCCACCAACGCTGGGTATGGGACTGCGCTTTCAGTGCTGACTCCGCATACCTTGTAACTGCCTGCTCTGACCATTACGCGCGACTATGGGAGCTACATAGTCAGCAGATCATTAGACAGTACAACGGACACCATAGAGGAGCCGTTTGTGTTGCGCTGAACGATTACTCGGAAACGCGATAATGTGGTTGGTTATATGGAGTGTGATACAGGACTATATTCAAGCCCATGTTTGGCGGGAGAATGGCGTTGGGTCGATGTTTGTAAGATGGATCGGATATCACTGTTTTGAGATTTGTAAACTTCATAGACAGGCATATGTGCTATACCGCGAAGTGAATACATGAATGTACCAACTAAATCCCTTGGTATAGAACGACTACTGTCAAAAGACCTGATCATACTGGCTTGAATATTCTCAAGGGGTTCCCAGTTCCATAACAGCTACCAGTAAGGTGCCTGATATAACCATCAAACTGGTACTTCTTAGTCACCACAATCCCGTAACGGACAGTTTGCACATTTTCACGTTTGAGGAGACCGTAAAAGTAGAGCAATAGGTTCATTTCATGTTTGCTTCAAAATCTAATAAACTCCCGACCTTCCGTAGATTCGTGCGAGTGTTGACAACTTGCTAGACAAGGTAACCATCAAGACTCCTTAAAAGTCCTCCTTGTCGAGACGCTCCTGGGCGTTCTTCTTGGCCTCGTCAGAGACGTTGGGGTTGTTCAGGGTACTGTGTCATTGTCAGCATCCAGTCGAACAGAAGGTGAAGAGTCACTTACGCCTTGAGGCCACCAGCAACATTGTTGGGGTTCTTCTCCTGATTGTCATCGACCTTGGCGACTAGACGATCTATTAGCAAACGTTCTGATAAGATCTTAGAGGCAAAGCTTACCATCGCCACCGTTGAACTCCTTCTCGAGGACTTCGCGAGAGTGTTCCTTGGACTCTTCAGGAACGTTGGGGTTATTGATAGCAGCCTTGTGACCGCCGGCGACTTGAGCATCAGTCATTTTGAAGGTGTTGGTGTAAGGTCGGTAAAGAGGTAGAGTTTGTTGTAGTAGCTGTTGCTTGAGAGTTGTGAATGTGTTGTTGATAAGGATAGAGAGTTGACGAGGGAGGATATCGGGCTTCTTATAGACATTTCTCAACACATATTTGTTCATCGATCGCCGATTTCTTGTCCAACCAACGGAAACATCAAGTGTCACTTGATTGACGCAATTGACAATCTTCTCGATCGACCAGCCTCCTTTCACTACGTGTTATTGTCGGCAAGCTGCTTCCTTGGAGCCAGCTTGCATGGTTGATCGCCTTATCTCGTGATACAAATTGCTTCAAGCAAACCGTTAGGCGAATATTGCTTCTCAAGTGGTGACGTGTAGGCCGTCCATTGTACAGGGGATATCACGGGCGACTGCTTTGATCCTGGTGTTGAAGCGTGATGAGCAACATAGGTTTCCACAATTGCAAGATCGCTGGCCACCAGGAACAAGGATTCCGGGGTATTTTGCAAACACGACACTGGCTCGATCACTGAAGAAGTTCGATCTGGTTGGGTCCAAGCACCAGCCCTACATAGATCTCCCCTTGCAGATCTTCACGATGATGCAATACATAGTAGGCGATGGCTTCAATAAAGGCCACAAGGCAACGAAGATTGCTACTGGTACTTTGAACTTGTTTAGTATTTGCCTTTATCGATATCGATTTCAGGGGCTCAATAGCATACCAATGTCCCAACCCGCTGTCTTTGATGTCTATCATTCCTAAACTAAAAGTCATGACGCATTAACTCTACCTTTGTCAAACATTTGTTTCCAAACATGCGCAGACAGCCGTGGATTCACGGCTGGTAGCTTCAGTAACTCGGACACTAAAAAGCAAACAAATTGAACAAAATGGTCTGTGCCAGGCTGATGAATCATTGCCGCGGATCATGGCATCAGGACGTATTAAAGGATTCAATGATTGGGAAGACATTCCGTGATTACGTGAAATAACGGAATTTGACAGATTTAAGAGAATTGATCTGTCGAAGCAATCATAAGTTAGAGATTGACGAAGTTGGGCTAGCCAAGTATTGCTCCTTGATAATGGAATACACCGGTTAACACAGGCAGGTTACTCGTTATGTGGGCTTTTCGTATACCTTGGCAGTTAAGAAGACACTGTCGAAGTCAAGCTCCATGCTTTAGAATACATAAGATAGGAGCCATTCTAAAGTGTCATGGTGTGACTTGACAATATCGTTCCCTATGCTTGCCGCGGCCAAGTAGTCCAATCCTCAAAGGACAAGCATAAGATGGGAAGGGAGGGGAAGGTGTTAGAATTCGATAAAACCTGGTTATACCAGTCGGCAGTCTTGCAAACTCGGCCACAGTTATGAAATCGATCGGCTTATCAACTTTTTGTTTTGGCCTCTTGGTTGGTCAAGGGTAAGTTTGATAGTCGGTCAGCTTGCGTGATCGACAAGAAAGCTAAGATTATCTTTCGGACAAACCCGATAGGAAGGATATCAAGGAGGATCATTACGAAGAAAAAGTTCGATTGCTTCTTCCGTGGCTTGTAGAAGATGAGTTGAGACTCAAATCGACGATCAAACAGCACTGCATTCTGTGTCGTTGAGCTCGTGGATAATTCTGAAACCTGCAGACCAATCATAATGCGTACCAGCTTCGTCCATTGATCCGAAACTTAGACGAAACCACAATCAACGACACTAACTGGCCATGTTCTACTGTATGTACTGCAGTAGCGGGCCCAGTCTCGTGGTTAGCAAGACATTTCCATGTCGATCCATCTTGTTGTATGCATCACCAGTAGCGTATCGGCGTGTCCGCGTCAAAGGAGACGAATCATAGTACAAGAATGGTATTTGTGGTTCTTGGCCATGCGTCTATAGGGAAACCCCATATCTTGAACTAGGTCCTTCCTTTCGAGGTTCATGATGATGAAGGGAGTGAAGAGGCCTACGATGGAAATCTGTGGCTGGCCCGTAAATGACGTTGCATCAGAACTTAAAGTCTCCATACCCAGCTGGACAGGGATCCTCGCCAAGAAGCACCGAGCGACCGGGTCAACATGTGGGCTTTTTTCCCGTAGCGGTGACAGTGAATTAACGATGGATGGGTGAGAAGAGAAGTTGAATGATAGCCGGAGGGTCGCTTGTCAGCGCGGGAGTGCGGCTAAACGCACTGACCATGCGGGGAGGTACACTAAGCGAAGCGAAGCGACATGGCGCCACGCTTAGCTCAACTTGGGTGGTCAAAGCCACTTGGTTCCCCTACAACCCAGCAAAAGCCCCCTGTAAGAATAGTGTCCTTAGTGGATAGAAATCCCCTAGGGCGAGGCTGAGTCGACGACCCGCCAGCCACGTCTACGCCTTCGCCTCCAGTAATATTTTTAGAAAGCACTTTCCTCTGCCAGATTCTGCCCTTGGTTTCAATCTAAACCTCCACACTATCATCGATTCCGACTTTTCATAGGCCTCACAGGGCTGATCCGTGAGCCCTTCTCGTTGAAACAGAAACGCACGAGCCTCGTGTTCACTACTTTACGTTCACTCCTCCTTGTGGTCCAAAGTCTAGAACGCAGGGGAAAGCTTGGTTGCATCATCACCGTCACCATCACCATCATCATGGAATCCGCAGATGAGAAGCCACCAGTCTTCAATTACATCCTCAGCTTCATTCTCGTCGGGCTTGCATGGGGCTTCACTACCCCTTTCATCCGTCGAGCCGCCCAGTCGCATAATCCACCTGCCCATCCGGTACTCGAGAGCCCATCTGTTCAGTCTAGCTGGCTCAAGTCCAAGGTTTATGGAGCATTCTTTGCGGTCGTTGATCTGTTGAAGAACCCTCGCTATGCAATTCCATTGGTTCTTAACCTAACGGGAAGTGTGTGGTTCTTCCTGCTCATTGGACAGGCTGGTAAGTTAATGGCTTTTGATCCTTCATGTCAAGTTCTGTCAGGGGGTGTCGATCGCGGATAGACTACCGTTGACACTTCGCCACGCCGAGGCCTTAATTGCTAATGACGACAACCTTTAGAACTTAGCTTGACTGTTCCTATTGTAAACACACTGGCGTTTCTCTTTACCGTTCTTGGTGACTGGTACGTCGATGGTAAAGTTATCAGCAAAGGTGAGCATTTCTCGTGTTGGTTCTCTAGTATCAGGCACTAATACATCTTCAAGATACTGCTGCTGGGATGGGTCTAATGTTGGTTGGAATTGGCTTGTGTGTTCAGAGCAAGCGTTAATAGAGTAACACCCATAGAAATCATAATTAACCTAATCTAGTTAAATATACTGGCTCTACATACATGAGATCGCATTGTTCGGATTGGTTACCAACCTTTGTGAAATTATGCAAGTGAGACTCCACTTCGATAGGTACTCCTTAGAACTACACATTTTTTGGTAGTGATACCAGTAAAGAACTCGTTTTAGCAATTGTAATGGTCACGACCAGAGAAGTTGTGTTGGAATAATAGTCAATATTTATTCATCTGCTCCAGGCAGTTCAAAGGAGCCCAGCCCCGTACATCTCCATACCTAGGTCCTATCAAACCAGGCTCTATCTAATGCTTATGCTAGATGCAACATCAATCCTGTACCGTTTATAACAGGCATGTAAACCATGACTCGTGAGGTCATGAAAGAAATAACAAACAGGTTTATCCTTTGCGCAAAAAGTCATACCCCAAACCGCAACTCTCCCCCTTAATAAATCGGTCGTCAAAAGGGTTGGTCAAGAATAGTAGAAGTCGCAAGGGAAAGAATCTCATGAATAGCGTAGACGTGGGCGTTGCTTTTGGTCTTGATCTTCGTCTCTCGTTCGTCACAATAGTTGCTCTTGGGGTATCGTAGATCGTAGTCGCTTTGTGTCGTCTCCCTTGATCCCAATTCACCTGCGTGCTCGGAGCCAGCGTTGCACACTTCGTAGACTGGGATCTTCGGCCGTCCAGCGGCCCATTTGCTCATCCGAGGCCTTGAGCTCGTTGTAAATTATTTCGTCGGCAACTGCTGAGAGCTCCTAAGAAGTTAGTAAGGTGTAACTGGAGAGGCATAGAGAATTCTCTTACCGCTCGTAGCTGACGATCGCAAGCTTGGAGTTGAGATTGGTTTCTAGAGTTTGGTACACCGCCCTGCAGCACCTGTTTTCTATACTCGACCCATCGTTGCGCCGCTGCCTGTCGGAGATAGATCTTTTGTCCTTCGTGCCGTCTTGAGTACGCGTCCAGGAGTACCCTGCCAACTGTTAGAACTTGGGTTTTCCCGTCACTGTTCAGGAAAACATACTGCTTAAGCTCGGCCTTCATCTGCTCTTGCTCGCCTCCAGGGGGAGAAGGCACGCTGGTGTCTGCACCACATTCCAGAATGTGTCGTCCATCTAGTGCACATTGTCGAAGAGCGGCCCAGCCTTCGGTGTAGTACTCCGATGTGTCCTCAGGGTCGACAGGCGCAGCAGCTATGTAGTATTGCAGTGTTCGAAAATCAGATAGAACTTCAGCAACTCGCATTGTGCGGTATTCGTTTACTATAGAGAGGGAAGTCAGTTTCTCGAGTTTGGTCAGAGCGAAGTTTGTGATGTAGAGATGCCAATTGACCCCTTGGTAGGTGTCAAGGGGGTCAGATCTAACTTACATCCGTCCATAATTTCCCGCGTCTTTCAATTAACAGGATAGTTTTGTAACGTCAAAAGGTGATCAGACTAGCTGGAACACAAATTATGACAGAACGAAAGGTTGTAATAGAGTCGTAAGGATTTTAAGGGAAGTAAATTTGAGATCCGAGTCGGAATGTAGACGGCGGTGGTAAAGTTTGATAGGATAAATAGGTAAGGAGATATTATAGAGACGTTGTCATGTCGATCACTTAGTAGAACAGTTGAGAGAAGCCGGTCTTTCAATGCTTGGTTGACTGAACAAACAATCAACCATCCGCCAGAACTGGGCATCCTTTTTGTATATCGTGATGGACCGTCGAAGGCCTCCCAGATGTCCATCAAGAGACAACAAGAAGAGTTGCAAGGCAATGCAAGAAGCTCTTGGTCCAGAAAAGTCTCCATCCTCCTTAGCCTAACTTCCTAACTGACACCGCACGGTAGCTCAAGCTTGCCAATGTAATGTCGTGCTCCACCAACGGGAGCGAACGGCTACTAGATCCAAGGGGGGATACCACCCGAATGTCAAGCACCACCCCTCTCTCTTCCCAGTCCAAGGACGCTATGGCACACATGAGAGGCTCGGCATTTAGAGCCAGCCTTCTGAGACAGAAGTCATGGGCCACCAGTGAGAGTTCCATGATGAGCCTCCACTCGGAACGACCCTTTCCAAGCTCAAAAACATCAACGACCCTAGGCCAGCTGGTGGCAAAGGTTAGTTTCGTCGAATCGAACTCAAGGTCGAAGCCTTACCCTCAGCCCTACCCCTACAATACCCCTGGGCGCATACATGTATGTACATGCAGACAGCGATGCACCATGCAGGACCAGGACCCGAGGAATCAAGAGCCCCATGTATGTGGCACGTCATTGTAGGGTACAGTACATGATGGTGTTGAGGGCAGAGAGGGTGCGTCGTTTTCCAGCCACACCCGGTTGTATCCCCCTGATAGGGATGAGCATCCGAGATGTTCTTAGTTGAGAGGCGTCCAAGAGGCTTGAGGTTTCTGCTATGTTCCGTCTTTGACTACACCAAGTGAACTGCGTGGGTCAAGTAGACTGAAGTGTCAGTTATTGGTCAGCGGACTAAAGTATCCTAAAAAGCATCTTTGTCCGAGCGAGCAAAGTAAAAAAAGTGACTTGGGTTATACGCTAGGAGGGAACTCCCAGGCTGTACAGTAGACACTTTTGCTGCAGGGGGTTTAGGGAGACTGTCAAAAAAAGAGGGAACCGCAAACAAGACTGGATACATGGTCTGACGGGTAAAACAAGGAGACGGTCAGTGAAACGATTCTTCTGGCAGAGAGAAAGTGACAAATGTGTGTAGTTCGAATAGCGCAGGTGGATGTGGATGTGGATGTGGTGGAGTTTACCACTGTCAGACCAGAAATGGGTCGGCTCAGCTATCCATAAGCCACCTACTAGTTTCTCCAGAATAGGAAACGCCCTGTAGCTCTATCGGTCCAGCGAGACCAATAGACGCGCGGATAGTGCTTTGGCAACTGTCCGGGGCGAGCTGATGGCTAGAAACGGTCAAGTTTACAAGCATGAGGCCGTCTGAAATGCAACATGACCCATGGAAAATCATCATGAATGAGTTAGAATTACTCAGGTAGTCTCTTTCTCAGTATAGAACCCATTTCAAGGCTGAGTCAATCACGGAGAGGCCGATATGATCAATTAAAGAAACAATGATTCATGGTGCATGCCAAAAAGATGACTTTAACCAAGTAAAATGGGTTACAATTGATCTCCTGTAACCTGGTCATCAGTTCAAAATGCCAGATTAGGTGGGTGGAAATAAGTGAGATCTGAGACCAGGATATGCATTTGGATGTCCCCGGTCTTATTATTCTTACTCTCCTGCTTACTTGGGATTGTATGTCCAGCTCAACCAGGTTTATTTCATCTTAACAAGGCATGTTATGTTGCAGCCATTGCAGAAATTGGATGTGTTTGTTTTAGAACGTGAACCAGGAAAAGTCGACAGTTAAACCGCCAAAAAAGAAAAACCCTAGTTTCTGTGTGGCGTCATGCTCTCTATTCTCTGCATGACGCCGTTTGAGCGCCGCTGAACTTCACTCCCCGCCAACACCCAACACCAGCTTCTTATGCTGTTCTAATCGTCACTAACGTTAGTTTCTGCGAACTCGTTACCATTCGCCTTCTCAACGTTCGCCTCCCCGTTGTCTTCAACAAGAAACCCATCCGCGTCCCGCTCCCGCTCCCTAACGTGACTCCGTTGATATTCATTATGTTGTTAGATTGGCCCTTGCGTTTATTCTCAGTGATCGTCTTGGAGGCTCAAGTCGGCGCTTACAATAGGTAGCCAGCCATCACACTTCAAGGTCGTTCCCAGTCGTACCAGGGGCACCCCTGCATAGATCCGATCGACTAGAAGTAAGCCTTCAGACGAAGTCTTGCAAGCCTCTTTTCTCATTGATACGATAATATTGAGAATGTAGGACCACATGATCAAGGACCTTCAACTGCCAATTGAGAGTAACTTTTTGTATAGCCGGTCTAATGAACCTTTGGCCAAATTTAGAACTAGACTACGATAAACCAAGTCGTACATACTGTAGCAAAGCAGAAGCAAGCAGGCCTTAGCTGCAAGGCTTGTTCTTCCTTGATTCCTATTCTTAACCAGTCCCACAATGGACAAATATTGAGAAAAAACATTAGTGTTCTCAACATTCATTCATAGCCTAGCAGCCACATCACTCATTGAATGACCCACCACCACCTGGCATGTTCTGTCTTAGCTCCATCGTGGGCTCTTGTCTTGCTTAATCGCCTTGGCGCGAGGCATACTCCTCCTCAATTGGATCATCAGACGCGCAGGTGTCAGTTGGCCAGATAGAAGAGGCTCATCATTTCTATTGCACATGGTTAGGACGGCTAGTGACACATTAGACATGGACCCGCGGCCACGACGGCATCCAAGTCCCTAATCTTGATAATCCATCCCCCTGCATTGGCCTTATGATCCATGTTCTTGGGACAGCATACCGTCCCTGCTGCAGCCCGCGAATCAAACTTCTAATCTCTTGCGACAAAGAGCACCGACCTTCTCACTGTCGTAAAATGGCAATGTTTCATGCATGTTCCATATCATTCTCTCCACTCGCTCAGTCCTTCTCTGCAATAGCTTGTAATCGGTCGTCAATCTCGTCCTCGGTCAATTTTCGGAAGCCAGAGTAGGTTCCCTCCTCACCATCAGGTCGGGGGCCGCCCACGATACCAATCTCAATCTCTCCCTTCTTGAAATCCATGCTCAGAACTGTGCTCAATGTCGTAATGGCCAGCTCAACAACCTCCTCCCAAGAGCCCTCCGCATGCTCCTTGTTACGGAGCTTCTTCTCAAGGTGGTTCAGCGCCTCCTGTTGCTTAGGTCCTGCCGCAGTTCCCTTGTAACCGATGTAGTATCCAGCAGGGTCGCACTTGAACAGTTGGGGGCCGTATTCCGAGTCGAGCGCAATCAGTGTGGTTGCAACGCCGTAAGGTCGCATATAAGCCTGGAGATAAAGTTAGTTCATGCTTGGCCGCAATAGTCGTCTGTATATGGTGCTTACTCGTTGAGTGTAGACTTGGCTGATGTTGGCAAGACGCTTGGCCAAAGCATCAGCTGGCATCTCGTAGCCGTACTTGTATCGAAACTCGGCAGCCTCGCCTTGGGCTCTTTGGGCGAAAGCTCGGGCATCGGCGATGGATCCTGTGATGACACAGCCGACGGAGGGAGAGAGCTGGAAAAGGTGGGTGACGGAAGCAGGGTCCATGAGCTTGTCCTGTGGTCTTGATCAGCACTCCTCATGATACCTCCCTAACACTTGTACATACAGGAACCTTCTTCTGCGACAAGACAACAGCACAGTCCTTGCCTCTCACACCGACAGACATGATGTTGGCTGCTGTAATCGCCTTAAAGGCGTACTCTGTTTACAATGCCATGTCAGTCTCGATTCCATGTGTCCGTCAACGTCATCGGTCAAGGGAGTATCGTGGGGTATGCGGGCTCTAGAGGTTCGGGGACTTCACATACCAACTTGGTAAAGCCGACCATTGTCAGCAAAGATGGTAATGTGTCGATCGTATGCGCCGGCTATTGAATCATATGTTAGCTTGGTGATGAATCGGATGGATTGTATATCAGCATTGACTACATACCCGACATTGTGGAGAATTTATGGTTTTTGGTATTCGAAGTCGGATAAAATTAGATGGCAAAGCTCAAGAAGAACTCGTCAAGTTCCAAATGAGGAGATATCGAGGTAATGGTTGACGTTGTGGAGGTTGAGGGGAGCTATGGCGGGTTGAGATAGTCGACGCGTTAGCAGGAGCTTGCCTAGAGCATGAGGCAACGGAAGCTCAATGGGAAGGCTGAGTTGGTGCCTCGCTGGTATTAGGTAATCCTCAGGCAGGATACTAGGTGACAAAAAGGTTAGGCACAGTCACAAATGCGATATCAACCGTTTCAATGTGAGTGAAGGGCTCAGACTAACTTAGAAGCTCAATTAAATGATAACATCGTTCAATTTCAGGTTATCTAAGTCGATCCCGAAGGGAGTGATTATCGAATGACAGTACACACCGGCCAATGTATTGCTCTAAGCTTGATATAATTATGTCTCCCAGAGCTCCCCACTCTTATCGTTATCTGCCATAAACTTAATCGTCATGATAAGCTCCACTCTCGATAATTCTCAAGGTCCATTCAGAAAAAAAGTTGCTGCCGACATCCAATCCAATTCAGTCCAATTCAATCCGGCCCGCAACAACACGATTGCATATCGACCTTGCACTGATACTACGCTAAGAAGAGGAACCTGCAGCCATTGACAACTCACAGTCCCTCTTTGAACTTTGCGCTGCTGCCATTGGCTCTTCTGAAGTCAACAGAGAGTCCACCGCTCACCCAGCAGCTAGAAGAAAATTCAAGGACCCTAGCAACCGCCATACAGATTTGAGAGAGTTGAAGAAAACACAAGAGTGTCGAAGGTTTCAATTTTGAAACTCACAGTACTCATTCTTCTCATTTCTTTTTCATATCGCCTCCATCATCGACATCTCTTCAGAAACACCATCTCAAAATGTCCGGCCAAGTTCCCGCCTGGAAGAAGTTGGGCTTGAAGCTCAAGCAACCATCTGATGCGCCTGAACCCAGCTTTGGGCACCCAACCAGTGCCTCAAGCACACCCATAAAGAGGAAATTCGACGCCCCGCAGACTTCCAATTCTGCCAAGCGACCACGTCAGGATGAGACCCCAGGACAATTGAGAAACAAGAAGTCAGTATCCTTTGCTGATGCGACATCCAACAACAACGGCAACTTCTCCAGGACACCAGCAAAGCCCGCCAAACAGAGCAAGGCTAAGAGCAAAGGACCCGCCAAGAAGCCTAAGCCTCAAGTTCCCACAGACCTCAAGCCTGCTCTCGAGTACTTGAAGCTCTGGAAGACTGCTCGCGACAGCTGGAAGTTCAATAAGAACCACCAAACAAACCTCATCAAGCACATCTTCGATGCCGATGGAATCCCTGCTTCTGACGTTGAAACCTTTTACGACTACATTTCAGACTTGAAGGGTTCTGTGAGAATGCGCCTGCGAGAGACTGCTTGTGAGGTCAGGGATCAGGACCAGTCCGATGGCGCAAAGGGATTCCCCGAAGGAACCAAGGATCTAGAGGCCACTCAGCAACGATACGAAGAGGTTCTTACCAAGTTCTTGCAAAGTCAGCCTGTGGGATCCAAGAGAAAGGGTTTTACTGAGGTCGACTACCTCTCAGACTCGGATGAGGATGAAGTCATTGTCCGACGACTTGTCAAGCGCATGAGAGCTGAACTTGTCATTGATGTGCTATCTGACAGCGACGAAACCGAGGCCAGCACCACATCATCGCAGACAGTTACCACCAACGACAAGAGCGACACACCAACCAAGGAGGTCGAGAAGAGTGCGAAGCCCGCTGATGGTGTTCCTGGCAAGCGTCGACGCAAGCTCCGTGTGAACGTGGATGACAGCGACTCTAGCAGCTCCGAATCTGAATCCGACTCTGATGACGACACCAGCAGCAGCGGAAGCTCGTCTGAAGACGAGTCAGAGGATGAGAAGCCCACAACTAAGAAGGCTTACCGAAAACCTGGTGAGGAGGATTCGAGCGATTCTTCGTCTTCTTCAGGTGACTCGAGCTCTGATGACGGCTCGAGCGACGACGACTCGGATTCTGACTAAGGATTTAATGATACCCGATGATTCAGTATATAAAAGCTAAGGGCGGCGAATAAGTGTTGAGTGGTGAGATTGGACACATTGTAACAGCCATGTTCGAATACTGCTTCCATGCGAGATATCCCCAACATCATATATGCCTGTCAGCTCAACTGTTTGAAACACAAAATGGGAAATAGATAGATGCTCCAACGAGCAATTAATGCAATGGTATATGCGTTCGAAGCATTTGGAACATACTGTATTCAGTCTAGGCGTACAGTTTAGTGAACCCCTCCTCAGGCGGCTGAAGCCAGTTCTTCTCGTCGTAATCCTTACCCTGCCCTTCAATGATATGGAACGTGTAGATGATTCTTCCTTTTTGACTTGTGTTCTTCTCGCTCTTATGCAACAGGTTGCCGTGAATGAGAACCAAGTCACCAGCCTTGACCTCACCAGGAACGTACTCATGCTTGCCCTCTGGCTCACCCTTCCCGTAGCCATCTGTCGCAGGGAATTTGGGTCCTTCGTTATCAACCATCTCTGTACCAGCGTTACCTGCCTTACGAACAAGTCTCTTCTCCACTGGCGCCCAGCGGTGTGAGCCAGGTAAGAAACTTAGGCATCCGTTCTCAAGAGTAGCATCTTCAAGAGCGTACCAGAAGCCAACAGCAGAAGGAGGGTTGGTATACAGGAAAGTAGAATCCTGGCATCGTGAGTATATGATAAAGCAGGTCATAAAAGAACGACTTACCTGATGAGGCGGTACGGCACCACCGATCTCTGGTTGTTTGCAGATGACCATGCTCTGCAAACACCGTGGGTCCTTAAAGCCAAGACTGCGGGCTACAGCAGGTGGGCTGACCTTGCTAGCATCATGGTCCAACAGACGCGCAAACGGGGGCGATAGAGCGTGGAGATAATGACCAATCTTGTTCACAGCGCGAGCTTTCGGCTTGATGAGATTTCCTTCATCATCGAAAGCGTCTTCCTCGAAAAAGAATCGCACCTTATCGCCTGAGGTAAGGAAGTAGTCGTCGCCAACATGATCACGCTTCTCACCAGTTGAGAAGCGTGTAAGAGGATGGTCATCTAGAGAGAAGTTCTCCAGAAGGTTGTGAGTTTCGTCCAGAAGAGACTTTACTGTTGAGCCAGAGAGGGCGCCGGGTAGAATGAGGTAGCCATCTCGGTTGAAGGCCTCGAGTTGCTCTGATGAGAGGCCTGGTTTGTCACTCATTGTGGGTATTGGGTTGGCGTTACGAGTTATTTAGTAGGAGAGTTGATTGAAATGGGAACACTTCTTTGAAGTATTCGATGGAAGGTGCTGATCTACAAGCCGAGGTTGAGTGGTGATAAGTTGAAGATGATAAGAGTTATACAAGGTGGGGTGGATATACCCCGCCTACATCATCACCAGATGCCTCATACAGTAACAGCCACTCTTGCCAACAAGAACAAGCTGGTTCTCTATGAGCTAAATATTGATGAATCATGGAATTTCTCTATATACACATTACGACATTTATAGAAATGGCAAAGCTTATGTGATCACACCTGATGTCTGATGTTGGTGTTTGACCAACAACCCATGCTATGCGAATCAGCAGATTAATAAATACAGGAGGTGGCGCACAGGATAAACAGTATAGATTCTAGACGGTGTACATATATAAGAATAACTCGAGAGATTGTATATAATATTCTAAGCGATTTCCTACATCTATATAAAGGCAGCTGCTGCAGAGCCCCTTTGTATTAGTCTAGATCAGCACCTCTTATAATGCACCATCAGACAAACCGCCGAGACTCCCATCTCAAAACACAAACACCTGCTCAATGGGGATTGATAAAAGAGTGAATGTATGCATATAAAGCCAAATCATTAGTCGCGAACAGACATTGCCTAAGCATCAAGAGGATCCGAGAGGAAATCGTATCCTTCCTCTGGAGGAAGAAGGTATGCGGAGAAGGCAATACCAATAGCAGATAGCAGACAGATGGCGGCTCCAACGGTGCTGAGGTAGAAAGACGTATCCAGATGCCATCCAGGAATAGTAAACTGGTCGTCGTGATCGTAGAGATAAGCCTGAGACAGTGGTTAAATAGTGTATCAATGGCTTTGCAAGGTTAGTACTCACCACAATAGAGATGGCAACAAACTCGATCACAGAGACCAGCGTCAACATGGCGGCGGCAAATGGCCATCCTGTCTCACGCTTGTATTTGCCCCCACTCATAATGACAACAAAAGTCACCAGGCCTCCCAAACACAACAGAGTCGTGAACGAAGCCAGGAAACCAACAGTCCTCCACATGGAGCAGAAATATCGTTCTCCTCCTTCACATAGATCCCTAGGAGGAAAGTCTCGACAGTGTGGATTATCCAACGTGGAACAGCTCTTATGTAGACCGATATGCCTTTCGATAGTTTCGCCGGTGGCCGAAGTAACAGAGTAAGTCACCCAGTTTGGTAGCCATATCGGAATCACGATCATAACCGTCGCTATTTTGTGTTAGTTCGTGGTGATGATTTCGATGGATTTGAAGCATCGCCATGCGCCTACGTCATTGAAGATGCGCTGTGGCTGCAGAGGATTGAATGGTGAACGTACCAGCTACAAAAGCCGCCAGGGCTGATGTGTAGACTGAGACTCGCGTCATGGTTTGTTCGCCGGTATAGTACTTGGAGATTCTTGAGCAATAGATAGGTCACAGAATGGTGTGGGATAGATAAAGGAAGAAATGTTGTTGCCTGTCTGCCTTTGGTGGCCTGCCTTGAAAACAGCCTGGTCCAGGTCTAGGATAGTGCTACAGCATGTGAGTGGTTGATGCCAAGTTTCATTAATGGATTTGGCGGGGACCAATTGTGGCTTAGTTTCCGAAATACAGGGTATCATAAAAGCGACCAATCGTTGTCACCTTAGAGATACTGTCTTTTATCGTACAACGAAGTCAGCAGAAGCACGAACTTGAAAGTTATGAACACAATTTATTAACAGCCACTGAGAATTCTTCTTCAGTTGAGCAGAACAAAAGACAGGAGATCTTGCACGAGTCAACCATCCTTACTTCTAACTCTGTATCTGTCGACGGAACGTCGCATAATCTGAAGCGATATATGTATGCTTCATGACCAATGACCGAGCCTCCAATGCACCAAAAACACAACCAGGTATTGAATCTCTGTAACAAAACGCCCCAATAAAACACCCATAAGCATAAATCATGCATCATGTACTTTAACTTTATTTGGTCTTCTTAACACCGGGAGCTTGATCGCTGAAGTCGGCATCGCTGAGACACTCGGCCACAACAGGGTTTTCGAAGATATGTTTTTGTAGGTGACCTCCAAAAAGAAGTCTCATCATGTCGATCCTGGAAGAGAGTGACCATGAATCGATAATAGCCACGTAGTTGCCGAGGCGAAGCTTGTGACGGTATCCAAACTCGACCACACCGTCCTCATTTGGCTTGGAAGTAACACGTTCACCCTTTTGCGGCGCATATCCAGCGGATGAGTATCCTGGTCCGACACCCTTTTCGAGAGAAGTGATGGCGCTAATAAGACTATCTCGCAGGTCGCGGCGGTCTTTCTTGGATCTAGACTTGGAGCTCTGCTTGGCGAGCTCTGACATGCGACCTGTGAGCTTCTCGGGATTGACAGGGAGGTCCCAAGACTCTCCTGTTTCCTCCTCGTGGTTTCGCGATGCCTCAAAGATTAGCGCGATACAGGAAGCGGCATTGGCCTGAACTCCAATATCGACGCTGTCAAGCTGTTCGTACAATCCGTCCAAAGCCATTGTGGCCGCGTATGAGAAATCGTCCACATGGCTAGCGACGAAGGCCCAACCACGCAGGGCGGCTGCGACAATGAAACCATTGTCATAGGAGTCGATGTTGTCTCCATCAGACTCTACAATAGCGTACAGGTAGTCAAGCAACTCGAGACCCTCTGTCTCGCCACCGCCGCCATAGAGCACGGTGAAGCACAGCGCGTAGATGCCAAATGCCTTGCATTCTTCATCATCGTCATCGGCTATGATCTGCTTCAGGGTTGCTTCGGCGTGCTCGTATACATTGGCCTCCTCAGAGCAACTGAGGGTCAAAAGATAAGCCTGGAGATACAGCAGTCGCTCTCTGGCTTCCATGCCACGGTTGGCGCCACGAATGAATAGTTCGGCAAGTTCGTTGGCTGACTCGTCAAGCCACTCGTGAGTTGCTGGCGCGAACCTGTGTCGCAGAACCTTGATGTAGAGTTCCAGCAGTTGAGTTCGGGCATCGCTGTTGTTGTTTTTGCGATCCTGAAGTTCCTCCATAAACTGCTTGGCGTCGAAAGTGTTGGTACCATCCTCATTCGTGTCGACTAGAGAGCTTCCGGAGGCAATGCTCATGGTATCGTCGTACTCGAACTCATCTTCACTCTCGTCAGAGGCGGCCCGACTGGGGGCTGTGGAATGCGCAGGTGACGTAAGAAGCGAAGCGAAAGGAGAGCCACGAGGCGTCAAATTGGCGGAAGCGCGACCCGACTTGATGGCTTTTTTAGACACGGTTTTCCCGTTTCCCTTGAGGGCTTTGACCCGAGCGTGATCCATAATGGCGGGGTTTGACGCCGGCTGACTGAGCGAAGAAAGCGATAATGGAGGTGTCGGGTAGACTGAATGCGAATGCGCTTGGTGTTTGTGTAAGTTGACGAGGAAAACTTGCAAAGGTCGAGGTATAGACAAGTTTTGCAACGATCAAGAAATATCAAAAGCTAATCAGCTAGTGATCCTCGCCCTGTTGGAAATTCTGTCACTTGGGTATGGTTTTGGATCTGGGTCGACTGGTATGAGCGTAGTATACGGCGGTTTCTGTTGTTTTATAGGCGTATCGAGGCATAAAGTCCATGAGGAAATCTGAGGACGGGGTTAAACAAAATTCGGAGATAGGTGTTAGCAGAACGGTAGCACCTTGTAACAGTTGAAGCAAAAAAGCGAAAGAAAGGAAAGGAAGGATGTGGACGGCGATGAAGATTTGTTTAAATCCAGTGAGAACCGGGTTGTGGCGTGGCGTAATTGGAACTGCATGAGCTGCCCTGTGGAACAGTGGATCAGGCGCCGCTGAGAAATTCCAGGGCTTTTAGTGGCGACCTGAGATCTTTAGGCGTGAAGCTTACTTCTCGGGAGGTACCTGACGCAGGTGGAAGCACAACGGCTAAGGGGTTAGTGGCTCATGTGCCTGGACCAGCTGAAGGGCAGTCATTGTAGATAATTCTGGATTCTCCTAGTTTTAGTTTTGTCATCTACCTACTGCAGTCTCATGAGATTTCTGAAATCATATCACATGTGGTTCATCAACCTTGACATATGACAGCATCTAGTGGGCATCCCCAGAAAAAGGGACAAGGAATGCTAGCGTTTCGTCCCGCTTTTGTTCCACTCATCCGCTTCTCTCCACCTGGAAATGACCCTTGTCTCGGTCATCGTCATCGATCAATCACTTAACGCGTCTGGTCCCTTAAGACGGATCCATGTCTCAAATCAGCGCGTTGAGTTTAAGCCTGAATATGTGTCGACCGTCCCGTCTGTTTCTCGTCTGTCTGGAATCAATATGATTGATGAGGAAATAACGGAATAGAAATAAGTGGCGGTTAACATTCTTACCCAGGTAGGTAATCAAGGTAGCTTTCTAGTGCCGAGGTCTCATCAGGTCACCTAAAGCAGTCGCACAGCTGATATGATGAACAAGAGATGGGAAAGACATTACGGAAGATGATTATCCGGGACGTCTTAGCATGGATAGATAGCCGTAGAAGCCCAACCAGTTGACTTATATAATGCCCGTGCCATTGTTCATTGCCCGGTTGGGCGGTTAACCAATATGTAGGCGATGCCGCTATGTTGACTGGGTAGTGGATAAAAAGTTCCATGAGAACAGCTTGGATACCCCCGCAACTCCTCAATTGTGTAAATGAGTTTCTGACAGGGTTGCCTTTGTTCAGAGAAGTTACACAAGTAGAGATGCCCAAGACGAGAGAATCACTGTGCAACACAACTTCATCAAGTAAATGGGCTACTGCTTCGAAAGATGGATGCGTTGTTAGTCAAGGTATGAATTGGCTGTGACACTGCATGATTACCTCGCTGACTCATTAACACAAGTTCCATTTCGGAAACCGTGATATTTCAGCATTTGCCTTATGCAAATGTCCTTGGCTACAGAAGTCCTGTCTTCACAGTGCACATCGAACTCATCCAAAAGTGCAAATACTCAAGCCTCACCACGCCACGTCAAGGACTATCCTCTATGCCCTTGTAAACGAGGTTGAAATGAGGGACCAAGCTGACGACGTACAGTGCGGTCCCTTCTTTATAGTCCTTTCTTCTCACCTTACCACGCAATAATTGGAAGTATGATACTGTACGGTCTGTCTCCAGCCGCGGGGTTGTTTCAGTCCGCCTAATGGTGGATGGTAAGTACGCAGCAGTCATGTGGTCATTTTTGGACATGTTCTTACCCACTATCTTGAATTTGATACCAGCCAATACAGTGATTGCGAACCATTCCGCCTGCCGTCCCAAGCCATGTGCTGTATGACAGGTTTCCATGATAACGATCCATTCGTCTCCAACCCAGTAACCTCGCTCATCTATGACTCTTTGATGGGATCATTCTTTCGGTCCGGCTCTGCGTGCGAATAGTATTTGTTAATGAAAGGCTGGGTCAAAGGATATTTTGCGAAAGGTTAATTATATTCCCATTTATGATGAGGTTGTATGGCACTGGACCGTAACTACCTATCTGGTAGTTTGTAGATAGCTGATAGAATGACTGTCTCAATAGCGCATCTCACAGTGCGACCCACCCGACTCCTTCCAATTCCATCAAATGGTGACTTCTATCTGTTAGTGGTAGGTAGACCCTGAAACTGAGGTAAGAGATGTGTCTATGATGCAGATGCGACTTCAGCAGCAGATCAGTCTTTGTCTCTGGAATCGATTTTAAATCTAACATTATAAACAAGTCAACTCATACTGGTGAATTCGAAAGAAATCATCTTCACTTTAAACCTGAACAACCTTAACATCAACATCACTTTATCAGGCGGGGTTGCTCCTTGCCCCGCTACAGTACCATTTCCCTTAGCTCCGATAAGCGGCTTATCTAGGTGCCTGCTGGCTGTCACCTGTCTGCCTGATACGGCAGTGACCTTACACTGTTGCCCCACTTAGCCCTTCACCTTCCCCGGGTCTTCCAGCTAACACCTTAGGATCACCTCGATGTTGCTTGCCTTGCACCACTTACTTCTTCTATCTCCTTTCCATCTTTCTTTCTTTCTCGATTCCTTCACCCTCTTCTTCTTAGAAGCACCAAGATTCTGATTTCTTTTCTTCCACCTCGTGAACCTTGAGACACACGACAAGCATATCTGATCACCATACCCCTGTTCAATATCTCTTGCATGTACACCCTGCTTGGGTATATGTGAGACGCTCTGCACCACGCAAGCAATACATACGCGGAAATCTACTCAGGAGAGGACATCCGGAACCTTGTTGGCCACTATGGCGCTGCCAGAGTATCAAGATGAAGGTAAATATAAACGCAAAAGCATTCAACAAAGCTATTCCAAACCTTGATATTAACTAATGTTCACAGTCTTGATCACGCTCAAGAGCGTGAACCCTCCCCCCGGATTCGCTTTCAAGGAACGACGTATTTTCCTCAGTAGACAAAACCCAACGATGAAAATCGGCCGTGCGAGCAAAAAGAAATCATCCCTTGAAGCTACAAAGTGCAATGCATGGTTTGACTCACCAGTCATGTCCCGAGAGCATGCAGTCTTGATATTTGACGCCAAAACCCAGGTAAGCTTTCGTCAAGAGGGCGCAAACATCTGTCCAATCTGACCGACCGCTTGCTAGAAAGTTTATATCGAGGACATAAAGTCTCTTCACGGTACATATAAGAACGGTGTCCTCCTTGAAAAGAAGGCGAAAGCCGAAATTTCTTCTGGAGACAAACTTATGTTCGGGATTCCTATCATGAGAGGCATGGAAAGCTATCCACCAACCACCTTTGAAACCATCCTCAAGTACGGATCTATCGAGTATGCTACCCTTGATGCATTTGTTCATTTCTCTGCTAACATATCTCCCAGTCCCGAAAGTCGCGGAAATTGTTTCCGTGTACCCGACGAGAGCGACGTGGAAGAAGCAATGAGCTCAGACGACGACCAAGTCTCAAACAGCTGCAAAATGCTATATTCGAAGAACGTCCGGCCTGCTCCTTTTCTCTGCCCATCTTCCAGTCGGTCCCCGATCGATCTGACATGCGAAGACCAGGCTCCTTTGTCCGATGCGAGGGACGATACGCTTCCTGTACCCGCATCAACGGAGCCTTCCCTTTTTCTGGTTGATGACTCGGAGCATGACTCTTGCATAGAGGACGAAATGGAAGACGAGAATGAGATGCAGGACGATTCGTCTGTTCATGACTCTGACAACCAGGATGAATCAATGGAAGACGAGTGGTTTGAAGAGCATGATGAGTTCGAGGAAGACGAGGAAGAGGGTATGTCTGCAGATTTCAACTTCATGACCCATTCTGACCCTTTTCCAGACAACACCCACCTGGCTGATGATTTAACAACTACTCTGCTGAATGGTAGCGCAGAGGAAACCTCTGCCGAACCCCATTTGGCCAGTAACACCTCAACCAGTGAGGCCCAAAACGCAGACTCCGACATTAGCGAACAGCCAAAGATGGATTCGTATGTCAGTTCACAGATGACCAGTTGTTCTGGGTCCATCAACAAAATTGACCCAGCCAAAACCTGGTCGAACAACAACCTTTGGAATGTCGATCTGCCGCCCATGGAACTCCCTCCGATTCGAGAATCTGTCCAGCTGCCTGCGATCACTGACTGGAGACCCCAGCTGTTCACTGGACAAACAATGGAAAATGCAGCCCAGAAAATGGGACTGAAGACTGGGAAAGAAGAATTCTTTGCCGCCAGGGAAATTAACAAGATTAATGCGAAGGCTGGTCTTACAACAACTCAACCTGAGTACCCTGAGTACTGCCGCGACATCCAACCCAACATACCCGACCCACGTAATGTTGCCGACATACTCTCACGAAAGGTTACCGACATAGTCTCTCGAACGGTCCAGGAAGAGGCTCAGGAAATGGCTCAGGAAAAGGTTCAGGAAATGGCCCATGAAAAAGCCCGGGCTTCGGTTGACCAACTGGCTCCTGACTTGGCAACTTCTGGTACTCTATTCCTCAACACTCCTGAACAAGGTCCGTTCCAGCCATCCGGAGCTGGTACAGAGTCTGTCTTGGATGAGACGTCAGCGTTCAGCTTCGAGATGAGCAAGAAAGCTTCAGGAATTGCTGAGCCTATCGGTGATACAATCGACCAAACGACTTCGACCGAGAAGAACAGCAAGGAAGGAAGCAGTATTCCAGCGGATGCAGCGCTAACATCTCCTGAAGTAAATGCCGTCCAAGAGCCTCGCAAAGCCAAGAGAAAGGCTGACGACATATCTGAGCTCACCCATCAAGAGCAGCGCTGGGAGTCTCCTCTTTACATGAGCCCTCCACCAGTCTCAAGTCACCCCCATAAACAAGCTTCAGACAGAGCCCTTCGTCCTCCACCCGCCAAACGCCTTCGCAAGATGGCTGAGGTTGTTGGATACGCTGCTCTTGGTGGTGTTGCTGTCATGTCAGCGCTTATTGCCACAGCGCCTACCCTTTAGCTAGATCATCATGGCAGGAACATCAGAAACAGCACAGTTTTCGTTTTTATTTTTATTTTTGGAGTTTAGGGATGGGACATTGTTTGGTAGGGTCACTAGTGGCTTGTTATCACGGTACTTGAGCCTCAGTTGAACCTGACAGGGAAGGCCACGAGATTTGCTTATCACGATAGGGGTGACAAGATGTTATTAATGGTATCTCTGATGTCTTTATGTATGAATCACTACTATTCTCTTTCTGCAAGTTGCCAGTAGACCTTTCCCACATGAAGTCGTTGAATGATAATCATAAGTCCATCCAATAATTGAAAGTAAAGGACCTTGGTCTCAAAATTTCCTCTGCACCAAACGCCAGACCAATCTTCGCTCGTAAGCTTTCCAGGCTTCCGAAATATTAGACAATTTATTACTGTACGTTTCCATTCATCAAGCTTTCAAGTTCCCAGGGGCTTAGTGTGCTCCTTCGCCGCGATGCACTCTTACTCGTTTTATGACCACGGCGCCTCTTCTCGGGCTTCAACTGACCATCAGCCGGAGCCGGGTCCCTCTTCACAGGATCCACGTTCTCGAGACCACTTCTTTTGAGTTCTGATTCCTTGGCAGGAGATTCGGCGGCTTGGGGCTCAGACGGAGTGATGTTGGGCTTCTTAACTCCGCGGGCGCTACGGGCAGCTCGAAGTTTGGCTCGGACACGAGCAGCATCGGCATCACGCTCTGAAGCGGCCAGTTTGGCCGCGATGGTGGCCATAGTAAGGGGGCTCTGCTGAGGAACGGGGTCGACATTTCTCGGGAGTGGAAGCCGAGACGCAGTTCGGCGAGGGGAACGGTTAGGTGAGCCTGGGTTTGCTTCGTTTTGATCGCTGCGTTGAGAGCTTTGTCGACTGGGAGTAGTAGGCTTTGCCTCAGAAGGGGCAACATTGGATGACTTGAGAAGCACTTCGTCGAGGGAAGAGCTGGACGAGACTCGGTCTCGAGCTTCAGGGTTGAACTTTATAGGGGTCGGGTCTATCTGTCCAGGGTGATCCCAACTATCCTCTTCAGCTATCGTGGTAAAGTCTCTCTTGCCCGGTTGCTTGGGCCGGTGAGAGCCCCTGTTTCCTGCAGAGGCGGAATCCTTCAAAGGACTGAGTTGGGGAGGTTCGGGGAGTGGTGAAGATTCTTGCTCCCGATGATAAAGGGGAGCTGCGGTGGATTGTTGGAGGATTTGCACATTAGGCTCATCAACATCGTAATCGTCGATTGGTACGTCGTAATCAGATTCAGCATCACTTTCATGGCCATGACCCTCATCCTCCGGTTCTGACTCTGGAACAAGCTGTACGCTTGGAGAGCAGCGTGACGGGCATGGCGAGTTGTGCATCTCTTCATCTTCCTCCTCTTCCTCTTCAGCGACTGCCGAGAGCCTTAGACCAGATGCGTGTCTCGTTTCCTCCACATCCCTTACTCTCACAGGACTGAGACGTAGTCCCATCTGGAGTTCTTCATCGCAGATTGGCCGTCCGTTAGCAGCCATGCGCTTTCGCCAGCCGTCGATCAGATGAACTGCTTCAGTCCAGCGGCTTTCCATCTTGACCCATCCATCCTTGAGACGGCTGATTTCTTCCTCTCGGACCATGACCTCTTCGATTGGCACGAACGAGGGGTTCGTCAAGATGGTCCGCATGTGCTCCAGTACAGAGTCCAGCTCTGTAGCCATGTCTTGCCATCCTTGTTGTTGAGTGACAAGGGTATCCTGGTTGTCATTATTCCAACCGCTCATGTCCCGCAGTTGCTTCATTGTCTTTCGCATCACGACGAGAATGGCCTCGTTCTCTTCACTAAGATTCTGAGCCAGGTTTGCCAGGAAAGCATTCGTCTCATTGCGCAAGTTGTAATCATCTGTCGATGTGCGGGCGCCTCGCGTTGAGGAAGTCTTGTCATCGCCGATATCGCCTGTGATGGTAATCGAGGTTACGCCGGGGTTGCTTCGTGCTCCTCGTGCGCGTCCAGCTTCGTTGAGCTGCTTCTTTAGGGTATCAATTTGACGATCTCGTCTACGTACGTCTGTCGCACATGCAGCGCGTGCTTGGGCGACCAGTCCCTTTGTGCGGGCGACTTCTTCCTTCAAGCCGCGAATGGCGGCGTCGGCGGATTTCATCTGGGTTTTGAGTGCGGCTTCTGAAGCTTCTGCGATGTCGAGCTTCCTCTTGGCCTCGTTATGTTTCTCTGTAAGTCGTGCAATGTCGTTGGTATGCTTGAGGTTATCGGCGCGTAGGGTGCGCATGGTTGTCGATAGAGATTCACGATGTTCTGCATCACGCTGCGGTGTGTTAGTATGATACCAATGCCAATACTGATAGGGGAGACATACATCTCTTCGAAGTATTAAATCGTTCAGGACGCTGACAATACGTCCCATTGTAGCTGCAGCATCATGGCCATCAAACGCCGCACCGGCGAAATCAATGCTCTGGCCATCGCGAAGCAACCCTCTGGAAAGGAGCTGGTTGTTGATATACAGCGAAGCTGTACGAAGGTTGTCGGTATCGATCATTGTGTAGTGAGAAGAGGTGACTTCAGGGGAACTGAAGAATGATACACATAACCTCGTTCGATTGCCCCTTTAGAGTTGAAGTTGAGCGTTGGTTGATGACTTTTTGTCACCAATCTCTGCACATCGGTAATTAACCTGGGCTTGGTGCTGTAATGCCTGTCTAAGTAAGGTAAGGTAAAGTAGTATACAAGCTCTGCTTTAATTGTTGTGGTGGGGAGAACTGGTTGCTATGTGGGGGATAAAGTAAACAATGCCCGAACCAATTGGAAGCCCGGAAAAGTGAGGCGGGCCTGAGCGAACGCGACCAGCCAGGGTCATCCTTCTGACAAGTAGACAAGACAACGCTCGACAGGTGGCCATGCAGACAGACGCACAGGTTTTCTTCTTCTTGTAAGAGACTATTATCTTGGATTTTCAGGGTCATCGCCTGGGCCGAAAGTTCCACTCATGAGACTAGAACGCCTTCTCGAAGGGTCGTGATGGGTCAAGTCGAAACTGAACATGTTTATATTGATAATGGATGAAAGAAAACAAGGTCGTGGAAACGGTCGCAACAACGGTCGCAATGCATCGTGATCTACTCAATCAAATTCCTTGCTTATTGTTTACACATGACATGGCACCGATCAGATAAGCATACTGCAGACATCCTAAATAGTCACTCGGAACAAATCTCAAACATTGTGGACCCTGATCGAAGTTGGAAGCCTGCATCTATATTTTCATCTATCCCCTCCCTTCGTTGACAGGGTACACCCCGCATTGCCCGCCTTGATATCATCTTGGCCCGAGGGTGTTACAAAATAAAACCTTTGGGTACAAATCAAAGGCCCGAAATGCTTTGCCCAACCTGTAGGCTCGTCTCGTCTCGTGGACCCTTAGGATCTGGCACCAAGGCTAGTCTTGAGCGTGCTCATTGTTGATCCAAGCGGCGGGTAAAAACCCTGCATCGGGTCGCGAGTGTTTTGAGTAACCAGCCATGTTGACTCGTAGATATATGACTTCCATATTAACACGGAGGTGGTTTGAATCCTCCCCCTGTGGATGTGTGGACATTGAAGTCCTATATGTAACACGAATAACTAGATTTGGCGTTAGCCGTAGTTCACTAACAAAGACCAACAACGAAGGTAAAAGTTTGCGCTTCAGACAAAATTGAGAAGATTGTTACGCGGCTGTTTTCGGCACCCAGATGGGAGGCCAAAGGCCTCGCTACCCCATCATGCTTCGATGGCCCCGCGACGTCATCATGAAAGACATAGTAAAACACTTGGTTGCAACTTACATTAATAGCCTTGTATCGAAACACCTCATGTTTCTGGTCGGAATTTGCCTCTCTTCTCCCGCATTGCATCCACCTTCTTCTTGTCCTCTTGGAACCTCTTCATCAAAGCCATCTGTTCGGCCTTGCGTCGCTCTCTCATCTGGAATCTGTAAAAGTCCTTCAACTCTGACTTCTTCTTGGTATCCCTCTCGATCATTCTGCGCTTGGCTTCCTCGGCCTCGTTCTTGCTGGCGGGAGCTGCTCGTCCACCGCGAGTCACTGTAACGAAACCATCCTCATCAGGCTCGTTGCGGAGTCTCTTAGCCAGCTCAACAGCTTCCTTCTCCTTGCGGTTGAACGCGGTAAAGAAGGCGTGCACAGCCTTTTGTGTCGCTACCTTGTCAACGCGCGATAGTTGTAGATGTGATGCGATCCATTCAGAACCAAGTTCGGGAACTTCGTCGGAGAGGTCGGCACCCCACGTGGGATACTTCTTGCTCTTTTGTAGTTTTGCGATAGCCTTGAGTACTAATTGCACACTCTTTTCGTCTGCTAGGAGCACTACTGCTGTGCTGCTGCTGCGCTGCACGCGTCGCAACCAGATTTGTGGTAATTGCGCAGCTTCTTCCTCTCGTTCCTTCTCTTCGGCCTCGACATCTCCGCGCTTCCTCTTCTTTGCAAAACCTGCGACTTTTGTGGCTTGCGCAGGATCAATAGGGAGTAGTGTTCGCGATTCGTCCTCGAAAGCAATGGTCTCAAATCGGCCGGCGCCAACGAGCTGAGTGAAGATAGAGCGAAAGTGAGGTTCTGTGCTGTCTGCGGGAATGTTCTTCAGGAATAGACTTCGCGAATCGTTGGCTGTTGGGATCTTTGGCGCATTTTTTCGTATGCGGATTTCATGAACGGCTGTTTCTGGATATGATGATGTGGCCGGGATCTTAACTGGAAGTATGGAGAATTGATCTCCGTTTTCTTCCAGGGGCGCCATCTTGATTGTATTTTGGAGTATTAAGGAAAAGTGATCGCAGAATGGGAAGATTGAAGTCTTGCTTCAAACATCAAGAAAAAAGTTTGGCTCCACATGGATAAGCACCGTGCTATCGGCGATGCATTCACACTGACCACTTACACCAGGTTCCAAGCTAATGAACTCCATCGTACTCTATGGCTCTTTTTATCGTATGAGTCCAGTTTCAGACCCGGGCTTTGTAGCTAGATCTATATCAGACCTCTCCATCTTAATCTAAAAATGGCATATGTCGGGAAATGGCCCTTCGAGATATCTGCGGACCCAAAGTCAATTTTGCGCATCCAGAAGGCCCTGGAAGATGAAGACTTGCCTTGTATAGTGGCATGAATTACGGCAAGAGCAGCTGAACCTGACTCGGCGGCTGGAGACAGTAACGACGAGGAGGATCGTATCGGGAGTTGAAGGCACTAGTGCCTTTCATGATGGTCGGCATGTCGTTCTTCCTTTAGTTATGCCTTTTCTTCACGTCCATGGGCTTCAGCTTGACCATGTTTAGTTACGTGGGAACTTGCCCATTTACGGGCAACTTTCATCAGTTGAGCACCATATACTACTACCTAAGGTATATCATATCGTTCGAATTGAAATAGAATTCAATCAGTGCCTCGGCACCCAGGTAGTGCTTGCCTCATTCTGCTGGTACAATTCAGTAACCTAGCTGTTGAGCTGGTGCCTCGCTGGTGCCTGGCACGCTCTTTCCCTGTCGAGCACTCGTTTCTTCCCGAGCACTCTTTCCATCCCGATTGTTCCTTCTCTAACTGAATCCCTAGGTACCCACCCGTTTTTACAGAACCAGGTCCACGCAAGCAAGTCTCCCCTCTTCATCCCCCAAGTGCAAACTGGGGGTTCGTTGTCACCACGACATACGAAAACATTTGTCGCTCAGACATGTGAAACGCTTTTCGCTAGACATGCTCTCGATACCATTTGTCACTGACAGATGGGGAAACGTTTGTCGCCAGACATACGAATACATTTGTCATTCAGACAGATGAGGGCGTTTGCCTCCCAGGCATACGAGTACATTTGTCACTCAGACAGATGAGGCCGTTTGTCACTGGACTTACGAGACCGCTTGCTTCCCAGGCATACACAATCATTTGTTACCCAAACAGATGAGAACGATTGTCGCTCAGACCTTCGAGCACATTTGTCACTCAGGCAGATGAGAACGTTTGTCACCAGACATACGAGAACGCTTGCTTCACAAGCATACGAGTACATTTATCACTGACAGATGATAGGACGTTTGTCACTATACATACGAGAGAACGTTTGCCTCCCAGGCACACGAGTGTATTTGTCTTTCAGGCAACTGTGGACAGCGAAACATGGATGAAGGTGGAAACCCAAGGTAAGTGCCTTTGTCTTGTTGGTATTCCAATACTAACCATCATCGTTAGATGTATGTTCATACCAGCTACCATGGAAAGGGGATTGCCTGCCTTACGCATTGACGATACGATCCCTTCTATCGATTCACTGTCTATTCTTTCCCACGGCTCCCGATACAGTACCCACGCATGTCATTCGAATACTGACATGCCAACAGTATCATGATGACCCGAACCTAGCTCCAGCTTCTTCTGCGCATGACTCTGGGATACCCGACAAATCTCTGAGATGTCGATTCGATGTTGCCTTAGGGTGTTGAACGCCTCACGGCAGGAAATGGAACGCAATGTCTGTCTGGCTTGTCTAGCAGCGTCGCGGTCGGTTGATACTTCGGTGTCAGAGGAAGGAGTGGTGAACTACCTCCCAGCGGGGATCTGTCTCGGATTGTGGGATCAGTGTTGCTGAATACCCTGGGTGATGAACGAATATCTCGATGCCTTAGAGTGAATACCCAATTTGGTCCTCTCGTTCTGTCCGCAAGGGTGGCTGTAGCTGTCTGCAACTACTGTATAGAGATGGTGCTCTTGATGATCTCGGTCCCGAAAGCGGTCTTGCCTTTGGGCGCGCTTGTGGAACAGGCATTGGTGGACGTCTGACAGGGTTTTACTCTTAGGGTTTGAGCTTGTGGGCACCGAGGTTAAGGTAGGATCTTGATACAGAAAGGAAGATGAACAGGACAATTGGGGTCGGGTGCGGGCTTAGAAGCGATACAGAGCGGGGGAGTTTGACGTTTGTACTCAGTGGTCAGTGGTCAGGAAATCCGGAGTTAGATATGTGGAAGGAAAGGTCTTTGGGAACTCTTGAAACCGGCGATAAAAGGATATGGGAGCGGATAGACCATCTTTGAGGTATCAGAAAAGGTCACGTCATGTATCGAGGAGGACAAGATGGCACCTGATGGGACGGTGAAGCTCCAATAAAGAAGAAGTGTGAGAATAGGAGCATGGATTGCAAAGACACAAGAATATCCCGATTAGCAAGTGCAAATAAACGGGTTCCTGAAAACAAACGTCAACTCTCATCGATATGTTATCAAGGCCGAGAAGGGAACTGAATGGAAACCATTACCTCTCAAGAAGAGTCGAACTTAACAAGCAACTTGCACTATTTGGATCTGCACCAGATACTATTTATTAACTTACACACAACGACTCGTCGACACTAGCTTTTTTGCCATGTCGGATTCTTGTTTGTATGGCATGCTTCAGAGTCCAACTCTCTTCAAGTTACCTACACTGCAGAATTAAGGGGTATATACTTAAGCTCATTCCAAACCACGTTTATAGAGACCAACCCACTGCAGCCCAAGCCAAATATTACAGCTTTCGGTCACCAACACATTTCTTAACTGTAGCTTAGCTGTAGACCAGGTCCCCCTCTTCTGGCCCTCCATCAAGAGCATAAGAGACGAAACAATCCGCTTACTTTAGGCAAATTTAGATGAGCACTTAGGCAGAAACTTAGGCTATTTTATTTTGATGCCTTAAGCCTTATGGGATAATTTCTCTACACCCAATAGTGAACCCCATTCACTGCCTTCCACTGGTGACTGGGCTTCCTCCTTATGATCCCCTACCAGGCCTAGCCGACTCTTCTACACACAGCCTGCTTTCCATTTATCTTTCTTCCTATAGCCTCTCTTATCCGTAAAGCGTCCTGAACAAAATGTCTCTTCCTAGCCTCAATTCCTCATACTGTCAGCATAATAATGCCCTTCGAGCATTTTTTGCATCAACGCAGACCCCACAAGAAGAACGAAATATTACTGAGGCCCTTAAGTCCTATATGCTGTCCCTATAGACTTCATCTCTTTCGACCAAGACACCGTCGCGCACCGGTCTATCTCCATTCTGGCTGAGAACGACACAGCAATGGGAAACAACTCCAAATTGATAATGCTGTCAAGGCATTCCTTGCTTCCAAGAAGCAGCCTCAGGAAGAGCGGCCAGCCCCTGCCACAACTCAGAATAATGAGCCACCAAAGAAAAAGGGCACTAAATGGTGCAGTGCCTATTAAAAAGATGAATACATCAAATCCAACTATCCGACACAAAGCTGAGCAGCAAGTAACTCGGGCCTGCCGTCATCTACGGCTATCATGAGAGCTTGACTGGTATGATGTTAACAGCGATTGTCCACCATGATTTCGAAGATCACTGGCGTTACGGCCAATACCGACACAAAACTCGAATTCTCTTGTGGCAGTTGTAAGTCTAACCTACCCGCATATTGTTATTCCTTCCCTTTGATAATAATACTTTCTTAGCCTCTTAATAGTCCAAAGGCTGAAGTTGCAGAGATCAAGGGAGCTCAGGTTGTTTCCGGGGCGGCTGCTTGCGGTGCCAAGAAGTCAGCGCTTACCGCAGATAACAAGGAGAACTTGAGAAGAAGCTCAAGGAAGCGAACGAACAATCAGTCTCCGATTCTTCTCCGTGCAGGCTATCAAATACCTGCAATTATGACAGACCGAGATATACCCATGGGCAACAATGCCCCTATTGATCATGTTTTCGCTGCATTTGTTGCATCCAAGGAGGTTACGTTACAGGAGGTATCAGAATCATCGGCCAAGCGAAGCACCTCTGACACGGCGCCGATTCATGAGACTCCGGTAACAAAAAAGGCCATACAGGATGCTATGGGTGTGGCCAATCTGGCCATATCAAGTCCAACTGCCCAAAAATCAAGGCCGAACAACAGGCAACACGGGCCGAGGGTGCCCAAGAATGTTGAGATACCGAAGAAGGGCCCACGGCGTTCACAAGAATCATCACAATTATACCGACAATGTTTTGATTCTCTCAGCTTGTATTAGCTATAATGAATCTGTCAAGTGATCACGGTAGATAAGCTACAGTTGCTCCCTCTGAAAGCTGGTAGTACTATACACCCACTTCTAGTCTTCTCGTTCATGCGCCCCAGCTGAAGATCGATAGTAATATACACCCATGTAACTCCATTGTTTATTTGTCTTCTTCTCTCTTTTCACAAGATTACTCTCCATACTCGAGGTCACTGCGAAAATGTCCGCCAAAAGAACTCCCATTTTGATGTCAAGCTCCCTTGTAAGCTCCTCTAATCAGCGCTCTCTGCCCATTGTTTAGCCCCTTCGTGTAGCAAACGCGACATCTGGTATTCTCTCCATCCGTAAAACGAAGTTGGCACACGAGGTTTTCCGCATTCACCACATTCATCTCTGTTACCCAGAGACAACCACTCTCCACGAAGAGATTTGTTGCCATATGCAACCTCCTCCGGCGTTTTGTCTGCTTTGAATTTTTGGCGGTGCTGAAAGCATGATCGGCATCTTCGATTATGGGCCCGTCCGATTATATCTTTTGCGAAAGCCCTACCAAGATAACACCAGGCACATCTGTCACCATGCTCTTCTACCCAGTCGTCGTCTTCCTCTTCTATAGGCAAAAGTTTCTCGGTGCATGGAGCACATCTGGACTCGTGCCGCCATCCAGTCCATCCTAGCAGATAGCTTTGTTCGGGTCGAGGGGTTTGACAATTCACGTAGATGCCATCATTCCCTTCGTCCAACCATTGCCGATGCTTTGCAAAAGGCTTGCCGTGGTGAGGGCTCGGGTCTCCTGTGCCATGGTTGTGACGGTATTTGTAGCATGCGCTACAGCGAGAGTCAGGGCCAAAATCTGATCCTGCCTATTGCCCTGAACTCGGATTTTTCGTGACCAAGGTTAGGAGGACTGGGTTACAAACAGCCTGGGCTTTGACAAACATCGTCATTACCCTCAGCGACCCAAAAACAGGTGATCCTTATAGCTGACTACTGCCCCGGCTGCTTTTCGACACCATGGGCATTTCGATAGCCGTTACATGCTCGACACCGACGGTTTGTAAAGGATACCACCCAGTTTTCATCACCGTCAGAGGCTGGCCTTTGACAATTCATGCAGGCGTCTTCAAGGTCGTTTTCCTTCAGTCGAATTTTGTGCAATGCCAATGGCCGGGGCATGCCTTGGTATCCTTGGGCCAACGGTACGGAGCGATTTCGACCAATGTCGGAAAAGTCTGGAAGCCCGGGAATATCTGCTCGCATTGTAGTGACCAAATTGGCCTGCTCTAGGAATGCCCAACTGAGAGTGTCATGATAACACATGAGGAAGGTATCCGCAATGATGGTCGCGGCGGTGTTGCAGGGCTCGACTTTGTACAAAGCCAGAAAGCGGAAGTTGGACGTTATACCAGGTTGGCTGATCGTTGAATGTTCACCTTGATGACAGGCAGCGAGATGCCAGGCCGGAGAAATGGTGTAATATCTTTTGGAGCTTCTTGGACTATTGCTAAAGGCCGGCAGGTGGGTGACAGAAGAATTGTCTAAGGCTTAGGCTACAATAATAAAGTGGCCTAAACACTGGTCTAAGCCGGCATAAAGTGACCAAATAATTTCGTCTCTTATGCCTCCAGGGGCCAATTCTCCTGATACACTGAGGGCCGGTTACCCAGAATTTGGTCGCACCCTGTGAGATTTCTGGCTCTTCTGGATCGTCTTCGATATCCACACAGCCGCTGTCTTTGATATCCTCCGATAAAGCGATGAGTTTGTATATAGTCATGCCATCATCTGCTTGATCAACAGCTTGCTGGGGAACAAGGGGAGCGTCATCATCAATATCTGTATGAATGTGCTGTGGGGGATCGGGCAGATGATTTCCAGGACAGCTCTCGAGGTCAGAATCATCTAAAACGACATTTCGCAACTTGCGTTTGCGCTTAGATCCGATTCGAGAAGAGGTTGGATGTTGGGATCTACATCCGAGAGGGGTGCCCGCTGTCCTGTGTCAGGGGGCGGCATCTTGAAGTACCTAGGTAGACAAACATGAGTGCAGCTGATGATGGACAAGAGTTTTCTGGAGATGGGAAATTGGAGATTCTTACTTTTAGGCTGGTGTTTTTGAAAATGTGCGCTGGGTGCCTGCCGCTCCTTCCCGCAAGCCCCCCTCACTGCCTTCCACTGACAACTGGGCTTCCTCCTTCTTATGATCCCCTGCCAGGCCTAGCCGGCTCTTCTACACCTAACACACAACCTAACTGTCGTGTCTGTACAGACTGCGTACTACCAAGACAATACAGCAATGCGTAACAGCTCCCAAATTGACGATGCATTTGATGTATTCCTTGCGTCTAAGACGCAGCCTTAGAAAAAGCGGCCAGCTCCTGCCACAACCGAGGAACCAAGACTAGCAAGCTGCTAAAGAAGAAAAGCACCGAATGGTACAGTGTATGCCATAAAGATGGCCACATTAAATCAAACTATCCCAAACACAAAGCCGAGCAGCAAGCCACTCGGGCTGAGGAGCCCATGATTGAGTCTCTTATGATAGTTGTAGGTTTAACTTATCTGCAATTTATTCCTTCTTCTCTCTAACAACAAGCTTTCTTAGCTACTCAACCAACTCAAGGCCGAAGTAGCGGATGTCAAAGGAGCCCTACATATAACTGAAGCGGCTGTTCTTGGAGCGAAGAAATCTGCCCTGCTGCAAACAATAAGGTTAGAGATCTTAAAAAGAAACTCCAGAACGCAAACGAACAAGTCAAGAAACTGTCCCTTGCTGTTGAATTTATATTCGAACGAGTCAAACAACTTGAAGGACAAGCGATCCCTGCTAAATGTCACTAATAACAAGGACAAGACGGACTAGAACCGGAGCAGACTAAGCTTTAGAGAATCGACTACGATTTTCCCCTACTCTAGCCTCGTGTTTATATCACCTTCTTTCTCTCCTGATTTACCTCAGCTCAGCGCCTTACTCGAACCGTCTCTGAACATTCTGCACACTCTAGTTCTATACCCGCTCTACATTACCTCCGTACCTCTTTCTGCCATGGCACCAGAAGACACTACCATGGGCAATACCAACTCCGCCGATGACGCTCTTGCTACATTCCTTGCTTCAGAGCAAGACACATCCAACAAAAGAAGCGCATCCGAGACAGGACCGACAAATGGGCCCCCGACCAAGAAGAGAAGCACCAAATGGTGCAATGTCTGCCAGAAAGAGGACCATGCCAAATCAAACTGTTTCTAAGTACAAGGCCGATCAATAGGCCAACCAGGCCGGAGGGGCCCAACATATTGCTGATTCTCTGATAACTGTTCAGGTGAGTTACATAAAATCCAACACTGATTAAGTGGTTGATAGAAAGGATAGACTAACTTCTTAGAAAACCTAGTCCAGAATGTGCTAATTCTTTCGTCTGGCCTCCTCTTAGTGTCTATTCTTCTGCGATCCGCCTGATGTTGTAAGTCGACTTATTCACTATTCATTATACCTTACTTCTAACAATCAAGTTTCTCAGCCTCTTAACAACCTAAAAGCCGATGTCGCTGAGCTCAAGGGAGCACAGGTTGTCGCTGACTCAGTCGCTGAAGGTGCCCAGAAGTCTGCGATTACAGCAAACAATAAAATCAAGGAGTTGGAAAAGTTGCAAAAGCCTAACAAACGGGTTGACAATCTCTCTCATATCATCGAATTCGTTTGTAAACGAGTTAAGCAACTCTGAGAGGCCTGGCTCCCACTACTAATGAGAATATCATCGATGACAAGGACAAGGACAAGGCGGACTAGGAACGGAGTAGAATAAGCCTCAGAGTGGAATTCGTATATGAAAGAGTCAAGCAGATCGAGGCAGGCGAGGTTCCCAATGGTGGCGAAAGCACCTAGGAAGCAAAGCGCAGTCAACAGGAGTCAAAGGCGCCAATAAAATAGCCTAAATTTCTGCCTAATCTCTTGTCTAAACCTATGTAGAGTAGCCAAATTATTTCATCTCTTATGCTCTTGTTAGTACTCTGTCATTAAATACAAGGGCTTGATATTGCTTGGGATAAAAGGGATACTAGTTGGTTGATAGTATGAAATCATCATCTAGATATACAATAAAGGAGGTATATCTAAAGGGTTATTTTGAACATACACCTATAATTGCTAGTGCATACTCAGTATATGTATAGTTACGGAAACATAATTACCTTCTGCTTCTTCACAGAGGGGCCATCTTTACCTGCAATAGGCCGTTCCCTCTTACCTGGACCGTAAGTTCTTGCCAGCATGGAGCTTTCGCGTCAACCCGACACCCCCAGCCCTCCTCGCTACTCTCATTGTTAAATGCCATGTTGGCGCTGGTATGGTAGTTGAAAGAGTTTGTTGAAAAAGAGTTGTCGCTTTGCGTGTTGCGATGTTTGGTAGAGGAGGAAAGATTAAAAATCCCTTGGTGTTGTAGACTTTACTCCAGTGTAACTGAACGTCTAGCTCTTCTTGGGAAAGTAGTATCATAACGGAAATAACACTCATAGGAAAGAAGCATATCTGCACATATAATAAGGTTATACCTACCTATACGAGAAAGCTAAGCCTAGTTACCTATATAAGAAGATAACGCGTACATAAGGAAGTGATGCGTGCGTAGTGGAAGAATTTTCACATATATGGACTTCCTCCCCTCCGACTTGGAATCTTCTCTTTTTCTTCACCTCTCACACATTAACATTCCCAATACGCACCCGACTTGTTTTCATCTTCCACTACTACGAAGCTATCATATACCCAGCTCGTTTTTATCCTTTACCACTACAAATCTATCACGTACCCATTAAGACTTCGTTATACGCTCGTTTAAGGCTCTATTGTTTATCTGTCCTCTCTGGTTCAACATGGACAAGTCTTACGACTCAGCAAAGAAAAAGTAGAACGTTCAATGTCTTTCCTCGTCCTTGTTGTCAGTACTTCCTTCCTAAAGTTTAGGGGGCAGGACGGATAGTGGGTCGCACGCTGCGGCTCTCGCGTGGCATAATAACCTTAAAATTTCCGACCCGATTTGCGGGGTAGGCGATTGACTTTTTTTGTCAAGAGGCAGGTATGGCACGCTTGATTTGACGACATGCCATCACTTCTTGATGAGACAACGGTTTTTGTAGGACGTTTCTCCCCATGTTTCTAGTCAAGCAAGATGAAGTGATAGATAGGTTGAAACAGGTCCCTGCGAATACAGGATGCAGAAGCGAGATGTCAATCATAGTCACTGGAGATATTTCCTGAGGAACACTTGGAAGTCATGAATTATTTTACTGATTCTTGTCATTACTGGTTCCCTTCAGGATCCATTGTCATGCTATCTATGTAATCAAATAGTTTCCCATACCGTCACGCCGTAAACCATGAGACGAAGTCGTCTAGATCAAAAAACTTCTAAAGCACGCTCTAAGCCATAGAAAACTGGAGGAGAACCTTGGTGACCCGGTAAGGGTCAGCGTTGGAAGCAGGACGACGGTCCTCGAAGTAACCATAGCCCTTGGCAGCAGTCTCGCGAGGAACGCGAATACTTGTGCCACGGTTGGCAACGCCCCAAGAAAATGAGTCGATGGAACCGGTCTCGTGACGTCCAGTAAGACGGAGGTCGTTGTCCTCACCGTACTCGGCGATACACTCAACGTGATGAGGCTCGAGCTTCTTAAGAGCCTCCTCGATGACCTTCATACCACCCTCCTCACGCATAGCCTTGGTGGAGAAGTTCTGAGACAAAAGTTAGCAAAACTCGTTCAATTCTTGGCCAAATCGACTGGTTTTTGGCTCAAAATGATCAGAAAGACTTACGCTGTGTAGTCCTGCACCATTCCAATCACCCGCAATAGGCTTGGGGTGCAGAGAAACCTTTGCGCCGAATTCCTCAGCGACGCGGTGGAGGAAGAATCGAGAGACCCAAAGCTGGTCACCCACTGCGAGTTTTGGTGGTTAGCGGCTGAATTGTGGGGCGCGGAGAATATCATGCGGGGCATGATATGGAAATATGTGACTTACTCTCAATGCCAGTGCAAGGACCGACCTGGTACTCCCACTGAGCGGGCATGACCTCTGCGTTGGTTCCGGAGATCTTGATTCCAGCGTCTATCATCATGTTAGTCCAATACTCGGAGAGCAGGAGAAAGGCGTGTAGAACTTTGGGGGGAAGCCAATCGTTGGGGCGTTGAGGCGAGGCATAACCTTGCAAAACAACCCATAGCGAGATCCCAAGCTTCCTTAGCCGGAGTTTTACTTACACAAGCAGGCCTTGTAGTGAGCCTCAACGATATCACGCTGGACAACCTTGCCAGTACCGACACCACAGTAGTACTCGCCCTGACTGTGAGGTTGTTAGTGACACTGTTATATATCGACTGATACTGAATAAGACTTACGGAGCAGGGAAACCACCGGCGGGCCAGCCATAGGGTCTGTCGTCGGAGCCGAGGAGAGTGTACTCCTGCTCGAGACCGAACCAAGGCTCCTCGTCGGCGTATGTGTCCATGACCTTCACACAGTCGTGACGGAAGTTGTACTTGTTGGGAGTTCCGTCTGACATGATGCACTCTGCTAGCACAATGATGTTGGGTGAGCCACGGAAAGGGTCGGGGTAGACGGCGCAAGGTCGAAGGTAGACATCGGAGTTCTCGCCGGGGGCCTGGTTGGTTGATGAACCGTCGAAGTTCCAGACGGGAAGGTCTGCGGGCTGGTATTCCTTCTCAGGAAGAGTCTATGAGCCAGTTAGTAAACTGATCTAAAGCTTCATCTTGTTGCATTGCGATGCGACATATCGTTGGTGTTTTGATATATCATGGGGCGCATCTCCCATCGCTCCTTCCTTTCCAGCGTAAACAAGAACGGCCCCAGCCGGCCCGTCGGGTCGGAGCGCCATGCATTACCCCACGTGGAGGGAATGCGATCTTGACTGGAAGGGAAGGTGCGATGGTTCCCATCGCCAACGTTGTGAAATCGCATAGTGAAGAGTTGGCACTTACTCGAGACTTGGATCGGGTGCCACCGTCAGCGTCAACCCAGACGTACTCGGCCATGATCATGCCCTTCTGATCAAGTGCGAGGTACTTCTGGAGAGTCTCCGTCCTTGAGGTAATAGGAGCGGCCTACAAATTGTGTTAGTGAATATGACGCCATGGCAGCGGCGTGTGAGAGAACGAACCATTATGAATGTGGTTTTTTGGTGATTAGAGGGGAAAGGAATCAAGAGAGATAGTACTGAGATACAATTGTATCAAGAGATGAAACGGAAATGTGAAGGATGACCGAAAATGAATTTGTTGGAAGCCGGGGCGAGGCGGGTTTTATGTTTACGGATTCGAGCCGTCAAAGAAGGTTGACTCTCTCTCATCCGCCTAAAGATAAGGATTCCCTGCGGCCGGATGCAGGGGCGTGGCTGTTACCGGCTTCCAGAGGTGTGGGGTTGCGTCTTCCGTCACAAATACAATTGGCGCTCGGCAGGGCCTGAGGGGGGTGGCGTTCGTTCTCTACAGTATTAGATGCACGCACAGGGGGATGGATACTTGATTTCTACCACAGATCGTCTTTTCTTCAGCACGTATTCGTCACAAAACAACTGCAGGTAACTCGAAGTGAATTCTGGCTACAATGTATCAATTCTAGATCGCTCAAAGCAACACGGTCCATCAACATAGAGCCAGCTCGTAGATCGGTTTCTCACCGCGTGTAGCCCGGCATAATGTATTCAGCAGACAATCAATGCCTTCATTGAGCGGTATCGACGATAGTCTCGGGGCACCGCCGTCTTGTGCTGGGTATAGCAGGTGCACTGTACAACAATATGACATAACGGGGGGCGGCTTCGGCGGAGCTGCTCACCAGAGGAAGGGGGGTGTGCGTAGGGTATGCCATACGTCCCTCCGTTCGATTTAACACAGCCGCTCGGCGGGGATCACCAGCGGTATATAGCGGTGCTTTTTTTATCGACGTCCTATCTAACCATCACCGGCCCGGCGAGGTTGGCTCGGTGAATCTTACGGCCTGGTTTGACGACGATTCGGCTCAGTGCCGGCTCAAGGCAGTTTAACAATCAGTTATCTGACAATAGTAGGCGGATATCAAGTGCTTCTACTCCGCTTACGGAGCCCCGTCTCCGATCAGGGGAGAGATGACCCAGAGTGAGCCGCAACTAATTGACCCAACGTCTTATCGCCGCGACTGTGGTCCATCAACGCGTTAAAAAGTTGAGTTAATTGCGTGTGTGCTTGTGCGTCTAGGAACCGCAAAAGGGTTAGCTAAAGCTGTGTGGGTGTAAATTGAGTTTCCGACACGTGCGAGGGTAGTTTGTTGTTCAGCCAGAATTCAAAATGCTTCTCTCTGTTGTGATAGTTGATATCGCTTTTCAGTAAGTTATCTTGTTGTAAACCATAGATAAGGTGAACTTGCCGACGAACCTCCGTCCCTGACATCCCCCGGAAATTGAACCCCCAAACTTCTCCCACTCTCAACCGTCGAGGCTATCTAATGGTGCCCGCGCCTTCGTGGGCAAAGATCCTGGGGTTGGGTGGGACATGTGTATCTCAGTGGGTGACAGAAGGTTAAAAAAAAACCTACCATGCAGGACTCCTGGACGATAAAGCATATCCTTTAGTGCTTATTATGAATAAGGATTTCTGATTAGAACATGACTTTCCAATATCACCAATGCCAATTTTAGCAGAAATCAATGACTTTGTTTACATACCTTCTTCGTTGTTCATACAGTACCATCTGCATCAAGTTCAGCAACAGAAAGGGAATATGCGGTGGATATCGAGAAGCCTAAATCCTTGTATTCCCCAGGAACCAGTGACAACGTCCGGCTCTGGTCCCTGTCATTAATCCCTGGTACAAATTCGTACGTGCTTGACAAGACAAGAAGCGAAAGGCGCACACAGGGCATGTCAGATACAGCTACCAACATGCGCCCTGAGCCTCTCTGAGATGCGAGCCATGGATGCCGCAGCAATATGCCCCAGTGACTCCAGCAGGCCCAGCTATTTCGAGAGCCGCTTGAAACCTGGTGCTTGTGACTCTCCAGGAAGCCCAACAGCCTCGGTGGTTCCGGTTTGTCCCTGATCTGTTACCAAATCGTTTCCTCGAGCCCCAGTCCAACCATGCCGGTTTGGGTAAGAAGGCCCTGTTTCTTTATTCGACCTACCCAACCATGCGCCGCGACGCCATAGGCGGAAGTCCTGTTCCTTCTACCGCCGCTTCTTTTTTGGTACCAGCGCTGCCCCGGGTGTGTGTGGCTTTGGCTTTTTTGGGTACGGTATTCTTTTTTTGGGGTGGCGTTGGCGATGAGCTCGGCTAGGCGTGCTTGGAGAGAGACACCGAGTCGAAATTGGATGCAGACTCTTATCATTGAGCATTGATTGGTTCCAAGCATGTTCTGCATAATGCCTGTTATCTCACGTTGGGCTTTCAGTAGGACGGCTTCAAAGCCGTTTCAGACGTCCAAGTCCCTGGTTGGCTACCTTTTCAATGCCGACGAACTGTAAATCGCTCAGCAATTTGACTTTCTTTCCATTTCCCCAGACCGCAGATTGCAGTGTAGTTTTCGGGACACTCCAGATTTTCAGGCACTTCTTTCTCCAGACTGCTCAGCCCTGACATGACTGTGTGCGGCTGTGGACTCCGGCTTCGGGGATATGCGAAGAGTTGAACGGTTGAATTGGAACTATTGAGCCTTGAATTAGTGTCGGACCGGCCATGTCACTCGATTTCTACACCTCTTCTCCCGTTTCCCCTTGAAAAAGCGATCTAGAATTAGAAGAACCACTCCATTCTGCCGGATGCCCAGTCCAGGGTTCAATTATTCCCGAGCTGAATCCGAGTGGTTGCAATAATCGGTTCCTGAGAATAGGCTGTGTGCAAAGGGATAACCTAGGACATAGGCGTCAGAATAAACAGATTCAAATTTGTATCATCGAGTTTTTTCCGGCTCGAAATGAGCAGCTATAGTCAATAATTCCTTTGCATGTACTCTTTTTCACGAACTTTGACTATCATTGCGATGTTCTTTTCGAGACTTTTCTTGCGGGGCAGAATCGCACGAGACCAGAAAAGAAGATAGAACCCCTGGCATGCAGGGGGGCTACTGTACATATCCGACAGCTTAATTGACAAGCTCTCAAGTAAATGTATGGTAATGATAAGGCAAGCCAAGACATTGAATAATACCCAAACGGGGCGCTTTCGTATGAGTGTGAAAGAGACGGAAATGCTAGAATTTACTTTTGCTTGTCGAGATGGGCTGATGAGTTTCCCCGGTGAGGAAACTGCTTTGCGCAGATCGTTCCTCCTTCCCAAAGTTGTATTTTCGTCTGTCAGGCAAGAGCGACGAATAGGATCACGATACTGGTTTTGGCAACTGCGCCACAGATGCGCTTGCCGTTCTCTGTCATTACGATATCTTCAACTCAAGAAGGACCTTTGACCTATAGTTTGAGCGAACTTGATCAGAATTTTACGACAGTTACATTTGAGATTTTGACTTGAATTACTACTCAAATGGGTAATTCTCCTGCTTCAATGTCCCACCCAACTTGAGATGGAGATCTGCCGCCCCCGCAATCCGCATTTGACTCGTTGTAAATCAACGAACCAATCAGACTCAGGGTTGAAGCTATTACACATTTAAATGAGCAACATCAACTCGTCCGATTCTGGGTTTACCCCAGGTTTCCGTCGATATCTTCCTATCTCTGGATAGCAAAGAGCAATTAATCTCGATCACTAAAGGCCTCAAGGTTATTGGATCGCCAGAAAAAGGAAGCAAATCGCTGGGCTTTTTTCGCTCCCACCCTCCCATTTTCCCGGCCATCATTCTGGGGAATTGGGTGATGGAATCACGTCTAGATAATTCCACGCACGAATGGGGTTGGTCCTATCCATAGTTGTTGAGATATCGTCCCGGGTTTTGAAATCAAAATCTGCCGGTTCCGCATTGGACTGTCACATCCATGAAGAATTCATTTCAGGCACCTGGGACCTCGGGATCAGACTCCGTATCTAACATGCCGATATGTTGCGATTCACGCCGAGACCCGGCGGGGTGATGGACGGGGTGTGACGGACCTCCACCGGGGGTTGACCGTGCCAAGCTGATGTTGTTCAGAATGGGTGCGTCTTGACGCAGTTCAACACCATTCAGTGGCAACGGGTAACGGTGGTTTAAATCTCGTGATGATTTCAAGACCTACCAGATTGGGCGGCGACTTGCATTTTACATCACTTTTTCTCATTGGTCTTGGCGAAAAAAGGGCCAAGTTCAAATTTTTGTTCCTGACCCTCAAAATGACGTCGCTATCTTGTGTCGCTACACACCCATGACGCTCTGAATGGGGACGTCCCAATACCAGCTTGCTACTGCCATGCCGCCAACGCTCATCATAGCCGCCATGAGGAAATTGACATCATTGTTGTCCAGAAGATCCCACCCGTTTTCAATGGTTCTAGAAGGTTGCTGATCACCGAAACTTGACTTGCGGTGCTTGTCCTTAGCATCGTAAACGCCAACGTGAGCATCGTCATCGTCTGCAATAGCGGAGCCGCCTGACTTCTCTTTGACGTCTGCCTTTTTCAGATGCGCCGCAGCATCCTGAGCAGACTCGGCTACCAGCACTCGGTTGCCGCCTTCTCCTTCAACGATCTTACCAGAACGTACGTCCCGAACTGAGCGTTGAAACAGGCCACCCAAGAAACTGTCCAAGACACTGCCAAGAGCACCCCAGAGCACCATGAAACCCATGAATTTGCGGCGCTCTAGAGTTGTCCAGGGTGCACCACCTGCGGGCGACTGAGCAGATTCCTCATTACAGGAGGGCAAGAACATGATGGATGCAGTGACGATGATCATGGACCCAAGCAAGCCTGCACCCAAGCCCAGTAGAGTAACACCACCGTTTGTTCCGCGGGGCACTTTTCGTAGTGTTGGCGATGTAATCAAGCGAGGTTGGCCTGAAGAGAGAATGCCGAGCTCGGAGCTGAAGGTATCGGCCGCAACGGCCGCATAGTTGGCGATAATTCCAACGACCAAGAGGTCACCGCCCCATGAGAAGCATAGTGATCCCGTAGGATCCGGGGTATTGGGATCGGCGAATGCGGCTTCTCGTTTGCGTAGCTGGTTTGCGTGAAGGAGGGAGAGAACAGAGGCCATCAAACTGTTGGCGAGGACTGCAAAGAGTGTCAGTTATTTGCGAAGCAGTTAAACAGGTCCAAGTGCTTACCTTGAACATGCGTTCTAGGCCCTTCTCCTCCGGATGTGCCCTTTGAACGGAGTGTATAATTGGATTTGATGTTTTCTTTGATCTGGTGTTTTTGTCAGAATAGCAGCTTGGTACAGTGTAGCGGGCGCAACTTACATGTGTCACACGCGTCCCGGCGAGGAAGAAGACGCAGAGGAGTGCAAATGGTAGATTCCATGGGTGATAGGCGTGGGCGATTGCTGTCAGAGTCGCAGCGAAGATGCCAGCGGGCGTTAAAGAGTTTCTGCTCTTGGCGCGGTAAATGAGCGCGCAAGTCGCGGGGAGGGCGTATAGCAATCTCATGACGGATTCCTCAAGCGCTTATAGTTTTGAGAGGTTCAGGGCGCAAAGCAAGCTGGGGTAGTCGTGCTCCCTTGTAGTTAAATCAATTTGCTCCTGCTACTTTCACAAGCTCACGTTAGCGGTTGCGGTTAGTAGCCGATGAGGTAGGAGCTTCCCTTGTCAGCTGACGTCAGCGACATAGACAGCCACACAGCCACGTGGGCATGAGAGACTTGAAGGAGCCAGCGAGCACGAAATATGGAAGAAGTAGTGAGACAAGACGATCAATTAGCATCGTCAAGTGGTTTGGAAATAAGTCCGTGAATAGCGCTGTGGTGGAGTGGAATCTAAAGTGTCGCGAATCATTAGTGCTCTGTGTATTTCGTCCTTCATAAAGCACACCCCAGATCTTCTCACACCTCGAATAAGCTATATGATATAGTGACAGGGGACCAGCAGATTTCCTGATTGAAGACTTATCAGTAAGCTCTTGTTGAGAAGCTCAATTGAACAATAGGAGGTCGTAATATGATTAAGGTGTCTTCTAGTCCCACATGATATAGCTACCCTATACCAAGAGCTCGAGAAGACCTGACAGCGACGTTACCATCTTGGAGTGGCCTTGATATAGTTTATGTGTATTTTGGTGAGAACCTCTTATCTCGAGTTGTTACTTCTCCAATGTCTATTCTTTCTTTATCTGACTCTGCAGTTACTCCAAATTCCATTGTATTCTGGTTTCCAGTTACATTCACTCTTTGACTTATCAGACTTTCATTTGTGTATCAACAATCAAGAGAGAAGATTCGATTGTGGTGGCCCTATAGAGATACCAATGAAAAGACAGAAGGTTGGTAGTCACTCGATGTGTAAGTTCGTGAATGCTGGCGGAAGTGGTAAATAACTACTGGGTGCCGATATAAGAGACTATTGAGTTTATGAACTTCAACTTATGGCTGGCTGTTATCTACCCGTGAAGTCTAACGAAGCAAGGTACCCTATGGATATGATCGCTGCTGTGGCTTCCACACAGGTAAGTTCGATATGTAAACTGTAGATAGCGTTGAACACAAGCATTGGGGTAAAGGCTGGTTTACTCATAACAACCTGATACGAAAGGTTCATTAGGTGACAGCAGTTCAAGTCAGATATCTTGACATTTCATATAGTGTATCTAAGATTCAGGAAGCAAACTTCCCTCCTAGATATGCTATCATATTGCCCCTATCTCGAGAAAAGATTTCCCCTTAAACATTGATAAGGTACACAGATGCAAGATGCCAAATCATCACGGACAATCAAAACATTGATGCCGCCAGCGGCTAGTATCGGATTCGCAAATCTCGACCAAACCTTGATGTTCAAATGCTTCATTCTGGTTCTTCTCACCAAAATGTCATAACTCCAGACCCTATTTTACAAATCATCGAACTAACATAAAGCTCATGTCTCTTCCATGTCCAGAGCTTGAAAAGGTATATAAGTAGTGTCCTCGGTGCTACCGTTCGGCCAGACCCATTGGTTATTCTGAATAGAGGCCGGGCCGGCAGCTTGGAAGTTCAACATCGGGGGTGTCTGTGAGTACCATACAGCCTGCATGGGAGTTCCATTCTGCAAGGGTTGCTGAATTACTGTAGAAGGACTCAGATTGTTGGTTTCCATCGTGCCTTGGGAGTAGTTTTCGTTGATATGCCATTTATTCGGTTCCCCAAAGGGAGTGAATGAGTTGGTTGAAACACTGGTCGATGATCCCGACGAGGATGGCATAGATGAAGATATTCTGGAACCGTTTGCATAAAAATGGAAAGTCATATCGTTTGATGGCTCCCCTGTCACAAGGAAGTTATTTGAAACCTTGACATTGCCTTGAGGGGAATGGGACATGGATCGCATATTGTTCAGTCCCAAACCCAGCAATCCCAATGTATTTGAGGAGTCATGGTCACCAAAAGCTCGAACAGAAGCCTTTAGTTGTTTTTTGACCTTCCGTAGTGTCGCACTCTGGCAGAAATGTCGGGTTTTGCTGATCGTATAGAGTGAGCCTGCTAAAGAACACAGCTGATTGCCCCATTCCTGACGGAAGTAACCATGGTTGAGGTCGAGTCCTAAGTTGCCACGAATGAGACTGAAAGCCCGGGAACAAGTGTCTAAGAGGTTGCAGAAAGCGCTGGATAGAGGTTGTTGGATTGGAGAAGCTGAGGCCGTGTAATGACTGAGCTGCCCGGTAGGGGTGGATAGACACTGAACAATTTGTTCCAATAACGAGCAATACTTGTGCAAGGTCTCTGTTGGAACGACAACTTGGTCGTATAATGGCTGGTGCTTGGGAAAGAGGAGTTGGACTATAATTGTCTGGTGGAACGCAATGATTAGGCGGTGCGTTTCATTATCTGGTTGACTACGCATATTTGTATCTTGTGCATTTGAGCTCTCAACTGCATGTATAGCTTCTCTGCAAATGCGGACACCATGCTTCGGCGCAGCTTGGTCTGGCTGGGACAAGATATATGCCACCGTGTTGACGATGTAGGCGAGAGGTCGTATTTCTCGGATGTTGCTTTTCTGCTTCTGTAGCGTATTGAAGTTTTCGGAAACAAGATCAAGTTGGATAGAGACCGATGAGGTGTCTGTCACTGGGAGGCAATCGAGGTTAAAGGTCGATGGAGCCATGTCAGGCGAGACTCCAGCTTGGACAGACATCCAGATGTTGAGTGAAAAGGTTGTCCACCATAGATTGGTTACAACCTCTATCTCAATATCTAGCACATCGACTCCATTAATGCGACTCGAGCTGGGTGGAGAAACATCGCTTGACATGCTGTCCTTGATATGAGTTACCAACTTGCTAGCAACTTCGATATAACAGATGGCTCGGCGGAATTCATTTGAAGACAGGGCGTTCCATGCCAACAACACGAGGGTCTGTGCAGTTGTTACACCTTTGTATACCCTTGTCGGCACCCCGGAGTGTACAGCATCCTTATCATCGGAAAGGTGATATGACGGACGCATCTGTAGTTGGGCCTGTGCCCATTGCAATAGTTCATGCCCTCGAGTTACCATAGACCCATCGCCAACGACAAAGCTGGCATCGGCGAGCATGACAGCTATGAGGATCTCGTCGCAGGTATCTTCGCGTAATTCTCGGAGTAGTAGCGTCTTCGAGATAAGGAAGGTCAGAGGGTGTGCCGAGAACCAGACATCGATCAGTTGGTTCCTCTGTCGATGGCTGAAGGAGGAAATAGGACTGGTGCAATATGATGCGGTATTGTCGAACATGGTGAACGCCGGATCATGGGATAGTACAGAACGGATTGAGTGGTTATTCAAATCATCGGATTGGCATGCTCCCAAGGCGCTATGTCTTTGGCCAACGGAGCCGACCAGATCGTAAGCTATCAGGGGAAGAAGTCCAGTACATCGAATGTAATTAGTGCTTGATTGCGTCTGAATGTGGTTTGGCTCCTCGAAAACCAAATGCGAGAACTTGTCCTGAAACACCTGCTCAAGGGAGGCAGCGAGATTCTCGACACCATCTCCCAATGGCACAAGATCTTCGTGGGCTCTTCGAGGAGACATGGAAGAGGAAGAATTGGCCGAGCATGATCTCCTCCTCTTGCTATCAGGTAGATCATGATCACTCCTCACCTGCAATAGACTGCTGGCCTTGGTACCATCGAAGCTGTGGTTGCGTCCTTTACCTCTTGGAGATTCAAAGTCGTAGATACAATCGACACCTTGCTTACGACAAGCCTCGCAGATGGTATCGTTAGAGCACTTGATCTTTCTCGCTCGACAAAACGCACAAGACCGTCTCAAGGGGTGTTTTGAAGTCATGCTGTTGCTGAAGTGGTATTTGTTCAGGGATTGGTAACCATGGGTTGCTGTGCTTGGGGGGCCAAGGGGAACCTGATAGCTCTCGGAGTAGTATTTGACAGAAGAAAACAAGAACTCCCGAGGGAATGCCAAGAAGCTGATCTTTGTATGAGGTTGAAATGGCGTCGGCTGCCTTGGATTAGTTTCGAAATAGAGTAGCCTCAACAAGAGCTAGGCAAGCCCACACTGTAGGGCTCAGGACAATACTACCTGGTACCTGGTCTTATTGGCAGGTAATCTTAGAAGTAACCGAAAGCTTGTTTAGGTAGCTTCCATGTCGAAGGCCTGCATCATTTAGGGCTGATAGCTTCAAAGAGTGGCAGTGCCTGTCGTGTCTTGTGCCGTCGTGCTGGTAACATGGAGGGAGAGCTCTGGGCACGGTCTAAGAAAAGGAAGACAATGTATTGGATGGGATAAGAATGAGGTTGGCATGACACCTTGGCGGAAGGCAGTGTAGAAGCAAGTGTCAGATGCTTATTCTTAGAGTATAGTATTAAAGCACTAAGTAGTACCTAACGTAGGAATTACCCACGCTTTGGATCAGGCTTTTGGCAAGGCAGTTATCGGTATACCCGTTGTGGTCACCGCTTAGCATACATCTATATACGAAAATTATTCATCTATATGTCGCTTATCTACTCAGCAGCAGCTTATAAGCAATGTTCCCGAGCTTCCTTTATTGACATCTTGAGGTAGTAGATGGAATCAAGTACTTTGACTTCAAAATAAGCAAACCTAAAAACTACCAAACACATTTAGGCAATATCTGAATCATTGTACTTAATTAGGCTCCTCGCAGTGCCTACCAAATACGGCGCACCTGAAATAGGTAGGTAGTCAAATGTCTTGTCAGGAAACTTGATCCAGAACCCTCCGAAGCTGTACGCAGTTTATCACAAACACTGTATAGAAGATGGCGTCAAGGGCCTCAGCTTCTAACCTGTTTCTGTTGCCAGGCCGTCCATGCAGGAGAGAACCGTTGGTGTGGTTGAATCCTTCGGCAGTGACTGTCTTGCCTGTTGGGTGTGTTACAAGGATGCGGAAACTTTTTCGTAATATTATAAAGAAATGCTTGTCAGAATTTGTAAGTGAGTAATGTCGTGTGATTAAATCTCAAGACATACAGACAGAAGATGTCTTCCTCAGTATTCTAGCTCTTCCCACCAAAATAGTCACCCACTCCCCCAACTTCCCTTACACTCCAATCCTCTCCAGCTGCGAATAAACTCATATTGAATTAGACTATAATGACCTCAATCGGCGGTAAGGGGTCAAACGGTGCCGCTTCTTGGTGTGGCGCCGAGCCATTGGTTCTCGCATTGCTAGTTTAGTTGGGCTGAGTCTTACATGGCTTTCTCGTGGCTATCATATTATGGCCAATTACAAGCTTCGGATCTGTTGCTTTGATGCAGTGAAAATTCAGCTGAGTGATAGGTAGGATTTTGTAACAGAGGTATTTTCAGTTTTGGTTGCGATAATTAACCCCGATCATTTTGTTTCTGCTCTATTTGGACTGACTATAAACATAACCAGCTGTACAGACAGTACCTACACTACAAGCACCGTTTTCAACTCGAGCTTACTAGGGACAAATTTAAACGCAAGAGCGTTTGTTGACAGCTCAAATAAAGTTGATCTATATCTCAAACTTCACACGGAACGTCGTCATGCCGAGCGCCCTTGCTCCATCTGTTCTAGACCCTACAGTACACAACAGATAGTAACGGGAAATACCGATCCTATCAAACTCAGCTAATACGAGGCTTGCTGTTGTGGTGGTAAACTTCCTGGCCAACCACCTACCCAGTGATCCCAGGCTCATAACACGGGACCTACATGTGCTCAGCTAAGCATCCATAAGACCGTGGCTGTACTGTATCGTAACGCACACAACGGCAAATTCCGTTGACGCTTGTTACGTAGTATGCATAGTGCGACTGCATCTCTCCAGCCAAGGCAGAATCCTGAATCCTTGCGGTAGCAGCAATGGCATTGAGACTTCTGCATTACCGCAAACTCTTTAACAGCCAAAACATTCCGACTCACATGTCACACTTCAGTCACCGGCGAAACTACTGTCTTGTCCAAATCAAAAATTGATTCTAGATATTGCCAAATGGCAGATGATAGATGATTTCGCTAAACCAGTCCCGCACCATGTGTTGAAATGTCACGTCCAATGTTTCGCCTTCCCATCCGTGACTCCCACGTTGAGTTGAGGGAGTACAGTTCCGTATGCCTTGCTTCCAGCTCCTAATCCATTATACATGAGAATTTTGGTATCATTAAAACAGACCTTCGATCTCGCCTGTCTCCACGTTGACATCAACATTGAGGTATCCAGGGGCTGTTGGCAGACCGGGGATAGTTTGGATATCAGCAGCAAGTGCGTACCTGTGAATGTATTAGTTACGTTACTTTGAACAGGAGTGAGTCAGCTTACAGATATCCTGCTCCAGCGGCCATCCTGACGTCGCGAATGGGGATCGTAAAGCCAGTAGGAGCACCCTTCAGGTCGGGATCGTGAGAGAGAGAGTATTGCGTCTTGGCCACGCAGATGGGCAAGTGGCCGTATCCTTGACGGGTGTATGTATCGACCTTCTTCTGAGCAAGTTCGCTGAGCTCGACCTTCTCGGCGCCGTACATTTTCTTTCCAATAGCCTCAAGGCGCTCGTGGACAGTTCCCTTGAGATCGTAGGTGAACTGGAGATCCTTGGGCTTATCGGCAGCCGCAATAACACCGTGAGCCAGGTCGACGGCACCCTTACCACCCTCAGCCCAGTGGTTAGACAAGATAGCATCCTCAGCACCAGCTGAGACTGCCTCTTCACGAATGACAGCGATTTCAGCATCGGTGTCAGTCACAAACTTGTTGATTGCCACGACGACGGGGATACCAAATGACTTGGCGTTGGCAATCTGCTTCTTGAGGTTCACGCAACCAGCGCGCAGAATGTCGACATTCTCCTCCTTGTAGACGGGGCTGAGGGCAGCACCAGGGGCAATAGGAGGAGCACCACCATGAACCTTGAGAGCTCGGACTGTAGCAACGATGACAACGACATCGGGAGTAAGTCCAGAGGTGCGGCACTTGATGTTGAAGAATCGTTCACCTCCCATAGTGAAGTCGAAACCAGCCTCAGTAACTACGAAACCGGCCTTCTCGCTGTGATCCTCATCAGCCTCAGTACCAGCAAGCTTCAGGGCAAGCTTGTCAGCAAGGATGGAGCTCTGTCCAATGCTAATGTTGGCAAAGGGACCAGCGTGGACAAAGACAGGAGTACCCTCAAGGGTTTGCATGAGGTTAGGCTTGATGGCATCCTTCATGAGAGCAGTGAGGGCACCACCAGCACCGATATCGTCGGCTGTGACAGTGTCGCCATTTCGTGACGTGGCTACGACCATTGATCCCAGGCGCTCACGCATCTCAGCCAAGTCGTTGCTGAGTGCGAGGATAGCCATACACTCGCTAGCGACAGTGATGTCGAAGCCAGTCTCTCGGGTCTGGCCCTTCTCAGTAGGGGCGGTGCCCACCGTGATGCCTCGCAGGTGACGATCATTGACGTCGAGAACTCGTCTCCAGGTGATAGTCTCAGGGTCGATGTCTAGTCGAGCGAATCGGTGGATCTCGTCTTCGGTCAGGTCATCGGGGTTGGTCTTCTCGATTCCGAGCTTCTTCAATCGGCGGAACATAACAGGGGCGAACTTTCTCTCGCCATTCTTAGCAGGGACTAGTCGCTTGTACAGGGGGCCATCCTTCTGGGTATTCTCGTGGAAGATGCGAGTCTCAATAGCAGCCGCTAGCAAGTTGTTGGCGGCAGTAATGGCGTGGATGTCGCCAGTCAAATGCATGTTGAATTCATCCATAGGGATGACCTGACTGTAGCCTCCTCCGGCGGCGCCTCCCTTGATACCAAAGGTGGGGCCCTGGCTGGGCTGTCGTACGTTGGCAAATGTCAAGCGTCCAACATGAGCTCCCAGCGCCTGAGCCAAGCCCATGGTTGTTGTGGACTTGCCCTCACCAAGAGGGGTGGGAGTGATACCGGTGACAACAACATAGCGACCGTTTCTTCGGTGCTCCAGTCGTTGCATGAGACCAAGGTCAACCTTGGCCTTGTATGCGCCATAGGGCTCCAGCTCGTGAGGCGCAATGCCAATCTCTGAGGCAATACGGGTGATGTCCTTGGGTGTTTGTGCTCGCGAGACGGCGATATCTGAAGGAACGGGATCCTCCAGCTTCAGGGGTAGAGGGATGGTCTTTCGAAGCTTCTGAGACTCGAAGTACCAGGTTGTGGCATCAACAACGTTCTGCATCAACATGGCAACCGTCATGGGTCCGACACCGCCAGGAACTGGAGTGATGGCGGAAGCAACCTCGGAGGCAGCAGCATAGTCCACATCACCAACGAGTCGCTGACCAGACTTCTTGGTGGAATCGGGGATGAAGTTAGTTCCCACGTCGATGACAACAGCACCAGGTTTGATCCAGCTGCCCTGGACAAAGAAAGGCTGACCGATAGCGGCGACGATAACATCTGCATTTCGAACATGTTGCTCAATGTTTTGCGTCTTGGAGTGAACAACGGTAACAGTGGCGTCGGCGTTTCGCAAGAGATAGCTCACGGGACTACCGACAATATCACTTCTTCCAAGGACAACGGCGTTCTTTCCCTTCAGGTCAATACCAGACTCCTTAAGGAGAATCATGCAACCCTTGGGTGTGCAAGGAATGAAAAGAGGCTTGCCGCCCCTCTTAGCAAGCTCTCCAATGTTCTTGGTGCCAAAGCCGTCGACATCCTTCTCATCTGCCACAAATGACGTGATGATGTACTCAGAGATGTGCTTGGGAAGAGGGAGTTGAACCAAAATGCCATGAACAGCGGGGTCGTTATTGTACTGGCGAATATGATCAAGGAGCTCTGCCTCTGAGATAGTCTCAGGGTATTGAAGCAGTTGACTGTCAATGCTAGCCTGAAATGGTGAGTCAGTGAATAAGTCTTGAGGTGCAAAATTGTCTGACTCACCTCTGCAGCAGCCTTCAGCTTCATGCGAACATAGGTAGCTATATCGCGGGGTTAGTGGTGAGATGATCTCATGATGGCGGGGCAGGATTGTTACGAACAGGAGTCTGATCGATCACCCACTGTAAGACAATTGAGTCAGTGTTGAACAATTAGAGTATCACGAGTAATAGGCCATACCTTGGATGATCTTGAGGCAGGGCTTGAACCTGGGGTTGAGCTTCTGCTTCTCGGTCACCTCAGCACAGAGCTTCTCCCTGATCGACTTGGCAATAGCATTGCCGTCGAGCTTTGTAGCAACCATTGTGGTCGAGGAAAAGAGTCTTTTCTGACGTGGAAATTGGTTCGAAAAAGACAAAGACTCGACAACAGAGGTTGAAGCAAAGACTGAGGCCGAGTTGTTTCGTCGATTGTTGACTGGGAAGCAGTCGCTGTATATAGCTTGAGCTTGGACTTGGGCTTGGGCAGGAGCTGTCGAGATGAGAGGAGGGGCAGCAGTCCGAATAGCGGCGCTTAGAGGAACCCCGGTGGACACGGCAGGAACGTCCGAACACGTGTGAAAGAGGCTTTGCCTGTGCGACTTTGTGCGTAAAGACGGTTGCGAGTGGGTGAGAATCTGACTTTGCTGGGACCCGCCTACTGCGGGTTCGGCTTGGTGCGTATATGATCGGCTGGACGACCGTTGATGGTTTCGCTTGCAATTGCAGCTGCAGCTGCAGCGATTGAGGCTTGATGGTATCGATAACGCTGATGATAGAATCCGTAAAGACCGTCGTTGTCTCGGGATCTTTCGGAAAATACTCGTTCTCGTCAACACGGCGCAACGGAAGAGCTCGCCGTACATGATGATCTCGAATATAATTACACTTCAACTTGCAAATCTGTATTAGATGCCGAACAATCTCCAGACGTCCGCCGGGTTAATGGCGATAATGTGTGCATGCAAGTCGATGCAATGCAAGCCTTTCCGTGAGGAAACCTTCTAGATCGAATAGGAATAGAAAGAGAAAGGTAATGGAAACTTGTCAGAATCAATGGAAGGGTGTTAGACAATGAAAGGCAACAATAACATGACACAGTATCGCACGAGGAACAGCCAATTTCTCTGAAGCCGAAATACTCGTTCTCGCGAATATCGTTCGATCTAGCCCAGCTCGCCTTACAACTACTCCATACCAGAATAATTGCAATTCAATGCTTGTTGCAGCCGGTCGTGCGACTGGTTCCCTATGCCTCGAGGCAGGGCTGACACAGTCTCGAAGGAATGCAAGGACCAGTGTAAGTTCAGCTGTGACTCTTAATTGTAAAGCCAATAATATTGGCGAATTCGGTTGCAGTCAGAGATATACCCTCAGCCTTGCTTTTGTCTTATACACTGAAAGTTGCAGGATTTGACTTCTAGAAATTTACAGAGTTCTACTTGAGTTCTTGATGCCTCAGGACCGACATTATGAGGTGAGGTCATATTCAGTCAAGAAAAGATCATGCAATGAATCATCTCTGGGCGCTCCCACCAACTGAGTTACTCATTTATTTATGACTCTTTGCTCCTTCGTATGACTCCAACTATTCTATAGATCTGTGATAGGCTAGAGCAACAGGCAGTGGCTGACTGTATAAGCGACGAAATTATTCGATCAATTCAGGACTCCATGCGCCGTTTCACTGGGTGCTTATTTTGAACACTCTAAACTTAGTAGCTTCCCCCAGGCAGTCCAACCTTTGAACATGGCCAAGTTCAGTTTTAACACGCCCCATACTCTACATCAGGCATCAGCCCTGTGCCACTATCTTAGCTGGGAGGCGGGGGACTGATTTCTTGCCCCACCAAAAGGTCCAAAACGCACACAACCGCCAAAATTTCATCGCGAAAGCCCTCGCCATATAATCAGCCGCTCCGAACCTGCTTTCGTCAACCCCTCCTAGTGCCTGACCCCCGAAACCGAAATCATGAGGCCCATTCTTCTTGCCGGGCACGAGCGTGCGCTCACCCAAATTAAGTACGTGAAGCTTTTGTCTTTGTCCTGTCCAGTCTGTATGGAGGGTGATGAAGTTACAAAGAGGGGGGATATTGGTCTGCGAGTGTTCTGCTCGTCGACTTGAAGACCCTCAACTTCACCTATAACCATACTAACCTATATCCAGGTACAACAAAGATGGCGATCTCATCTTCTCCGTCGCAAAGGATCAGCAAATCTGCGCCTGGTTCTCCCACAACGGCGAGCGTCTTGGAACCTACCACGGCCATGTCGGTGCCATCTGGACTGTCGACGTCAACCCCACCTCAACCATGATCGCCTCCGGTTCTGCCGACAACACTATCCGACTTTGGGAGGTCAAGACCGGTCGCCTTATCAAGACCTGGGAGTTCCCTACCGCCGTCAAGCGAGTCGAGTTCAACGAGGATGGCACTAAGCTGTTGGGAGTTACCGAGAAGCGAATGGGTTACCTTTCCAACATCGTCGTTATCGACATCAACCCCGACCTCAACGCCGAACAGACCGACGAGAGGAGCCTTACCATTGTTTGCGACGAGAGCAAGGCCACCGTTGCTGGCTGGAGCGCCCTGAGCAAGTTCATCATTGCTGGCCACGAGGATGGCAGCGTAAGCCGATACGACGCCAAGACCGGTGACCTGCTCGACAACATCCCCGTTCACGAGCTTCAACAGCCTATCGTCGATCTCCAGTGGTCTCCTGACCGCCTCTACTTCATTACTGCCAGCAAGGACAAGACTTCCAAGGTATGTTTCGTCCTTTGAAGTTGACATCCAATACTAACTATATCAAGCTCATCTCTGCTCGCGACCTCGAGGTCCTCAAGACTTACGTAGCCGACACACCTCTCAACAGTGCCACTATCACCCCCAAGAAGGACTTCGTCATCCTTGGTGGTGGTCAAGCCGCTATGGATGTCACCCGAACCTCTGCCCGTCAGGGTAAGTTCGAGGCCCGTTTCTACCACAAGATTTTCGAGGACGAGATTGGCCGTGTCCGAGGTCACTTCGGTCCCCTCAACACTGTTGCCGCCGACCCTACAGGCAAGAGCTATGCCAGCGGCGGAGAGGACGGATACGTGCGAGTTCACCACTTCGACAAGGGCTACTTCGACTTCAACTACGAGGTCGAGAGGGAACGAATCAACCGAATGCAGTAGATCCGTTCTTTTCCTGTGTGCTTGCATAGTACGGCGTTAGGGGGACAAATAAATAAATCTTTTTTGTTCAAATGGGGCAAAAAATAAACGGAAGCTGGAGGCGATGGGAAAGAAAAGACTTGGGATGTGTAAGGGGAGATAAGAGGAAGACAAACGGGCTTGTAATTCTTACCATCTCTCCAGGGTTTAGGAAAAGGTCGAAAATTGCACGATTGATCACGTTTCTACGACTTGGGATCTAACACATCATCCTCATCATGCAATTACGACAATCAGGGCTTGCCAGTTCACGACACGTCAAGTCGAACCTAGGGCAGTGCAAACCTATATCTGGTTCTTCTGCTCTCAAACAACTCTTTTTACAATGTATCATCAGCCGTCCTCGCGCCTATATCCTCCAAACCGCCGAGGCATCGTGTGATGCATGTTCTGGCCTTTGTAACAAATTACCGAGCCAGATTAATAAAGTACTGCACGATGACTTCTCCTATAAACCCTCAAAGTGCAACCAAACGCCAAAGTCTATCCCTATACCGATCCGCATACCAGAGCCCTCTTTGTTTTTTTGCTTACTTCTTTCTACCCTTCTTACTCTTGGTAGAGCCACCGGCGGAGGTGGCAGACGCGACACTGGAGGCTCTGGATGGGGTTGCTGAGCTGTTCTTGCTGGATTTGACGGATTTGACATTATCAAGCGCCTTGTTCTGAGAGTTCGTTAGCAAGAGACAATAGATTAGAATCAACATTCAATGACTGACCTTGACCCCGTTCTTCGCCTTCTTCTTCGCTGGTGCCATTCCAAGAATGCTGTCCTCGTCGTTCTCATCGTCAGGCTCACGCTTAGACTTTCCGTTGACTCCGTTTGAACCACGAGCAGGGACGTCTTCAAACTCTTTGACAATAGTAGTGATCAAAGTCGTGCAACGACGAGACAACTCAATAGGAGTTCGGCTGAGGAAAAACCAGTCGAATCGGAAAAGAGGCGATTCTCGGATATCGTCTCGCATCTTCTCGTAAAGACCCTCCGAATCAATACCATAACGGTCAAGTAGTACCAGTAAAAATCTGTCCTCCTCCTCGGTGTACACTTTCTTGTTGGTAGTGGAAACAGAGTAGTTGATCTTGAGTTGCTGTAGAGGGACTCGGTACTGCTGCATCTTCTTTCTAAGAAGCTTTTGGTGATGTTCAACGCGGCGTGTGCGCTCCTCGCCATCTTCAATAGTTTTGATGTATTTGGGGTAGTCCGCAATTTCGGTATATCGTTGCCAGAAAACCTTAGCATACGCCTTGATTTCAGCAGGTGACTTGCTGTCGACCTCCACGGAAATGCCCTCGTAATCGTTTCGTCCATACTTGCCTGATCCGTTCACAAACTGTTGGAAGTCTCGCTTGTTCCATTCTCCAAAGCCCTGAAGGGACAGCTTCTCCTTCTCTTCTTTCTCCTCCTCGGTCAAAGGTGTTGCATTATCGATTTCCTGTTGGTCAAGGGCTCTTTCAGCTTCTCGCTCTTCGAGAGTGTCTTCTTCACCATCGGCTAGAGGGACCTTGTAGCCGATCTCCTTACGATAGAAAGCGGTTTCCCTGTCTTGAAGATCACGCAGGCGTGGTGGGTAGAACTGGTAATCGTGTACGGGAACCTGCTTGGGTGCTCGGGGTGCCTTCGGCTTAGCATCCGCCTTGGGGTTGGGATACATGGTCTGGCGGAAGTATTTGTCCATCGAGTACGATTGTTCTTTTCGCTCTCGTTTGGCCGGGTTAATCCAAGTCATGTTGATTTCTTTCTTTGTGTTGGCAAAGTTCTCGCCATTCCACTCGTAGGCAGACTCTGAGGTAAACTTCTGGAGATCATCAATTCCCAGCTTCTCATACTTGGCATTAAGTTCCTTGGTTCGGTTTTCACCTCTGGCAAGGATAGCATCGATATCATCGTCGCCGACCTCGCCGTCCTTGGAGGACATTGTACCTGTGGGTCCCTTGGATTGGAAGACCTTTTCGGCGCCATGTTGAATCATGGAGAGAAGCTCGTCTTTATTCGCTGCGGCCTTGGCGGCTTGCTGTGCACGACCTTGCTGAATGACAAGTTGATCCAGACGCAGCTTTTGTGCAGCTCTTTCCAGAACCTTTTCCTCTATGGCGTTTTCTGTGACAAACCTGTACACAACAACCTGTTTGGTCTGTCCGATACGATGGGCTCGATCCATAGCCTGTAAATCGGCCTGGGGATTCCAGTCACTGTCGTAGAGAACAACGATATCGGCGGTCGTCAGGTTAATACCTAGACCACCAGCACGTGTTGTAAGGAGGAAGACAAACTTCTCCGAACCAGGCTTGTTGTACTCGTCAATGGCAGCGATTCGGTCCTCATGAGCAGTTCCACCATCGATTCGACAGTACTTGTACTCGCGGAAGACGCAGTAATCTTCGAGAATGTCGAGCAATCGACTCATTTGGGAAAAGATAAGAACACGGCTGCCTTGCTTTTGCATCCTCTTAAGCAGTTTGTCAAGAACAGCCATTTTACCAGCATTGTACACAAGATGCTCGTCGGTTGTGTAAGGGGGACCTGGCTCGGCACCCTCAAACAGGTAAGGATGGTTACAACACTTTCGAAGTTGCATAACGATGTTGAGCAGTCGAGTCTTGGACTCGCGCTTACCACCCGCACCGTTGACAGCGTCAATGTCCTTTTCCAGAATCTTTTGATACCATTTGACCTGCATCTCTGACATGCCCAGATAAACGTTGACTTCCTTCTTGGGTAGCAAGCTCTTCTCCACATCGCTCTTCACGCGACGCAACAGAAAGGGGCGGAGAACCTTGTGGAGTTGCTGGACGACTGTATCTTGGTCACGGTCTTGTCCAGAGAACCACTGGTCAAATGCCTCAGAGTCGCCAAAGACATCAGGCAGCAAGAAGTTTAGAAGAGCCCAAAGTTCGTGCAAATTGTTTTGGAGAGGTGTGCCGGTGATGAGCAGTCGGTTTCGTGAAGAGAACAATCGAATGACCTGTGAAAGTGATGATTCTTCGTTCTTGATACGATGCGCCTGGATTCTTGTCAGTAAATATAGCGCTCAGTCAATATGAGAAACATACCTCATCAATAATAATGTATTCCCAAGCAAACTTCTTCAGATGCGACTTCTCTCGAAGCACCATCTCGTAACTGGTAATGCAAACGTCGAACTTTTCGTCGACGAGTCTATCATTGATGAGGGCCTGTCTTTCATCCTTGGCACCCTGAAGCACCAAGACGTCGACCTCGGGTGTCCACTTAGCAAACTCTCGTTTCCAGTTGTCCAGTGTAGACTTGGGCACAATGACCAGGTGTGGCCCATTGATGTCCAGAATATGGCGTAGGTAACCGAGGAAAGATATTGTCTGTAGAGTCTTTCCGAGACCCATTTCATCTGCAAGAATACCAGAGATACCATTCTCATGTAGCGAGATAAGCCAGTTGAGTCCAGCAATTTGGTAGTCTCGCATTTGACCATGGACAAAAGGAGGGGAATCGCGGAACACCGTCTCAGCAGAACCACCATGTTTCTCGTCCTTCAAAAGTTCGGCATCTTCTTCGGCCTCTGTACGTCGACGTCGTTCGCTCGTGGCACCGCCTTGTCTCCCGGCTCCCTTCTTGCCGCGGGCTGCTTCGGCATTCCGTCGATCAATCTCAGTCATGATGTCGCGGATTTGGGGATCGGGGTTCGTCTCAATGAAATGGCGGAATAGATCAGTAAGACCGAGGAGATACCTGAATCGTCGGATTGTGTCATCCTCCTGCATAGACACTGTTAGCATCTCCTCCTAACACCCTTGTCCTGAAATGCGACAAACCTTGGATTCGCCTAGCCGGTCGTGCTTCTTTCCAAAAATGCTGCGACGGAGTTGGTTGACTTCTGTACGGCGCCGTCGTCCATCTCCGGTGGGTTCTCCGGCGACACTACTAGCTTCGGTACTGGGGTTCTCGGTATCAGTGTAATCGGGGGTCTCGTCAACTTCCTAAAAGTATTTCATTTAGCACATGGTTCATAGATTACAAGTCACATATGGACTGTATTGGATAAAGAGTTAACTTACCATATCTTCCCCCTGGCGATGTTCCTGCGCGTCAGACATAGGCGCGTCAGTATCAACAGCCTTGGCTCGAGAGCGAGGCGCCATCGTGAGTTGAGTTTAGGATGAACCTCTTTACGCGACTGGCGTCGAGAAGACGCGTTGAAAGAGGTTGCGATGCGAAGTAACACCCAATGTAAATGCTTCGAGCGGCTAGTTTCTCGGTTCCCAGGGTGTTGTTGGTGAGAAGTCTTGTCGAATAACCACGCCGTGAGAAGGCTTGAAAAGTGTAGATGCGTTTGTCAAGATGTTTGCAGGTAGAATCAAACGGTCACCTCGAAGGGGGCCAGTTCGAGGCTAGCGTCGCTGCGCAGGTCCCTTGTCATTATTTCTCGGTCCCACAATGCCGTGAGGAAGAAAGGATGTTCCGACATATAGAGACGACGTCACTGAATCATTGATTAAGTTTCCTTTTCATAGTTCATGAGATAGCTATACAACGCCAGAGCTCAAACTTATCTGTGTTTCATTCATTATCTCTGTTTTGACACTTTTGAACGCTCAAAACAACACAATTCAAGCTGACAAGGAAGTCCAAGCCAGATATAAGTCACGTGAACGATTCTCCACTTCACCTGTAGACCCCTCGGTTAGTGCCGTTCTCAGGCTCTGTGCGGTGATGAAGTGGATGACTGGGCGAAGGCTTCAGTGACCCCAACCTTTGTTCCCTGCCAACAGTTCAGTCTTGGAAACAGCTCTTCAGGAGCAATACAACCCACCTTCTTTAACTGTTTTGTATCTCCTACTACTTGACAACTCTCCTCCTCTACAGGAGTATCACCAGACGGCAAAACTACGACTTTACCCTACACAACAGGTGAGGCGATTATCCCCTTGATGTCCATAAGCCATCGCTGACTTCATTTCCAGCATCTCCGCTACTCTTCGTCGCTTAATAACGATGGAGCCTATGAGGGGCGTCTCTGGCGGTACGGGAAAGCAACCTGCTCAGCAAGAAAACCCTGAGCAGCTTCTCGACGTCTTCAAAGCAGCCGCTCTTTCGGTGACGAAGCTTTACAAAATCTCCGCCGCCGGGCAGTCTAAGGCACGAGCCGACGGATATCAAGATTGCCTCGATGATCTTTTGCAGTTCTTGGATAAGGAAGGACTAGGCCTTAGCGATGGAGAAGGATGGAAGATCCGCAAGTGGGCTACGGAACGACTTGACGGCCGCGAGAGCAGCTCTCTGAACACTGAGAGTGAGGACGAGGCGGAGAAGACAGAGACAGCTTCGTCTCCCGAACTGAACCGCCCGAATGTCCCCTCTCAGCCAGCCAACCAAATGCGAACCGACTCTGCGCCCCCGAGCATTCCTCCTGTCATCGAAGAGCCCACGCCGATTGTCGTCCCTTCTCAAGATACCTTCAACTTCCAGTCGTCACATCCTTACCCGAACATCGCTACTCTCGACTTGTCCGATTCGAGGCCCCATGATGACTTCCCTACTCTTACACGACCGTCAAAAAGCAGACTTGCCAATGGTTCTAGCCGGGCTTGCCCCAGGGGACCGGGACATTCGGTGCAAAGAGCTGGGGCTAAACGCAAGTTGAACTTTGACGAAATCTTCGATCTTGGCAGCCTCAACGGAAAGGACACATTCGGCGGCGGAGGCAAGCGTGGTCGGCATGCTTAGTGTTGGGTATCACGCTTTCTCCTTTGTTTTTGACTTTACATAACACAACATATTTGTCTCGGAGCACTGGGTACTAGAGGGAACGGAAACGGAATGGGACGAGGCATGTTTACAGACGGACGCATTGACTAGCGATGAGCATGGGCGGCGTTTGGAGGACGTAACGATTGCATTTGGGGGGTGTCAGCGTGGCTAAAGGTTCTTGCATCCATATTTTGACCTAGCGATCATCCCCCTTCTTTTTACATTAACACGATAACATGACAATGATGAATCCTTCTTGGCTATTCGAGTATAAACTCCTTGAGCTACCAATATCTGGAGTGGAAATGCTTCTGTTCCGACATACTCCTCCTTTGAAACACTGATTTGGGTTTAATATGAAATCAATCGTGAATAAGAAATGATAGATGCTTTGTAGCTACTCACTAATATCTCTTCTACAAATAACATCTATTGACTTGAAGCTTAGACTATGCTATTCAGCATTACTGCTAATCCATCAGTAACCTTACCGTCTCATCTCACTCAGTGTTCAAGCATCAACCTATACATAAACCACGTTCTTGTTCGAGGCCAGAGTAGTATTTTCTCAACATGTCCATAATCAATTCGATATTGAACAATCCAATAGACATCCGTTTTTATTTATTTACTTTATTTTCGAGTGATTCGTCTCTATATCATTTGATCACAGCGCGCCGGCTCATCTTCGGGCCTCTCTCCACATGCTCTTCTAGAATCTCTGTCAAGGTCCAACTTGCAGGGGACCTATGACATTGTTCATGCAGCCTGGTTGGTGCAAAGCACTGCTAGCTCTAAAGTTACAGTAGCTGCACCCTGGCTTTCGCTTCGTTGATCGTGCATTATTTGTTTCTTCGCGATCACTTGGATTTCTTTCGCGCTTTTACGTGTGACAGTTTCGTACTCTTTTCTTTATTCCATTCTGTTCATCCCGACAACGTCGAGGAATTTCCATCTGAGGTATGTGCTTCACAATCGGACTTTATCAATATGCGCTACGTTGCATCATCATCAAATGATGTCAAGGGCGCATTAGACTCCTTGACGTGATTTTATTTTCTACTTTTTTGCAAGTTATCATCCAACTCCCACTGACTCGGATTCGCATAGCAGCACACACGCGAAACAACGTATTAGATCATCAACATGTCGGATTCTGGCAAACAAGAAGAGAAGCCTTTGGGCCAGCACGAGATCGAGATTGACCATGACCGCGAGCACGAGGAGCCCGAGGAGCAACAGGAGCCCGGAACCGAAATGTCAGCGAACGAGGAGGTGTGTTAGGCGCGCAAAGAGGTGGAATGAATACGGAGACTGACGCCGCACCCTTAGGAAGAAATCACTGCTATGAAGCGCCGTGTGGCAGAGATGGAAGAGGAGGCCAAGAAGCTTCGCGAAATGCAGGCGACTCTAGAGCAGCAGTCTGCGGACCTTGCGGATGACAAGGAGTCTATCGATGCGCGCAGCATCTTTGTCGGCAATGTCGACTACTCCGCCTCTCCTGAGGATATCCAAGGTCATTTCCAAAGCTGCGGCTCTATCAACCGAGTCACCATTCTTCTTGACAAGTTTACGGGACAACCAAAGGGGTATGTTTCGAGTACTACTTCGCCCTTGAGAATATTGCTAATACATGGGTCCTTAGTTACGCCTACGTCGAGTTCACTGAGCCCAGCCTTGTTGCGCAGGCTCTTGTTCTTAACGAGAGCTTGTTCAAGGGTCGTAACATCAAGGTCACTCCTAAGCGCACCAATGTACCTGGCATGAGCCGCGGTCGTGGTCGCGGTGGGTTCCGCGGTGGCCGAGGCGGCTTCGGTGGCCGAGGCAGCTTCCCTCGAGGAGGTGGTTATCGCGGTGGCTACCGTGGTCGTGGACGAGGCTTTGCCCCCTACTAGGAGCAGGGCGGCGCATCATCTATGGGTCATGGTCCACGATCTGGTCAACCCAGACCTTTCGAGATCGAAGTCGAGGACTCTCACGGGCTTGACCACAGCCCTTACCATCACGGGTTTATTGGTCACTAATTTTTCTTTTCCTATTTAGGGTTATTGTTGTAAGGAGAAGGGTACGTTCAGCAGGGACAGGATGATATACCGTCCGTCGATCATATCAGAGGTGGAAAACCATGTCAACGATAAGCTGGGAGGAAGGGAACAGGAGTTTTCGGTCTTAACTTATATGTCGTCTTAGCAAAATCATACTATGAAACTAGTTCACAATATCATCTGCGCCTTCAGCCGCATTGTTTCTATTCCAGCAAGGAGAAGTGCAATTGCGACATCGGATGGCTTGGCTGGCTGAAAGCCTACAAGCATGATGTTAATTACCTAGAACATGTCATGACATATTGCCACGCGTTCAGTTAGAAGTATGAACTGCTCAAGAGGCCGCCAACATGGCACCCCACATCACTATGTGCCAGGGCTTAGACATTCAACTCTGGTAGGCAGTCAAGGTCTGGATGCAGTGAGACACTTCCGGTATCAGGAAGCAATGAAAAGAATATCTGACATCTACCAATGAATACAAGGGTTGCAGCGATCTTACCCTGTAGATTGGCAGCGCTCCGCTTATTACAATTGTGAATTCATTTCTCAACTGGTTATATAAAAAAGAGTTAAAGTTTACTCGACCGTGATGCAAAATAATACAGCCAACTGTTGTTTCTATTGTTAGTCGTGTCGAAGCTCTGTGTTGGCTGGAAGGTCCATGGTAGTAACACATCCGTCGTGAATTCCGGTGTACTTATCAGTACCTACGTGCAAGTCTGTCGACAATGCACGAATACTGACTGTAATGGTTGTGCCATGTTTAATTATGGAACACAATGGCAGCTGCTAACCACCCTGGCTTCATGCCATAAGCCGTCGGCGCAACCAACCTGGTATAATCGACGTCTCTTTGGTGGCTCAGCGGCTCCAGGATGCAAACAAGCAAGCCACCATATGTGAGTTGAGATGCCGTCTGCTTTTCTTACAGGCAATGTGAGATGCGAAAATCCTAAAGGGGTAACACGAGTATTGTAGCACAGGCATTGTATGTGATTGGTTTCAGAGTGATCCAAGAGAGCGTGGTTGTTAGGCATTGAGGTCGTTGTTAAAACAGATATGAGAGCCCAAGCTTGGCCATGAGACCCAGCAGTAAAGGCATCACAGGCCTGTTTAAGCGCCAGATGATGCTCGATTTGACTAGGCGCCCGCCAGTTGCTGTGCCGGTGATCCGTAGGTACGCCGCAATTAGTCTTGGAAAAGTAGGTACCCAGCAATGGATATTCGAGAGGTACTTATGATTCCATAACGTTAACGTGACATGATCCTAAAAGCTTCGTTGCCGAGGCAGTTATCGATGGTGAATTCAATAAGTAATCATTATGAGAAGATTCCTCATCAACTACTGATCTAAGTGGCGACCAGATACTTGGCTAAGGGGATTCATGACGAGGGAGTCATAACTCAGCCTCAAGAAGCTGAAGAGATAAGGAGATGACACGAAATTATCAAGACATGTCAAATGAATGTAATATACTCATGTCGGTTCTGGAAGATTCATCTTCTGATTACATGTTTCATCCAGAAAGGACGTTCAGACGTACCAAGGAGCGAAGGCAAAAGAACCTCTGTTTACCAACCACTAACTTAATCTCGGGTAGTCTAGTTTGTCATTGTAGCCCACTCAAACCCGGAAATAGGACACAAGACATCCATATCGATTTGTTCAAGTCTTGGTCTGGGCAGGTGTATTGCTTGGCGAGGCAATAGGGTATCCAGGAAGGTGCCAAAGTGTTGGAGCTAGAGTGTACGTGCTTGCAGTTATTCAGTGGCTGTACAAGAATTGTACTTTCAAAATCTAAGAAAATCCTCAATAGAAATACCTCAGCTGCGTTGCGTTACTCATAGAAGTTGGTTCTTTCAAAAGAACAACTTCGGTTCTTCCCCACCCCATACACCCGCTAAGAACTATCCCAGTCCTTGAAACTGCACCCAAGCAAGCCCCCAGTTAGAGACACTACCAGGTCCAAGGCCCCAAAAAGCTCCTCTTCAGGCCGTCAGGTCGGGTTGATCGATTATCCTCCCAGCATCATCAACACCAAACCAACCATAAGGCACATAGGATCGTGCCTGAGCCCACTCAGATCGTGGCAATCCAATCCAATCAAGCAACCGATTGTGCGCCCACTGTGGCATATCATCACATCCATCCTGTACAGTATATGCAATAGGTATTTTTTTTCTCTTTTCCATTATTCTGGATGATTCACCAACTCATCACTTTTGTTCAGACTGTTATCTCCCTGCAAACTTAAGGACTGCCCAACTGATCTTCCCGTTCCGGCCGTTGTCGTGCACTCTCTGCTCTCTCTGGTTGTACCTCGACTGTACCCAGAGATCAACTCAAAGGTGCTGCATTACAAGTACTGTTAGTACTTCACTTTACCTAGAAGCGGGGAGCGTCCGTGTCCAGTCTTTCTCTTAGGCCCGCGCCCGCCGCCCCGTGCACAGCCTCAACCTCCCCCATTGCCCCAATTCCAAGCGTCGTCAACTTTCTTCAGTTGAACCCTTCGACCTGAACCACCCGACGACGTACATCAAGCGCCTTTCCCTTTCTCGACAAGGCTTCGCTGCGTGATCCTGATCTTCACCTTCACGTCAGGAATACCCATATTCATCGTTGTCGTCGTTGTGACTTAGTCCCTCGCTGCGCAGTGCAAGAGGTGACACCATGACCAGTCGCACTGATTCCAGGTAAGTTTTCTCCCAGAAGCCTTCAAAGCATCGCTTTTGGCTATCGCTTGAAGACATACTACATCATGTCTTCGTCTTCCGTATGATACTCGTGCTGACCCTCGTTGTAGCAGGCCTAACCTTCGGGTTACAAGTGAGTTACCGCCGTTCCTCTCTACCCCTCCGTTCGACTTTCCAATATTGACATCATCCAAGTTATCGCAGCCGATGGACTTTATAAGAGGGACGTTTTTCGTACGTATAGCTCTTACGACGACCCAGGACTTGAATACTAATTTCTTCAGGCTTCCCCGACCCTTTTGCTGTCGCGACCATCAATGGCGAACAAACCAAAACAACGACTGTCAGCAAAAGGACTTTAAACCCGTACTGGAACGAGAGCTTTGACTTGTAACGTACCCCGCCACCTTGATTAAAGAGATCATTTAACTCACATTCATCAGTCGCACCAACGAAGATGGCATTCTCGCAGTTCAGGTTTTCGACCAAAAGAAGTTCAAAAAGAAGGACCAGGGATTCCTAGGAGTCATCAATATTCGCGTTGGAGATGTCATACCCGAGCTCAGTCCCGATGCTGATGGTCAGTTCACTTGATTTACAGATAAGGAATGTGAAGAACCCTGCTGACGCCAAATGCGCATCTAGACCAGATGCTCACACGCGACCTGAAGAAATCAACCGATAATCTCGTCGTTCATGGCAAGCTTATTATTAACCTCTCTTGCAACCTTAGTGCACCCGCTCGTGGCGGCCAGGCATCGACAGCACGACCATCTTTAGGCACCGGGCCTTCGAACGCTTCAAACCTTTCCGCCCCCCCACCAGAAAACCGACCAGGATCTTCGACTTCAGGACCGAACGGCGCAGGCGGCTCACAGGTCAATTTGGCAAATCGACCCTCCAGCATTAACTCTAATGGCGGCGCCGGCGCTCCAGGACCAAATGCATCGGGCCAGACTCGACAAACCAATCAACTCAGTCCTTTCGAAGATGCTCAGGGACGCCTACCTGCCGGCTGGGAGCGCCGTGAAGACAACCTAGGCCGTACCTACTATGTCGATCACAACACTCGAACGACGAGCTGGAACCGACCTACTGCAACTGGCGCTCAGGAGCAGCGAAATGACAGAGAGGCAGCTACCCAGGTTGAGCGACAGAGACATCAGAACCGTACCTTGCCCGAGGAGCGAACCGGTTCCAACTCGCCCACGTTGCATGCCCAACAGCCGCAACCAGCGGCATCACCAGCAACTAACGGTGGTGCGGTGATGCACACTGGAGCGACAAGCCCTGGCACAGGAGAGCTTCCTCCAGGCTGGGAGCAGCGATGGACCCCTGAAGGCCGACCCTACTTTGTTGATCACAACACAAGAACGACCACCTGGGTCGATCCACGCCGCCAACAATACATCCGTATGTATGGTGGACAGAACAACGCCAACGGCCAAATTCAACAGCAGCCCGTGTCACAACTTGGTCCTCTGCCCAGTGGTTGGGAAATGCGCCTTACTAACACTGCTCGCGTCTACTTTGTTGACCACAACACCAAGACTACGACATGGGACGACCCTCGACTACCCTCATCTCTCGACCAGAATGTCCCCCAGTACAAGCGAGACTTCAGGCGAAAGCTCATTTACTTCCGTTCACAGCCAGCAATGCGAATCCTCAGTGGCCAGTGCCACATCAAGGTTCGACGTTCTCATATCTTCGAGGACTCGTTCGCCGAAATTACACGTCAATCGGCAACAGACTTGAAGAAACGACTTATGATCAAATTCGATGGCGAAGACGGTCTGGACTATGGTGGTCTCTCTCGAGAGTTCTTCTTCCTCCTTTCTCATGAGATGTTCAACCCCTTCTACTGTCTATTCGAATACTCCGCCCACGATAATTACACCCTTCAGATCAACCCCCACTCCGGCATCAACCCGGAGCATCTTAACTATTTCAAGTTCATTGGCCGAGTTGTCGGCTTGGCTATTTTCCACAGACGCTTTTTGGACGCATTCTTTATCGGCGCTCTATACAAGATGATGCTCGGCAAGGCGGTATCCCTCGCAGATATGGAGGGTGTCGACGCAGACTTCCACCGATCCCTGCAGTGGATGTTGGATAACGATATTTCCGGAGGTATTCTGGAACAGACTTTCTCGACTGAAGACGAGAGATTTGGAGTTTTGACAACCGAGGACCTCATCCCTGGCGGCCGTGACATCGAAGTCACCAACGAGAACAAGAAGGAATATGTTGATTTAATGGTCAAGTGGCGAATTGAGAAGCGTATCGCTGAGCAGTTCCAAGCTTTCAAGGAGGGCTTCCAAGAGCTCATTCCCCAGGATCTTATCAACGTCTTCGATGAGCGTGAGCTTGAGCTCCTCATCGGAGGTATTGCGGAGATTGATGTCGACGACTGGAAGAAGCACACCGATTATCGAGGATATACCGAATCCGATGAGGTTGTGCAGAACTTTTGGGCGACAGTGCGATCTTGGGACGGAGAACAGAAATCGCGTCTGTTGCAGTTTACTACTGGAACATCTCGAATTCCTGTCAACGGATTCAAGGATCTTCAGGGCAGTGATGGTCCACGAAGATTTACTATTGAAAAGGCGGGAGAAATTACTAATCTGCCAAAGGCACACACTTGGTAAGTCAGGTCTTCCTTTTGCGATAACGCAAAACTAACAATTGGCAGTTTCAACCGACTCGATTTGCCACCTTATAAGAGTCTAGAAATGCTTCAGCAGAAGCTCACGATCGCCGTTGAAGAGACCATGGGTTTCGGCCAAGAGTAGACAATAACGACATTACCTTCAGCAGGGACACTGAACTGGAAAGGTTTAAACTGCATTCAACTGTACTATTGTGGAGTCACCATACGAGACCGAACTCCTCTTGTCTGCCCCATTCCTTCCTCAAATATACAACAACCTTTGGGTATTTGCTTTGGTCCCAAGAGTGGACGAACCTGAGCCGTATGGCGCTGGTAGGATTAATTTATCTCCAAAACGCGATGCTACATCTGGTTCTCCTTGTCGGCCTCGCCTACGGAGAGCGGACTGAACGTCTAGTGTGGCTGTCCAAACAGATGCACCACACTCAGATACGCTTCGTGGAGAAGTCTTGACGAATGTTTTTAATCCACGAGACAGAGGAGTCCTTGGTTGCGACACTGCTGGACGGGCAAGAGAAAAAGAAACTGTACTTAGCCATGTATTACGTGTGTTGCCGGCCGCGGTAGCGAAGCCAGCATGTTTGAGCTGGAAGTTAAGAAGGACGGGGTTACAGCGCTTCATTTCAACTATTTATCACATATATAGCACTTTCACTACCTAAACTTCTGTATCACCTGACAAGAGTTTGTTCTATACGACCCGTAGGAGGTCGATGTGTACACGGCGTAGTCATTTATTGATGTTGAGTTTCTACGTGGACATGGCAGAGGTTGCTGTTGAACAACAAGAGTTCCTGAACTGACTCGATTCTTGATTAATGTAAAGCTCTAGCTGGATCAACAACATCCCCCCATTCACCCTCAGGCCAGCCGTACCTGGCTGCATTTGTTTAGATAACAACGGAAGCCGCCCATAGGAAAGATGAGCAAAAGTAAAAACAGTATAGTATGCATAAGAACCCTCCCACCATAGTATGCATGGCTCAGAGCCCCTTTCCCGATAACGCCGGGGAAATCCTGGCAGTGTCTAGAAGCTGCCAGCCTCCGAAAACCTCAATCTCATGGGCCGACTGTCACGGTCTCTATCGAGAGTAAGGGTGGAATCCACGATTTCCTCCTCGTCCACCACCGCGGTAGTTGGCTCCTGGCTTACCAGCGTTCTTGGGGCCGGTGGGCGCGTTGGCTGGTGGCGCATGTTGAGGATCAGAGCTTCCGCCAGCACTACCAGCGCGGTTAAAGCCACCGGGTTGAGGGACATCGTCGTACATGCCTTCCCATGAAGTAGGAGCTCCTCCACCACCTCCCATATTGTAGCCTCCATGTCCTCCATGGTTGCCATAACCTCCTCCGCGTCCTCCTCGACGGCCTCCTTGAGGCTGCTGCTGCTGCTGCTGATATTGGCTGTAGTTATCGTAGCCACGGCCAGCACCGCCACTAGCAGATGCAGTGGGACTAGCAACGTCAGATCCAGCATCTTGGCCGCCTTGTTGACCCTGCTGCTGCATCATCTGCTGCATCTGTTGTTGCATTTGCTGGGCCATCTGTGGGTTCATGTTCTGCATCATGTTCTGAGCATTGGCGCCACCGCCTCCTCTGCCTCCCATCATCTGCTGCTGCATTTGTTGCATCTGCATCATGTTTTGCCACATAGCAGGGTTCATGGACATTCCTCTGCTCATAGCCATCTGAGACTGCATCATGGTGAAGTATTGCTGCATTCGTTGGAAGTACTGGGCCATGACTTGGGGTGTCATGCCATTGTTGCCCATCTGCTGGCCCATTGAGCCTTGGCTCGACTGGTCACCGTCCTTTCTGAACTTGCTACGTCGCGAAGCTTCCTCTTCCTCCCTAAGGTTGCCCCTGGGTTGGGCTTTCTTGACTTCGATTGGCTTTCCGTGGATCTCTAGGGGCACGTTGATGCAGGCATCGACACCCGCTTCGTTCTCGAATGTGACAAAGCCGAAACCTCTTGGGCGGCCAGTATCTTTGTCCATCATGAGAGTCGCATCCACGACGCGGCCGAACTGAGCAAAGTACTCCTTGAATTCTTGGTCGGTGGTTTCTTGGCTAACACCACCAACAAAGATCTTGCTTGTCTTTTCTTGTTCGTCTCGAGGAATAGCTCGCTTGGGATCGATCTATATGATATTAGCTTGGCAGAAAAGACAGACCAAGGGTTTATTTACAATCTTGCCGTCGAGGAAGTGCTCTTTGACCATGACGATGTTGACTGTCTTGGCATCCTTGAAGGTAAGAAAGCCGAATCCTCGTGACCGTCCTGTGCTGCTGTCTCTCATGACAGTGCATTCAACAACTTCGCCGAATTGTGAGAAGTAGTCTCTTAGAGATTCTAGTAGTCGCTATTAGTACAAGATCGCGCATGGGTATACCTTTCATGACTTACGGTCGGTAGTTTCCCAGTTGAGACCACCAATGAACATTTTACTAAAGCGACATGTCAGTATTTGAGCCGTTTGCAGATATGTTTATGCATCATGAGGTATCAAAATGTTTGTAGAACGTAAATGTGCTGGATCTGGCGTATGGTTTGAATTCCAAGTTGAAGGCGAAGTGGCTTGCTTAGAACTCGGAAATTGGCGAATAGTCAAAGGCTTTGCTGGGTTGGATTGCCTCTCGGACCTTAACAAAGCTGACTTGTCTAACTCCAGTGCTCTACACAGCGAAGTAGCCGAGTGACCTTGATTTGATCATTGCATTTTGGCGAGTACTTTGCACCGCAACAAACAGTCTGTGGAAGTTTGTAGGGCAATACGGGTGCATGCAGCAGAAAGAGAGTCGCTTGCTTTGAAACATCCAATTGTTCGGTTTGTTGTAGTTGTTGGCGGCAAACTGCTGCAGGATCCCTGCGCGCAGATGCAATAAAGGCCAGCTTCAGCTTAACAAGGGCCATGGTTGACAAAAAGTTGATCATGAATCGCCACGATGGTCGAAGAAACGGCGCAGACATTGCAACGAGAGATGCCAGATCAGCTTGGTCGAATATGTTTTTCGTCTTGTGCTATCGTCTTGACTGTCCTCTCTGTCTCATGCTAGGTACTGGCCTCGAGCGCTATTCGCTGCGAATCTCGCTATAGCATCTGGGAGTGTTTACCACTCCCGTCGGCTCAAAGATTTCTGCGACTGAGGGCTATGGAAGACTGAAGTAGTGTCTTTCGTCTGGTCTAGTGCCGGCTGATTCTTCTCGGGAGTATCCAAAGGCGAATCTCATACTGATATCGACAACCTCCTCTTCCTCATAGACAGCAGCCCAGAGTGTCTGCACTGGCCATAGCTCTCGATCCCCATATACTCTTGCTTGACTGAGATTATGGCAAATCCTCCGTCTTGAATCTTTGCAGTATAATGTCTCCGATAGCAAAACCTTCTTCGCTTACTTTGACCGCGACCCTTTCTAGCCAAGCCAATGTCCGAGATGCATGCAAAGCTAAATTGAGAACCACTATTACATGGCAGCCACATTGCCGTCACGATTCAATGCCACTGAATCATACTAAACCATGGTTTTTTGTTCAAGGGCGAATTTAAAGGATAGAAATCACGAGGTGCAGGAACGGTAGAAACTTACCCATCTTCTTTGGCACTTGCCTTGTGAACGGTTCCATAAGGAGGTGTCTGAGCATCATCATGCATGCCAGACTGGCCTGTGTGACCGCCATAGCCTCCCCCGCCGAGATTGAAATCAACATCATCGTCGTCATCATCCTGATCTTGAGTCATGTGTTCATCACCTCCGACATCCTGATGTTGGTATGTAGCGTTGTGATCATCGTCGTTATGACTGTTAGTAGGAGGCTGCACTTCTGGGGCAGGGGGAGCTGCTGGCGCTGGTGCTGCCGCAGGAGCAGCCGCAGGGGCCGGCTTGGGGGCATCGTTGTCGTCGTAACTATCAAAAGAGTTAGTACCCCAAGAGGTGGAAAGGGCGCGTCGCCGAGCGCTTCAAGAAGTCGAGACATACAGGTCGGCGAAGAGATCGTCCTCGAAGTTCTCTGGCTCGGTCATGGTAGCGGTTGAGCTTTGTCGCGTAGTCGTAGAGGAAAGGAGAATATGAGGAAGTGTCGCGGAAGTTGCGCGCGTCGTGCGAACAAATCTAGCAGTGGATTGACGTATGGGGTTAAAAGGGAAAGGAAAAAGTTGTGTATTTGATCGGAAGGAGATTGATTGATGAATGATTATTGAGAGCTCAAAGAGAAGGAGAAGAGGAGGCGATTGTCTGAACTGAACCATGAAGGTAGGTTCTACCTGCGGAGCTAAAGCCTAACTCACTGGAATGACTAAGCGGAGCAGCACCCAATCAGGTGTTAGCGCAAGTGCAGCAAAACAAACCACCTCTATGCCATCATGAAACCAACACTTGGACCTTATTCGAAAGAAAATATTCAAGATTTTGCAACGGAACAATATTCTTCGGCCCCCGTTTCTTCATCATGGTACTTTAGAGTTGCTATAGGTTTTGGCGATTCATCATAACTGGTGAAATTGCTATCCCCTATAGTTCCTACAATATAAGGCCCATGAAAGTGGACACAGACTGATTATTTACATGCTTTTGCAGCGATAAGGAATGCCTCATTCTTTGTTTTATGTTGGCTAGCCATATGAACATGCAGACAGTAGAATGACTCTAACCGCTGTCATGCATGCAGTGCTGTGATAGTGTTCTTGTCTACCCTCAACGAATAAGCTTGGATCCATCCTGAATTGAGGCCACGGGCTGAGTTGGCTAGCTGGCAGGCTCGACAGGCCGTAGCCGGGCAGACAGGGTTATGGTAAATTAGCGGGCACCCCCACTATACACCCGCCACTGTCCAAGCTGTGGTAGCGCTGTTTGCGGGGTGATCTCGTGGTTGAGCCAGGGCAGCCTAATTAAGCCGTTCCTTATTGTTCATCGATCCATCGACTATGCCAATCCTACCAACCTACTGACTTTCCTACCTGCCCTTCCCAACATCATAGCGTCGCGTTGCATCGCAGCATGTAAAAGACGTCTCAGGCCTCTTCCAAACGGCCTCACTTCTCCTCAGCGAACCATGTGGTCATCTTCTGGAAGCGGCAAGAAGCCCGCGCAATCTGTAAGTTCTTACTATCAGCGTCGAAGCTCTCAATGCTCACGAGACTCGACGTAATGGCTGCCCGCCTTTGCTAACAGCCCCACCGCCGCAGGAGATGGTCCAAGTTGGTATGTTCATACATAGGCGAACTCTACAATGACGAGTATTTGCTGATACAAGCCCAATCGATGTTGAACAGATCGATCAGAGTATGTATTATTTGTCTCGGCTTGTATACTCTTAAGTTCGCGCGCTGAAGCTTCTCCAACTAGGTCCGCATCACCTTTCTGGAGACCGCCACCCCGAGACAGCCTTAGTTCCTCATCCAAGAGGAATATCGCGTCGCCTACAGGTCATGGATCTGGCCTTGTAGTTGGCGCTGCATATTCCCACGCGGATATGCTCAAATTCGACTCCTTGTATGCGGAATTACTCCCGAGCCTGGGCAAGGACCTTTGTCGTTGACGTTGATATACCAGGAACTCCAACTCCTCTCGACCTAGAACACCACCCTCCTCCTCATCGGCCAAGATTCGAATCCAAGAAGCTTCTCCCCCTTCGAAGACGACACCTGGGAAGAACGGTTCCCCTCCTTATAAGAGCTACATCAACTTTCTTTCTAACACAAACGATGACTGGAAGGCGGACGAAGATGATATGATGGGCTATGAAGACGATGACGGGGACGACTTTGGCTTGCCCAGTCTGTCAAATATGAAGAGAAGGACACGGCGCATTGCTACACAAAACAGGGCAGAGTCCAGTACGTTGTCACCATCAACTGAGGGACCCTCCGATTCCTTCCTAGCAAGACGATATTCAAACAGCGCCGACATCGCTATCGAACGACCTGCACCTACTTATCCCATGCCCAAGAAAAGCGAGGGCAAGATCCTTCGACCGCAATACAAGGAAATACTAAAAGGTTTGCCGGCGCGATTCCATATGCTTCTCGTACAAACACTAACAGTGTATAATAAGACCCCGCCAATGCTCTACACCTCATCAACTATCCTACCGTACCCGCCAACGCCACTCCTAAAGAAGCCGATGCCATTAATTCTCGAATTACACGTATAAACAAGTTCAAGAAGCTCCTACAAGCTTCTACTATCTCGATACCCGACTTAAGACAACTTGCATGGTCTGGAGTGCCACAGGAAGTCCGCGCCATCACCTGGCAGCTGTTGCTCAGTTATCTTCCCGCAAATAGCGAGCGCAGAGTTGCCACCTTGGAGAGAAAGCGTAAAGAATATTTAGACGGCGTTCGCCAGGCTTTCGAGAGAGGAGGAGGAAATGCAACCACATCGGCCAATACAGCTCCTACAGGACGAACTCGAGGTTTAGACGAGGCCATCTGGCACCAGATCAGTATCGACGTGCCTCGAACCAACCCGCATATCGAACTGTACAGTTACGAAGCAACACAGCGATCACTTGAGCGGATTCTTTATGTGTGGGCTGTACGTCATCCAGCCAGCGGTTACGTTCAAGGCATCAACGATCTCGTAACGCCGTTTTGGCAAGTATTCCTTGGCATCTATATTGGAGATCACGATATTGAGTCCGGAATGGACCCGGGACAACTCCCTAAGTCCGTGCTAGATGCAGTGGAAGCCGACTCCTTTTGGTGTCTAACAAAACTGCTCGATGGCATTCAGGACCACTATATCGTTGCGCAACCAGGCATTCAACGCCAAGTTGCTGCGCTACGCGATTTGACAGCACGTATAGATGGCAATTTGTCTAAGCATCTCGAGCAAGAAGGTATTGAGTTCATCCAGTTTAGTTTCCGTTGGATGAACTGTCTCTTGATGCGAGAATTCAGTGTCAAGAACACAATCCGAATGTGGGACACTTATTTGGTTTGTCAACCCCTGATCAAGAAACACTCCTAGAAACTAACCAACCTACCAGGCTGAAGAGCAAGGTTTCTCCGAGTTCCATTTGTACGTATGTGCGGCCTTTCTCGTGAAGTGGTCCGATAAGCTCCTCGATATGGACTTTCAAGAGATCATGATGTTCCTTCAGAGCCTCCCTACCAAGGGATGGACAGAAAAGGACATTGAGCTGCTCCTGAGTGAGGCGTTCATCTGGCAGAGCCTCTTCAAAGGCTCTGCGGCGCATCTTAAGGGTCAACCTGCTCGTGAACCCGTCACGAATTTACAACTATGAAAACCAGAGATGAAATCTTTATACTAGCATGCAAGCTTGAATATGCATATCGAAATACTTTCGGCGTTGGTTCATGACGGGTGCGGCTCGACGAAGTGTACTTGGCACAATGTAAAGAACGAGATTATATATACTATAATGTGGATGAAAACCATGACCCATGTCGTCTGAGTGGTTGTTTGATGCTTCATTGTTTTATGGCCTTAGTGAATGTAACTATAGCAGCGAAGATGAATGATGATGAGATTTGGATCATGTTGTATTAGTTGGGATGGATCAGCCTAGCATTTTGCAATTGAGAACTATTCTGTCTCTTGATCGATTTAACATTGTTGATTTAAGGTATCCTTATGTGACTTTTATCTCCCAAACATAAATGGCTCGAAATAACTAATGTCTGGGCGCATTATATGCCATCCACATTACATCGCAAACATCCACCCTCTATAGACAAATAACCCAATCCGGAACGCCAGGCCGTCAATATTAGTTATATACATGAGCGCTAGAAACTATCCCAATCGCATAGGACCAGAACTGCAATAAACAGATGCGTTGATCTCAGTATGAGTACCGCCGTATAGAATCCTTCCTAGGTTCCACGAGATCTCTTATAAAGCCTAGCTTCTCGCGATCTTCATCGCACACCCGAGCCCATTCGAGTAACAGGCGCCAGGTATAGAGACGCATATCTTCACGCCGCAAGACTTGGCTAGCCCAGTCTCGACCCCTCTCTGCAATGAATCGGGCTGCGGTATCTCCGCCGGCTTCTTCATCGGTGAAGAATTCGAGAATGGGATATAGATCCTGAAAGGTATTGTCGAAGGGCACGAAGTGAACCCACGGAGTAAGGCGATCATCATGCCATTCCGCATAGATCGTTGCCTTGAGAGGCATACTCGAAGAGCGCAAGAAACCTCGGAAGCGGGCGCTAAAGGAGTTGCCATCGGTATCCGGGAGGAACTTGAAACGATACTGCTCTTTCATGGGCATATGGTCGAGTTCACGGTAGTAAGGAGCGAACTGTTCGCAACCAACCTTTTCGCATAATAGCCGCTTGAAACCACAGTCGGAGATCTTCTTCAGCCATTGTCCAATAGTGTTGGTAGCCAGGCGAGTGCTGTTATAGTGATTGGCGTTTGGGAATTGGAAAGTTTTCGGCTTGACTCCCTGATGTTCAACACTGTCGACATATGAACCGTTAAGCATCTGCATGAGACGATGACGGTGAAAGCGGTGCCAAACATCAGGTCTTGGCTCGCCGCCGGAGGCATCACCCCTCCAAACAATGCCTGTTTTCTTGGCATGCCATGCTGGACCCATCTTCTCTCCTCCGGAGTAGAACTCATCCTTGGTGAGGTACATGGCACCAGGAATCAGAATTTCGTTATTCATTGGAAGCTTGGATCCGCCGAATAAAGGAATCAATTCGGTTGAGGTAGACAGGCTCAGAGGTGCGACAAAGCTTCCATGCATCTGGCGTAGATGTGGCTGTAGGCAAGGATCTTGAGAGGCAGTCCAATTCTTGATATACCCTCTGTACGCATATTCGGGGTTCCAGTTTGATGGGTACTCGACAGGAGCTTTAAAGTCTGAGACTTGTTGGACATTGCGCGACGGAGCGTTAGGGTCACACGTCACACGCGCAAGCTCCCAGTAGTTAGCTGAGCTATTGTACCAGTAAGGGTCGTACGGCTGAGGTTTTTCGTCGTCGAGTTTGGAAAGACTTTTGAACTTGTTAAAAACTTCTCTCAAAGGAGCTATGCGGCGGTGGTCGCGCTCTCGTTCAACGAGTTTCGATAGGTCTTCGAAAGGGACCAGAAGTCGGGGCTCGTCCATATAGTTGATGGGCATGTCAACGTCGGGCAAATCCTTGGCGAACTCTTTGACAAGATCGGTCCATAATTCCAGCCATGGCACACGATTTGTTGTGTCACCAACGCCAGTAGCCTCGCCGTTGCGAACTTTGACAACCCAATGCCAAGCCGATGCACGCCGAGCAAGTGTGTGAGAATCAAGCGCCCAGTAAGGAGCCAGATCCTTGTATATGCGATCGAAATAGTCCTCCACAATAATGCTCTTGGATTCAAGAGCAGCTTCTACCCACTTATCGAAACCCGGTGGGGGGTGACGCCCTCGGCGAGAGCGATACCGCTCAGCGGCATCATATAAATCGTAGCTTCGTTTTGAAAGGACGCTCTCATGACGAGCGCGGGCGTCAGCCATGAGCTTCTGAATTGGGTGCTTTGGACCCAGAGTGACAGGGCCTTTCGGTTCGGTAACATCCCAACCTTGGCTGCTCGTCCATAGTACGTAATTGGTGATCGCGAAACATATGAGAAATAGGGTGCTGAGGTAGCGGAAGACTAATCGAGAGGGCCAGTTCGATAGCCATTGTTTGAACCGAGGCCACATCATGGTCGCGGTTATGATGTAGAGAAATCGGCGGCGGAGGTGTCGGAGAATTTATGCGCGCCTCGAGGGAACGGGCAAACGAAGCATTGACGGCGGACGATCGCAAGCTCAAGGAGCGAGATTCAAGGTCATTATTGAGCGAGATATTACTTGATTTGTGCCGGATAAAGGATACGTTCGAGGTTGGTCTCGGTAGGGATTCGGCGGGTCAGGGTGGATATCGTAGAGAGGAAAGCCAGAATAGGTAGAACAAGACAGATGAAGATCAGTAAGAAGAAGAAGAAGAAAAAAAGTAGGGAGATAGTATGATTACCCAAGCAGGGTTCAAAAGTGGTGAGTTGAGGATTTGGTGTTGAAAGAAGTCAGGTGGAACAAGAAGGAGTTCCTGGACATGGAAGTACCTACTCTACCTGCCCTGCCCTGTAGCCTGTCGAGGTGGAAAGTGGAATCGCCGGGAAGTCGCGAACCAAGACCTGGCCAGGCCGGCCCTTAGTGGAGGGGAGGAGGCGTTGGAGCGTGGAGAAGTCACACTTGGAGATTGATTTTGCGGGCCACCTGCAGATAAACTTACAAGGGCTGACACCTCTGAATGGAAGTTGCCTTATCACCTCGAGTGTGATCACGGAACAAAGAACCTAATGTGACCTGTTGCTAAGTTAAAAACCTGATTGAGGTATGTACAATTGACACCCGTAGTAAGCAGGATGTTAAAGGAAGATAGACATGAAGCAAACATTCAATGGAGCAGCAGGAATATCCAGGCTATTCGGGGAAAGACTTGAGTCTAGAAGCTAACGGCTAGCTCCAAATCCTTCTGTGTTGGTTGGTACGTAAGTTGGTTGGTTGGTTGCAGTCTCTTCAGTTCCTGGAGACGCATTGCTAGAATTTGTTGATGGCGCCATTGTGTTAAGATCCATACGAGAACAGAGATCCTCTGCAGTGGCTCATGATGATTTGATTTTCCTATACCAAACTACATGTGCTTCATCCATGGCTCTCACGTTGTACAGATACAGTAGCCATGCATACTCCAAAGCCGCCCACTTTACTGTAGGTGGTCAGAGAACAGGCCGTCTGCCAGAAAAGGGGAAAATCCGAGTCTCAGAACGGCAACTACTGTCCTGCCCGCGTCCAGCCCTTAGCGGGGTGGCTTGGCGTCTTGTTAGTGATCCATGGATTGAAGGAGCACTGACCTGGACAGCGTTGGAATGCTATTTATGTCACTAGGGACGAGCTGTCATTCATGTTATTCCCTTGTTTCCCATAGCTCCAACCCTTACAGCAAGAGCTGCCAGTTAAATTAGAGCGGTTCTTGAATGCTATTATCTTAACTCGATTCTGTGAGGGTTTATGGTTCCGCATGCACATCAGAAACTAGCTGCGTCTAGCCTTACGTTAACGCCCCATGGCTGACTTTAATCCATTTATATACAGAAAGTGACATGATGGTAAAATCTCAACCAACGGGCTTTTTTATGTACCAATGTAACCAGTACAACTGTCTCTCTTCTGATTGAAACATACCTGATCCCTGCAGGAACCGGCTTTAACCCCGAAAACGCGACTTGAGATCCTTATCCAGGGATTTCAAATTATCGATATAAACCACCCACGGTCATTACGGTCGTTACGGATGGTACAAAGTCGCTTGAGAGATCCCAGTCCATAAAATGCTTGAGCAATGGCCAATGCGAGCAGCAACCGAGGCTACAAGCATTTTGTAATCTAAAACCCAGCAGAGCACGATCAGCAAATCCACAAGCTTTATTTAAGTATCATCACTTCATTGGCTGTGTCCAAACCAACCGTGACCCTGCCAAAATATCTTCTGCATAACCGACCTATGATTGAAGCTGCGGCTAGTTATCCCCGGCTCCGAAGTGAACCACCCCTGCTACCTTTTACTGGGTTGCAGAAATATTGTTCTCCGATGCTTCATGTGCCAACACAAAGTAATTAATGTTGTCGCTGGCCTCAACATGGCATAAAGTGATTAGATTATTTCGTCTCCTGTGCCCTCGATTGTCAGGTTTTCTGATATCTCGATGCCCTGTCAGCAACCCAAGTTAACTCATTTATACAGGCTGTCGTACGTGTTCCTGCTTCAACGGTCTCAAATGAAAGCTAGTGAATTAAACACCCCTTACAGAAAAGGGGTCAGAAACTCTGGGGAAGATCTACAACAGCACGTTAGTCTACGCATCGCGGTTTGTTTAGACTGTGTTCTAATGGAAATAACCATATTGTCAATAAGCGTAAGAATTGACGCTCAGAAGGTCACCAGGTAGCCCTGTAGTTTGAATTGCATTTGAGTTAGCTTGCAGTACCCCAGCTTGATGACACAGCGTGGTTCATATCGACTCCCATACGGTACAGTATGACGTTTACAGAACAACTCAGCTCGATAGTTTTGTATCAACTACTCAATGACATTGCATGTGTTGTACTCATGCATTCACCATTTTACTCCTTACTCCAGCCCTATTTTGCATCAGTTTCTGTTGATCGTCAACTGCCTATCTAGATGTGCTACCGTCAAGAGATCAGCTGAGCTTGAAAGCTCTTTCGAGAAACCGGGTGAATACAATATTAGAAACCTCTTGGCCCTCCGAGGGAAGGATATGCACGTTTCTGTATCCGCTTCTGCTGTGTTTGTGAAACACGAGGACCGAAACTTTTTAGCAACATCCCTGATATACAACTCAAACACAGTCTGTCTTTTATTGCCAAGTGCATACGTCGGAATAATACAATGATCAATTTCCATCGATTGCCACTTGCCCTGAATCAATATTTAGCGACCCCCTGATTACAGATAGGCGATTTCATCGTAATTGTCTCCAAAGTTTGATGTGAACCCCAGCAATGATGAGTTAAGGCCCTGTGACACCAAACTCAACCGCTGGGAGCAAAGAGACGAAGTTATCAGTCCTTCATGTATGCCATTTAGACTGCTGTCGTGCTGTTTATTTTTGCGCCCGAGACGTCGAGGGCAGCCTTTCTAAAAACTCTGGGACAGTCTATAGCGCTGCATCCGCAATCGAGAACCATGATCTAGAGAGACGGGAAGTATTTGCCACTAGATTCGGAAGATCTGAGTCTAGGTGAGTCCGTTCCAATGGAAAAATTGCAGTCTGATGGCGGACTCGCCTTCTGAGTGCAATGTGAACGTCATGGATTTCGATGAATGAACCTTTTGAACCCCGTGACGCCTTAGTACGAGGCGAAACATTTCGCGATAAGTGTCGAAGAATCCATCTGGATATCTTGATTTCAATCCTTCCTGGTTCAAAATTTTCCTCTCTGAATTATTTTTAGACGTTCCTTCCAATATTCAGTAGAAGTCGTTGAAGTTATCGCCATATAAGTATCCCCACGTGGCGGCTAATCTGCGGGCCGTCATCTAAACTCGATCAGCCAATCAGAGTCGTCTTATTCCGATTCGGCAAGCAAAGAGGCGAACCATCCAAAACGTCAACCAAGAAAGCTTCGCTCCGCCAACGCCGTTGACCACGTCCGCGCCAATCTCCCCTCTACAACACCCCTGATATCGTGCAATCGAGGTAATCTCGTCTGCCGATTCATTGTATCGCACAAGATGTTGTCCTCTACGCGATTTGGAGCCTCAATGGCCCTCCGAGGTGGGTGTTCTCGACTCTCCCGGCCGGCGGGTTTTTATAACTCGGACATCGAATATGGCCATCGCAATGTGAAAATGCCTTGCTAACGTCATTCGATACTCTAGCCAAGCCTACGACTGCCGTTATCCCCTTCCGAACCGCCGCTGCCGCTTTCACGACCAACTCTCGCCGCGATGCGAGCGCTGTCCAGACTCAATCAGCCACCGGTGTAGGCAATGTCCGCCGAGAGGTTCCTCTTCCCAGCGAAATTGCTCCTAAGGGTGCTCTCCAATACGCGCTGTACGTTTTTATGTCGAAAACCCCGATCGTTGGGTGTCCGGATCTCCATATATAACGAGGCTAACTCGTATACTCCCACAGGACCACACTCGATGCCGTCACCAACTGGGCTCGCCAGTCCTCTCTCTGGCCTATGACTTTCGGTCTGGCTTGCTGTGCCGTCGAAATGATGCATCTTTCTACACCACGATACGATCAGGATCGTCTCGGTATCATTTTCCGTGCCTCGCCCCGACAGTCCGATGTCATGATTGTTGCCGGAACTCTTACCAACAAGATGGCTCCTGCTCTCCGACAGGTTTACGATCAAATGCCTGAGCCCCGCTGGGTTATTTCCATGGGTTCTTGCGCCAATGGCGGTGGATACTACCATTACAGCTATTCAGTCGTTAGAGGTGATTACCACAACCTCCAAATAACCCTCTAGACATGCTAATCTCGTAACAGGCTGTGATAGAGTCGTACCTGTGGACGTGTACGTGCCTGGATGCCCTCCTACAAGCGAGGCTCTCATGTATGGTATCTTCCAGTTGCAGCGAAAGATGAGGCAGACCAGGATCACCCGCCAGTGGTACAGGAAGTAGGCTCGCATTTTCATAAAGGGAAAGATGCGACTAATTGGAATCATGAGAGAATGGCACAGAAAGTAAGAATGACATTGATCAATGTTACTGATTGTGGTTGTGGTTGTGGTTGAAGCATATGCGGTGGAAGCGTGTGGGAAAGGGGCTGGGATGGCGGTCACCAAGGACTAGAGCAGTTCCATCTCCTATGTTCAGCTTTGTAGATTTAGTTTCTTTTAAAAGAACGGAACAGTAAGAAACGAGTTCTATTAACATTCGTGATTTTTGTTGTACACCTGCTTGACTTCTCAGGTTGAGGTCGTGTATGGAGGCGATTCCTAAACTTCGAGCACCATTACATAAGAAACAAACCATCAAGATTTCTCATTTGCTCTCATCAATAGAATTCCAACATGCATCTTCATGTTTGTTTATCTATCGAATTACGATCTGTCTACCCGTCTCCGTTTACGTGCCTGTGTACCAAAACAATCACAGCATGTCATACGGCTGTACATTGAATCCGCCTGGACGAAAGACACAAAGCTGATTCCTTTCCGCTATTCCGTTTCATCAACGACAATACCATGATACCAGAGGAGACAATGAAGAGCTCAAGTAACACAAACTGGTTTCACATGAGATCTTCAGGGTCCTCGTTTTTTACAGGATCCTCAGAAGAACGAGGACCCTCAGCAGGCTGGAGCTGCTCTCGACGTCTGCGGCGCTGGAAGTTGTCAGTAACTATGTAAACAATTACTTTGGAATTACTTCTTACCTGAGCACGAGTCAAACGACGGCGAGGTCGACGGCCCCTGCCCAGAGGGGCACCGCCTGGTCCTTCACCATTCTAGATAAAACCATTAGTATACCTTACAGAACCAAATAAGAATCATATCATACCTCAGCAGGCGCGGCCTGCGGCCCAAAGATAGGCGCTGGTGCCTGCGCACCTTGTAGTGATAGGAGACTTGGTAAAGGCTGAGGCTCTGGTGAATGGCCGCGAACCTTTGCCTTTCGTGGTACCCAACTGTGCTGGATGTTTGCCCCCAGCGCGGAATACCAACCTGAGAAGGTCAGAAACAACTTCATATTCAAATTGAAAACATTTCTCACGGATCATATCGTTCTGGGTTGAGCGGTCTAGCCGCCCCGAGCGTCGTTCTTCGGGAACGATTTGATGTACATTCTTGTAGTGGTTTCGGAGCGCTGATTCCGACGAGAACTGATGTGACTAGATTGAAATATTAGAAAATGGTTATCAAACAATCCCCAATCTATTTATCATACTTCACTACAAATCCCATCCTCGCCGTACCGGAATCGGCAGTACAGCTCGCCGGGGTTTAGAATCACGCTCCCAGCTGAGTTTGTGGCAAGCGGTGGTAGGAGGCGCTCGTCTGGTCTTTCGCCATTGTTGAGGTATGCTTTGTACGATGCATGGTCCTTGTATCCGACCATGTTTGCAGAGTGTCAAGATTCAGTTCATAGGTTGTAGGGGAAGTTGCTGCAAATCAGTCAAGAGATAATCAGGATGTAGTTGTAGGAAGGGGGAAAAACAAAATCTTTGATATGCAAAAAATACAGAAATGAATGGGAAGTGTTTTGTAGCCTGAAAAATTACTACCTGAAGATGTACCAGCTGTCTGGCACTGCCCGTAGGATGTGTCGGTACGATCCCCCAAACAGTTTAGCTACTGGTTAATAACATGTTCCACAAAATCGTTTACGGCATAATCTATGATTTTTCTAATGTTTTTATCCTTAAGCAGCTTTGAGTCTGGACAAATGGCGATGTCGTTTTGGAGTTGTAGGCATTAGATACCCGAGCTATGCGTCGAGTTCGCGAAGGAAGACGAGCTAGTGGTTCATTATATAGATGCGGTTTCCCCCTCAAAATTATTACCTATCTAGTACCTAGTTATGCTCTGCAGCACGACGCTTCTCTCGAGGTAACTGAGATAGTCTATATCTTCCTTGTCGTGGGGATATCAGAAGAATTAGCTGCCAAGAGCATAAGAGACGAAATAACTTATTCATCTTATACAAGCTTAGACTAAGGATTAGTTACTTTATTTTAGTAGCCTAAGTCTCAGAGGATATCCTCTGTCACCCAGCTGCTTGAGTATGCATGGACGGCACTGCGACGGATTGTCAAACAAGACCTGCTGGGGAATACAAACTGCCTACTAACCTAGGTAGGTATCAACCCGGGCAGTCCTGCTACTTCAAGATTTCCTTTGCAAGCGGGTTTGTACTGTTGCCTGCTGCCTAGGTACCCAACGGATAGCATCCATGGTAATTGACAATCGTGGCCATTCTGCTACATCCTGCCTTGTCTATACCTTATGAACGCTCTTTCCTCCCATCCACTCTTCCTCTCTTCGCTCCAACCCATACCAAAGACATTCAATACTGGAAAAATGGGAACGGTTTCCAGTATTCCCTCCCCCCCCTTCTTCCTACATGTCAATTTCAGCTCCTTTATGGCCTCGACCAACCATGTCCGGAACTCTTACATTCCGACGGGCACGGAATCACTCGACAGCAGAGATGTCTAAGAGACGAACCAGTAAGTAAATTTATGACATTTAGTCCATGTACTTCGGCTATTATTTCCTTCCCGTATCCTAAACTTAGAAGCTGACTTCATGGTGCTCATTTAGACGAGAGTCGGGGATGGTTCGGATTCTGGAGGTGTTTCTACCAATACTTTCCTGAAGACTCACGAGAACGCTCCTCCAGAAACAGATTCTGACACTCCTCTTGTTCCGCACATCAAGCGAAGGCGGATGGCAAGCCTTGCTAACATCAATGGCGACGCTCTTCCCTCAATCCTCGACAAATCGTTCCTCCTACCCCCGACCATGATAACGACGAATACCTTGCCCCCCAGAAATTCACGCCGAATCTGATGAGCAAGACCTGAGAAAAACCAGCCCCTGCAAGCTCGTCGATATGGAGGATACCAAAGACGCTGTTCGTCGATGACAATGACGATCCAGAAAAGCCAGAAGTCCCAGATGGTCAAACCAAATTCTGGATGAGAAGACTACTGGCAAATGTGCAAGAGCCCTCCTCCTAATGATATTACCCCATTTCTCGGACCTGGCGTATCACTCCCTAGCGTCAAGATCAATATTGAACGATTCAAATCCGCATCGCAAATCATGATGCAGCATACCAAGGAGTACGCAGACACACTCAACCCTACAGAACTCAGAGTAAAGGAATTTAAAGCACGGGCACTCTCAGCCGGTTTTCGGAATCTTCTACAGCGAGTTGAGATTTCAGAGATGAGAGAGCCTTATCCTACCGCTATACCTCGGCTGTCCTTGGTCGTGAGCATCTACATCCGTCCGCCCTTCTGGATTTGCCGCACATCGACAGTAGCCTTTGGGGTGTCTACATCAACATTGTCACCGACAGCCTGGCGAAGTGGTTGGGATCTATATCGGCTCAAGCGTCGCATACCGCACCTATATTAGAATCATTGCCGCTTGATTCAACAGTTGAAGAACAACAGGAACCCTCCACGCTATGCCAAAGTGTGAACAATCAGAGTACTGCCGCCTAACTACACAGCCAGATAATCCAGCAAGCGTTATGTAAAAATTTATATTACTTTGCTTGAATCAAAATGCTCGCTGTTATTCTCTCTCTTATAAACTTCCCCTCTGCTACTGGTGATAAATAATATTGAACCTACACAGTATATCCTCCCTATGATCAGACTCGAGTAGGTGGGTCGAAGAAAAACCGGGACTTAGTTAAAGATTTCATAAAGATTAGGATAGTTCACTCTAAGTTTTAGTGCCTAAACATGCCTAAGCGATTTAATACGCTCCTAAGTCCTGGGTGGCAGGTGGCTTAAACAATAATTCGCACATTGAATGCTGCCACGTGACTGCTCGTGCGGGTTATATTTTGACCCACTGGGCTGCTACCTTGCTCCAGACGTTCGGGCTGTCGAGGTAACAAGTGGGGCCTTACATCACCTAGCGCTACATCCCCTCGTCGCTTCTTTTCTCCACCATCACACCCTCACACCCTCACACCTAAGACGAAGCTGTATCGCAATGTAGCCGCCCGGTTACTAGCCCAAGACGAGGCTATATTACAATATCGTCCCGTTCTTATTATCACACCACTCTCTCACGCCTAAGACGAGGCTATCGTAAATATCGTCCGGCTCTTGTCACCAGCCTCCCCAGGTGGCTCGCGGGTACGCTAGTAGGACAGTACCAAACAAGAGTAATCTCATCAACTTCTCTCCACGCTATCACAACATTTCCTCACGCCTAAGACGAGGCTGTATCGCAAATTTCGTCCCGTTGTTATCATCACACTACTCTCTTCTGCCTAAGACGAGGCTATTGCAAATTTCGTCCCGTTCTTAACACCAACCTCTGTGGAAGACTAGCCTGGGCCGGGGCTATATTACAATCGCGTGCCATTTCTATCATTACACCACTCTCTCTCTCTCTCTCTTGCCTTACAAGTCTGTGTCGCAAAACCGTTTGTTCGCTGAGTATGATACTACCTTAGCCTATTCTGAAGTGGCATTTTGCTAATCTGATCTAAGCCCGTGCACCCACATTTCAGCTAGGGCGATCGCCCTGATCTGACGCCCACAAAAAATACTCAACCATTCCTACACTCTTTGACCGTTGCTATTGCGCTTGTTTTTGACAGCCTACCCACACACCCCCTTGACCCGCAACATGTGGGAACAGTCCCCGGAATCGATGGCGCAGCCACTGCCGGATAAGCCATACGATGCGATTATCACCAAGCGTCAAAACGAAAAAACCCAAACTGACATCACCTGCAATAACTGCCACCAAACAGGTCATCGCGCTTCTGATTGCACAGAGCCCCGCCCCTGTACAGAATGCGGTGAAGTTGGCCATTGGAGGAAAGAATGTCCCAACCGCCGTTGCAAGTGGTGCGACAAGACAGATCATTTGGCAAACGAGTGCCCTGAGGACCTCTGTCTCTGGTGTTTTCAGGTTGGCCACCTTGCTCCAGGTTGCAACAACCTGCGAGCCAAGTGTGACAACTGCGACGCTCCCCATCTGACACGCCATTGCAGAGGCAGAGGAGGTACTCTAAAGAAAAAGGGAAAGGGGAAATCAAAGGCCCAGTAAAGGTAATAAGCCTGGCGATTCCTTGTTCATTCCCAGCTTTACTAATGTCAGACAGCAGATCATTCAAACGCGTGGTCGCTCCAGCCTTCTTGAAGAGTTTAATGCAATGGATGGTGCTCAACCTGGCACTGATGATTATACCTGGGACACTACTCAGACTGGCACTGGTGATATCACGAAGGAAGTCGAGGAGGCGAACGGCTGGTGGTAAACTCTGATTGATATGATTGTCAAAGGTCTAGGTACAAACGTAGCTTAGAGCTGAGTACTACCTAGGTGAACCCAGATTATCCCCTTTGCCCAGATAAACTGCTCTCACTAAGTGATACTATCTAACATCAAGGCACAATCGGCTTAGACTACCAAAATAAAGTAGCCTAAATGCTAGTCTAAGCCCGCATAAAATGATCAAATTATTTTCTCTTTTATGCTCTTAGAGGGCAATTCTTCTGCTACCCGCCTGGCGCGGACTTTGTGCGGTGGAATTCGTGAGTGCAGCACCTACGAGGCAGCAATGATGCTAACGGTTAGGACGATGAAAACCAGGTCCCTCAACGGCGACCACGCTTCTTGATTCGTGTGCCTACCGGACGCTACGAACTGTTCATAGACTTAAAAATAGACCCTGACCATTTACGACCGAAAGAGTACACAACCCCAGCTTGAACTCCAGCACCCGTCGATTGGGGTGCCCGAGGGTTGAACAGAGCGAAAGTGAGAGCTCCTACAAATTTGCGCAGGCATGGACACGGGGAGAATTTCGATCTGCCTTGAGAACACGGGCATGGAATGCTAGGCCGTTGAAGGAAATACGGAGACACAGCATGAGAGCTCACTTAGGTGTGCTGGACGGCGGTGAATAGAAGGCAAATTCAGCATCTACATCAAAGTCCATGCACACATATCGGTCCTTGCATACACATGCTCGTGCCATAACGAGACGGGTAGTCATTCGGGAGACACTCACTTTCTCATATAGGTTTTGCGCAAGTTTCTCAATCTCCGATGCTACAAGAACCAAAAAGGACTTTCGCTGACGCCAGTGCCGACGGCCTTCGTGATGCCTTCACAGCCAGTAAGGGATTGTGGCGCCTCGGGATCTGTACGCGAAGAGATGTTTGGCAGACCACGCACGACAAAACCGCAGATGACACCGCTACCAACCTCTTTGGGAACACAACCGTGGAGGTTAAGGCGACTGCGCACGATTCGTCATGTACAAGTTGAGTTCAATGACCAACCCCCTTGTTCTCGATAACTACTAACATTACCAAGAACCAAACAGTACCTCTTCCGCTATATATATTCCATGGGCGGAGTACAGCCTCCGGAACCCATCACCATGGCGCAACGGGATACCTATCGATTCCATTTCAGAACCAAGCATCGATACATCAAGATCTTCCTTGCATGCAATGTGCAGAGGGTCGCGGACTCTCTGGATAGACTACACTCAGCCCCAAATACCACCATCTACACCGACGTCAAGAAACCAACTGGAAACCCCTCGAAACCAGCTACTGGAAAGGAATAAAGTCCCCAACTACTTGGCGGACGTTAAATCAACATGAAGCTCTTTCGCCGGCAAACGCCAGAAGCAATTACCAACAAGTTAGTAAACAGAGTAATCCATCAATCGATAACATCCTGACATCAGTGACAGGTCAAAAAGAGTAGCAACTAAACCCAAGACATACCCGACCAATTAATGACCACAGCACACAACCAGAGAGAGCCTGCTGAGTAGCTTCCGATACATTGTCGCCGCTGTCGTCCTGGGGACTCTCTGTCGAGCAGACAAGATCAGAAAGTCAATACATCGGAAGCTACTTAGCAAGCTGTCGAGAACTTCAACACCATGCCCAGCCGAAACGGTCCCATGAAAGATACGAGTTTCAGCATCGGTACAGGCGTAGGGATGGCTTGTCAAGCACGATGGCACAACAGAGGGCCACAAATGCGATAATTCCTGTCCAGAAGACCAACTCCGCCCTACCTATGTTCGAATACGACTGGCCGGGTCTACTAGAAGCTATGAGCTTCCGCTACGATGTGAAACTGCATTCCCTTGCTCGATAAGAAACGTCTGTTACAGATTGCATGGAGGAAGTAATTGTCGGCATCTGGTCTCCACCTCATTACATCGAGGCACCCCAAGCTATACCAAGTCTTCATTCAGTTGTTCTCAATCTGGTGTGGACAGGAAGACAGCCCCCAATCAGGCGCATAGCACCAAGAAAGACAGCTATCTCGAAGATTCTCTCAATGAGAACAAAAGTGTCCGGTGGTCCAACCCGAGCTACTGAAGAGCTATGACGCGGGTCGCTCAAAGTCATTTTGGGTTCGGATGGCGTGCTAGCACGAATGCATGGTATATGGTATAGTTTTCTATCTTCTGACGAAGCCGGATCTCGCTAACATTATGCGGCTTCTAGGTGACACAGAACGACAAGAAAGTTACCAGCCATCTTATCAAGAGGTCAGTTTCTAACCCAAAAGCAACCGCCTTGGAGCTGTTACCGTCGAGCGCAAGATACAAGTTCCTTTGCGAACCTCGACGATGGCTCCGTTGTGAAGGAGCTCTTGCAATTCGGCAGAAGGTTTACTTGAAAGCCCAGAAGGCCTTTGGAAGGGAATTGGCGAACAAGATAATTAACAAAGTTCAGTTCCTCTTGAGCACTGCTCTCGAACGAGATGATGTGGCTCAAATAGAGGTGTATTGAGACACCTCGTGATGGACATTGAGTGAACATATAGCTCTGTATATTGAGTAGTCGTCGGTTAACGTGATGGTCTATTATATTTCGTCGTTGACAGTAACCAGGGAAGGATGAGCTACCGATATCACTTTCTCGGGGGAGTTTGTAAAGGCATGACATACCAGCTTCTTCTCTTCATCTCTCGATCCGTCCAATGAAACGAGAGTCACCATAGGTAAGATATATTAGACCTTCTTGTGATGCAAAAAGTCTAGAACGAATATATGCCACTTGCAATAGCCTCTACGTCGACAATGTCCGATTCGTGTGATAATGACTTGGTTTTCTTGATCGACAGTTTGCAGCAACTTCGATCTCGGGACGAGTTGAGTTCTGAACTCACAAGTCAGAACACAAATGACTAACCCTTCGACATGGGTTTACAGCGACGTGGACTCTTCAATTCTGTTGTCGCGTATTCGTAGCCTGTTGGTGCCGCGTTCGGCAGCGAGATGTCTGAACAAACGAATTGTTAGCAGTAGTGTTCAACCAGTCGCCGAATCGCATCGTCACTCATTGTCTGAGTAGGCTTTCCTTCAAGGGAGTGGGCGGCGGATACCGACGAGACGGAGCGCAACGTATCATTAGTGGTTTGTGCAACCGTGCTTGCTCTGGTGCTGAGCTATCCTTGTGATACCAGGACCTGAATGGTTTTGGAACCTTATTTGGAGCTTCTCGTGTCCTGGTGTTCTGAGTCGAAGGCTTTCTAGTCTAGAGGGCGCGCTGGAGGCATTCCCGGCCGTGCTTTGAGGAGAATCTGAAGTCGTTGCTGACGCGATTTCTTGGTTCAACGTTTTTGTATGGTCTCCTTATGACGGTCCAAGATCTCTTTCAGAGTACTGTACTGGGCGAAGATTGTTTCGGAATGAATGTTAACATTACCTCTTGAATCTACATAACGCCCGGGGAACGGGATGTGGATGACGTTGCACGATCTCATCTATAATTGCCGAATGATAGTTGACATTCGCCTGGATGGCGATATGAGAGTTCAGATATGAGTCAAACACAAACTATAGAGTGACTTCCTCTCCAGCAAGAGTACCTAGCAGAAGGTTGCCATTCTTCTCTCATTAAAAGTCGAACGTGAACGGATGAGTGACTTCTTCTCAACAAGGATATCCGGAAGGGCATCGCCATTGCCACCTGCACATTTGGCTGGATGGGAAATACGACAGTTGAGATAGAAGTCGGGAGCGAAACTCGCTTGACTCTTGGTCTACCGGATGGTCTTGGAAAGGTTGTCGGGTCTGCCGATCTTCTCGGGTTGATTCCTTTCGTAAACTCTTCCTTACCTATACAGACAGCCTTGCGCTCCTTTAGTGTTGGACCTTCTGGATGGTAGCGATATCTGTTTGTGTTCGGACTCGGGGACTTGAGTGAATCCTTGAAACGGGTGCTCGCTCGGAAGTGAGTAGTGGCAGGGAGATCGACTATAGCTCGCGCTATACTTTGGAGTTGCAAATTTTCGGATGATCGCGCAGCTTGTAGAGGTATTCAACTTGTGCTTATACCATGTTACCAGCTGTTTTTCGTAGAAACTGCTTCCGAAGGAATAGAAACGGTGTCTTGTTAAGCTTTTCGTTAGCATGGTGAGGGCATAATGGTAGGGGTTGATGGCGAAATGTTTTTATTTAACAGTTGCCCCCGCCTAGTTGGTTGATGTCAGTAAAAGTCCAAATTCGTGGTGTTACGATGCTCATCTAATGAGTCCTGGAGAAAGATTGTTGCCGTTTGGCAAATCTTGAGCTGTCCTGTACTTGATTCTCAGTCTGCCTACCTGCCAAACATCGTATCTGGCGTGAGGGGGGATGACCGGGTTCCTTATAGCAAGGACTGCTTCGTCTCGTCCAGATTTTTCTCCGTTGGTGATCGCTCTGCCCCCTCTCTCCCCCCGCCCCTAGGTAACTGAGAATGAGGGAGAGGATGGAGAAGAGGATGGTAAGGAGAATGGGCAGGAGAGTAGGCAGGAAAATGGCGGCGATAATGGTAATGAGAATGGAGAAGAAACCGGTGGTGATACAACCATGAACTAGATGGAAGCCAGTTTGTAATGAAATCTGAGATAGCAGGAATTATGATTAAAAGGGAGAAAAACTCAGAACTAATCCTCAGACATCACTTGCCTGGCCTACAGTCCAACTGACTTGAAACTGCTAAGTAACAATCTCAAGGCGTTTACACAGGGCCGTCAAGGCGCCAAAAGAATTAGTCGCTAAGAGCATAAGAGATGAAATAATTTAACTACTTTGTGCAAGCTGAGACTGGCAGTTAGGATACTTTATTTTTGTAACCTAAGCCTTGGAAGACAATTCTTATGTTACCCAACTGAGGGTTCATGAGTTGTTCAGCCATCTTGGCGCCTTCCTTCATAAACCTAGCACGCTTGTCTTCCTCAACTGGGCAATCTTTAGCCAGGTGGCCGGTCCCCTGACAGACAAAGCATTTTTCCTGGTAGGAATTAGTAAGTTACAACCAATTCGAATCATTTACTATATGTAATGCATACACTTCCAATGTTCTTTCGTTTTTTGAAAGAGCTTGAATCTTGTTTTGGCTCGATTGAGCCTGGATCCCCTGTAAAGGGTTTGAATGACATCGGAATTAATTCCGAGATGATTGTAGAGGTTGAATAGGAAATCCGATTGGAAGTCAGTTTGGAAATGGCTCTGACGAATGCGTTGCTTGTTAACGAATGTGGTCGCGATTCCGCGCGTATCTTGGCCTCGGCGATCTTATGATGAGATTCGCGCGGCATTGATTTGGCCTGCTTAGTCGACAGTTTGCGGCACCTTAGATATCGGGATGGGCTGACTTCCGAGCTTACAAGTCAGAACATGACCGACTAGGCTCTTGACACTGGATATGTTGACTCCAGTCGACGTGTATTGTCCAGCTAGGCTTGTATGCCCTTGATCGTAAACGGTCAGAGTTAGACTTTAGGTCTATAAATAGTGCATAGCGTTCAGTAGGTATACAACATAATAGAAACATAGTTTCCATAGAGGGACCTAATCTTCATCATCCTGACAGTTAGCATCATTGCTGCCTCGTAGGTGCCGCACTCACAGATTTCATCGCACAAAAGTCCGCGCATCCAGCCTCGCTCGTGCAAACTTGTTTGTTGCTCTGAGAATGTGATGAGTCTTTTTCGTTACCAGATCATAGTTCTGGTGTGCTCAGTGTGTAATATGGAGGCGTTTAGCACTTGTGAGGTCCTCTGTCTTGGCAAGGCAAATACTCGATCTTCCTGTATTTCCGCGAAATGGCCAACTTGGCTCGGTTGACCTTCGAAGTTTTATGCATGGCGATCTGACTAAAGGAAAAGAAAACATAATCTCGGGGTATCGCAAAGAGCGCGGCAATTGGAGTGCCAGGTTGCAAGGTCGAAGAACCAGAATGGCCACCACAAGCTTCCTGAATGTTGTAAGTGTCAGGAACGAGTCTTCACATCCACCATAGAAAATGTACACATGGCTTTGGTTTGACTAGACGGCCAGGCAATGTCTCTCCTCGTAACAGTCAGAAACGCGTTACAGTCTCTAGAATTAGTTGTTGACAGGACACTACCGACTACGCTGGAAGTACGTACAAACTGATGAATTGTGTTGATATTTGCCATGAGTATCCTCATCTCGACTAATGGAAATTTGTTTCTGTTCGTGTCCAATAAAATTGCTACGGTTTGAGATCACCACAAGAGAAGCTCTAGACCGCCTGAGACCAAGGGTGTTGCGAAACTCAGCTTCGACGAAAGCTGCGGTATATGTGGTGACCATGTCATAAATGACAAAGTCGGCCTCGTCGCCTTGAGCGTTGTCGACAGTCTTTAGCTTGATGCGACTGATATCCCCGTCGCTGAGCTTCAATGTTTTGCCCAGTGTCAACTTCGTGTTAGAAGAATGATCGCCGAAAGCAAACATAAGAGACGAAATAACCTTATGCCAGCTTAGACTAGCACTTAGGCTACTTTATTTCGCCAACCTAAGACTTAGAGTATAACACCCGCCAGTCAGGGGATTGTTGACGTAAATCAGAGCGCCCTTCCCTGCAAGGTGCAACTCAATGCACTTGGTGATTGTCCAGCAATACTTTGGAGAATCAAAGCAAAGCCATCTGACCCGGCCCGATGGCTGATTCAGGGAAAGTTTCTCTCACGGAGTCCCGGGTGAGGAAGGAAGCCCACTGAAGACCCTTCGTTGGGTCTTCTACGGCGACCCTGTTCATTTCTGCAGTGTCTGCAGTTGCCTCTGGTCGCTGGCGACGCTGCAAAGCCTCACGTCGCGCTTCCTTCCGGGGAGTCAGTGACTCACTATGATCGTCCGCGTCTGGAAGAATCAAGGGTTTCCTCTTCTTGTTCGTGGACCTCCCGAGTCGAGTCCTTGATGGTGTGACTCATGATCTTGCGGAGAGTCACATCCTTGAGGAGCTTGGTCGTGCGGACGATAGGTGAAGTCGTCTTCAGGTTGTGGACGTTCGTGGATGCCAGGCACATTCGTCGCAAGGCGTTACCATTGAGCTGCGCTTTCGGCTTGTTGACGCGTGCACCATGTGAAGACTTAAAAGTCTTCCTTCTTGGCCCCGTAGTTGTGAGGTTCGAATGTAGGCGACGTATAGCTTCGTGCACCTTGTTCCTCGCGAGGACAGGCAAGTTGAATTCAACTTCATTACAGTGCAAGGGCGGGATGCCCTTACCAGGCCAGCTTGTCGTACCATCAGGAAGTGTCATGACGCTCAGCATCGAGCGCCGAACACAAAGAAGGCGGAGGATCGCTCGGATCGCAGTCTGGGCGAAAGCTGGAGAATGCTGAGAGGCGCTGGAAAAGCTGTAAAAGAGTTTCGGGTTCATCAGGAATATGGGCTCCCCAGTCTTCTTGATATGTTCGGTGTACTCTTGATTACGCCTGATCTGGCGAGCGGTCGGCACTGGCTTGTCCGTGTCCTCGTCTTCGGTGTCGCGGTAAATGCGACCTGACTCGATCTCTTCCGTGTCTTGCCCCTGGGTGAGCCTCTTCCAAGTACCAATGTCGTACCAAGTGTCAGCCTTGGCCATTGAGGTCGACGAGTTCCAGTCAAAAGGCAGATCCTTATCCCAGATCAGCTCGATATAACCATAGAAGTCCCTCACATGGTTGGACAGGACGGTCGCCGACGCTAACATGATGGCTTTATAGTCGAGCTGCTGGAGGAGTCTGTTCATAGTGGACTGAACGTTCTTCACAGCGTGACCTTCATCAAGGATCAGACGGTAAAGCTGGACACCCTTCAGAGCCAGCTTCCTCAAGGGCACAGCCTCTTCTTCGTCAAGTTCCGCTTGCAATTCGAGATCCTCAGGTGCCAGGTCGTTCTGGCCGTCGTCGATGGGTGGCTCACGGTTGAATCTGAAAGCCTTACTAGCACCAACTGCCTCTCCGTCGTCAGTGGAGAATCGGCGAGTGAAGGTATTGTATGGGCAGAGGAAGATTGTCTTTGCGGTCTATTTAACAGTTAGCGTATATTCAAGGAACTTTGGAGTAAACGAACCATGGGATCGTTATGAGCCTTTGCAAGCTGGTCGAAGACAGTCTGTGGTTACCAAGCGTTGAGGACTTCCTGGTGGGATTGGTGCAGCTATCGGGCGTTTGGTAACAAACGTAGATGCGAAAATATCCTCCCCACCATTCGGCAATCTCCTGATATGTTTGGTCCAATACACTCGAAGGACACATATACAGGGTGGGCTTGAAGACCCTCTCATCCTCATCAGGGAACAAGAGGCCAGAGTTCCATCGGTCGATTCGAAATTGGGTCGAGATGCGGAGGCATGCTAACATTGTGTTGGTTTTGCTAATACCGCATTCGCTCGTCAGGAGAGCGGCATGCATAATGCTTTCCAGCTTGAGATGGAGATCATAAGCATCCGCAATGAGTTGGTTAGGCTTGAGCTTCTTACCCGGCGCATGTTCGGGATTACGTTCCAAGTTACGCCAATTTGGCAAACCAAGCTTCTCACAAACTTTTTCGAGATCGTGTGGTGGTAGGAATTCGCCCAGCAAGTTTTGCATGCCAAGGAACTCCTTCCTTTCGCTGGACCCTTCAGCGTCCACTTCATCTGAAGATGTCAAATCCTGGGCTCCAGTCTGAAAGCGGTGCTGTCCAGCCGCTAGCCGCTCTTCATCACTCACATCCTCACCACCAATGTACAAAGTCTCCAACTCTTCACGAGGAAGCGATTTGTCGTAGGCAACGTGAGCCCTCTTGAGGAGGATCTCACGGAAGAGTTCCAGCTCTTGGGGAGACGGGTAAACTGGAGGCGGCAATTTCGATCTCATACGTTGCTCCTTGGCGTATTCAAACGGATCAGTGCTCGGGTTTGCGTGTCGCAGTGCGGAAGAGACGCCGGAGGTGATGTACTCGGCCAACACACCCAGGTGGTCGTTGACTTCACCAGTGTTGGGGTCATAGCTGTAAGCCCCAGCGATGTCATCACCAAAGATCTCGGCGATGTCCAGTTTTTTGGCGAGGTTCTCGCCGCTACCAGCCATCTTGTCCTCCCAGTTGCCACCGAGGATATCCTTTTCGGTCTATAAAGCGCGTAGACGGCAGGGTCGAGCTCCTCGTCGCGATCGCGCTCATCCTCCTCGACAGCGTCTCGGACAAACCCTGGCCATCCCTCAATACCCCCTGTAGTGTTTTTCTTCGTAATGTTGGCTTGTTTTGTTCGCCGAGCAAGATGGCGCTGTAGACAGACATTAGCCCTGAACCAGTCCTCATGAGAAAAACCCCAGATGAATTCTTCGGGCTTGTCAGGCGTTTCGGTGTAAGATCGAAATCGAGTGGGGAAGTGGCGGAGAATGGCGAAAAGCGTAGCAACAGTGCTCTGAAGAGTGCCGATATCTGCAAGAAGCAGTCATAGCCCTGGCAGTGTCTTTCCAGACGATTGTTGCCCCTGTGCGCAGTATTCGCTGCCGAAGGTTCTCATAATCACGAGGCAGACTGGCAACCAAAGTCCAAAGGTCTTTGATGTTGTCTTGTCGTTGGGCTCGGGTATTGCCTATGAGGTAATATACTCAGCCAATACCCCCAAGTGGCCGTTGACTGCCATTTTATGATAGTTTAGATGATCATTTAGGCTAGTTTATTTTAGCACCCTAAACCTTGGAGGATTATCATTCTGCGGCCACCGCTCTCAACAACATGATGGAGAAGCGATATTTGCTTTTGTGCTGCGAAAGGTTTGGTGACTTTCCGGGACCAAGGTCATGCTCCATTGTGAGATGTGGAGGTTTTTGGGCAATGTCTCCGGTAACGATCCATGCTTTTGGCGAGTAATGAGCGATGAGGATCAAGATTGATGCCTCATCCATCATTGCAGCCTCGTCAATGATGATGAGATCAGGTTTAAATGCGTCTCGAACAAGCAGAGGGGTGGCGCCAACAGGAGTAGTGGCCACAACACCATTGTGGTGTCCGAGTGTGCCATGCTGTAGGAGCTTCACATCCTCTTTGAGGCCTGTGTATTCCTCTTTGCTGAGAATCTCGTCCGCCTTGATGCGGTTCAGGGTATGTCTAAGCCGCAAGTGGCTTAAGAATACGATGGTAACCAGTTCGTACCTGGCTCTGTGGCCCAAAGATGGGTGTAGGCGCACCCCCTCGGAGCCCAAGTAAACTTGGGCTTGGTCCAGAGTCAGGGGTTCTGTCCCGAATGTTCGCCTTTCTCGGGGTCCAGCCATGCTGGAGATTGGCGCCAAGTGCCGAGTGTCAGCCTGTATAGCCGGTTAGTAAATAATTCTGCTTGCATTTACAAATACTTCATACGAATCATGTCATTTTGGGTCGCCCGGTTTAGGCGACCGGGGCAACGCTCCTCGAGAACAAGGTCGTGCGCATTCTTGTAGTGGTTCCGAAGGGCGGACTTAGACGAGAACTTAAGAGTCTAAGAAACAGTTAGAGTCTGGGATTGCAGCATTTCAGGATTATTTTAGAATCATTTACCTCGATTCACAACTGATCACCCGCATAGCGGTAACGACAGTAAACCTCGCCAGGATTAATAAAAGGACGTCCGTCAACGTTCGTGCGGATCTCAGGCAGGAGACGTTCGTCGGGACGAACGCCTCCATTCAGGTAAGTAACATACGCGGGGTGCTTTTTGTATTCACCATTGCTGCAGGCGCCGTTGCATAATATATATATATATATATGTGTGTGTGTGTGTGTGCTGAAGGGCTCTGTTCATAGCTTACTTAGCGTTCTTCGCAGTGTTTATGAATGTATATATATATATATATATATGTGTGTGTGTGTGTGTGTGTGTCTTGTTGAGTTGTGGCAGAGAAGATCAGAAGGCCTCGGAAGGATCTCATTTGATGCTGTGACTATGTCTTTGATGAAGATAGTCATTTGGCCGAATCGGTAGAGAATTCATAGCGATCTTGATTTGACACTCAACATCTGAAGCAATTCTCGATGCTTGTTGGGATCATGAACATCCTGTAACCACTGGGTTAGTTTGCGGCCAAATATAAGGAGAATGAGATACATACTGGTCCTGGGATGACTTCCTGTTCACCGTCGTTTTCTCCACCACCGGTTTGTTCCAAGCCGATAGAAGGTTGAGGATTGGTTGATGCAAAGCAGTCAAACTCGTCAAACCCGGTAAAGTGTTGATCACGGGTCTCTTCAAAGCTGTAAGCGCGTCGACGAACGACAGAGGGCAGAGGATCGGTTCCTCCAAATCAGTCAACCTCATCAAAATCGGGAAAGAGGTGAACACCGGGTTGGTAAGGGCTGTCAGGGCGTCGAAGACCGAATTCAAAGTCGTCTCCAAAGTCGTCAACCCATTTGTTGCCAGATGCGTCCAAGTGTTGAGGGGGTTTCTCCAGAGCTGACAAAGCATGAATCGCCGAAATCATCGGTTTGTTCAAAGCCGACAAAGGGTCGATCCTGCGGCGGTCCGAGGCAGCATGGGCTCGCCCTCTTGCCAGACTGACCAGCCATCATCACCTTCATGAACTGGGCCCGTTTTCCCTCCCCCGCAGAGCAGTCTTTAGCTACATGGCCTGGTGACTGGCACATGTAACTTCTTGGGGCCGCTACCTCTCTGAAAAGAATTAGCACTCTGTAACTGATGTGGTACTATTTTGTAAGGAGGAGGTAGATAACAGGAGAAATGGCCTTTAAGGCTTAGACTACCGAAATAAAGTAGCCTAAAGGCCAGTCTAAACTTGCATAAAGTGACCAAATTATTTCGTCTCTTATGCTCTCGGCGGCCAATTCTTCAGACAGCTTGACGAGGAGATAGATAGTACTTACCCCCCGCTCTTTCACTTTGCGCTTTCCGCCTGTCTGGACCTTTCAGTCGGTGTCCTCCTTAGCCTTGGCCTTCTCTGGCTTGGTGTACGGCTTGAACATCTTGATGGGTCAAGCTGAACGATGATTTGAGAGTTGATTCAGAAATGTCATGAGTAGCATCAGTTCTTACGACTGTGAATAATGTTGGTAAAGGTGGAGGAAAATGAATCTCTGTGCGGACTTGGAGGGAATTACCACTCTGTGACTGATTTTCTGATTGTTCAGAGATCTGTAACGTAACAATATGGAAGTGAATGCAGTTTGCCTGTTAGGCAGCAGCCGTGTTCTTAGTAACGGGTCACGTGGATACGGCACCCGACAGCAGAACCTCATGTCTCTATTAATTTCGAAAAAATGAAGGAGAAAATTATCGTCAAGGAAAGACCATAATAAGAGGAGAGAAATAGTGATCAGGTTACGCCAGCTTAGAGTTAAGTTAGGATACTATAAGCCACCTACCCTACAGCTTAGAGCGTACCTTGCAACTTATGTGCATTAGGCGGGCTGTAGGAGCGAGCATTGCTGCAACGACAGACGTGAGCGTGTCTTGCAATACAAAGTCGATGGCGAATTACCAGGCTCATCGAGTAGAGATCGCCTTTCAGGCCCTTGCTGTGGTTTCAAGATGGCCGGATGGATAGAACTTCAAAAATGACGGCATCCAAAAAACCATGACTCCGCAGGCACTGTAGTCGAAATTTGTGACTAAATGCTCTGCAATAAGAGAGATCGTATGGTTTGAACTCGGATCTCTTCAGCCTCATCATGCCAAGAGACGTAGTCACCAGTCATCGAGGATCTGAAAAGCAAGGCCCAGAATATGGAACTCGCTGCCAAAACATCAGGGACGAAATAAGGTGGCCATTTTAGACCAGTGCCATTTGTTCCCGTCGCTACTGGCCGGCAGCTCCATGAAACGGGCATAGACATCACAAGCATCCATCATAAGCAATCTGACTAGCTATATATACCAAAAACAAGAGGGTTGAAGTTTTTCAGTTGACATAGTTTGGTGGTCCACAATGCCAGGTTTTCCTGACTCGGTGCTTGACTCTAATTTGGTCATCATCATAAAAACTCCAACCCATCTCGTCCTGGGTTCAGGTCTTGTCCCAAGAGAACTTCCAGTGAAGTTTAGAGTGTAAAAAAAGGGAAAGACCGTCACCCAAAGGTCAACGGGATACCGGCCCCTCGCATCAAGAATGAGCCCCATTGAGTAAATCCAGCTTTCGCTGGGCAATCGCATGCCTATCAATCTCGACAAAAAATCCTCAGCGACCCGATGCCACACACACGAGCACCAAGCGTCTACCCACCATCCACCTGCTAGACAACCCGTCCGTCTGGAACTCACCACACCTCGACAGCGGACTCATATCTTCATCCAAAAGGATCGAGGGCAGCAAAGACCGGGAGACAAAGCCGTTGAACAAGGAAGATGTAGCGGAAGGTAGGGCCGGCGCAGGGTGAGGGCCTGGGCGAAGAGGTCAACCGCTGTGCTTCTATGGCGGCGCGTTTCCGCAAGCTCCGTCGAAACGAAGACGTCCGGGGACTTTCCCCAAAGCCAGAAAGTAATCGAGACACTGCGATAAATCGCAGTGTCTCTGTTTGTAAGCTTCGAATAGCGATTTATTGAGCGAGGGGCGCGGATGAGGAAAGAAAGAGAAAAGAAAAATAAAAAGGAGCTCGGTTTGAATTTTTATGTACGAGATGGGGCTCAGGTGTGGCGCTAGTGATCAAAGCTTCAAGGTGTGGCTGTAGCTGCCTTTTTTTCTCAGGCGCGGTTCAACCAATACGAACCTCGCGTTGAGAAGGCTGGGTTGCTGCCTTCGTGCCTGTTTATTCGTCTTCAGTACAAAGCTCGCGGCGCAACCAACTTTGAGGTGCAGACGAAGGTTCATCTAATTCACGGTTTATTAGCTTCTATTCAATCAATTCGAGCCATTGCTCGCTCTCAGCAATTTTCTGTTTCTGAGTCTCTCATTGTCGCTCGACAACGAAAACACGGAAAAAGAGCCACCGACTAATTTTCGACCTTTCCATCTTTCTTTCATTCACAATCTATAATCATGTCGGGACTCTTTGGCGGCGCGTCAAGCTCGGCGGCGGCGACGAGCAACACTGTCGGCGATCTCAAGAATGATGTTGCGCTTTCCGATCCTCCCACCGACACCATCTCCGATCTCTCTTTCTCTCCTGCGCCCAACGGTCCCGACTTTCTTGCCATCGCTAGTTGGGATAACAAGGTCCGCATTTACGAAATTGCTGCCAATGGCCAGAGCCAGGGCCGACACGTCTACGAGCACAGCCAGCCTGTGTTGAACTGTGACTTTTCCAAGGTATGGAAGCAAGGTGAAGATGCGACAAAGGGGCAGCAGCTAACCCAAGCTCTAGGATGGAACCAAGATTGTCTCTGCAGGCGCCGACAAGAACATCAAGGTCTGCGATCTTGCCTCCCAGCAGGACATTGTTGTAGGCACACACGACCAGCCCGTGCGAACAGCGCGATTCTTCGACAGCGGCAACGGCCCCATGGTCGTCTCGGGATCATGGGACAAGACGGTGAAATACTGGGATCTTCGACAGCAAGGACCGGCGGCCACAGTGACATGCCAAGAACGAGTCTATACGATGGACGTCCGCGACAACTTGTGTGTTGTCGGTACAGCTGATCGTTACATCAACGTCATCGACCTCAAGAACCCTACCAAATTCTACAAGACTCTACAGAGCCCTCTCAAATGGCAGACCCGAGTTGTTAGTTGCTTTACCGACTCTGCCGGGTTCGCCATCGGTAGTATCGAGGGACGCTGTGCCATTCAGTATGTCGAGGACAAAGATTCAAAGTAAGCAAGCTTCAAAAACCATGCTACAAAGGATCAAGCTAACAGTTCGCAGCTCCAACTTCTCCTTCAAGTGCCACCGAGACCCTCCTGCCAACAGCGTCACCAACGTCTACGCCGTCAACGATATCTCATTCCACCCCGTTCACGGCACATTCAGCACAGCCGGTTCCGATGGAACATTCCACTTCTGGGACAAGGACGCCAAGCACCGTCTTAAGGGCTACCCCAACGTCGGCGGCAGCATCACCGCCACTACCTTCAACAAGAACGGTTCCATCTTCGCTTATGCTGTCGGTTACGATTGGGCCAAGGGCTACCAGCACAACACCCAAAGCTATCCTATCAAGGTGATGCTTCACCCTGTGAACAACGACGAATGCAAGCCTAGACCATCCATGAAGAAGCGATAGAGCAGTTGGTGGTTTTGACAATGGGTAGCTCAAGCTGGGAAAGGATTTGGTTGGTGATTAATATTTGGCTGTGTTTTCTGCGACTCTGTATTTTTGGCAATTAAAGACTCGGGACATGAATAGGGGGAGGTCAAAAGAATGGAAGACGAGTCTACCAAAGGAGCAAATGCAGGTAGTGGTGTTTTACGAGAGATGATACCATAGATACAACAAAATATCTACACAACCCCGGCACGTCATTCCATCTTGTGGTTCACGTCCTTGTCTCATCTCTAGGTAGTTTATTTACAAATAGCGAAATGGAAGTTTAAGTTTGGTCATGTGGAGGACACAACAAAACGTAGTTGAAGACATCAACTGAACTGTATAAGACGACTTCAACAATCTGAGTAGACTGATCAAAATCTGTTCAAGGTTGTAATTTAACCTCATGCCAGAGTTGATATTCAGCTTTTGCTGGTTTGACATCACTAAATCAGACAGTTTAATACACAGAACATATTTCAAGGTCAATAGATTTGTATTGATTCCAGTCTGCCACTTTGGGCTTCATATGATCATGGTATATCGTAGTAAATAAAACAAATGAATGGCTTCTAGCCACGCGCAGCCACTTCTAATATGGCTATTAGTTGATGCGATCGCACCTTGTTCCGCGAAAACAGATTACAACGCTTAATAGATCTCCAATCCTTTGTTGAGGAATGGTAAAACTCCCGCTCTTCCCATACTTTTATCTCAAAACCCTCTAGTTTCTTTTGAACTGAGGAGCAGCGCTAAAGACATCGTCCTTCATACTGCGGAAGATGTCGCTGAAGAATGTGCTTCGCTCAGGGTCTCTCTCCTCGGCGGCAGCCTCAGTGGAGATAGATGGCTGGTTGTGAACAAACTTCACATCGATGCTATCCATGTTGGTAGCATCCATGTTGGCCATGGGGGCACCGGGAACGACGATATCAGGGTTGATAGCGAAGATGACGGGTCGGTTACCAGTGGACAAATCGGTGGCATCGGACATAGAGCTGTGGTAGCGGCCGTAGTTGTCGGGAAGAAGAGGCATACGAGGAAGAGGCTCGTTGTAGTTGGGAGTAGCGTGGATCTTGGGCAACACAGTGGTGTCGACATGGTTGACAGGAGCACGAGAAGCTGACGAAGAGCTGAAGGACTGCATCAGAGGTCGTGTGCGACCAGAGATGGATGGCTGAGGAGTGGGACGGTGGGTAGTCTTAAGACCACGAGCCTGAACCAATTGTTAGTATACGAGTCGAATTGACAGGGAGAATGTGTCTGAAACTAACCTCAGAGTGCTGGGACTGTTCTGAAGAAGATCCAAGGAGCTCAGCATACTTGGGCATGAGAGCGATACCGGCATGACGCTGGGACTCGGCAAGAGTGCGAGTGACCTTGGAAACGGAAGCGGTGATTCTGGGCATTGTGATAGAGATTGGGGTGATGATTGAAGTTCGTGTGGTAGTAGAGTTGGCGGTGTCTGGCTACTTATACACTTTGTGTAGTCGATTGGAGTGTAGCGGTGACGAGTTTACAAGAATCAGGCGATGCAGGTGAGAGGGTCCGATAGGACGTTACAGACAGTACGATGCAGACGAAAGTGTAAGTGGAAATGGAAATGCAAGGTCAATGAGGGAGGGAAGGAGGGTTTATGTATTGTATTGTACAGAAGGTGAGACCCAGGGTCAGACAGACAGAAGATAAGCTAGAGGAGGGGAAGGCGCAAGCTTCGATAGCTGTTCCTGTTCTGGGGGGTACCTACTTCTCGATGAGGTGAGGCAAGCACGGATAGTCGTCCGGGAGCCCGTGTGATCTGTCTGGGGGGATGGGGATGAGATTGGAATGAGCTACCGCTACGGCTACCTTGGGGACAGACGGGGTTGAGGAAAGAGTCACCCACAGCCTCCACCAAGGAAAGGTACAGTACCTACAGTACAGGCACAGCTTAGAGCTCCGGCCCTGGCCCTGTTAGCTCACCTTAATTTAGCTACAGCATCGTTGATCCCGTTGGTGTGGAGAGGTACAGGTACGAATACTCACACTCCCTACACCCTCTCAAGGAAGTTGCCGTCCAGTTGTTTCCAATTGAGCAACAAGAAACAGAAGGGCGGTGTCAAGTCAACAAACTTCCGCAATCCGATTATCTAATCATCGAAACATTCACTCCGACGACACGAAACCTCATCATGCCATATTATGTTGTTTCTATTGCTCTCTGTTACAAATGATCAAACAAACAACGGCGGCTCTTTCAGCAAGAGCAAGAAACACAGAGCATGGCAGTTCCCGACTCGGCGACGAGATACCGAATGCCGTCCGACGTATACAAGGTACTTCCTTAAGCTACTTTAATGCAAAAGCAACACCATTAAACACCCATGGCACAGAGTCGGTATGTTGAGAACCAATCAACAGCCCTGTCAGAGGCCCCGTACTGTACTTTACAGTGTCGTACAGCACAGCTCTCACGCTGGTGCTCTGACTGACACCTTCTCACTCACCAAATTCCTCTTCTCGCTCGCTTCTCCAGCTTTCTTCTTGCTGAGAAGTCGGATCCACCCCCGAGCTGGAAAAGGAGACAATTATGGGGCTTCTCCAAGTCACTAAACTCGTTGTTCAAGTTCGCTCTTCAACTATCGATCTCGAACCAGAGACTGCTTCCTTGAGCCGTCAATGTCCGAGAGATAACATCAGACTAGAGTGGACGATGAGGAGATGGGAGGTGCCAATGCCGAAGCAACTATGTGCTTGTTGCTCAGGTTGTTTCATACAACCTCACAGATAACAGTATCAGATCAGAAAAGCAGTGGCGTCAAGAACGATGCATCATTTGGCCGGGTGAATTGATATGGCACCATCACGTTTCCATCACGTTCAGATAATACTACATATGGGAGTGGAACTCGTTGAGCTCAAAGCTACTGCAGCTATGCAGCTTGGATGAGACAGGGGGTCTGGCTTCTCAATACAGTGCTGCTTTACCACCCTCTACATCCATGTCTTGCACAGGCTTACCACCAAGGCGCCAGTGGAAATGGCAGACAGTCTGCTGCTGACGAGTCTCGGCAGGGGACTTTACTGATCTGGCACACGTGGAGCGTGCCTGTCGTTCACTCGAAGATCGCCAGTCTTGTCCAATTGTCGACTCGGTGTTCACAGGGCGGTCAGAGGCCAGCTGTACTCCGTACTGCATACACAGATCCAGATCCAGATCGTTTTTGTTACCGCCCTTACGCGTCAGTCGTCAGTCATTATGCTACAGAGTCCGGTGATCGATTTCATCAATTCTACGTCCAGTATCTTACCACCAACATTCAACAAGATTAATCAATGTCCTTGTTCAATTTGGCGTTTCTCTAGCGAAGGTTCATGCCGATCTTGTAACTTTAAAGCGGCGTGACAGCCACGGCAGTGAGCAAGCCCCGAAGACGGGAGGGGCCCTTGACACTCCAGGTATTTAGCAGGGCTGGCAGCTACCAGGGAATCGAACGTCTCCCGGTCCACTTCTAGAAACCCGCCAACTCGGTTGTTTTGGGGTCCCCCTTAGGCCGGGGAGTTGACGCAGACTCCGTACGCTCGCAGTTTACATCGTGATTGGACTTTGTGCCGGCAATTGCTCTATTCCTTTCTCGCGGAAGTTGCTTCCAGAATGCCTCGGTCCATGAGCGAGAGACGGAAAACCTCCGACGTCAGAGGTTCGATGTTCAAGGGCCACAAATGAAAGATCTGGAAGTCACCAGATGCCAGATTGCATCGAGACTTGGAAAGCAAGAACAAACGCAATCTAGGTCGCGGGTCCTGGGCTGACCTGTGCATATCCCAGGCTGTGCGAATTAAGATTCGCGCGTATGTAAAATTGTTGAGCTGCCCTTGCAACCAATTTTCAAGGCTAACAGTCCAGATTCCAGAAGGAACATTGAGTCAAGTTCAAGCGAGCTTCAGGGGGAAACATGTGCCCTGTAGCGAACTCGCTAATGTCAAAGTTCACTGACATTACAGATCTCGAGCTTGATGTTTGTCACAGAACTTTGTTTCGACCAGCCAAATAATGGACGAAATAACTCAGCCAATTGATGCGATTCCAAGACACTTTCTTAGGCGATCTTATTTTGTTTACTCTAAACTTAGCCCTCAAGCTTTCCTACTCTCTTAGGCCAGCCAAAGTTCAAGAGGCAAAGCAAAGTTAACTCTGGCCTAACTTTAGAAAAGGCGATTGCTATTGCTGGACTTACGGCGGTGCCGGCCGGTCAACAAAAACTGTTGAACGGGACCTGCCTTGGAAGCTCCTTCAGTGGTACCTTCACCTTGGCCTCACCGTAAGAGCTAGGGTCTTTAGTTCAACATGGGCGACACCGCCATGGGCTTGACCGAAACCAGAGGCTATCGGATATCCTCCCGTTCCACATACACGATTACGAATTCCTTCCAGAGTTGATACGGAGGAGCATGACGACGCTCAACATAAATAGATATGACGATACTGTATCTTCAGGAAGGCATGAACCGCCAATCAATTTGCATCAGAATGTTAATCCTGATACACATGCTTTATCTTGAAACTAAATTTCAGGGATTGAATGATACAGAGATCGCTGGAGGCCGCAGCGATACGATATCTGTACCTTTCAAGTCATACAGTCTCACCGAAATAATCCCATGTACAACTTGATTGTATGGGCGAACCATAGCAAGCACAGTGCTATTATTGTGTCATGGTGGCTTACCCTGTTGCTGTTATTTGGAACGCCACGGCTTCCACCACAGCTGCATTAGCCATGATCGTGACAGCCTGCAGTTTTATCCGATGAAAGATTTCTGTTTGGGCCGCATCTATGACTTGTCGGTCATATGGCATTCCTGTTCTCGGCATACAAATACTGGAGCCAAAGCCTCGGCTTCCTGCCGAAGGCCTTGGTAATTGAGCTCCAAACGAACAATTTGACGGGCAAAATGTCCGAATCGGACGATAGATTGCAGAAGAGTCATCTTTGAAGCCCATGTGACATAGTACCTACGAGAAGATGGAGATGAAACCGAGGGCTCCGGCATGTTCTGGTAGCGCGCATTGGCTATCCGAATGTCTGGCTTCGCTTGGCTTGCATATGGCAGTTGACCTTGCATATGCGAGTGCTTCCATGCTAAAGAAACAACTCCTACTCCCATGTTCAGTTGCTTCAATTGAAAGATGAATTTCATCTCCCCTTCACCTTTGGCTCTCAACATATATACGGGGAATTCCACATCTTGAACAGCGCCTGCAGGATCTGTGAGTATACATATTCTTCTCCAATCGAGACTATAGGCAAGATCGTCGATAGCGTCATTTAGGACCCTGAAAATGCCCCGCTATCTTCAGGAACCACATCCTATTCTGGATATCGAAGACTCATGATGTGAGCTTTTATGTGTGTATATGCTACGAATATAGCTTCTAAGCAGTAGCAAAATTCATATATAGACCGCTTACTATCATATTCTTACTATCTCACGTGTGTTGTTGCTGTGTTACTTGAGAACTGGTCCTTGCTTTTCAACTTTCGATTTTACCCCTCTCCACCAAAACTCATCTCACGATATCACCTCAACTACATCATTACGATTCTATTCAGTCACAAATATGGCAGCCTCTGAACCCAGAAAACGAGTCGTTGACTCGCCCAAAGGTAGAATATCTATCATCTCGATTTCGCTGCATCTCTAACAAGTAAATCCAGTCTGGACGACTCTGATTACCAATCTGAGTTATTTGCCTGGTCTTCTCACTCTCGATTATTCGCTTCGCACCGCAAAGTCAAAATACCCCCTTGTCGCCCTTTACACAGACTCATTCCCTCCCGAGGGCCATGTCGCCTTGAAAGCTCGCGGTATTCCAACCCAGCATATTCCTTATCTGCTCCCGACCAAAGGCAAGGACTTCTCCAATGACCCACGCTTTTACGACTGCTGGAGCAAACTCACCCCATTCTCTCTGACCGAATATGAAAGAGTGGTCCAGCTTGACTCGGATATGCTTGTTCTGCGCAACATGGACGAGCTTATGGACATTGAGCTGGACTCTCCTTCAATCGCTGAGACGGGCGATAAGACTGTCAGTAAGCGTGTCTTTGCAGCAGGTCATGCCTGTGTCTGCAACCCCCTCAAAAAGCCTCACTATCCCAAAGACTGGGTTCCAGAGAACTGCGCCTTCACTTCACAGCACTCAAACCCGGATATCGCGCAGACCGAAGCTGCGGATCCATCAGTGGGACCATTGGGCTTTATGAACGGCGGCCTCCAAGTCGTCAACCCTTCTCAAGGACTTTATGCGCAGATCCTCGCACATATGGAGGCCGACGCAGTTAACATGGACTTTGCGGATCAGTCGCTTCTCTCAGATCTATATCGCGAGCGTTGGGTTCCACTACCATACATTTACAATGCGCTCAAGACGATGAGATGGGAGGGTGTGCATGATGCTATTTGGAGAGACGAGAGCGTCAAGAACATCCATTACATTCTAAGCCCTAAGCCTTGGGATGAGATTGACGACAAGGGCGAGTGGACGGGTAAGGATGAGAGTCACAAGTGGTGGGTTGACGTGAACCGCGCAAGAAAAGAGTCGGAGAGGGAGAAGGGTATTCCTGATGATGGTTTCTAAGAACGATCTTGGTGAATAGACACGAATATAGGAGGCAAATTCGAGCAATCGAACAGTAGATACCAACCAAACTAGAACACGCATAGTCAACTTAGGCAAAAAGTCTTCCATTCTGTGACAGGTATCTATATTAAAAAGAAACGACCACCATGTAGCCCAATTCCCAGCACCAAACACAAGAACACCAGAAGAATATCCCAATCCAAACCCAGTAAGAGGGTTATCCAACGCATGCGTGCCTCTCCAAGGTCTATATTGTGCATTCTGCATGCATGTTCCGTTTTTACCAGTCTATCATAAGTGAGATAGAAAATCATGGTTCTACCTCAAACAATAAACTATGCCCCTATCCTGGGCAGTGCTAAATGAATCATTATAAAAGAATTGACATAAAGATAAAGAGAAGACGGGAGTCCAGAAACACCGATGATGCTCCAAAGCGGCTGAGCCTCAACATCAATACGCCATGAAATGCCGTTGATCATGTCATCCATTAGGTCTTTGACTAAACTATGCAGTTCAGTACCGTTTGTATTTCTAAGAAGTTGTTAGCAGTATTCTTCAGATATTATAAGATCAACTCACCTCCTCAATCCGGCGTCTATTGTTTGGATCGATCGAGTTGGTTGCGCCCATCAGTGTTTGACCGATCGCTCGTGTAACACCAACAGCTGGTCGGAAGATGATAGTTGGGGCGCGTTTCAGAACAGCCTTCGCGGCCCCAGAAGCCGAAGAACTCTCCATAACCTCCCCAGGAACAGCAATGATGGCGTCACGGACGAGATTCACATCTCTAGCAAGAGATCGATATCCACCTCTGATACCCGAGATCACGCCTGTAGGTTGATCTGCGTAGAGGGAAATTTGTCTCTGCTCCTCAGGGTCCACATCGTCCTCATCCCATCCTTCGTACGCTTGCTGGGGGTCAGAGAGCATGCCCTCCGCACCCTGCAGTGCGTACTGCGTGCCAACAGCAAGTTTGGCACCCAGCTTGACCAGCTCCGTACCTGTAGTACGAGCAAAAGCTGTCGCACCCTTTGATATGCTGCGAATGACACGGCCGTCTTTCTTGTACTCACGGATAGGTACCTCGACAAGATCCTTAAAGCCACTGCCGACATTAACGAGTGACCGTACAGGTGCAAGACCTGCCAGGATACCAGGAAGTTGATTTGCCTTCACATCAGGCATCCAAATATCGTTGAGAGTCTTGCCAAGCTTTTCGAATCCAGAGATACCATAGATGATCACATGGCGAAGAACCATTCTCGCCTCATCGAGGACGATGAAGTTCATGAACTCGGTGGTATGTCCTGACCGAAGCCCAGCATAGTCGACACGCTTCGGTTTGAAATCAAGCTTGACCGCGATGTTATTAACTTCAGCCCTCTGAAGGAATGGCACATCACTCTTGGACGTGTGAACCGGGACTTGGTCATCCTTGAATTCGAAAAATCGTGTGATAAAGTCGAGAGCATCCTGATCAACGTGGAGTCTCAGAGGTAAGATCGTTGCCCGCAAGACGATTTCCGACGCCTCGAGTGATGGTTGTGGTTTGACATTCAGCATTTCAAGGTGAACCATGCTTGTGCCCATCTCTCGCTCGCCCATGTCTTGGTCGTACGTCGCAAACTTTTTCCATGTCGAGGTTGGAACATGATCGAAGATATCAAGGTTTTTGATGCGAACGTCGATGCTGTTGAGTGTTTCGCCAGAATTGGGTGGGAAAACGAAAAGATCCGCGTCGATGCCTTGTAACTCGAAGGTAATCTTGTGGTGCTTACTGCGCTTGAGCTTAAGTCGCTTTGATCGGGGTCGAGAGCGTGCCGTTCTGTTGGTCGCTGCAGTGAAGGCTGTGGTAGCAACAGATTCGGTTTCCGTTGCGTTGTCATTGAACCCCTCGTTGATGGCACGAGACAGTTCTTGAGGATCGCGATTGGCTGGAATACCGATATAGATCGAGTTGAAGAGGAAATCGCCGATGGCCTCTTCATCTTCAAGTTCCTCTTCGTAGACATGGACTTGGCCCGCCCGTGCTTGACGTTCGTACGCCTTGGCTTCAACATCCTGAACTGCCTTTGTGATGACATCTCGGGTGTGAACCCAGTCGTATCCATCGAAAAGGTTCCATATGACATGCACATCTCGCACCTTGACCTTAAGAGTGCTACGCTTAACCAGATCGCTTGGTGCTTGATCGTAGCTGTTCTTTTTCGAGTTCCAAACCCTCGCCTTGCTGTCCTTAGAAGCGCTCTGACCGTAGTAATCGTCATGGATGACAAGGTCGTCAGAATCAACGCTCTGTTGGCTTACTGGTCCGAAACCCGTTAATAGTACACCCTCATTGGTATCTTGCATATGAGGGCCACCAGAGCGATGCGATCCTTGAGAGATTATGGAGCTACTTGTAGCATCAAAGAGCTCTTCCGCGACAGGTTCATCGTAGTACTGCGACTGAACCTGCAAAGGGCTATCCGTGTTATAGCCTGCCTCCGAACCACTGCCAGCCATCTCTTGGGCGCCCGCAAAATCTTGGTCAAAATCGTATTCCCCTTCGGGTCTACCGAAGGCTTCGGCAGAAATCGAAGCAAGTAGATCCTGCATGGGAACCACATCCGTCAAATACTTGTTCTCTTTGCTTGGCGGAGTTGGAGGCTTCAAAGCGTTGGCTAGTGCAATAAGAGTTTGGGTTGAATCCGCGCAAGTTTCCAAGACCAGGAGGTCGTCCTTGAGCTCGACATTGAGCTGCTTTTCGCCATCGTCAAGTTCCTTGACATCAATGGTGGCCTTGGCGGACGAGATATAGCAGATATCGACATACCCTCTTGCACACATGTCCGCTACTTGGCGGGATGTAGAAGATGACGCTCTAGGTCGTTGCGTAGCGGGCGGTTCGCTCATAGCAACTTCAGCAACATCGTTGACAAGTAGAATGGATGACTTGTTAATGGTAAAGACAGCGTTGGTCTCGACATCCTGGGGCAACAGAGCGACAAGATGGGCATCCGTGAGAACAATGATCATCTTCGAGGGCTGACCCAGAGGGTTGAGTCCTAAGAGGCAGTCGCGAAATCCGATATCCAGAGTCATAGGCTTGCCACTCTTAGCTTTCTCGCTTGGAGATCCAGGAGAACGAGTCAAGGCATGGTGTGCTTGGTCGCCCAGATTTGCGACTGAAGCAGCAAGGCTGGCTTCGAAATCCTGTGGAGTTGCATCTTCCCCAAGCTCGAGGAGATCCATGATGGTGGGTACGCGGTATTCGATGCATAGATCCTGCATCTTCAGTTTGACAACTGGCTCAATCTCATCACCAATCATACGTGCCATGAGGACCGGACTACGGAGTGAAATATCCTTGGCGCCAAATGGTGATGTGCTAACCAGTTCTTCCGACCTGTTCCTGCGTACCGAGAGATCGTAGAGAGCGATGGCAACAAGTGAGGGCATCGTGATCTGACCAACGTGGAGATTTTGTATATCCGTAAGTAGATGGCCCAACTTGCCACCAAAATCCAGGCTCAAAGCCACCTTGCCGATTTTACCCAAGGTCAACAGACCAGGGCGATCATCCTCCGGTAGGTACTTGGCAACTGTGGAAAGCTTTGCAACCTCTTCACCAAGATTCGGTAAGACAGAAAGCTGTGACATGTTTTGCACACGGACGTTGACCGCATCAACGTTAACTCTCAGAACCGAACCCTTTCTTCGCTGGCGTAGTAGTGTGTCGACCATGATCTCATCGTTCTCTCCGTCAAACTGATGTTTTGAGGGCATGATGAGCTCCAGAAGCTTCTCAAGATCCGCGTCTTTAGGGGTTGTCAAGAACTCCACCCGAACGCCAGTAACTTCCGTGTTAATAGGGGGTTCGGCCGTCGAGTTCTTCAGATGCGGCCCAGACACTCGCATCATGCTACATCCAATGCCAATAGCTTCGTCCCGGCTTATAAGCTTGATAGCACTTGTTTCGACAGCCATGCTGCAGTCCTTCCCAATGAGCTCCACCCATGAGCCTCCAATACGCACGTTGATCTTGTTCTCTGAGGCTGCGGATTTATCGTCTGGGTCGATCGGTGTATCGAACCGAACCCCTCTGGGCTTTTGCGCAACAGCAGCTGGTTTAGGTGTTGGGGCAGGACTTGAGGCGATCGAGGCACTCATATTAAGGAAGCTGCTTAGGCCACCGAACCAACTGAAGGTCTCATCGAGCCGCCGTAAATCAAGCTGGAAAACGAGGGGCAGTGTCTGTACCTCCGTCCTGGTATTTCCTCCTGATTGGAGAATCTTAATGCCAATGTCGGAGCCATCAGAAAGAAAGACATCCCTGACAGATGTGCTCATAGGTTTGCCACTGTCAAATGAGATAATATCGCCATTCGCATATCCAAATCGAAACTTTTGCAAGTCTATCTTGGTCAGAACAGCGGGCTGCATCGTCAACTTACCCTTAGTAACTGGAGCCGCCGCAACCTCTGTTGGAGAGATAGAGATAGCCAAGTTCTGCAAGGTGGCATTGAGCAGAACTTCTTGGTCGAAGATGAACGCTGAAGGATCCATATATCGTTCAGGAGTATCCGAAATTCCGCCTAAACGGTTCACAAAGTCGAGCTTAATCTCCTCGAAGTTTACCTTGATGTTGGCTGACTCCTCCTTTGGAGTTGTCTCCTGCTTGTTCTGCTTGTTCTTCTCTGCCGGCGATGGTTTCTGGTTTTTGACAGCATCGAGTAGCTTTCCCACAACCATGGCGAGTAAGAATCCAAGTGAGGCATCGAAGCGAAGGTTAATAGGCGATAGATCCACTTCGAGAGCGTTGTCCGTCTTCGAGGCACCTCGAGAACTACTGTGCTGCTGTGCAGGGGCGGCTCCATGTACGGAAAAGGCACCTGGCGCTTGGGGGTAGGCCGATTGACCCAAGGACTGCGACAATTGGGCAACGGACTCTGGCGATGCGGTTTGAACCTGTATATGCATGTGTTGCGAGGGGATATATATCGATATGGTCTTGAGGCTCAGAAGCTCTTTAACGAGTCGAGTAGGACCCTTTGGGGTAGCAACATCGTCTTGCTGTTTGCCAGTTGCACTTGGATTCTCTTGGTCCAGATCAGTAAGACATGCTCTGGAGAAAGCAGGCTCAGAAGATTCACTATCGGAAGCATCTCCCGAGTCAGCTAGATTGGAGTTTCGATATATTGAGCGTCTCAGGGTAGTTGATGCCGGTTGCTCCTCTGGATCATCGTAGTCGTCATCCCATGCACCTGGTATAAAGCCTTCTGGTCTTTGATATTCCTTCATTGGGGACGGGGAATCTTCCTTCACAGGGCTGGAGACTTCCGGGCTTGGAGTTTCGATGACGGGAGCCTCGGTGATTGGGGCTTCTGTGCTTAGGAGTTCTGTACTCGGAATTTCTGCGCTTGGAGGCTCAGTGCTTGGAGGGTCTGGCTGCGTGATTTCAGACTTGGCTAATTCTTGCACACTGGCGTCCAAAGCTGGCGAGTCTGGCGAGTCTGGCCTCTCTGGCTCAGTAGGTCGTTCCACTTCCGTAGATTGCTCTTCTTGCGGCTTCGGTGATAAAAAGGTCTCAGGAGAAGCGGTCGGTGACAAGGTGGCCGCAGACTGCGCGTTAGTTTGGGAGAAAGCACTCATATACATACTCTCTGCTTCCTCATGTGTATACATATGAGACTGTGCCAGCTCTTCGGTCGATGCAGCTCCAAAACTGTCATCGGATGAGGTCCGGCGAAGTTGCTCATTCTGTATGCTTGAGTCAGAAGCTGCCAAGTTGACTTGCGTCGTCGGAGTTTCAAGATTGGGGGCCGATCGGGCTTCTCGTTCTTCGCTTGCCCATAGCATTCGCTCAGTATCTAGTGCGGTAGAGTGGGAACCATGTTCTCCCGGAAGTAAAGTCGAATGGAATAACGTTTCGTCGTTAGCTCCGTTATGAAAGTCGTGGTACATCGAAGCCCGAGGGGTTGCTGGGCTGTCTTCTGCGTCGTCGTCCTGAGGGTCTGAAAACTCGTACGGAATCCCAAGTGCATCTTCACTATCGCCCAAAGGATCGCCCTGCTCCAGGGACTCCTGATCCATGAAGTAATCGTCCTGGAGGCTTTGTTGTGAATTAACTAGATCTTCGTGCTGAAGACTACGCTGTGAACTCGCAAGTCGTTGGTCGATACTATGTTGTGAAGAAATGATGGGGTCCTCTTGGGAAAGACTATGAGTTGACGCAGCTCCTCGCTCGTGAGATCGAATGCTCGCTTGGGATGATGCCACTGATTCATCACGAAGACTTCCAAGTGAGAGCTCGGTTGCCTGGCGTGATGGCGGATTTCGTGTCATTGCTGGTGAAGAAGCAAGAGATGGTGATGCTATTGAAGGGGATTTCGCCAGAGCAGAGAAGACATTTGCTTCGGAAATGAGATACGCCCTGACGTTGGATAAAGAGACATGTCGTTTTCCCTCCTTTGGTACGATGGCTGGGGACCCAGAATCGTCATAAGACCGAGTCGTAACACCTTCGACTTCAACGCCCTCGAGAGCAACCTGGAATGATACCACCTCAGTAGTAGCAGAGTTTGGTTCAACAGGTACCTCAACGTCGAGCTGGAGGTTGACGGATTTTATCCTAACTTGCATGCGGTCAACGATACCCTGGAGGAAATCGGCCAAAAATGCTGGAAGAGAGAGCGCTTGGCCCGTCCCATATGCCAAGTCGTCCTCGCTTCCATCGTCACTCATAGAGACTGATGCGCCTAGATCCTGGGTTTCGGCTGCCAACGCATCTTCAAGTTTCCTACGCTCTGATCGTGGTTGGGTTTCGAGGAATGATTGTGCGAGATCGACGGTATTCGGTACAGCAACGCCTTCCTCCGGTGTTCTGGTCCCTGACGCATGTCCCGGCTTAGACTCTGGGCCTATGACTTGTAAGGCGATATCGACGCCGTCGACTTCGACTATTATAGGACTTGTATAGAAGTCTATGGGTATTGTGACCCGTAATAATAACACTTTGGCCTTTTTCAACCTGAACGTGTCGGGGAGCTGGAGCAGCTTGTTGAGTTTCTACGATAAGCCATCAGCCATCATGGTCTCCCGAGCTTACGATACATTGCTATCGGAACCTACCTTCAGTTTTATCCCGACATCACGAAACTCGAATACGGTATTCCTCCCTATGGCCAAATCCAGGTTGTCCATCTCGAGAGCCTCGGTGTCGAGGAGATCTAGTCGAGACAAGGCATATCGAAGCAGCCTCTTAGGCATGGAGGAGCTCCGGAAGGACTGAAAGAGGGTCGCCATGATGTCGTCGTCGGGAGCGATCGAATCGAGTTACGAGGGTGGCGATGACTGCCCGCGCAACCCGACAAAGGGTATAAGAAGGACAAAAGGTGTAAAAGAACCGTCGATCAATATACGAGTCGTCGATAAGTGTCGTCGTTGTCTAGGCAGAGGTCCGCGTCTGCGTCAATCTATCGGTGGTAGCTTGAGAACCCCGGCCAACTGCGGGGCCGAAGGGCATGTTTAGAAGTGAAAGAAGGACATGAGCTAAGACGTGGGGGAAGTTGAAGTTGGTCAATGAGGAAAGACGTTTTAAAGTTGAGGTCGATGTGTGAATGCGCAGGCGTAAGGCGTCAGTCAAGGTTAAGGTTGTTTTGTGTAAAAGAAAAAAAAAAGATTGCCCGAGTTAGAGTTGGCGAAATGGATGTTCGAGGCATCCTTCCCAAAGAGTCGGGTCTATGTCACAGGCAGCGTCACACAGCCATGTCGTGACATGGATGATGGCTGAGGCGGCAACGCGCGGGCAAGTGGGGGGCGATTAATGCCGAATTCAGGTAAGTTATAGGCTTGGAGCGCCTGGAAAGTGTCCCCGTTGGACCCTTGTTATCGCACCCCAGGCGCTAGAGTCACTAGGAGCGTGAGGCTCGTGACTCCAGTAGGTTGGTTTCAAGGATAGTTTCGAGCGGCGGACGAAAACATCTGAGTCTCTGAGCGCGTCAGTTGACCTGGAAGTTGTATTTCTAGTGGGTGATACGAGCCGTGCCCCCCTGGGCTTCTGTAGACTACCCGGGCAAGCTGCTCAACTCAATCGATACCTCTGGTTAACTCGGGCAGCTTTGGCAACACCATCACTGCACGACCATGTGCTAGGCGCGTCATTGATACTACAGTACATAGCCCTATTAACTGTTTTGCACTCTTTGATGACTCTATATTTGCTCCTTTGACCCTGTGAGTCAAAGCATGAATGACTCCAAACAATTGCATCGTCGATCTCTTTCAGCGATGCTTCGATAACCTGAGACAACTACCGGTCGACAAACTATCACGCGAGCATGGTAACCGATGGCTGGCTTGCCATTAACTACGACCAAAGATGAAAGATAGCATGCTTCTAACCGAGTAATGCTCCTGCGTCTATCCGTATATCTATCTCTTACTTGGCCCGCCCGTAAGCTTCCGCTATACGCTTCCCAACCGCCTCACCGCTCCAGTATGCCCCGGTCGCCGTGCCTAGACCGACAAACGGCGCCGTATGTTCGCCTGCCAGCCACAATCCATGGTCCGGAAGACCCTCCCGCATCGTCCGGATGTCCGTATCGCCTTCTTCTAAGCCAACCTGGAAGTTGCTGTAGCTTCCAAACCCAGAAAGCTCATCGTGAAGCCAATCTGTGGCCATGAATCCAGAAGGTTTGCAATCAGGGTCGCTCTCTGAGTAGTGTGGCATTAGTGAGTAGTATGGCTTGAAGAAGTTGAGAAGGAACTCGTCCTTCTCCTTAGGATTCGACATCTTGGATAGTTCCCCAGTAATGTACTTCGATTGTTCGCCGTAGGTGTAGAACAGAAGCGTAGGGTGTGACACTTCCGGGCCGAGACTTGCAAGTTCCACAACCTCTTGATTCCACCTCTTTGGGTTCAGATCAGGAACGTAGTTTGGAGACAACCATTGTACGAACCCCTCTGCTTTTCGGTTATCGCCTTCCTTTTCCAGCCAAAAGGCCTTGGGAAAGTTAACATAAACCTTCTCAAGGCATCCGTAACCGATAGCCCCAATTGCTTTGGTTATTCGAGCAGGCAGCGCAGGCTCGAAAGCATCGAGGTTTCGTTTTAGCCATCCAAGAGGTGCTGTCACAACAACCTCGTCAAAGTCGAGCGTTTGGCCATTTTGTATTCTGACCTTAGCCTTGTCCTCGGGATTCGTTTGATACGATATCCTGTCAACCTTGGTTTCGAACTTGATCTCAGCACCCTCGAGAGCGGGCTTCGCAACTTCATCTAATACCTTCTTATAAGTTCCAGCACAGAACAAATTCTCTGTCAAACGTCAGCCAGTCCTCTTCCCAGATGTGTAGACCTGCATACCGCCTTCGATGCATTCCTCCAGCCAAAAGAACTTTAAACTTTGCCTGTAAATGGGACTTCCTACGAAAGCACCCCACATCTCGGATATTTGCATCACAATATTTCGTTTCCTCTCGTAATCGGCGTCGGTGCTTGGCACTTTCTCAGTTACCTTCTGTACAAAGAAGTCGTGGAGACTCTCCCTGGAATCAATTTCATGCGAAGAGTTGTTAGAATGCTTGAAGGCATCCTGAACGATATCCCACATGATGGTGGAGTATTTCTCTCCATCTTCGAGTGAGAAGAGCTCCCCATTCTCGCCGAATACACACGAAGTCGAGTCCCAGTCACTGACAGCGGTATTTGTTTGCTTGGCAAGGTCCAACATGGGGTTGTCGTCGGTTCCGTGTATCCAATTTGGCCCTACGTCGGCTAGATGTCCATTTGGGAGAAGCTCTTGGTGCAGGCGCCCACCAACCCGATTACGGGCTTCGATAATGGTAACTTGGAAGCCATTCTGAAGGAGTATGTCCGCACAGCGAAGACCAGCAAGTCCAGCACCAACCACAGCAATATGTGGTTTTGAGGTATGGCTTCGCCTTCCCAAGCGACTCATTGTGGCAATATTCTTTGTTCGGCTATCTCGATCAAAGCCGATGCGAGTATGGGGACGAGTTGACCAAAGGTCCTGGTATATTTTGGAAGTGTGTCTAGCAGAAGGGCTAGTGCAACATATTGAGTAAGCATCCATTTCAAAAGATCGATGTGTATGGTCAAAAGAAGTGTGTGTGCAGTCTTGAGCTTGTAACAAGTAGTAAAGAGGACTGGACTTCCAGTGGTAGGATGTGATTTAGATACGTTGAGACAGCACTGATAGGCGGGAGACAGAAAGTTGGGCAACTACGCAGTGACAAGACCGATATAAGCCTCAGGATCTGACAGGTAGGTCATCTGGTGTCAAAGCCATGGCAGGCAATCAATTGCCTTTGGCTAACAAAGTTCCCGGAGAATAAATGACAACTCGAAATGGGCTAGATATCGTGACGACGACGGTCACGAGGGAGATATCCACCACTTGATGGGTGGACGTAGTTGAGCGTGTGGTGTCTCGGGAGTGTTAGCTTCCATGTCTGCTCAGGTCGAGGCAATGACCAGCCAATGATGGAGGACGCATGTTGCGACAACCTGAGCGGTTTATAGCCTCAAGATAACGATGAAAACGGCCAAACGAGAAATATCAGGATCAACAGAACGCCAGAGCCAACTGGCAGAGGCCGTTGGGAAATGCAGGTGCAGGGGGAAAGGCCGCCATGAACGCCTTCGTGCTTTAGCCTGAGCCTTAACTCAACCTTGGAGGCTTACTATTGGAGTAGCATCACAGATAAAGAGGCTCGGCCACAGGCGCATTAGCATAGTGAGGCGGACATGGCATTGCAGTCTCATTCCTGCAGGTCCAGAAGTTTCAACAGAGAGTGATAAGTCGTAAAAAGACAAAAGGTGAATCGGCAGATAACTTGGCCAATGGAGGCTCTGAACCGACACTCATGGGAGCATGTAGACAAGGCAGCGACTAACAGCCAAGAAGCCCCTCAAATGGCCGATGAAGATCGAGAACTAAGTCGTGGGGCCTCCAGATTTTCATACCATGTCAAACATTAATAAGTCAGGGATGAATATCTCAGGACTTCTGAGTCAAGTACAGCCTGGGCTGTGCATGTATGTAAGAGGCGGCGAGGCGATAAGAGAGTGAAGGGTAACACAGAGTTGAGAAAAGTGATACATACCGTGGGGACGGTCGAGGTTGGAAATACGATAAAAGTGAACGTGATAATGAATTTCGCATAGCTCTTCTCACAGCCTCAGAGTAAGGGTTCTAGGAGTGAGCTTTGCGAAGGGGAGAAAAGTTCTTTGAGGCAATCACCAGTATCTTTATCAGTACCTAGCGGCGTGGGTCCATGACTAAATAAACAGGCATGACGACAAAGAATACAGAATTCGTTATTTCCAGCTTATTCTCTTTCTCACGGTCCATCCTGATGCACTCTGCAGACTATGAGTCAGAAATGCTGCCAAATATCCGTCAATATTACAGCCCAAAGACGCTCCTCAGGTCTCGGTTCACTCTGAAGTGAGCTACCCTAAACAACTCCAGGTTCCATCGAGTTATTAGGGAAAGCTTCTTGCAGGACCATGAAGAAGTGTGCTACACTAAATATAAGATCTTTCCGATGAGCGAGCAGATGAACAGTATCTACAAGCGGTTGTTTGAAAGCTTTATTGAAAAATGGATACGTCCCAAGCAGTCGTGCTGGAGGAACTCGATGGAGGGGTGTGGAGCATTTCACTGCATCTTTAATCCTCCCCAAGGCGCAACCCTTCCAGGTTGAGTCGTGATCAGAGTCGAAGCCCTCAACTACAGACCAGGTACTAGCGTGGTTTCATCCATCTGCACTTGCACTGCATTTTTAACCCTCTCCAAGTCTATCCTGTATAAGGAAATAGCTAATTTCCCATATGCTCACATTTTAGGTCGCAACTAGAATCCCATACATTGCTATCTGATATATCCCGAGTTGTTATAGCATCTTCGCAAGTAACAATAGCTCATAGCTATATCTATACCGAGGATCATGATGAAGCGGCTGTTTGCAAACTTCTATTGAAGAGATATATGTATCTGGGCAGTCAGGGGCGTTGATGGATATAGGGGAGGGGTGTTGGGCATTCACTGCATTTTTAAACCTCCCCAAGTCGCGCCTTGATTCAAGGCATAGGTTACTACAATTGAGAGCCAGTACAGATACTTCACTGCAATTTTGACCTGCCCAAGTCAGTCATGATCTATCTGATGTGAGATAGTGGCTGATAACTCATAAACTCAAATTTTATTCTTAACAATAGTTTTATGTAGTTACCGTCTGTTATATCCTGAGTTGTCTTGGCATCTCGATAAACAACCAAACCTCACAGCTATCTATACCGAGGATCATGACGAAGCACTTCAGAAGGGAACGAGATTAGTTGCGGCTACTTGGATCCCATCATGTGCAAATGGTTCGGCCCCGCCCCCGCAAAATGGAAGTGAGGCCGCTGGAACCAATAGGGGACTTTGTATTTCATAACGACTGGCCCACTTAGTCGGTGCCGAGGTTCAACGCCAGTCTCATCCGGGGTAATCATCGTCAAAGGTGTCAACAGGAGCCAGTTCTTTTGACTTATTTTCTTGTTTTTGTTCTTTTACTCTTTTCTTACACTCTGTATACTCTCAATCTCCCATACCATATACCCATAAACACTACAATGAGCACTCCTACAGATACCTTCTCCCGCGAGGAGGTCCGCTCGCATACCTCCGACGAGTCCCTCTGGTGCATCATCGATAGCACAGTCTACGATCTCACAGACTTTGTCGATGCTCACCCCGGTGGTGAGACTGTCCTTCGCCAAGTTGCCGGTCAAGATGCCACAACCGCCTTCTACAACCTTCACCGACATGAGGTCCTCACAAAGTACAAGGACCTTGCCGTTGGCACCATCGAGGGCGAGAAGCCCCAAGTCATCACTCCACAGCCTGGCGACCTTAGCCAGGTCCCTTACGCCGAGCCCCTATGGCTCGCTGAGCCTTTCCGTTCGCCCTACTACAAGGACAGCCACAGAAGACTGCAGCGCAAGCTCAGAGAGTTCGTCGACAGCGAGCTGTACGAGGAGGCGCAAGAGTGCGAGGCGACGGGCCGCTACATCAGCCAGAAGATGATTGATCGCATGAGCGAGCTTGGTATCCTACACATGCGTCTCGGACCTGGAAAGCACCTGCACGGAGTCGACCTCATGGGAGGCGCGGTCAAGGGTGAGGAGTTCGACTACTTCCACGACTTGATCGTCGCGCAAGAGCTCGCACGCGCCATGGCCCGTGGTTTCGCGGATGGAAACATGGCTGGTATGACCATTGGTTTGACAGCTGTCCTCAACTTTGCCCGCGACGAGGCCTGGAAGAACAAGATTGCTGGCGAGGTCTTCAGCGGTAAGAAGAAGATTTGCCTTGCCATTACCGAGGCCTTTGCTGGTTCAGATGTCGCTGGTCTGCGCACCACTGCTGAGAAGACACCTGATGGCAAGCACTACGTAAGTCAAACGCGACCCTCAGTGATTATGTACATGAAGCTTACACGCATTAGATCATCAACGGAACCAAGAAGTGGATCACCAACGGTGTCTGGTCTGATTACTTCGTCACCGGTGTCCGAACAGACAAGGGTCTCAGTGTCTTCCTTATCGAGCGCGGCGAGGGTGTCGAGACCAAACAGATCAAGACCTCTTACTCTACCACCGCCGGTACCGCTTACGTGACATTCGACAATGTCAAGGTCCCTGCCGAGCACATGCTGGGCAAGGAGAACAAGGGTATCCAGGTCATCCTTAGCAACTTTAACCACGAGCGATGGACCATGGTTTGTGAGTTTACCCACATACATCCACTACAATTACAATTAAGCAAATACTTACCTGTTCATAGGTGGAAGTCTCCGTCTGTCAAGAAGCATCGTCGAGGAATGTCTCAAGTGGAGCAACCAGCGTCAAGTCTTTGGCAAGTCACTGATTGACCAGCCCGTCATTCGTCAAAAGTAAGCTTCACACAAACTTCCATTACAAGATCACCATTCTAACATCTTCTAGACTTGCCAAGATGATTGCTCTCGTCGAAGCCAACCAGTCCTGGCTCGAAACCATCACCTACCAAATGTGCCACATGCCCTACAGCCAACAAGCCCAGCACCTTGCCGGTCCCACTGGTCTGCTCAAGATGAGCGCCACCCGCGCCGCCCACGAGATCGCCGACGAGTCTGTTCAAATCTGGGGTGGTCGTGGAATTACCCAGACCGGTATGGGCAAGTTCATCGAGATGTTCCACCGAACATACAAGTTCGATGCCATTCTCGGTGGTGCCGAGGAGGTTTTGGGAGACCTTGGTGTGAGACAGGCTATGAGGAACTTCCCCAACGCCAAGTTGTAAGATTCTGTTGGGATTATAGAGCAAGCTATAGTATACTATGTATTATTGGGAAATATCCACCAATTCAAGCGATTTTTCTTGTTTATTAAAGGAAGCATACACGAACATAAATCATGATAGTCAAGTCTTTCATGTCTCACCATCCCGGGATTATTTACCAACCACAACGAGGTGAGTGGCCTCAGGGCATTCATGTGCTCATAAAAGGCCTTGTATGTGTATCTACAAACCTCCTACCTGTATGGTCTGTTTCTATCTCCCGGCTCGTTGGAAATATCATAGCCGGTCCAGTCACAACAGGCACCTGAAGCCATGACTATCCTTTTACCAGGGTAGAATTCCAGTATATACCTAGCCATTATCGTTGTTCTTACAACAGAGATTGGTATGTAGATGTACAAATGTCCCTTACTATGATCCGATATTTCTCTCAATATCCTCACCATGAGCATTCTATGGCTGATACCACCAAAGTGTCTCGCCGTCTGCTTTCTTGCAGTACGAATGCCTAATTTGATGACAAATCGAAACCATCGACTTATAGACTATCTATGAATGACAAACTCATCGAAGGCTAACGGAAACTGATGACAAGCATCCGTTCGAGATCGTAATTACTGATCACGAAAACCAGGGGGGGCAAGAAGGGATATCCAAGTGCACTGCACCTCAATGACTTAAACAACAACTGGACAGGCAACATGTTACGTTGATGAGAGTTATCAAGCTATGGTCAGTTGTGAGAACAGATGTTATAAATCAAAAGGCTCTTGAACTTGCCGAGATACACTTGACAATTTTCAATTGCTCTCACTCAGCATTCCTCTTGGTACTTAGTATGCTATCCCTTCGACCAAAGTCAAACAAAATACACAAGATTTCATGAATTTGTTTCAATCATGGAGGTAAGAATAGGCAATAGGTGGCGTACAGTTGATTTAGCTGAGAGTTCTAGGTATATATAATAAGTGGTTGCCATACCCCGATGCCAGGCCTGGAGTATAGCCCCTGTATATACGACATTGTACGACAATTCTGAATGGCTCTTCTCTTTCTGGTGCCGGGTATTCATCCCTTAGATTGAACAGCCTCTCGTACGATGGGGGCACTGCTTCCTTCGGGCCTTGAAAATCAAAATAAATCTGCCACGGCGCAAAGTTGTTTGTGTAGCCTTGGTCTCCCTCCTCAAATATCGGTTGAGAGTATCCTGGTATTAGTGATGATGCAGGAAACCAGTCTCCGCAACTTCTTGCAGTGAGGAAACTCATCTGATGTCCAAGATGCCTGCTTGCCAGCATAGTTGAGAATGCAGCATGACCTCTTTCGATAACCCTGAGAGCCTCGACATACTGAGTCTGTCCCCATATCGAGTTTGAACGGGCGGTCATTAGCCTTGTACCGGCAAGCTGTATACTATCCATCGACGCTCGAAGGTGGCCAGGCGCTATGAGCTTGTGCCGAGCGATGCCATCTCCAGCAGCAAAAGCTCGGTCGACTCGTCCATTTTTCAAGACTCGCTCTTCGTCTTTGATCTACACACCTGCCCAACTGACTGCATGTGACGCAGAACAGTGATGGGCAATATCGAAACACACACACAGTCACACCAGGTTGAAGTTTCCACAACGTCGGGATCAACACTTTTCATCTCGACTTGACTACAAAGGAGCACACCCAGCTCTCTTTAGCTTGGGCTCTCCACCAACAAGCCACCAGATAACCTTTTTTGATCTCGTCACTCTCCACCCGTCACCATCCGTCACTCTCAATGTTGAGTCGTATGTATGGTCGTAGTCGTTCGTCCGTTGGGTGACGAAATCCAATGCTGATATGTTCCAATCCAGGCTGGGCGCCGCCAGCTATCGTCGAGAATCGCGCACGTTTTGTTTTTATGAGCTGCCATTCTGCCGTGATGATCATTAAAGTCGTGCGATGAAATGAACTTTTGTGAAAAATGCCGTAAGAGAAGTAGGAAAAAATCGTCCGTGGGTATCAACAGGTCGCCACGTCCCTCTCGTCTCAGCCGTTAAAACCGAGAAACCGAGTCGCCATTTTAGTTACTGGGGCACTGAGACTGGACGTGTCCAGGCTGCTGGCACTTGTAGCAGATCTTCTCACCACCAGCGGACTCCTTGGGGCAGTCACGAGAGTAGTGGCCAGACTCGCCGCAGTTGTAGCACTTCATGCCGTTGACGCACTCGCCTGCGTATTTGGTCAGTTAAAATCAAACCGATCATGATGAAGCTATCACTTACGAGACATGTGGCCGAAACCACCGCAAGAGTAGCAGGTCTTGCCGGCACCACCACCGAAACCGCCAGCGCCGCCGAAGTTGTTACCGTAGGAGGACTTGTTGCAGTTGCGGGCAATGTGGCCGATCTCACCACACTAAAACCTGTTAGTGAAAGCCTTATATGGACAAAAAGTAGGACTTGCCTTGTAGCACTCGGTGGCCTGGCCGCTACCGCCGCTCATGGGGCAGTCGCGGGAGATGTGGCCGGGCTGGCCGCACTTGTAGCAGGACTTGTTGTCCTTCATGGGCTCAGTGCAGTCACGGCCTGAAGCGAGTTAGTACTTGTTACGCACGCCAGAATGGGAAGAAACATACTCATGTGGCCCTCGCCTATGGGAAGGATATGTTAGTCTGCAGAATTCTAGTGATCATCAAATATGAGTGAGCTTACCACCACAGTTGTAGCTGGAAAATCAGTTAGTATAGGTCGTTAAAGAACTCGAAGTATAGAACTTACCACTTAGCAGGACCCTTGGTGGGGCAGTCGCGAGCCTGGTGACCGGTAGAACCGCCTGAGAAATGTGTAAGCAGAAGTTCATACTTGAGGTCAAGATGATGGAGAAGAGAATGCGGTGTAGGCTTGTCGGTCAAGCTTGAGGATTGAACCTAATGTCTAACCAACGCTGCACCGGGCGCATAAAGAGACCAGTTGGGTCATACAAAATGCGCCAAGAGGCAAGCCACGGCACCAAGACCAGTCTAAGCTTGCCGCACTATTTTGGAGCACTTCTAGAGCGAACCAAGTGCAACGATCTGTGAAGCCGGTTCGTGTAATAACAAAGCTGAGGAGGGAAAGTTGAGACTTACAAGAGTAGCAAGCGCCACGGGGCTGCTGCTGCTGTTGCTGCTGGAAAGAATCCATTTTGAGAGGATGAGAGGTTGTGTGAAAGAGTCTGAATTCTCAAGTCAGTTAAGAAGAAACGATTGAATTGAAGTTGTGAATGTGCAGAAAGAAGCTAGCGCAATTACTCGCCCCAGAAACCGATAAAGGCAAGAGATTGACGAGGGGTTGATGAGTGATGACGGAGAAGAGGGGGAGAGACGCTGGAGATTTGAAGGCTTTGCTATACCGATGATAGAGCACTAGCTTTTGGGCTCAAGGCAGCAGTTATGCGACGAAGAGCCATTGTATGTGATTCACTGGCTATTGTGCTTTGCAATTGGGGCTTCGTATCGTGAATAACTCCACTTTGAGAACCACAACCACCGTTTGCTACCTTCAAACAATGACAGGAGCTTTCATACCCACTCAATCTTGGGCCCTGAAAGCTGAAAGTGGTAGGCGGGGGCGGGGTGCAGAGATTTCCAATGGCGGGCAGGTATGGGAATTTTCTTCCAGGATTTTTTTCAAGCGGGCGGGCAGAAGTTGAAAAGGCGAGCCAGTGCAAGAGAGCAGTAGGCGAGTATTGCAGTTGAAAGGCAAGTGTTGAAAAAACGACATGGTAAAGTTGAGGACTTACTGTAAAGGTGAATTTGTTTGCGGTTGCAGGGGAGAATTCCTGAAATCAGTGAGGATTTGAGGAAAGGTCGTGGGTTGTGATGTTGTGAAGGAGAGAGATCAAGGCCCAGTTGAGTTTGAGTTGAGTTTTGAGACGCTTTGACGAGTTGGGTTTGGAGCTCTAGCTTCCCGTCAGGTTCAGGTTCAGGTTTTTGCAGGTGCGGGTCAAGCTGCAGACTGCCTCTAGTGGTGATGTACCTAAGCCTAGGCCCAGTGCATTTCTAAATCCACAGTGGAGGCTAACCTTTCGCTTACAGGGCACAAATCGTTGGCTCTCCCGCTGCAGCTGGTCTCATCCGTCCCTTGCAGTGCTTACCTCCACTAAGAGAGCGAGCCTTTCAAAGTCAGATCTGGCACTGTGTGATCAATCACACGACCATTTCTCTCAGCAATTTCTAGTCTCAACGTCAATTGATATGTCTCTACCCGATCAAAATGATTCATATAAATTAGATTGTCATTGTGTAAGAAATGGATTGGCTCGGTTGTCGAAAGCTTCAACGTCCTCGAGTTAGTCGATGTAGTACAGCTTCAGTCTGACAAGGCGTTTATGGTCAGATACCATCTGCGCTGGCGGTTACACAGCTCTTACTCCTGATTCTTCGGTCCACCAAGCTGAAGGCTGAAGGCTGAAGCCCTGCTGAGGTGGTACAAAGATGATGCAACGTGCTGTAATCGGAGCTGAGATACGACTGATTAGGCTATGGCCCTTTGTGTTACTTGAAGGTATCTTGGTGAACATCCAACCTCTTCTATGGAGTTATACAAGCCCACGGCACTGTGTTGACCAGTTGCCTTAGAACAGAATACCAGCTGCTTGAAGCAGACAGGATGCCTTGACAAAGGCAGCCGCATTCCTCAAACAATTTGAACCAAGACCAATGACTTTTATCATACAAAACTATCTGCCTTCCGTCAAAGATGAAAACCTCAAATCGTCAACTGACCCTGGATGACTGTAACGTGAGTTGCCCTAACCATGCACTGCAGAACCAGGCGAGATCGTCAAAGAGACGGCGCGACCGCACAGATGGGGCAGAGCGGGTCAGCTAGCCTTATATGGCGTAGCTCAGGCTGGGTACAACTTGTTGATCAAGATCGGCAAAACACAGGGTAACTTACTGTAACAACACCACATCAGTCAAGCTCATGGAAGTTGAACTCGACAGTACCAATTATTATACCAAGGCATCTATGATATGACCCGACTTGAATTTGGCTAATAAGAAGATAGGAGTATATCTGCTTCCACAGTGGCCTGTATTAACGTTATACTTCAAATTTGCCTGGGTATTATTCGCGAGTATAATTTCCTCGTCAGCATATTACTATTTGCGGTTGGAAAGTATTTTGCTACGAATCACCAGCGATACGTTTATTTTCTGGACATTCTCCGACTTCGTCACTCGTGCCACAGATGATATGCAGTACAACCAAAGAATCGGAGAATTGTACTCAGTTGGTAGTCACGCTTAGGACTGCAGTGTTGTGCAACACCTTGGTTTGGTTTTCTCAACGACAGCATCACCGACTAGTCGCTTACGCTTACTGGCACGGATGAGTAGCTGGCACTACTGTGATTGTCACCAAAGATGGAAGAAGTGACATTCCATGAAGAATTGACAAAGTCGAGTACCAGTGTCGAATGGAAATCAAAGAGAGAAGCTCGAAAGATATGATGTCCAAATTTGACCTGTTATCCAAGTGGAGGACATCCAGACTTTGACAATTCAAGTGCGTTCTGAAAGCGAATCTCGGTGATATTAGATTTCATGACGTACCAGAGAGGACATTGGCCAATCTTAGTTGCCAGAACTGTGTAAATATCACCACGTTCTGACCGGCAATGCTTGAAAGTGGTCATACATATCGGAATACCCGCCCACAGAGCAGGATTCTGATTGATCCATTTGAGAATGCACAAGTAACTCTACTGTTGCTGCTTCAAGCTCGTATCATTTCCGCAGTCACTTTGCGGGCATATTGATCTTTAGGTTCTACCGTGGGGGCGAGTGGGAGGGGAAGTCTGCTCACTCCGGACCCTACTCGCCATTCTTCAACCACAAGTTAGGGCAGCAAGAAGGATCACTATCGGATATAAACTTTGGGACAATGTGTAATGCCCGCGCTCTGTTGACCATGAACAGACACATAAATAGAAGGACTGCTCCAGTCAAGTTCCAGTTCAAACCCATACACGTACATTCACGCTCACGCACTTGCAGACGAAAACACGAACACACACGAATCATTTAACAAGATGAGGCTCAAAGTGCTTGGATGCCTTTTGGCATTCCTGCCATCACTTCTTCATGCCCAGGATGACGAACTAATCTACGAGAATCCCACAGACGAGCACCCACTTGTAGCGTGGTACTTTGGAGTCAATGAGAAGGAACACGAACGGCGTGTAAAAGACCTCAAAGCAAAAGACTTTAGACCAATGTCGCTAAGCGCCTATGGAAACCCAGGGGAGACCCGATACGCTATGACTTGGATCAACGATGGGACAGTCGTTCATGGCTGGCAGATGGCATGGGGTTTCAATCTACAGAAATTCAACAAATGGGTGAAGGAATGGGAGTCGCAAGGATTAAGAATGACCGCAGTCAGTGCAAATGGTCCTGCAGATAGTGCTGAGTTCCACGGTATCATGGTCGAGGATCCCCATGTGATCAAATGGGGACACGATTGCGACATCAGGGACATTGACGCGTACATGGCCAACAAGGACAGCAACGGTCTGGCAAGAGTTGTCAGCTTCCGCATGTATGGAGAACCTGATGACAGGAGATACTGTGTCGTCCTCCACGAGAACGAAAGCCACGAGCGTTGGGCATTGGAACATACCAAAGAAGGCCTCATGCCAGATCAGAGCTGGTCATCCACATTCAACTACCCACACTCATCACGACAGTTCCTTCGACCTGCCAAGCTCTTCATGTCCGACGACGGCGTCATCACACCTCTGGTAACTGATATGAGTACAGGAGGTTGGTCAGCCACAATCCGCCTTAATAACACCGAGTTGTCCAAAATGATCAAAACGCAAAGCGCCCAGTGGTTTATGCCGGTGGATATTCAGGGCGGATCAGGTCTAGGCAAGACACAATATAATGCCGTTTTCGTTGAACGCATGAGATACCTGCCTCGCAAGTGGAAGGCAAAAGGAGAGGTTAACTCGTTCAGGAACAACAAACAAGCTAAAGAGGAGCTGGACAAGATTATGAAGAATTTCATGAAGGACAACGGCATTCGGCAGGCCCAGGTAGCTATCGGAGCAAGGGGTCATGTCATGGCTGAGCGAAGTTATACATGGGCCGAAACGACTTATGGCACGGTATCGCGCAACGATAAATTCTTGCTCGGAGGCGTGAGCAAGATGTTCTTATATCCAGCTGTTAAATGGTGTGTTGATAACGAGCTCTTCGACTACGATACACCCGTCTACGAGCTGCTGGGTTACCACAAACCCTTCGACAGGCGAGCAGTGGATATCACTATCCAGCATCTTCTCGACCACACAGCAGGCTACGACCGAAATGCGTCTGGAGAAGCCGCCTTCCAATTCCGTGAAGCTGCAATGCAGTCACCATCCAAGGGCAAAAGGCCTGCCACTCTCGACGATCTGATCAAGTACAAGCTTAAGAAGAAGCTTGATTACAACCCAGGCGAGCGCATGGTCCACTCCCATTACGGCTCAATGCTCCTTGGCCATGTAATAGCAAACCTCACGGAAATGCCCTACGTCGAGTTTCTGGAGAAGCATATCCTCGATGACCTCGACGTAGATGTATTCGCGACCGATGTTAATGCGCACCTCAAGGATAAGATTCACCCAGATGGCCTGCAGGTTGGTGTTGATGCTCGTTTTCCTGCAGACAAGCAACACGTTCCTGGAGTATATGGAGGAGATGGCGCCATCAAAGAAGAATGCGCCGCTGCATTTTCCCTCCGTGCAAGCGCCAGCACTCTTGTCAAGTTCGCTGGTAGACATTGTAAGTGCTACTCGCTCCTTTACTATCATAATACAAAGCTAATCAATCTTTACAGCTGTCGCAAGAATGGGTCACCGAAGATCTGGATACCGCAGAGGCGGAGTGGAAGGCGGCTATGCTCTCGTCGAGAGTTACGGTGAAGACTTTGACTGGGCTGTAGTCTTTAACACAAGGGAGTTTGCCTCCAAAGATGCAGTTCTAGGCCTGGTTGACAAGATGCACAAGTTCATGGATATTACACTTTCGGAAAAGAGATATGGTCCACACAAGCTTGAGTGCAATCCCGGCGACAGAATGCTCAAAGAGGACTATCCTGGGCTTGCTGGGCTTACCTCTGGGATGACCCCTGAAGATTTGAAACATCTTCCTGATTGTACGAAGGAGCAATTGGATAAGATGTTAGGCAGTGAGAAGGGATCGAGACGAGGGACATAGAGATGGGTTGAATAGAACAAGAACACTTGGGTCGTGGAAAGAGTCAAAGATATACAGATTGTTTTCACAAGAGTTACTACTATATCCCAAAGTGAAGCTCAAGACTCATCTCCATCTCGTCCTGGCCAGAGTAGCTTCTTGCGAATAACTGCAGATACCATCGCATATAGCACTACAAACCACATAATCACCAAACAAACTGTCAAAACACTTGACACCCATTGTATCCCCTCGCTCTCAAGCTCCTGTCCGATATTCCCCGTAGCAATAGTAAAGCCGATATTAGGGAAGACAAAAGCCCACCAACTCATACTGAACTGCAACTTGCGTTTATAAACTGATGATAGCACCGCAAGGACACCAAACCCGAAGAACCAGAATCCAACACACCATATCCATATACCGATCCAGAGCGCCAATATTCGAAGGACATCTTGTGCCAGTGGGTATGTTGCGAAATAGCCATAGCCCTCCGGAATTGCTTTCGACATGCCGATGATGGCCACGGAGGTATATCCAGCTGGGCCTACGGCGATGAACATACCAGGTCGCATAGCTGGTGCTGGAAGACCATCCTGCATCAATCTGCCAAGGTACAGTGGGTATAAGAGAAACGCAACAGTCCAGCCAAGACCTTGAAAGGTTACACCGGCTACCAGCATCGCCATTCTATGCTCTGGGCTTTGTGAAGACATGAGTGATGAAGCGAGCGTTCCCGTAAGCATAGCCGGAAAGACCGGTAGGATCCAAGCTGGTGTCATGGAATGGATGGGTAGGTGGGCTCCGGTAAAAAGGACGAAATATTGGACGATAGCTGACAGAATCGTGACACCAGCATAGATCCAGAAACACACTCTCAAGGCAGTAGTCAGCCAGTGTCCTGTCTCTGGAACGCCATATGCAGCAGCATTCGATATGATAGTCGCAATACTCAGTAGCGAGCAAGGGAAGAAGAGACTTTCGGTCGGATGCATGAGACTCTTTTTCAGCGCATCTGGCGTGGTAGCAAACCGCAATACAAGGCCCGAAACAACAGCGAAAAATACCACTATCGTGAGGATATAGTAGATCTTGCCGATAATCTCAAGCCCTCGGAACTTGTGTGGCGTAGAATGCAGCAACAGCGCGATACCACCCGTACTCATAACAAAAGTAAACCAAGCCCATGTCAAATGTTTGGCACGCTCTGTAATAGGGACTTTCTGTGAGGATCTGAAGCGCTTCTGGCCCGCGACTCGAGTATGGCCTTCTTTCCAGTTGTCGGTTTCCATATCCTGGACGTGTTGTTTAAGGTCAAGACGACCGTCTCCCGCAGAGAAAGACATTTCGAGACGATGTAGAAGTTAAAGAGTCATGGAAAATATTTTCCTGAGTCGAAAATTATAGAAAACCGGGAAAGGTCGTGTCCGTGTAAGTGGTTTTTACATGATCGATCCACTGTTGGTTGAGATCGGTTCATTGATTAGGTAGCGTGGGTTGGGTGATGGGTCATCATCACGAGCCAACCGAAACCCATGTCTTGGTTATACGGATGCAGCTTGTAAAACTTGAACGTTAATAAGCCACTTACAAAGGCGTTAGTAAATATTCTCCGTATTACAATGCAAACGACTCAAGATAAAGAATGTCCAGTATCACAAGTTGAAAAAAAAAAACTTTAACTACCGCGACTTTGATCATCCATCTAGATGGTCCCACCAAGAGTCCATAGCTTCCCTCATAAATACAAAGTCATGACGTGCGATATCCACCACTTGTTGAGTTCCACTCAATACGCATTGACAATGAGAATTCAGATAGTTTTGGCACTACCTAGACGACCCGATAGTTGTAATAGCCAGGCCGATCTCCGAGACTGAGATACTCGTCCTCATCTGTAAGAGCTTTAAAAACACCAAACTCCCTATTTTCTTTCTGATCACCCAGAATATCCTCGCCAATCCAAACATACCCGATCCTGCGATACTCCCCCTTATCTAATCCTCTAACGAGAGCCAGGGTATGTGCTTTAGGATATCCGCCAAGGTTAATATGAGAATAGATAACGGCCAGGTAGATGTCTATCTCCTCATCAGATGAGACCTCTTTAGGAACAGTATCTAGCTGAGGCGTTGTTGGTCCCGTACCATTGCGCAACGCTGCGTTATCAACACTCGCGTGATCTGGCATCGACAAGTAATTACGTACGTATCGTAGCCGACCGCCTGGTACAAACTCAGCAGCTTGTTCTGCTGTAAGGCGGTCGGAAAGGTCGATCATCACAAAACCAAGGCGTGCTTTGATCAGAGGGCCATGCAATACCAGATGCCCTCCAAGTGCAGGTCCAAATTCAGACCCTGCTGTCTCAACTGATGCTTCTAGAACAGTAGCGACGGCAACCCATGGATCCTCACCTGGTTCCAAGTCAACATTCACAGACTTGCTGCCAATTGAAAACCTCCCCGCCCAGTTGTGCGCCGGCTCAACCGAAGCCCAGGACCACGAAGGGCTACGGTAAAGTTGTGGCGGTGAAGCCTTTCTCCCATTAGCGATGGTCCATAACAAATCCTGAAGCAGGACTTGACGCCATATTCCTGCCAGATAGGAGCCAGGGGGGATATGTGCAAATCTTTGATACAAAGTCGCGATGCCAGCAAATGCTACAAGACGATCAGATTCGAAAGTCAGATCTCTTGACATATATTCTTGCAGTAGGTTATGCCATATTTGAGGGGTAGCTTCTGTAGATTCGTTCGCAATGGCGTATAGAGACCCGGGCGCCATCGTGTGAATGTGGTTTCGATCAACTTCAAAATCGTATCCTTCACAGGTCTCATTTGCTGCGTAGCCTTGAGACTTCATATTCGAGGCCGATGTCCACCAAAGCTGATCTCGTGCCACATGGATTGTTGCAGACGACAAAATCCACTCCTGATATGTCCATCCCCGACGGAAAAGGGGTTTCGCGAGGATTTCGTCACAAAAGGCCGATCTAACTATGATTCGTACAGGACCATCTGGTATCTCGTTCTCGAAGCCTGTCCACGACGGGGTGATCTCACAGGGATATCTAAGCATGGAAGTTTGCTGTTTGAGCCCTGCTGCCGAGTCTTGAGCAGCCGTAGCAGCGATGGTGACATGCGCCTGAGAATATACGGATGCCATGCGTGCAGCCTCTGCTTGCCAGTCGTCTTTAGAATCCTGTATAATGCAGAGTGAGTCTATCCATATGTACTCGAGGCCAATGTCATTTGTTAGTCTGATAGCATCCTGAAACGTGGCTGGGATAGAGACGAATGGGATGTTGGTATGAAATGTATCCTGCAGAGCCTTCAACAGCATAAGAGGCTGGACGGTGCCCCAGCGATGCGTGAGGGCGACATAACGAGTAGACGGGCTCAAGTCGTTAGTGTTCACAAGCTTAACGGTAGGTGTGCCACCGGAAACTGGTGATGGCTGGCAGTGGAGGAGTCTTGTGGGTAGGTGCGAGCCAAAAACTGGAACCCTGACCAACGATTCAAGCCAGTTGTGTATCCGCGAAAGTGACTGTTGTCGGTCAAACGTGGGTTTCCATATAGCCCTGTTCTCTTGATTTGCAACGCCTGAAATTGTTAGAATATAGACACACAAGACAGCGGGACATAAACTTACTGATTACTTTGAAGAGATGAAATCTGTGCAAAGCTCTGGCTTTCCAATTGTGCCCTGACCAGACAGCATAGAGCAATCCAAAAGTGAATATGCCAGTATAGGTGGACTCTTTCGGATGAATGACCGGAATGCCAACAATATCTTTCTTCTCTATCCCAGCAAGGTTCTGAGACTCAGCCAGAAATTCCTCGATCGTCAACCTTTCCCAAATCATGGCGCAAAAGACGCAACTGTCGACCGATTCTGCCACATCTTGGAAGTTATGGTGAAGATACAACGTCGGGATTTCTTGACCTGGAATACTGTCCAGCCTAACTTTCCACTCCTGTTTACCTGAAAAGAAGTCCCCGGGCCGGTATTCTACATCCTCGGTATCGATGAGGTCGTGCTGCAGGACATCAGGAGACACATAATCCCCCTCAAAGATGCCAGCACATTTTACGCAGAATTTTGATAGCGACATGATAGTAAGTCAACCCAGATTCAGTCTATGAACTGAAATAGCTCATTCAGATGAGGCAGAAGTCATTGGAGACAAACGACCAACATCGTTTGATCGACCAATAGGTGCCTCCTTAGACCCTGGACGGGCGCCTGCATCTGCGGCAGGTTGAGAGCCTGAGGGTGACATTTCAATGGAGGGTGTACAGATGCAGTCATCACCAAATTGTGAAGTCATGATTGATCCCTGAGAAGATGGAGGCGTAAGACATTAATATGTGGTTTTCGTCTCGATGTTGATGGTTTTAAATTAAAACGTCATTGTCTTCGATGATGGAAGGTTGTCGTCTAAACTGCAGCCAATTTCTTAGGCGTTGACAGCACTAAATTTAGTGGATAATAGCCCCAGCGTTCCTGACTGAAATGCCGGCACTTTCCTCAACACCAATGGAACTTTCCAGGTTCTTATTGTGATCTTCCCCTATCTTCTTTCTACAAGACGACTTAATCACTTCGTTTGAATAACTTATTCTTCTCCAATAATATGTGCTGAGATCACGGGCACATCTTGCCAATTTCTCCCACCATCATCGGATATCATGGACAAATTTATTATTAAAACATCAACACGAGCAACGCGTTCAAGCGCAGTGAATGCTTCACGGAAGATTTCTTCTCAACTGGAACCTGATGATGAGCCAGTTCTTGCAGTGAGGAAGCGCATAGCCAAACGCCCTTCTCCTCCTCAGGATGAAGATTTCGACGCGTCTGAGCCGGAAGAAGACGCGACTCTTGAAAACGATACTAAGCAACCAGCACCAAAAAAGAGGAAAACGCAACCTCCAAGGAGCAAGGCTGAAACTTCCAAAATTCATGAGACTCTGTTCTCTTTCAAAGGAGAAACGAATGAAACACCATGCACCCCTCCATCTAGGCGACATCACATCACATATCATCGACCATTGTTGTTGAAGGAGTCCTCTTCCCGCAAGGCGCTCCTCAATTGGTTCGATGATGTTAGCACCAAGCGTTCAATGCCATGGCGTAAGGCTTGGATAAATCCAAAGGATCACGAGGGTGATGAACTTCGGGGACTGTTAGAACGACGAGCATATGAAGTCTGGATCAGCGAGATCATGCTGCAGCAAACGCGAGTGGCAACAGTCATCGACTATTGGAACAGATGGATGGCCAAGTGGCCTACAATCCATGACCTTGCGGCTGCAAGTGCCGACGATGTTCTGAGTGCGTGGCGCGGATTGGGCTATTACAGCAGAGCGACAAGGATTCACGAGGCAGCAAAGCTTGTGGTGAACGATTCTACCATGAATGGGTTGCTGCCTTCAAATACTCAGGATCTCGAGGCCAAGGTTCCTGGTGTCGGGAGGTACACTGCAGGTGCCATTTCATCCATCGTCTTTGGAAGAGCAGCGCCTATGGTCGATGGAAACGTTTTGCGAGTCTTGAGTCGACAACTTGGACTTTTTGGCAACGTCAAGGCAAACAAAGCCGTGATAGATACGTTGTGGGCTGCCGCCGACGCCCTTGTGAGAGCTGTTGCACGAGATGGAACCGATAAACAGGAGGACGAAGAAGTTGAAACAAGCGATCGGCCAGGAAGATGGGGACAGGCACTCATGGAGCTCGGAAGTACTATCTGTGTGCCCAAGCCAAACTGCTCCGAGTGCCCTATCACATCAACATGCCGGGTCTATGCTGAAGGCAAAACACTGGTGTCAAACAAAGACACAAAAATTGGAGATATCGAAGATATGTGCGACCTCTGCGAAAGCTTCGAAGAGGAAGGCCTGGGCGAAACGGAAGTCAAAATTGAAGATACCAAGGCTTCGAAGAAGGCGACCGCTAAAGGAGGTCAAGGCAAGCAGATGACACTCTCGGCGTTTGCCTTTAAGGGGCCGACTGAAGACAAACCAACTCCGGCCAAAGCCAAAGCAGCCCTCAGTCCCCGTGAGCTGGAAACTATTGTTGACCACGCCCGCAAGTTCCCACTTAAAGTTATCAAAAAGGCTGTTAGGGAGGAAGAAACTTTGGTGTGCGTGATCCGCCGAAATGACGGCCAATATCTGGTTCAGAAGCGCCCCGAGAAGGGACTCTTGGCTGGTCTTTGGGAGTTTCCTAGCTACATCCTCCAAGACGCCAAGGAGGGCAACACACCTGCAAAGAGACGTACAAAAGCACTGGCATATGTCTCCAAGCTCGCTGGCGAGCACGGAAGCCAAGCAGTGAAGCCCAAGCATGTGGCTGAACTGGGTAGTGTGCCATGGCTCTTTTCCCACTTGAAGCTCACAATGCACGTTCATCTCTTTACCCTTGAAGATGGTGATTTGGATGATACCAAGTCACTTACTAAAGATCGATTGAGATGGGCGACTAGTGAAGCTGTTGACGAAGAGTCAATGGGAACAGGTATGCGTAAGTGCTGGGCGCTTGCGAAGGATCAGGAGGAATAAGATACAATATCAGTTGTAATATCATAGCGTCTGTATTATTTAGACTTGTTAGAGTAATTGGAGTGTACGGATATATATATTAGTATAATATTTGGAGAACTTATTAGCTGTTGATACCAAGACTAGCTTCTGGAGCTTGCACCAGCAGAACTCGCTCGATTTACTAATATTCTAATGGATATCAAATAAATATAAATTATTGGTATGTATGGGACTAAGTCTAATCTTCCGATAATCCTGGTTAAACTCAAACTCAATATTTTGACCCATCATGATGACTGTTGTATCCCATCATGACTTCCCGAGGTGATCACGTGGGGCCGCGCTGAGAAACTGACGTCCTTAAAGTAGAAATCGCCGCGCTGGACAAAATGTGGAGACGCGTCGATCTGCATCACCACACCTCAACTTGTTACACCTTGTCCAAGTCAAAAACGGCCTGTTAGATATGTTAAACAGTTGGTATAGAAGAAGATGACAAGTTGGTTTGCTTCAGGCCGTCCGGCTCTTTTTGATGCTATTACCAGCGCTTGCGATTTAATTGACCAGCAGATCGCTTCAGGTACGTCACACTGACACGACGTGAATCGAATATTATGACTAACACCCTTCAGATCTTGAATTGACAAAACGCGAGCTTGATGAGGCTCTACAGCAGCGGGATGACCACGCGTCTCGCGCCGCTGAACTTTCGGAGGAGAATGCCAGATTGAAAGAGCAGTTGCAACAGCAGGCTTCTACCAAATCACCTGGGAGCGCCGAGCAGACTCGAAAATCGCCTGCCAGCAACCCTTCGGAAAACGCAGAGGAGCCAGATTGGAAACTCGAGTGCGCCAAGGTGAGCCTCAAGTTTAAAGCACTGTCGGCAAACTTCAAACAGGCAAAGGATGCCTTGCGAAAGAGGAAAGAAGAAAGGGATAGATGGGCCAATCACGCTACGCTTCTGGAGAAGAAGATTAAAACAGCCGAAGACGAGCACGGCATCAACATCACAGACCGTCGAAGCACCCGAGCAACTACACTTCCTGCTGGAAAGACCGTAGAGGAAGCTGCTCCTAGTCCTAACACGAGCTTCACATCCGAAGCCGGTCTGGATCAAGCCGACCTGGACCTTCCACCTTTAGCCGCCGCCTCTCTTCATGACAACAATCAGCCGCTTCCAGACACCACAGCTGCCAATCCTAGCTCGGACTCTACAGAGAGCGAAGTGGAGTCAAGGCACGACGAAAATGAATTGCCAGAGCTGCCGACCCACGGCTATGTGAAAGTCAAGGAAGAGCCGTCGTCCGATCCGATCTTTTTATCCGAAAGAGAGGTACGGAAGCGAAAGCGCGGCGATGAGGAACCCAATGGACTGCCTTTACAGAAGGTAAAGGTGGAGGCCGACGAGCGCTCTTCGAGCCCCATAGACCCATTGGGACCTCCGACCCTTCTCCCGCATGAGAGTCTGGATTTGGGAGATGTAGCCCAGAGACTCCTAACACCCAGGAAGCGCCGAGAATTAGAAGAGTCGCAATGGCAAGAGAGAGTTAAGAGCGAAGCACCTGCGACGCCAACGACAACCCCCCGAACTCTCTTCGTTCGACCGGATCCTCCACAAACTGCTCGTCCAATCGAGCGTACATCAGCACTTACACCTCTGAGCGTGAATCGAAGGATAATTCAGCCCAGTAAAGACAAGCCTGTTACACCCCTCAAAAAGGGGCTGGACCGTGGCATCTCAACTTTGGCTGAGGATGGCGAAGCCTACAGGCAAGACAGAGGCCCGGATGCAGCCCCTAAGGGGAGGTTGGATGCACTGTTGAACAGCCCAGCTGCGCAGGTGGCTACGCCCAGTGGTCGACCAACTCCGAGGACATCATCGAGGCCGAGTACCACAGCAGAAGACCTTGCAATTCCAGGACGACGAGTACTTCCTTTTGAAGGGGCGGGTCGAGTTAAAGACAGGCCGCCCGTTCAGCAGATGCTCACGCCCAGTCGAACACCTGCTGTAGCTGCTGCGTCCAAGAATACACCGCAGAATGCACCATCTCCGCTGGCCTCTAAGAAAGGTGTGCAGTCGGGGTTGCGGTACAAACCAGTCTCGCAGCTGCGTCCGGATGACTTCAAGATCAATCCCGAGGCCAACGAGGGACATGACTTTGCCTTTTCGGATGTCGTTCGTGGTAGAGACGAGAGGTCTCGCATGCAAGGATGTACCGATATGCACTGCTGTGGAAAGCATTGGCGATCCCTCGCTATGTCTCAACGTCCCGACCCTCCCCTTTCGGCTGCCCAACGGCAAGAGGAGCAGAAATTGTTGGAGGACTACATGGGAGATTTTGCATACCGATTAGGAACCATGGATAAGAAGGAGCGCGACGAGTTGTGGATTGAAGCCAAGATGCAGGAGCTTGCCAATAAGTACGGCAAGCACCGATACCACTACTCAAGAATGCGAAGTCCTCCAGGATTTTGGAACGCAGATTTTCCAAACACGCAAGAGATAGAGGAGGAGAGATCAGAAGCCGCTCAGAGAGAGAAGCAGACAGTTCGAGATAGACATCGCGAGGCCATGCGGCCTGGTGGTAGATGGTTGTTCCGTGATGAGTAACTTTGGAGTTTACAATGTTTTAAATAGGATTGAGCGATTCTGGGTGGAGTTTACCTAGGTTTAGTAACTAAGCGTTTGAGTTTTGTTCTTCTATCAATCTTGCATATACAATGAGTCTCATGCCATAGCCAGTCCACTGGATTATCCTGTTGACAACGTTCATCGGTAAACTTGATAAGTCGTTTAGATCCCGGTTACTAGGATATGAGTTCTCATTGCTCCAAAATCGATCTAGTAATTCGCTTTCTTACATGGATGCGACTTACAATCGATCCAAGGCAGGGATCAAGATGAGCGATGCCGGGGCTTGGCCTGGTATGAGTGGAGCATAGACATCAGTGTGGAATCAATTTTCTGCCTCAGACAGCAACATTTGCCTCAGTCGAATCTTGGTTTGGCTTTGACAGTTCTTGGTTGGCTCGTGCGGTGCGTGCCTAGTCCTGGGTAGCAGAAGAATTGTCCTTCAACGCTCAGGGTGTCAGAAATAATTAGGTTAAGCTTCCGGTGACTTCTCGAGTGAGCTGACCATATTATTTTAATCCCTATATCCCCCAGCAGTCAATTTTTCTGCTACCTTGACGACCTGCTCTTACTCTGCGGCTCGACTTCCGTGTCAGTAGCAGTGCGCTCATAGGTCATCCATCCATCAGCTCAGCTCGCTCGCTCAGCGATTGACGACGCCCGGCCTCAGGTTAGACAATTTTATTTCTCCAATACCGCACCGCCCTGGGCTTGTGCTCGTGCTTTACGCTACGCTACACCTCAACTTATCGCAACGCAACTTCAAAGCGTCGTCCGTTTTGCCTGACGCAACTCGGTCAAATCCGCTTTCTCCTTCCCTCCTCCTCAGTGCGTCTATTCTTCGGCTTCGACGTTCTCTTTTGGTACGGATTTTATTTGTTGCATTTTCAAGTTTCGTCTTTGTGCTTGTGCTATTAACAACCCCCCCGGACATCTTTGTTCTCCCCCAATCTCGACAAACGCACCTATTCTTACCTACTTTTTGCGGTCAAATCAGGCCGCCTCGCTTCTGGTGTCGCGTCGCAACCTTTCTCGCCCCTCGCTCCCCGAAACCTTCGGCAAACTGAAGCCCGACGACTTCGAATCTTGCACCGTTCGCAAGAGCAGGCTACCACGCTGTCTGCAAGGGTGTCGCACCAACTGGGCGACTCCCGTCCTCACTCAACCCCCAAGCCGGCACGATGAGTAACCGCCATCTGCCGGCTGGGCAGAATATACAGGGAGGAGCTGGAGGTGCTCACGGCGCCGATATGGTCGGCGGTCCCGGAGGCTCTCGTCGGAGGCAGCCTCCTCCCTTTGTTCCCCAGTACCAGCAGCAGCAACATCATCATCACCAGCACATGAACCCCATGTATGCCAACTACATGCCCTACGGCCAGCAGCAGTATTATGGATACCCGCCGCAATACCAAGGAGGTCATTATCAGAACGCACAGTACCCCAATGCGCAGTATCAGGGACAATACCAAGGTGGACAGTTCCAGAATGGCCAGTACCAAAATGCACAGTACCATAACGCCGGAATGCCCTCACCTGGCGGTTATAACATGCCTTACCAGCCGCACTTCGCTCGATCGCCGCCCGCTATGCACCAATACGTCCCCATGTCTGGTGTGAGCGTCCCTCCTAGCTACCCACCCCGCCCAGCTCAGCAACAATCTCCTGCTCTGCCGAATCCCTACCAGCCTCCTACTGTTGTTTCTTCGACCTCAATTCCACCCCAGACTCCCACTTCAACCCACTCGTCACAGATAATTCCTACCCCAACTCCCCCTGTTCCGCAGGAGACTGAGCCAGCACCCCCCGCTCCTGTTGCCCCCGCCGAGCCTCCGCGAGAGCCTTCGCCCGCTCCCGTTGCCGCACCAAAGGGACCCTTCATTGCACCTGTAAGTTTTGGAACTTTCGATTTGTTGCATTCAAACTAACAATACTCAGCTGCCCTGGTTCTCTCATCCCGATGAAGATTTCCCTGTCAGAACTACAAAGTCTGGACGATGGAAGAGGCGTCTCAATGCTGATAGTGCGGATGTCTCCCTGCCCACTAACAATGCTGCTGCCACTACGACAGAGCAGACTCCGACAGAGCAGACCAGTGTTCCCGAAGCCAGCTCTACAGAGCCCTCAGTGTCGGCCCTTACCCCCGCGACATCAACAGCTCCATCTGAGGCTGCGGCAACCCCTCGCCAAGCTTCTGAGACCCCCGCCGCACCTGTCCAGCAACGATCGCGCACCAACACGGCCACCAGTGCTACCTCGACTGCGACGAACCGACCTGCTACCCGATCCTCCGCTGTTCCCGCTCCTGCTCTTCCATCGCTTCCTAAGGCGAGCCCCAAGGATGCTAAGCCTGCGCGTGCTGAAAAGCCGACAAACGGCGACGTAGCAACCGAAAGCGCCCCCGAGGAAAAGGTCGCAGCTGAGGCTTCTGAGAAGCCTGCGGAGGCGGAGCAAGTCGCTGCCGAACCTGCTCCTGCTGTCAAGGCTCCTCCTTCTAGCTGGGCGAAGCTCTTCTCGAAGCCCGCTTCTGCGGTTGCCGGAAAGACTGAAGGGGCCAATGGTGCCGCTCCCGTTGAACCTGCGGTCAATGGACACGGTGCTGAGACTGCCGCTGGACCTACGAACGGCGCTGCCCCCAGCTTCTCAAAAGTCAACGCAAACTCTGTTGCGGAGGCTATTCACTCATTCCATGTTGGTCTCGCTGATCAAGTTTCGTTCCTCGAACCTCGAGGCCTGATCAACACTGGAAACATGTGTTACATGAACTCTGTTTTGCAAGTTTTGATGTTTTGTTTGCCATTCTATGATTTCCTGAGCCAGATCAGCAAGCGCGCTGTTCACAGCTTCAAGAGCGATACTCCTCTTATCGATGCAATGTGAGTAACATATTCTAAAAAAATCGGATGTGAGATCCTAATTTATGCCAGGATCATGTTTATGCATGAGTTCAAGACCATCAAGTCAGCTGCTGGCGTTGATCCTTTACGCATCATTTTGAAGAATGAGGAGCTTGAGCGATATGGCGAGCCTTTCACTCCCGAATTCGTCTACGAAGCCATAAGACAACTTCCACGATTTGCTAGTATGAGGGTATGTTGTTTCTCGATCTAACCAAAGACTTTGCTAATAGATTATAGCGGGGTCATCAGCAAGATGCCGAGGAATTCCTTGGTTTCCTTTTGCAGTCACTTGATGACGAGTGCACTACAGTTCTCAAGAACTTTACTCCCGACCAAGCGGACCGACGACCCAGCACTGGCTCAGGTGCAGGTGGTGCCGATGACTGGTTGGAAGTTGGCAGAAAGCAGAAGGCTGCTGTCTCTCGACTTTCGGGCTCTAACTCATCCAGCCCTATTTCCAGAATCTTTGGTGGTTTGTTGCGATCTGAGTTCCGTGTCCCTGGCCTGAAGGATTCCATTACTACCGAGCCTTACCAGCCCCTTCAGCTAGACATTGGATCATCAGATGTGCGCAACGTTGTAGATGCGCTCCGGGGTCTTACTCGCCCTGAGCGCCTTCAAGGAGACTTCAACTCTCCTCGTGGCAAAGATGTTACGGCTACGAAGCAAGTTTTCATCGAGTCACTTCCCCCTGTCCTCATCCTGCACCTCAAGCGCTTCCAGTTTGATGCAGAGGGCAATGGAACTGTTAAAATTTGGAAGAAGATTGGTTACCCTCTGGAGTTGGAAATTCCCCGCGAGGCCCTGTCTCGGCAGAAACGCCAGACGTTGGGCGACGATGGAATGCCCAAGTACAGGCTGATTAGCGTAGTATACCACCACGGAAAGAACGCCAGTGGCGGACACTACACTGTCGATGTGCGACGGCAGGAGGGACGCGAATGGATCCGTATCGATGATACAGTCATTCGCCGAGTTCGAAGCGAAGATGTTGCCGAGGGTGGCGAGGAGGAGGATGTGAAGGACACACGCAAGGACGGTCCTACATCAGGCAACCGATTCGGTGCCGTTCAAGATGAGGACGCTGGAGATGATGACGGGTGGAGCAAGGTGACAAGCCCTGCCGGAGGAGCGAAGAAATGGAGCAGTGTTGCCAACGGTACGAATGGCGTTACCAAGCCTGCCAAACAGATCAAGGACAACATCAAGGACAACAAGGTTGCCTACCTGCTCTTCTACCAACGAGTATAAGGAGTTCTCAAGCAACCTATATCAAAACTATGTATCACACTCATGGATGGCCCCCATACCGATCATGGGTTATGGAGAAGGCGACACGATTGAACACGAGCTTAACGGCCATATTTGGATGGGAAAAGCACTATTTTAAGACGGAGTCGCTTGCTGGGAGGTGGCGAATTAGGGAAAATCAGGATCCGGTATCTGCGGCGTATGGCGTCGAGGTTTGGATTCTTTCCATGGATCGGACACGGGAAAGAGGAGGCGCTGGGGAAATGATGCCCAGAAAGGCTGATCAGCCAGTGTGGAACTCATGTAAGAAGAATCTGAGAGATCTCTATCTGGAGATGTATTGCAAGTTTCTTCGGCTGGAGTTCGTTCGACATCGGCAAAAAAACTGCCTGAAGATGGACTTCTCGCGAAGTTCTTTGCAGATAGTATAATGTACATCACAAAAGTGTGCATGCATACATGAGATAGCTTTTGTCATATAAAAAAGGTTCACATGCGTTCAAATCCAGTCAGATAGTCGTGATATGTGCAAAATGAGTCAAGTCAGACGTCTACATAGGATACACGGGAATTGTCTAGTCCGTTGAGGTGTGGCCACCATTCTTCTAGGAGGCGGGCAATTCCCTCTTTCAACCACCGTCCTGCTACTGCTGTTCAACTTCTTTCTACTATCTTCCCAACCCGAGGGCCAAAAACCATTTAGTGCTTGCGGACGACGGCGATGGAGTCGAGCTCGTTCTTCTCAGCCTTCTCGGCGGAGACCTCCTCCATAAGGGGCTGGAGGTAGGGCTTGTCCTGTAGAGGGGGTGGCGAGTTAGTCTCGACGCTATTCAACCGTGATATATCGGGATCGTGAACTCTCTCCAATTGCCGAGGAGGAACCGGCAGAGAGAATAATCGATCGTAGGGTCATTCATACCGAGGCGGAGGTAGTCCACTGCTCCTTAGGGAGGAGCTTGTGCTGGTAACTGCACTGGACAGCACGTCGGATGCGGTAGATTCGCTCGTAGGACTCGACGTTGGAAAGGCGCTTGAGGGCGGCCTGGGCAGTCTCGTTCTCCTCCTCGAGGAGATCATCGTATCTGTTTTAACCAATTGAAGACCCGAGGTCAGCCAAACCCATCCCAAAATATCATATCGCCGTTTTCCATCGATTCGTAGTCCAATTGGCGGCGTAATAGGGAGGGGGAATTCGCATACTTGAGACCCATCTGGCGGTACCCGGCAGTGTTGACGTACCAGGTGGCAGCGGGCTTGAAAAGGCGGGCGAGCCACGGCCGGCGGAGGATGAAGGGGGCGAGTGAGTACTTCATTTTGAATCGAGGAAGCAATTGACGTCCGGGGGTTGGGTTGGAGTGTCGTCTTCGTCGTCGATCGGAAATGGCGCGAATTGCGGATGGGCTGAGCGAGCAATTGCAAAACTTCTGGGAGAGCTCGGGACGTCACGTGGTCTTGATGACCATTGCTTTGTCGTTCGCTGGCTGTGGTTCATCGGGCAGAAGGGGACCAAGATCGATGACTAAGGTAGATTCTAGCCTGAGGCGTTCACACAGCAGATGTGGCTAGTGAGAATATCTGTGGCGCAGCATGCACATGGCAGTTAGTGCGACAGTGGAGCATGATGAACGATGGTGGGGGTCATTTTTATGTCCCGTGGGAAACCGGTTCGGGATAGAACGGCCAAGACTGAGATGAACATGTGTAAGAGGATATAAGCAGAGTAGAGAAGCAGCTGTAGTTTCGATAACATTTGACCTTCTCTCATCATATGTAAAGTTCATCTGCCTGTCACACGGCTTCATCTGCCTCGGACAAAATTTCTACTGCACTTTTATGCAAGCCTCGGAACGTGTCGTCATTCCATCCCACGTTGAACAAGGGTTCAAGATCGGTATCGGAGCTTGTACACGAGAGAGATACCGGGCCTTACAGGCTACTCACAGCTGTGCTCTGACCACATGCAATCAATTTTCCTTGCTGACTATTTATTTCCGTTGCGCAGGTAGAAATATGTCTGCTTTGTTCTAGTGTCTGTTTAATTCATGCTGCGTTATTTTGAGATTGTCTGTCTCCGCTAATAAGACCGGCTTGCGACGGGGCAAACATAGATAGAGGAATTCTGTAAGATAACCAGGGAAATCCCTTTGTTTGTTCTGGGGAAACATTGTGAGATGACAACAGTCAGCCAAGACTTTGAAATGGGTGCTCCATGTCAAAAATGATTTGGTCAGAGAACCCTGGAGGTCCTGATATGTAGTGCACCTCATAGCGGGTTGCAGCTCACTTTCCCTGGGTGTAAGAAAGATCATACAATAGAGATATTGCGTTGTAAAAGGTCGTTTGTTTCAACAGGTTGTAACGCATTTATAAAATGTATTCATAATCCCAATCTTTCTTTCTCATATTATCACACATTTTTTGGATATTCAGCAATCATTCTCATTGGCCTTATGAGAGGTTTACTGTCAAGTCCAGTCAATAGCGTCCGTTTTTTTCTGGCTCCCCTAGCCCGCCCCGTCCTTCTTTCCTCCCGCTGATTTCCATCCTCCGTTCCGTCTAGCCATCCAACGGGAAACTTGATTCTTCTTCCCTACTTCCTCTTTCTTATAACTTTACATATTACACTTCATTCCTGGACTTCTCAACCTCATTTTCCTCCGTTCTTCGGCCTTCATTCTCAGCGCCTGCCTTCAACTTCCATCGGGTTTTCCGGTCCCCAGGCTTTTGCTTTTTTCGACGCCCAAAGTCAATGGCCGGCGCCATTCGCTGAAGTGGGAAGCGGTCGGTCACGGCGCGTGGGAGCGAGCGTTCGTTCCCCCGCAGTACCTCTGTACCGGCTGCGAGGCTCCAACAGCGGCAGAAAGACGTCAGGCCTATTTTTTTGACAGACTGGAACCGTTCTGTTTTTGGGGGCGGGACGGATCGGAAATTGAGGAACCACGACGACTAAGATATCTCGGGCTGAAGGTAGTCAACGGCGTGCAGGACGATTTGCCTGCTGCTCTTTTCTCCGTTACATTTCCCGAAATACATCAGCTCGACGTCTGCGACGGACCTTTGGAGGAAGAGCCGGGTCGAAATTTGAGCACGAGCACCACGACGGTACTATATACGATTGAGCGACAACAACAGATAGCGACATTATCGACTTTGATTCTCGGTTTTGATATCGCATAGCAACGAACAGGCACAAGCAAATAGTACCAGGCGATCCGATAACCGACGACTGGGATGTCAACTGACCAGGTGCCTCCCGAAGCTGCCCATCCGCCGTCTTCAGACTATGCTGCATCTTCCTACGGTTACGCATCCTCCGACGATCCCATGTATTCCACGACGGTAACCCCGATGCACCGATGGGCGCTCAACGCCTCGGATTCCCAGTTCAACGCCATCGCTGGTGCAGTGGGTGGTTTCACCTCAGGCGTTGTGACATGCCCGCTCGACGTCATTAAGACCAAGCTCCAGGCGCAAGGTGGCTATGCTGCTCTCAACAAGGGACGACATGTTGGCCATCCGAAGCTATATAATGGCCTCATTGGCTCAGGCAAGGTTATCTTGAGAGAGGAAGGAATTCGGGGCCTTTATCGTGGACTGGGGCCTATTGTAATGGGCTATCTACCAACATGGGCAGTGTGGTTTACTGTTTACAATAAGAGCAAAGGATATATATCACAGCACTACGGTATGTTGGCAAACAGAACCGTAAAAAGGGTGACATACTAATCTCATACAACAGAAAACAGTCACTTGGTCAATTTTTGGTCATCAATCATAGCAGGCGCCAGCAGTACAATAGTCACCAACCCAATCTGGGTTATCAAGACGAGGCTCATGTCACAGAGCAATATCCGACATAACACCCAAGACCACCACTCGGCATACTATCCGAAAGCATCAGGCACGCCAACAGCGCGACCGACACTACACGATTGGCACTATAAATCCACACTCGATGCGGCTCGCAAGATGTATACTTCGGAAGGTCTCATTTCATTCTACTCTGGCCTAACACCAGCTCTTCTCGGTTTGACACACGTCGCTGTACAATTTCCGACATATGAGTATCTCAAAACTAGGTTTACTGGTCAAGGAATGGGCGAATCCAACGAGGAAGATAACAAGTCCCACGTTTTTGGCATTCTGGGCGCCTCCATCCTATCCAAGATTCTCGCCAGTACCGCGACGTACCCTCACGAAGTTATCCGTACCCGTCTACAGACCCAGCGGCGTCCGCTTGCTGGCGAGGAGTTCGCTCAGGGTATGGGTGTGACGAGTTCAGCTTCCAGTGGTACTCGAGCCCCTGCTGAGAAGCCCAGATACCAAGGTGTTGTCCATACATTTCGAGTCATACTGGCTGAGGAAGGGTGGCGCGCATTCTATGCTGGGCTGGGAACTAACATGATGCGAGCTGTCCCAGCAGCGACAGTCACCATGTTAACATACGAATATGTTATGAAGCAACTGTACCACACCAGAGCTGAAGCGCGGCATCTTTTGCTGGATTCGACAACAGAATCATAATCTTTCGATAACTGTTCTAAGTTGTGGCGAAAAGTGAGAGATCACAGGAGTTGCAAGGGATGGAGAATGACTGTACACATGGATTCATGGACGGGAAAGGAGACGGAGCAAGGCTAAGATACCCTTCGTCAACTATAGGCTAGACGAATCTTGGTTCCTATTGTTGGCGCTTTTCATACACAGAGGAATGTACACAGCAGGCGCACATGGCTGCAGGCCCCTTTATGTTTTTTGGACAACAGAGACATTGAATTGCATCAAGGGCCTGATGAGTTTGGGGCATGGCGAATACGGTGCAGCACTGGCATTAAGAGGAGTTTGTTTTTCATGTTACTTGAGAAATTAGACAACAAATCATAAAAAATACGATATGCCCATTTAAAACAACCATGTGATGGCGATCAGGGGAAACCATTTCGCTCCGTGCGCCGGTGTATGCTTCAAGTAATTTCCCATTTGTGTTTATGATGAACCACCTCTTGACGAGCGCTCGCCATTTGCTGGTAGTCTTGATGAACGCTATCGAACAGGTCAGCAGGTTGCAGATCAAAGACAGGAGGTACGCACTGCTTGTTCTCTGGCGGAGCGTATGGATGAGCGGGTGTATCTGTAGAGTGTTAGTTCTTGTCTATACCAATAATTCTTGACATTATACGAAACCCATATGGATCCAGTATACTTCTCAACCATGTTCTTGAAACATTCAAACACAGAAAAAAATGAAGATACCTCGATAATTGGATTTCAGAGGATCACGCCATTTTCTTCTTTTTACTTACACAAACAATACACAAGCCATGGTAAAGGCAGCCCCTGGGGCCATAAATTTCTATTAACCACTTAGTTAGTCGATACTTATAGAGGAATGGTCTAAGTTGAGGCTCACTCGTGGGTTCATTTTCTAAGTGTTTGCATCACAGGTTAAATATTGTAAATCAGTGGTATCGTCTCATCTTACAGAAAGTAAACGGACGATTTCGGCAGGTATTCTATTGGAGCGCATTAGATGCATAACTTCAATTGATGCATCACCTCTACCGGCTTCAAGCTCCGCTCTCGCGCGAACCCCCTGTTCCCCAATCAGTTTAAGCGAAAAAGAGGCCTGGCCCGTGCTTGTTCCGCTGCCGAACAAAGATGGTCCAAGCTCCCGGAAGCTTGCAAGGCCTGGAACAGCCTCTATTGGTCCCCCCATATGAGACACGCCGTTTGACTTGGGGGGAGGTCGCGGAGGAGGGAGGCGGGCGCATCAAATGCGACTGCGACGGACAGGGCCAGGCCGGACAGGTCAGGTAGCCTTTCTCCATTTCCATTTCCCGTCCTCCCGTCTTTTGCACTTCTTTCCCCCCAAGCGCCCAAGCCCAACCTTCTTCATCATTTGTTTTCATCTCTTTCCGTCCGCTTTTTTCCTTGACGCGTTCTCACGGTAGTTTTCGTCGCAAATTCGTCCCCGTGTTTTGCAGGATACAGCATTGCTCTTTATCGCATCGCATTATCGCAAGTCGCATAGTTCTCGCGCTCTTTCCCCTTCACATATCATCATGCCTGTCGAACTTCGTAAGCGCAAGGCGCCTGCTGCCCCTCCTCCTCCTCCTGTCAAGAGAAAGGCTACTGCAAAGACTGGAAAAGCCGCTAAGGTGAAGGAGGCTGCTGCTAAGGTCGCGGAGAAGGAGGACAAGCCTGAGAAGGCAGAGGAGCTCAAGGAAGAGGCCAAGGAGGAAGCCAAGGAAGAGAAGAAGGAGGAGGAGGAGCCCAAGACTGAGGAGCCCAAGGCGAAGGAAGCCAAGAAGACTGGCGGCAAGCTCGAGGTTGGCGATGTTGTGGACCTTGATGGTTTTGGCGGCGAGGTTGAGACCAACGATGGTGAGAAGACCACACTGAAGAAGCTTGTCGATGACAGCAAGTCCGGTGTCGTTCTCTTCACTTACCCCAAGGCCTCCACTCCCGGCTGTAAGTTTTCCTTTGCCTTTTTATATCTGAGTATCTCTCTGACTCCTCCACAGGCACAAAGCAAGTCTGCTTCTTCCGCGACGCATATGAGCCCCTCACCAAGGATGGCCTGGCCATCTACGGTCTCAGCGCCGACTCTCCCAAGGCCAACACAACCTTCAAGGAGAAGCAGAAGCTCCCTTACCCGCTGCTGTGTGACACCAAGCAGACTCTCATTGGCGCCATTGGTCTCAAGAAGGCACCCAAGGGAACAACCCGTGGTGTCTTTGTTATTAGCAAGGAGGGCAAGGTTCTCATTGCTGAGGCGGGAAGCCCACAGGGTACTCTTGACCGTGTTCAGGCTCTTGTCGACGAGTTGTCTAGCAAGTCCAAACTTTAAGGTCTTGATACCGTCACATATTGGCAAGCGCGCGCAGATTTTGCATTGTTTGGGAGCAACAAGGATTTGGGTAACAGGTACGAGTGATCTAGGGTATTGCAGGTATCAAAGGTTCATAGACCGAATAATGATAAGAGCGAGCATATTGTTCAGACAACAAATTTCCTTCTCGTGCCTTCGAAGTTGAATGAACTGGGAGGGCCTTTGCTACATAAGCGGAGGGTCAAGCTTCTATAATCACCTGATATAACTCTTTTCGCCAGAGCTACTATGTCAATTTCTTTCTGAAAACGTGGTCTTTGATTCACAAGGATTGGGTCCTTCCGAACATTGGTGTAGAAGTGGTTTCCAATGGTGATCCAGCCATGGTACTGATTTCAGCAAGTACACATCGTGGAAGGACTGGCAGCTTAACATCACATCCAGTCTCAGAGACAAGGGACATACAGAAATGTCAAATGAATTAAATGATTCAATTACGTTAATTTGTACTGGGACATAATCTACCCTTATTGACTTAAGTGCTACAGGGTAAGCAACTCGGCTCGGTGGAGGCTCGGATAAATTGATCGGTCAACCAATGATCACGACGGCATTTCAAGTTGGAAACGATTCCATCACCCGAACCTCATCGACAGCCTTCATCAGCCTACCAGCCGCCATCATGTCGTCTCAAGTGGCCAAAGCTGCCAGCAATGTGGTCAGCATTGCCAAGGTACGAATTACGAATAACTCCGCGAACTCAATGCCTCCCCATCGCCTCTAGACCACCGCCCCTACCTTCGAATTCACTCGCACATCATGAAGCCCATACATGACATATGCAGCTGCTAACAGAGCATCCACTCGTACAGAAGCAAACCCTCCAGTCGACAGGTATCTGGGAGACTTTCCGCCGCTTCCTGGCTATCGACCCCGAGCGATCCAACGGTGTTCCTCTGAACCCTCACTTCCGTAACCCTCCCCCCGGCGCCAACAACCCTCTCGAGTACGACGACCCTGTTACGTTTCCCGCCGGCGACATCGCCGACAACCCTTACTGGAAGCGCGACAACCGCCGCGGCTACCCCCAGCTCAGCGTCGTCGATCAGTCTCAGTTCGCCCAGCTCCTTACCGTCGGTAGTGCTGAGGCCCCCAAGGTCGACCTTATTGGAGAGGCTGGCGAGAAGCAGCTCGTTGCTGTCAAGCAGGAGTCCGAGACTGGCTTGGCAAAGGCCCTTGAGAAGACAAGCGACGCGACCAAGGATCTGTTTGTCAACGGCATGCCTCCTCTGCCCAGTGGCCAGACTATGAACACCGGAAAGTGGGATGTGCACAAGTATGAGCTCGAGGAGTCATCTTATGGTGAAGGGTATGTCATTCCGTGGATGAAATACGTGTGGATAAATGCTGACCGTTCAAAGATACCCTTGCAGATCATTCAAATAAATTAGAAGCGAAGGAAGAGCTTGTGGATACAAATCATGAGGTAGTGAGGGTATAGAATTTCCATTGACAATGCAGATGACTTTCTCTTTTTTCATATACAAGTCCCTGAGTACCGAATTTGTTTTGTCCTAACTCTCATACGCCTGCCCGAACTCCGATTTCATTCATAGTGCTTCACGGGCTTGACGGCCCCGATGTGTCCTTTCCGCCACCCGTCATTCTTTCAACAATCTTGGCCTTTCCTTGTGCCCTCTTAACTCGATCATCGAAGTCCTGAACCGCTTCATCCGTGTTTTCCGTTGAAAGTGTCTCCGGCTCCACAAGGGCGTACAGAATGTTGATGTTCTTCTCAAGTCTTGCATTTTTCGGTAATGATGGCAACGTGCAGGGTTCCGAGGAAGTCATGTCTTTGGGTGGCATTCGATTTGCCCAAACGACAGCTTTGCTGGCGAGACGGCCACTTTCGAGGAACTTCTCAAAGCCCTTCTGCATGCCAAAAGATCGACCCTCGATTTTCCCCGCTTGGATGCCGTCTTTGATGCCTAGTTGGTAACCTTCTGAGTAGAAGCGCTCTTCGAGGTTGAGGACATCCTCGAAAGGATCTGAGGTGTTCGTCTGTCTTGTTTCCATGGTGAAGTTTCGTTTCTTTTAGTTGAGTGAGAGTCCTGACTCACTATGGATTTGTAAGTGAGTTGGGACTTGACTTGCGTGAGTTTGGCAGAATTTGCGTCACCGCCTGCCAATAAGGAGGGGCATCTCGACTTGTAGGTTGTAAACCTTTGAACAACTTTCAGGTTGGGCAGCCTTTCTTCAGAGTTACATTGTGGGATCTAATGCTTATGCAAAAATGAGGTGGCTCTGAAGATGTTCCTGAAAAAGACCTGTTTTTACAAATCTGACCTTGAGCCGAACTTGTAGTTTTCAGTACTTACACTTACACCATTTCAGCACTACAAACTAACAAGAACACAAGTATACTCAGGTAACATCGGTATGAAAAAATACTTCTAAAATCTATGTACCAATTTCTATTTTACTTTATCTTGAACCAATTCATCTATTGCATACCGAAAATCATTCCTCCGTTAGCACAAATGACCTGACCTGTAGCCCAAGCACTTTCAGGGCTGGCAAGCATGGCAACAATACCAGCAATCTCATCAGCTTCACCAGCACGACCACCAGCAGTCTTGGCCTCCTCAACAATCTCAGGGTCGTCAACGCCAGGACGAGCAGCCATGAGAGGCGCATTCTGAATGAAGGGCTTGATGAGACGCTTGAACTCATCTGAGTTGCGCGAGTACATCTCTGAGCGGACAGGGCCAGGGTTGATGGCGTTAACGGTAGCTCTCTCGCTGAGCTCACGAGCCCAGGTTCGTGTCATGGCCTCGAGAGCAGCCTTTGTACCACCGTAGACACTCTGGCCTACGAAACCCAGGCTGGCGCTGACACTGCTGAGGTTGATGATACGGCCGGAACGGTCTGTGGGAAGGTAAGGAATTGCAGCCTGGACGAGAAGCAGAGGACCGAGAACATTGACGTTGTAGCTGGTTGTGAAGTGGTCGGGCTTGATATCGGGAACCTTATCGTTGAGAGCGACACCAGCATTGTTGACAAGGATATCAATGCGCAGAGGACTGAAAGCATCGGCGGCTTGGGCAATGAGAGAGGCAGGGCCCGCGACGGTACCGAGGTCGGCCTGGATGGGAACAGCCTTGATAGAGTGCTTGGAAGCCAATTCAGAAGCGATGTCGGCTGTTGAGGCGGCAGAGTTGGCAGATGTGTAGGCGAGGATGAGGTTTGCGCCGCGGGCAGCCAGGGCCTTGGTAATGGCCAAACCGATACCTTTTGAGGTCAGTAGAGTTCAATTAGGTTTGGAGAAGGTAACGAGCATACCTCGAGAGGCACCAGTAACAATGGCAAGCTTGCCAGTAAGAGGAAGAGCCATGATGGTTACGAGTTGGGTAAGTTGAGTAGGGCAAGATGAGCTGGGTATCACGACAACAGAACGAGTACACAGAAATTGAAATGCAAAGAGAACACCTTGTCTATAAAAAACCTAAAAACACGAGAGCCTCTTCTCTATTTATATTCATCTAAGTCTCACGATCTGGACCCTTCTTCTGATCGTGGTCCTCTTTTTGTGTATTAGTTCAACAATTGATACAATTTAGAGCCCACTGCAATTGTCGCGCCAATAGAGACAAAGCACCAACTCCTCTATGCAAGTCCCGTGGCTGCCATTGCTTGCTTTGACAGGTGCGCTTCCAAGAGAGGATATCTATCGGGTGCTACAGTGGAGGGGCTCATAATTGGTGCCTGGCTTAGCGTTCCAGGTGCTCTCAAGGATCAAAGTTAGTGGGGTTCAGTTTGTTTGTCTCGGCGCGGGGGGGTTTTATTGCCGACCTCCAGGTGACAGACGGAAGGTGACTTCACTGAGGTGAGGAATTGACCGCCCGCAGATTTTAAGACCCGCCGCGAATTGAGGGGCCGATTCCGCTTTCAAAGTGGGCTGAAGCTATCTCTATCTTTACTGTCACTGTTACTGTACCTCAATCAACCTCTTGAGCCTCATTCAACCACACACCCCAGAAAGGACCCCTCCTCCTTACCGCAACTATGGATATCCGCCTCCTCACAAACGCAGACTTGCCCCTCATTCAGCACGCAAACCTCGAGAACTTGCCCGAAAACTACTTCCTCAAGTACTACCTTTACCATGCTCTCTCGTGGCCCCAGCTAAGCTACGTCGCCGTCGATGTCTCAAGGACCAAGAAGGATCCTTATGAGTACCCTAAGATCGTCGGATATGTCCTTGCAAAGATGGAGGAGGAGCCTTCAGACGGTATTCCTCATGGTCACATCACCAGTCTGAGCGTTATGCGCACACACCGAAGACTCGGTATTGCTGAGAAGCTGATGCGCCAGAGCCGTACGTAATTGCCTTCTCCTCGCTCAGTGTCAAGTAACTAACATGCGCAGAACTTGCCATGGTCGAGACATTCCAGGCCAAGTACGTCTCCCTGCACGTCCGTGTTTCCAACGCCGCTGCCCGCCATCTCTACGAGAACACACTTGGTTTCACCAACGAGAAGACCGAGTCCAAATACTACGCCGACGGAGAGGACGCTTTCTGCATGCGTCTAGACCTTGGTGATATCAAGAAGCAAGTCGACGAGTCTCTTGCAGAGGAGGGAGACGAAGCTGCGGACGAGGGTGACGCCGTGGGTGAGGTTGGCCGCGATCCTGAAGCTGGCAAGGATAAGGAAGGCAAGAAGATCAAGGTCGCTGTGGGGAGAGCAAAGGGGGTTTCGTCACTAGTGGAAAAGGACGAGTCGAAGCACTAAAGAAGTAAAAGGGTGTATATGAAAAGCAGGAGAGACCTTGTTCGATTAGATGGATAGATAAAAGGGTGTGCATTCCAGGTGAAACACATTATGATCAGATGCAAATGGTTCATGAATTTTTGAATCTATTACAAGTACACTGCCATTGTATGGCTAGATCCCTACTCATACTATGGGAATATCTGTTTAACTATCTGCGTGGCCAATAACCGCCACAAGCCGGCGGTGGTACTCTGACTCCAGGAACATTTACCCTGACCTCAGGAACAATGACAGGAGGAACATTGATAGGAGGAACGTTGACAGGAGGGGCACGCACCTCAAACGGTCGTAGAGGAATCCCTTGATCCTGAAATGCCTGCATTTCAGGAACGAATGGATGATGATTCGAATGTCCTCGGCCTCGGCCTCGACCTCTCTGCTCTCTCCGCTCATTCCGGTGACCCCTCCGATGATCTCTGCGAGCTGCCTTCAGTTCTTTCTTTCTCTGTTTCTTCTCCTTCTTCTCTGCCTTCTTCCTTTGCTTTCGTTCTTTCTTCTGTTGACGCTTCAGGCTTTTCCATTCTTGTACGAGCATCTTAGTTTGTTTCTTGAGTGCCTTTTTGTCAAGACTCGGGTCAAGAGCGACTGCGTTATTCCTCTCTGCTTTCAATTCAGCTTTGAGCTGTTTGACATCCGCTTTGCTGCGTGTCTCATGAGGATTGGCGGTCCATTGCTCAAGACGGGCGATGTAGAAGGGCAGTTGCTCTTCCCTGATGTCGTCTTGGTCTGGAAGTGAGCCAATGGACTCAGAGCTTGCGGAAGAAATCGAAGAATCAGACGATGATGATGAAGATGGCGAGGAGGAGCGACGACGTTGTCCGCTATGGCAGTGATGAGTTGCTCGTCCTCGAGTAGGGCCAAAATTGCCTGCTGCATGACCTCTACCTCTAGCACGCGGATGATGTCCAGGTGTAAAGGGCATGGGTCGACGGCTTGAACCAAAATAAGGTACATCATCTTGGCCATCCATACGAATACCGTGACTGTCCACAACGAGACCTCCCATTCGAAGTCCGCTACTATCGGCAACAAAACTGTTTCCAAATCGAATGCCACGTTCATCCATCTGGAAACCTCCCCAGCCGCCTCCAGATCTGTGCTGAGGCATTTCTCGCTGTGAGGACGGTCCATCTTGCGGTATCTCTTCTGGGGGGTCTTCAAATGCGGCCTCCCATCCTCCAGGCATTTGTGCTGGCAGCTCGGGCTGAAGCGTTACAGTTACCTTTCTGGGCGAGAAGAAGGAAGTGTTCCACTGGACTACCAGAGCCTCGGCTTCTGCACGTTTTCGGGGCCATTCATCAGGATCAGGTACTTGTCCTTCTGATTTGACGCTGCCATCTGCAATGGTAGACTTGACATCAGAACCATCTTCGCTCTTTGCCTTTCCACCGAGAATTGCTTCATTCGCCACTGAATCATGGTCTGGCAAAAGAAAGTTGATAAAAGTCGCCCAGTCCTGAGGTGTGATATCGTAGGCAGCCCAGTGCTCAGGATAAGGGATATCATCAGGGACGGTATTTGGTGTCAAATAAATGGTATATGACGAAGGCACCCATATAGACGTTGACGCTGGAGCAGGTCGGGACTCCAAGTAGCGTGTTGAACTGAGCAGACGGGCGCTCTGATGGCCAACGGGCGTTGCGATACCCGCTTCTGATACGGTAGGTGATGTTTCAGGAGTGAAGATGACTGATCCAGTGGTTGAAGTAGGTGACATTGGGGTTGCGACATGGTCCCTCGGAGCTGTGGGGCCGTGAACGGAGACAGATCCGGAGCAGGCAGCGGAAGGGGCAGAACGTGGAGATCGAGGAGTCGCAGAGTAGATATCTGACTCCGAGTATGGTGGTGGAGGCGTACCTCCTCGCAGTGTTGGCATTTGGTTATCAGAGCTCATGATGATGGGCCTTTCAAGAGTGTAGAGAGTGGCGAGTGGTATGATTGATCAGTTACTTTGGATGGAGGGGCTTCATATAACTAGGAATAGTGAGAGGGTGATGAAGTTTATAAGAGCGCAAAGAATCACTTGAGTGAATTGGAATAATAGATGCAAAGGAAAAGGAAGGATGCCTGCCATTTATCTAACATCCAACCAACAGCTCATATGAACTAATCCGACTATCATAACCAATTAGGCTAACTATGCAGAACCCGTATGGGGAGAACAACGAACAGAAGACAAAATAAACGGGGCATAATTCTACTGAGAACAGCTAATAACGCTCTGCTTATCCTGTTAGTTTCTTACAAGCTAATGCAGTTGTCTGCTCATTATTTGCACCTTAGCTATGGCTGGGGTTACGCAGCTCGCATTCGCAGCCCTATGACTCCCCAGAAACCCCAACGTCCAATGGTCGAGGTTGTGCTTACGCGGCAGAGGGAGGTAGCCTAGAATGCCTTACCTGAGAGATGCCGTTTTACCGACCCAGACATAATCTCAAGCAAATAAAGTGAAGACTGTGATATGTTTTCATTTACACGTTCAAGTATAATATCACCAACTGAGTCCAGATAATGAATGACATGAATACTAGAGAATAATTTGCATAATTTATTGGGTTTATGTCGATAACGGGAAGAGAAGTATAAGACCTTACTTCTGTAACTGAAATCCATCATTGACAAGATCCCTGAGAAGATCACTCTAAATTATGCTTAAAGCCTCCTCGTCATGTTTATGACACGGCGTGTCTCTACGTAGCAATCACAATATGCGCTGTGACGAGCTCTTTCAAACAAGCCAATTGGCTTGGACGCTGATGATATAAAGATATCAAGCAATTCTATGGGACCTTTCACTCCATGTCGTTTCACACGTGTATAAATCATGATGGATCGTAGAACTCCATCTCTCCAACGCCAGGGAAAATATGAAGGGCATTCAACTTTTTTGCAGATTTCTTTTTGTTTCTTAGTCCGGAATGATATCTCACAATCATCCGCTCCACAGGTGAAAGTCGACATCTTCCTGCTTGTAGTGGTCTGCGATAAGACTTGAGAGATGATCTCTTGAGTGTGTTCCCCTAAATTGATGTTAGTGAATAGCCTCTCATGATTTATGGATGGTAACTTACAGGTTGGTGATGTATGTGTCGATCAGCTCTGGAGGCACGAGCTCTGTAATGGCAGTTCGCACTTCGACACTGTTCACCATGTGTCCATCCGCAAAGTTAACAAAGCTGGCAGAGTCTCCCCACTCGATCAACGACTCCTCGTTGAATGGGTTCTCTGGGCTGAGCTTGTACACACCGCCGAGAACGATGACTGCATTTCCTTGCTCCTTGGCAGCTCGGGCGACTGCTGCAGCGCCGGCATCGGCGACAATACCACCGTTAGCCACAATAGACCTGGCGCCGAGGATGACCTTGTCCACGCGAGACATGTAGGCCATCAACCCTCCGTTCATAATGCTGATCACTGTGATACCGGCAGATGCGAGCTTCTTTCGGAAACCAGCGTGCTGAACTTCAGTAGTCTGCTTCTTGGGGGGTTCGGTAGCGATGAGGACTGTAAATCTTCGCTTCATGGCCGCGCGCAGGATGAATCGTTCGACTGTGGGCGAGGGTTGGTGAACAAGCACGTAGTCGCCAGGGTGAATCTGGACCTCGGCCAGGGACGCAATCTGGTCATCCACTTGGCTAATCTCGTCCTTGATCTCCTCAATGCCATCAATGACCTCGGATCTTAAAGCGTGAACCTGAGCAGAAGGAACCTTCCATGCGGGAGTAGATGACCCTGAGAGTCCGACAGGAGACCCTTGGCTACTGGTCGTGAAATCGTTGGGGGAAGATACTGAAAGGAGGTGGAAGAGCGTCTTGGGAACGTTGACAGAGCTGTATGAGGACAACGGACCAGGTCGGGCAGGAGGAGGTTTGGCACTGTTGGTGATATAGTCGCCGGCAGAGTCTTGCTTGCCGTATGTCGAAGGCGGCCACTGGTGGGAAAGGGCATCTGGGTTTGGCACGGCATCGGTCGGTGTCATCTGGGCCTCACTGGGGGTTTCACTAGCACCCTCATTTCTATCCTCAGCGGCTTCGTCACGAATAAGACCCAAAACTCGGCGCACGATATTGGCAATCACGAGTTCCTTGGGCTGGGCCTCCACCAGTCGACGGCCGATACGAGAGACATTATCAATCAAGGTATCGACGTTGAACCATTTTGATCGGGCGACGACCTGAAGTAGGATGTGTGCGGTAGCAACGGCGCAAGGCTCGGAGCCCTTGATCTGGCGTCGCTTTAGGAGGCTGAGGACATGAAAACGTTTAGTAACGAGCACTCTTCTGGCAAAGGGGTCTTTTGGCTGGTGTGGCTCACGAGACGAGGCTCTCAACAGAGGCTTCCAATGCTTGGCCCTTGAGGGACCGGAGGTACTTCTCAAGATCGGGCGCGTAGCCCGTAGAAACAGGAGCCATGTCTAAGTATTTGTGAAAGTGTCGCGGTCGTGGATGTGGCCGTAGCCGTAGCTAGCGCAAGCTGGGGTATATCCCGTGTAGGGTGACTGCGGTCGCGGGGTGCAAATGGAGGGGTGATTTGTGAATCTCGGCACAAATATTCGCGGGTAGCAGAAGTCGCTTTGCTCTGAAGAAGTTGTAATATTCTTTTTAAGAAATGAATAAAACGATGCCGTAAGCTTGCTTTGGTGAGGCTAGACGTGGGTGTTGTGAAACAGTCAAACGATTGTACTGCTTTGTTTGGATTGGGTTGGTTTGTGAATTGAATGTGAGTCAACCAATTCCTCCCACCGGAACCTTTTTTTGCGCAAGGCTGACGGTCGGCTCTTGAAAGGTGGGGGCTGTTCAGCCTCGTCCCTCGGTGGGTCTCTGACCCGAACCCAAGAAAGCCATGACGACAGGGGGACAGGGGCTGCAAGATAGTGAGCTTTATCAAGAACCAGGACGAGTCGAGTTAGAGCAATTACTCAGAAACCCTCGCTCGTTCATGTACGTGAAATATGATGGGTTATGGGTTTCTTATGAACGTAGTAGACTCAAGAGTTGAACTCACCGCCATGGCCGATGAGTTGTCATTGTCTAGGTGGTAGGTATCAAGGTATGGTAATTGATGTGCTGGCAATACTTAAAAGAGTAATCTTCTAGTCTTTCAAGATTCAATTATTCCGAAAAGGATTGAAGTTGGGTAGGCCAAGAGTCAGCCATACAGTACGCGTATGCGGTTCGAAGAGCCTGTTCAGATACTTTGAGACCTGCCTTCTCTCTTTCTCTCTCTCAAATAGCTCTTTGCAGCTTCGATCATATTACTGAGAGATTGTTGAATATATTGACGTGGTAATCTATGATACTACATATATTCTCGCCTATAGGCTCCATTGGCAATATCTAAAAAGCCCGCCCTAGATTGGCGATCCTATACAGTTCACATGCAAGTCAGCAACCAAGCAGAACATACTGTAAGATCGAACGACTCGGCCGATTCGCATGTGTCAAATACGAAAACGAACAAGGAAACCCGAGATCCACAAGCGGTCCAGTTTGAATTATCCTTGCTCATAACCCTGCACGTACGGAGCTATGCTACTACCTTTGCACATGGGACGGATAGAAAGGTTTATAAGGACCATTACAGCTTCAACGTCTTCAGGATGGATGTGATACGAATTCTTTGTCTTCTCAGAAGCCATTGTTGTCTTTCGTATAATAGTGCTCAACCCTTTTCGGGAATAATGGCTAACGTATTACCTGGTGGACGCCTGTTCTACTCATCATCCGTCTCTCCTCATGATGCTACAAGAGTGAAGACAAGACAATGTTTGTTAAAAAGATTATACTGAACAAATATGCTCGGACATTAAGCTCAAGTGACTCACTTACCGCAACTGATATGGAGTAAACAATTTCTTAGCCGAGTTCGATTTTCTATGTCATTTCGGTAAGGCCGTCTGGACTTGAAAGCCAACACCAAGCATATTTCTACTTCAGTTGTATACTCAGGAGACTTTCCACACTCGAAGTTACTTAGAGTATGTTCTAACTTATCCTCACGGTAATAAGCACACCGCATCAAGACTTTGAGGATATATGCTTAGCTGGTCAAAAGTTTAGAGTTGCAAAAAGAATGCCCCAGTTGCGGTCTGAAGCAATCCGGGGTCATGATAAGAAGGAGGTCCATGCAGCCTTCTCCTGATTGATGGCCCAATCAACTCTTCTGGCGACACTGTTTATTGTCTGGGTCATCTGAAGATCTATCGATCCCCTGAAGACTGCCATAGATACATGAGAGAAGGTCTGGAAGAAATCTAGAAGGGATTCCTTAGGAGGAATATCAGATAATGTTCCGAAACAGAGTTGGCAACCGGATGGTTTTAATCCTGCCATCATGAGACAAGCAGGTTTTGTTAAGGCTTTCCACTCGATGGGTCATTTATGATAAATTATTAGCAGCATATGTAAGAATTCATGGTGAGCCGCGGCATCCCAGCCCCCCTGTAGCGCCAAAGTTGGATCTTACGACAGGGGCCTATGAGCGCTGTAGCAGCCAGAAAATAAGGCGACCCTCTATCCTTCAGCGTCTGCCAAAATCCCCAGCATCTCGGCATCTAGTCTAACTAAACTCCCCAACACGTGAACCATCCCTCAACCATCATCCGTCAATCGAGCCACCCACCAACTGAACTCACTCCCCTCTGATGTGCTTGTTTCTTTGATACTTGTCAGCTTTCGATCTCTCACACGCTCGTTCTTGTATTTCGCGCATGCGCCGATTCGGAAGCTTTCACTTCTCCATATCAACTCTCTCCATCATATCGATCATCCCCATCAACGACCGTCGATAGCCATCACTTCGTATCGACGACTCTTATTCCCGCCAAAGACGGTACTTGTTTACTGGCTAGCGCTTCTAACAGGGCTGCGCTGCTTATTTCTGACGGGGGCTTTTAGTTAGAAGAACCCCGGCCTGCTACTAGTCGACCCAGGCCAACAAAGTTCCCCCCAGCTCCCCTCTCAACGCCACGAAAAAGACAGGACACTTTTGTCTACTTGCCTTGGTTTACTGTACAGTACTGTACCTACATATCATTGATTCTTGACCATACAGCCTGCTTTGTCTTAGCGGTGCGACACAGAGCGACTAGACCATTCTGACCACTTAAGACATCTGTACTTTTGGATTGAGTTAAGATTGTATTCAAAGACTTCCCTTTTTCCCTTCCTCCCTCGGATCGCAAGCCAATTCGTACATTTCCCTGGCATTTCCACGATCGCGATTGTACTGCGCCCCTGGACCTTCGCCTTTTTCGCTTGGCCGCACCTGATGAATTCTTGACATTGAATCCCTTCGTTTCAACGTTCACTGTCGGATCACTTCTTTATCCTCGAAGATCAATCACTACGACCTCTCTTTCTTCCGCGCATTCGACCCGACCACCGGTAGCGACGATCGGTTCCTCGGATTACCTACCGTCTTTCCGTCCTTCAATTCCGACCGACCCTAAAGTATTGGCACACTCTTCCTAAAGGCGTTACTCAAGTCTGCAAATTTGTCTAAAGCTCTTCGACTCTGCAAGACTTCTTGTCTCTTGACTGTTTGCCCATATAACAGCACGTTACCTCATGGAATGCTATAGCTCGTGGCGATGAACTCCCTTAACATCCTGACGGCCCGTGTGTCGCCGCCCCCGAGTCCAAGTCAATCACGATCCAACAGTATAGGATCCATTGTTGGATTGGCTTCCGAAGACGATCACCAGCGCGGCGACCCTATACCTTCCATCGAGAACGAGACCGAATCCTTCCCCCAGGATACTTTTGACGAATCGCGATTCGAGACCGAGAAGCCTAGCGAGGAAACCCCGTTGCTTGGTGACACAGGCGAGACTCAGACGAGGAGCTCATGGTGGCACTCTATTCCTCGACGAATTGCTTCCAGCATCATTGGTTCTCTTCGATGGGTTCTTGCGACTTTGGCTTCGCCGGGTGTGTACCTCATCGCTTGTTTCTACGACGAATATGGCAACTTTGCACCTTTCACGCAGCTCGGTAAATTGTTTGGATTGGGAGGTGGGCACAAGGCCATGGAGGAGCCCAGCCATGCCTCTGAAAAGGAATACGGTCGAACTACAGGATATAGGAGGCTATCGCCAAAATCTAGGCATATATCATCTTCTTCGACGTCATCGGGTCTCTCATCGGAATCAGAATCGGAAGGACCACACTCTGGCAGTCTTGGTCGGCATGCTCGGTCCAAATCGCTACAGCCTGCAGAGGAAACAGGTCCTGCTCGAAGGTCAATCAGGATCAAGCTTAATAGCGACGAGGATTTGAGGCAACGGAAGCATAGGAAAACTCAATCGGCAGTCGCGCGAACAAAGGCTAGCGATCTAGGTAGCGGCGACCTTTCGGCACATCTTAAATCTCCTACGTCTCCCATCGCAGCACTTACCAAGTACCCGAAGACCCCGGCACCGCCTCGACCTCTGATCCCGCGCAGACAACCATCTTATATCAATCTCGAACCGCCCTCGCACCCACAGAAGACTTTGATTCTGGATCTAGACGAAACTCTGATACACAGCATGTCCAAGGGTGGCAGGATGAGCACCGGACACATGGTTGAGGTGCGCCTGAACACAACATACGTGGGGGTTGGAGGACAGACATCGATTGGGCCGCAGCATCCGATCTTATACTGGGTTAACAAGCGACCATACTGCGACGAGTTCTTGAGACGAGTTTGCAAGTGGTACAATCTGGTTGTGTTCACAGCTTCGGTACAGGAATATGCGGACCCAGTGATTGACTGGCTAGAAACGGAACGGAAGTTTTTCTCGGCACGATACTATCGACAGCACTGCACATTCCGACAAGGCGCATTCATCAAGGATCTGGCCTCGGTCGAATCCGACCTGAGCAAGGTGATGATTTTGGACAACAGTCCGTTGAGTTATCTGTTTCATCAAGGTAAGAGCTACATCAGTCGACTTTGTTTGTGAGTGAACTGGCATTGACAAGACGGTTTCAGACAATGCAATCCCTATTCAGGGATGGATCAATGACCCGACGGATACGGACTTGATGCATCTGGTGCCATTGTTGGAAGGACTGCAGTATGTACATGATGTTAGGGCGCTGCTGGCCCTGCGGGGTGGTGAAGACGGGCAGCATATGGCATAGCTTATGATATTTAATATGGAGTCAATAATGAACGGTTTCCACTTCTTATGGCATCATTCTGAGACTGGTCGCTTGGCATAGTTATGATGATATTGGAATACTAGCAGGACGACTTGTCCAGGGTAAGGATCACGATAACTCGTTCCTTGCCCTAAAATTCAACAACCCATCTTGAATATCGACTTGAATGGTGGTCTATTGTACCGTTCGAAATATTTTACTATTTACTGCTCAACCATCAGAAGCAATGTTATTTGGCTCGGTCCAGGCTCCGCTGTGAAGCCTTCATTTGTGTCTTGTGATGCAAGCTTCAGTACAGACTTTCTCACACATGCACGAATACTGTATTCAAAACAATCAATCAGGGTCCATCCACAATCACACGTCAAATCCGTCGTGGAATCCCAAACTTTGGATGCTCGAATTATATCTTTAGGATCTTCCCCAGGGCCAGGGTCTGGTGTCAATAGCATGTGGTAGAAGTCTGAGACAAAGAAACGCAGATGCGGTCCAACTGGGCTAAGCTAGCCCAGGACCGAGCTTGAGCCCGGCTGTTCACGGAAGGGCAACGACCGGCTTTGGCATTTTAGAAGTGAATGGGATTGTTGGTTGAGTTAACCGGGAAGTAAAACAAGCTTTTGGCCGGCTTCGGTTCCGCGGATCTTGCAATCGCAATCATCAGCTCTACGTAAGAAGACTTGAGCTAGGAAAATAGCTTAAGAGCTGGCCTTGGTTCAATTGTATTGTTACCAGGGTTCAGAAACCAAGGGAGAGAAACAAAAAGAAAGAGAGCCGAGGGAGTGGAATAGATGAGAATGACGCTGTGACACCATCATCACCCGCGCAACCGCCGTCACGCAGTTTGAGAAATTAATTTCTAGACTTGGTATGGTACCTACTGTATAGGATTGGGGTTTGATGTGCAGTTCCCCGCTAAGAGTTGCTTGCTTTGCTTTTACTTGTCACTGAATTGAATTTGAATGGAAGAGACATCCTTGTTTGCTGGGACAAGCTACCCCATCTTTTGTCCTTTGCCCCGCCAGAGCAGGAGATCAAGCTCCTGAAGCTCCTCGTAAGTATATGCTTGTCTGTCCAGTAAATCATCAGGTCGTCAACGTCAGATCAGGTACCATACAATCACAAAGTTGGCAGTGGAGGGTAAAGCTGTTCTATCCCCGCAATGAGGAATATTTTTATTGGGTGGAGGGAGGCTGGAGCTGGAAAGTGCAGTAGCTGTCCAGCTGCGAACGTGTGTCTCGTCTCACCAACCGAATGGTGACATCATCACATCTGGTGACGACACTGCAACTGGAAGTGGAAGGGGAAGAATACAGCAGGTAGAGGGGAGAGACAGGCCCAGGCTCAGGCCTAGGCAAGCCACCTACTCTGATGCGAGACGGAAAAAATGGGTGCTTAGATCGAGATCCGTGACAGACTGCAAAGTACAAATACTGGGAAGGATCCAATGCCAGCTGCGAGTTGACTTTCTCTCTCTCCAATCGAAGCTACTAATTCATCTCTCCTCCAAATCAACTCATCACCAAACAACTTTCTCTCCTACAAACAAAAACAATCAAAATGTCTCTGCACTACCTTCCCCCCGTCAAGCCCTCAGCTATTGCTATCGGTACCGCCTTCAACCACGGTGTTGAGCTCGCCGTCCTCGCCCCCCTCTTCGGCCAGACCTACCAGCGCGCTAAGGCCGCGAACACCAAGGAGGAGTTCGTCCGCTCCAAGGAGGCTTCTGGTGCTGCCCTCGCTTGGGGTTCTTCTCTTACCGGCTCTGCCCTCCAGGCCTACGGTGTCGGTGCTCTCATCAACGCCACTGGCACTCTGAGCTACAAGGGCGCTGCTTACCTCGGATCTCTCATCTTCTTCGCTACCTCCGCTCCCGGCGTATGTTCTTCCTTCTGTCCCCCAGTACCATAAATCATCTGCTAACATTCATCAGTACATCTCTCAGCTCTTCGTTGAGAAGCGACCTCTCGACACCGTTGGCGTCAGCCTGGCTACCAAGCTCATTGAGACCGTCGGTCTCTCCGTCGTCCTCACTTGGTGGGGAACCCGAACCAACCCCTTTGAGTAAGGGATTTCTTCTCTCTCATGACGAATGTTTTTAATCTCCCCATGATTCGGGATGGGGTTTCATGAATTTGTTATACGAAAGGCTTCGGGCCCGTGTGAGATAGTAATAGGCACGGACATGTACCTATAAGAAAGCCAGTAACGCAAAGTAATACCATACAAATGAGCAATTGCAAGTCCACAATATGATGTGATCGAGGAATTGAAAGAGATAGTCGTAAGCGGGAAGTTCCGAGATCGATGGTGCGTTGATCGGACCCAAGCTCTTGTGGATCACCTAGACAGGTTAGACGTAGTCGAAGACCGCGGTAAAGAGTAGCAAAGCTTGAACAGAGTAATGGACGAATCGTACGAGGAAGAATGATTTCTGATATCTGAATAATCGAGTAAGCTAAATATTATTGCAAGTCAACGGTCGAGCGGAGGTTCCTGTTGGGTCGCGTGCCATAGTTTGACTACCTATCAATCCGGGAGAGCATCGCGCAGTCATCATCACCGAATTTCAAGCTCGAGGTCTGCTGGACATTTCAAGGACTTGTTGTAATCATATCCCATTTTTAATGCAATAGCTAAACCTGAACGCCGCCAAAGCCCTCATCTTGCCGTTGTTCTCGGCTAGATCTTCTGGTATAAATACACCCAGACTTGTTCTAACACAACTTCCTCTTCTTGCCCTTCATGCTAGGGGCAAACTTTGCTAATACAGCACCCTCCGGTTTCCAGCAGTCTTTCCCCTAGTACTTGGTGCCGCCCTTAACCCAGAAAGCCTGCTTGCCGTACTCCTTCTGCACGTACTTGACGAGAGACGCGTAGCTCTCGCCGAACGCCTCACCATCGTCCTCGCCGTCCTTCTCATCGGACTTGCTCTTGGCCTTCTTGCCCTCAGCCTTCTCCATGATCATGACGACGGATGTAGGTCGCTTGGTCTTGGCGGCAGCGCCGAGCTCAGCGCGCGATGTGACGAAGATGAAGGGAACGTTGTGGTCCTCGCAGAGAACGGGGAGGTGAGAGATGACGTCCATGGGGGAGATGTCGCCGGCGATGATGACAACACCGGGGAAAGAGGTGTTGTTGGGAGCGGAAGGGGGAGACTTTCGGAGGGTCTTGACGACCTCCTTGACACCGCGCTTGAGGGTGTTGTTCTTGGCAGCTGTGATGCGAATGTTAGCAGTCTGTTCGTAGTGAGCAATGTTTTACGGTGGTCGCATACCCTTGCGGATGGTCTTGTAGACCTTCTTCATGCCCTTGTCGTCAGCGACGGGAATGGCAAAGGGAACGACGGTGCGCTCAAGAGGCAGCTCAGCGGCCTTGTCCTCCTCGGCATCAGAGTCGTCCTCAACAGCAGCAGCAGCGACGGCGGCAGCGACAGGAGCATCTTGGCCGATCTTCTCCTCGAGGGCGGCGGCAAGCTTCTCCTTCTTGTCCTTCTTATCCTTCTTCTCCTTCTTGGACTTGGCAACGCCGGACTCGTCGCTTCTCTTCTTGTCCTTCTTCTCCTTCTTATCGGGCTTCTCGGCGGCCATTGCTGCGGTTGTGTCGAGAAAGCTTCGTCGAAGTTATTACTTTTGTATTGTATAGGTCCGCTTGAGTAGCACGCAAAGTTTTGTGTGCTAATTGATGATTATGCGGGACGGTGTTTGATCGCAAAGTTTCCGTGTTTTCTTTACACTCCACTGGCCTCGAAATTTTCTAAACTTTTTTTTTCCGGAAGAGCTGTCGCGCTGGGACTCGGCCTTACATGCCTCCGGTTCCGTACCGCTTTTCAGCACCACGTGACTGTTGGAATGACCCGTCCAATCAGATGCCCAGCAATGACTATTACCAGTGGATCCAGATATTCTGAGATCATGAAGAGATATGATTCATTTCACTGAGGCAGCTTGATTACATTCAATTGGGACGTATGTGTAAATGTTATAAAGAAATGTTGTGACAACTGTCTATTGCACCTCCTGATCTAGGTATTGATGATGTACAATGAGTCCAGAGGACCTACTCCAAAACATCCGCCGTGGTTTTGCTGCCAGAATCTAACCGATTTACTCCTCCTCGTCACCGAACTCGGCACGACCAGCCTTGGAGTTGAGGTACTCGCTTCTACAGAAGAAAATTAGTATCGAATCCTGTCGTGAGCGCTGCATAGGGACATACCGCTCGACGGCCCAGCTCATCATCCAGTAACCGGCAACCATGGGAGGGAGCCAGAAGAAGATCTGGTTCTTGGTGCGGCGGAAAGTGTTGAAGATGGCGGCGTTGACAGATCCAGCCCAGGGGTTCTGTCGGTTGGCGGACAGACCGTAGGTGATGATACCTCGCTGCTTCTCACCACCTGATACAAAGTTAGCCTCCTGCTTCTTCCTTGATGTCGATATGCCCGATCATTATTCCATCAATGATTGTCGAAGTCTATGTCGAATTCCGATTGAAGTCCATCGTGTGCATGACTGAGTTCCGAAGTTGTATCGATACAATTGTAATCATCCCATTCGTCGTCATCAATCCGTTGGTCCGTCGCGTCCATCGATCCAATTCCAATTCGTTCGCACATCGTGAGAGCAATCACTTACCGAAGTGGCCCCAGTTACCCAGGTAGCTGTTAAAAATCCGTCAGCAATTTGTTCTATATCGATTGTGATATTTCGAGATAGCCCGGGTACTGCTGGGCCGGCCATTAACCAGAGGAAAAGCCGCACGCAACAGCACCATCAATTGCCCTCGCTGGATCGCAATGCACGTACTGTCCGTTCTTGGGGTCGGCAGCGCCGCTTCGGAGCATCTGAGTCGGTCTCATATTGGCGGTTTTGGCACGGGAAGTCGAGTCTCGTGTGGGTGGTTTTTTGGAGTCGTCGGTTTGAGGCAAAGGCAGAAAAGGGCCACTTGAGGATTTCTCGGGTCGGGTTGGATTGGAAAGCGCAGACTGCAGGCTTTCCTTCCCCCATCAGCCGAGCTTTCCCGATACGGTTTAGCAGGTCAGAGACAGCCCACTCAGAACGTCCAACCAACGAACACTGCTAAACTAGAGTAAGAGCAGAGTGCGAGCTTCAAATCATCATCGCCGTCCGTTGACTCCGAAAAGCTTCACAGCTACGCCTCCATCCCCGCCATCGCTCGCTGGGTTCTTCGACCACCATTTTTGAACGACAATCTTTCAACTCCGCAAAGAAAGATTTAATCGCAATATTTTCAAAATGGCTGGCGCTGCACGAGCCCTCAACTTCATGTACCGCCTGGCGGTCCCCGCCTCAGCTGCTGTCTTCCTAGGCAGCCAGGCTCTATACGACGTCAAGGGAGGAACTCGGGCTGTTATCTTCGACAGATTGTCTGGTGTTAAGGAGGATGTCATCAACGAAGGAACCCATTTCCTTGTCCCTTGGCTGCAGAGAAGCATCATCTTTGATGTTCGCACCAAGCCCAGGAATATCGCAACTACCACTGGTAGCAAGGATTTGCAGATGGTCAGCTTGACACTGAGAGTGTTGCACCGACCTAATGTCAAGGCCCTTCCCAAGATCTACCAGGTACGATCGCAATCACATAATTTATGATCCAAATCGTATGACTAACTCTTATAGAACCTCGGTGCCGACTACGATGAGCGAGTCCTCCCCTCCATTGGTAACGAAGTCCTTAAGGCCATTGTCGCCCAGTTCGATGCCGCCGAACTTATCACCCAGCGAGAGGCTGTCTCCGAGCGCATCCGTAATGACCTCACTCTCCGTGCCGCTGAGTTCAACATCGCCCTCGAGGATGTCTCCATCACCCACATGACTTTCGGTCGTGAATTCACAAAGGCCGTTGAGCAGAAGCAGATTGCCCAGCAAGATGCCGAGCGAGCACGATTCATCGTCGAGCGTGCTGAGCAGGAGCGTCAAGCCAACGTTATCCGTGCTGAAGGAGAGTCCGAGTCCGCCGACTCCATCAGCAAGGCCATCCAGAAGTCTGGTGACGGTCTTATCCAGATCCGAAAGATCGAGGCCAGTCGTGAGATTGCCGCCACTCTCTCATCAAACCCCAACGTTGCCTACCTACCTGGTGGAAGCGGAAAGCAGGGTGGCCAGTACCTGTTGTCAGTGGGCAGAGCTTAAAGTAATGGATTGTATGATGTAAAGGGTGTTAAGGAAATGAATGGGAACTCCCCGCTTATCGTTGGTGATGAAGTTATTTATTCATGAGCGCCAACTATGTATTTCTAGAACGAGACCGGACGGGAATAGCAACCCAATCTCGCAATGTATAATCGCCTGTGGCTCTTCCGTTCCAATTCGGCTCTACGTGTTATGACCGGTGACCTTCTCTATTAGACTGCTCGACCGTCTCCAAAATTGTTTGTTGCGTCGGTCCATGAAGAGACCGCCCCCCAATTACCGTGGGTATCATTATTACCCTTTAGCTTGGTTACGCCTCGATGAACGCCTCTGTCAACCCAGCAGCCTTCCCTGGAGGTACAATATCGCCATCAACCAATTTCCAACCACTTCTTTGCAAGTCCGCCCATTCGTTCTTAACTTTGAGACGCACAAGATCTCCCGCTGCTCTTGCATCTTCAGCAGAATCGTGACCCAACATCTTAGGGCCGGTTTCCTGCTGGATCTTACGGTTGAGATGAACATCCATGAGCATCTTGAGACTGTACCGATATGGCAGACCATGTTGGTGAGGGTAGAGCAGAACGGTATCTATCAATGTGGGATGCACAATACGAACCGAGTTGAGATCGTTCTCCAAACCGTGACCTATCAGAGGTGTGGTGGGAGAGATAAGAGAGAAGAGGAGATCTCGAGCAACTTCAGGGGATGATACGATCTTGAGCTGCTTCTTCCTAGACTTCAGCTCGCCATCCTCACTCACATCGTCGCTGCCGCTCTTAGTCGGCACTGTCGAGTCGTTTGCGGTCCATGGCTCAGCTTGGGCTAGGTCTTCTGGCCATACACCAGAGTAGCGTGAATTGAGATCCAGAATCTCTCCCAGAGGCCGGACCAGAACATCCAGTAATTCCTCGCCTCTCGGCCAGTGGGTTGCGGTTAGGCGAATGAGTTCCATACCGTAAACTGTGTAGCCCATCTCACAGTCGAAAGCTACACCCCTGTTTACAGGTGCCAAAGGATTCTCAGGAGTTTCTGCGAAGTTAAGTATAGAGGCCATTCTCTTAGGATCTGAAGTCTTGAATACGTGATGATCGCGCGTGAAGCAACCGACCGAGTCGCCGAGTTCCTGTCCACAGCACTGGAACCGCTTGGGCTGCCTGGTTCTGTCGCCCGGGGCCTTGGGAGCGATGAAAGTCTTACCCCAGTGAAAGGTGCATGACCCACCAGAAGTGAGCGCACCGTCTTCTTCACGTCTTCCGGGAAAGACTTGAAAGCGTTGTTGACATCGATCGCACTTCTCCCATCCTGCAGAGGCCTCGACGCCCTGTCTTGCCTTTTCTATCTCCTCATCCGAAGGCACCTTGGATACGTAGCCATGGCTGGCTAGCTCACTGATAGGAGTAAGAAGTCGCCTGGCAAGCTCAACTTCTTGAGTAGGCAATAAGCCAGTCTTGATTTCTTTCGGTTGTTCAGAAGGATCCTTTCCACTAGCTTCGAGTTCCAATTTCTTCCGTTCTTCTTGACGCTCTGTCTTCCACTGGTCGACTTTCATCCTCTTGTACTGCATGACCTTGTTCTTCATGACGTTTGAGTAGACCGCAGCTTTGTGAACAGCAACATACTCTTCCTCATCTAATGTGCGGACAATGAGTTCTTGCTCTGATAGAAGGAGGTCTGTGTCGTCCTTCTTGGCGTTCTTCTTCAGTTCTTTATTTAGTCGTGTCAATTCTTGGTGAAGCATTTTGACAAGTTTAAGACGGATGTCATGGCTAGCAGGCATGCTTTTGAGTAGTCTGGGGTTCAGTGATTCAGCCTTCTTAGGCTTTGCTGGAGCAGGTTTCCGTGTAGGAAGTGGCCGTGATTCATTGCTAGGCTGGTTCGTTCTGGCGACTTTTGTAGGGGGTTTAGGGGCATTGTCTTGAGAGTCGGTCTTTCGCTTTAGTGGCGGAGGAGATACTGGTCGAGCAGTTTCCAGCTTTTTTGCGACTGGCTTGGGGATTCCATCCGTTGAGCCAGCTTTAAAAGCTGTCAACGTACTTTGTCCAGCATCTTGAGGTGTTGCAGGGGAATCCGTTGGATGAAAGGGGTCTGCCCTGACGCGCTTGCGTGGTACATCCTGATCCTCTGCCAACTTGTCCCTGATGTCTGTACTATTTGATGGAGTTTTTGGTGATGACGCTTCCGGTGCAGATGGTGTCTCGTTAGGATGGCCAAATATGCAATGAAACGCTGTACAGTCGTTGCCCTTGGGACAGGGGATGTGCTTCAGAGACAAACTCATGATGGCGACACCCAACGTCGGGATCGATGAGTTATAGCAGGTAGTACTGTTTGTATGGTCGTGACCATATGAGTCGGTTATGATGAGAAGACCTTTCGAATGTGAATGAGTGAATGTGTTGAAGTTGGATAAGTGATGTCAAGTTCGGGGTGAGTGTCCTTGATCAAGCAAGGCGAAGATGATAGGAGTTGATCCACTGAAATGAAATTCCAAGAACGAGCCCGTGCTGTGGTCAATGCGCCAGAATGTCTTTGTGTATATAGAAAAAGAAAATAAAGGAAATCGAAAGCTTGCTTCTTCTTTGAAGCCAGAGAACGTATTACTTTGGAGTCTTTGATGCATGAAATGGTGTTGAATTGAGAAGCTGCAGCTACACAAGCCACTAGAGCGGCTGCTCCCTTGAAAGGCCCCACTCTAAATTGAAGCACCTCTATAACCTCCGCTGGGAACAATCATTTCCAGGCTTCTTTACATCGGAGATGAGGCTCAGCACCTTGCCATGACGATTCATTGTCAGCCTAGAAACTTGGATTCCTTCTCAAAGTTCTCATGATAAGCAAATAATTATATAAACGTGGAGTAGAAATTAGAGAAGAACTTAGGACAGATAAGGGCAGGCTATTCTGGGGTTGTCTATCACAAAAGCGGTCGCATTCTCTTCCATGGACTAATCCGCAGTAATCTGGAACTGCAGCTCGCACTCGGATTTGTTAGCTCTGTAGGCGTCATGATAGGAATTCAGCTCGCACAAGTAAGTGCCAGTCTAGAATCAGTTTTCGATGGATTCGAATAAGCGCCATTTGAGATTATCGATCAATAAAGAGAAATGAGATCTTTGGCATCATTGACCCCTTTCTTTGATCCGAAAAGTCAGTTTCTGACAGCAGTCGGAATTCGTATCTATCCGAGATAATCTCTTGACGCCAAAGCCATGATAACTCCGCAAGTATAAAAGCCACAAGAACAGCCTCCCTGACGTGCATGTCGCTTATGATTCTGATTTAGACAAACACAGCCCCACGGACTTAAGTGTTGAGAATAATCGTTTGTTGCTAGTCAGCGTCCCCAAAAGAACTTCTATTGTCGCGTGTTTGGTCGACGTCGATGCTTGTCATCGATATTGGTGGGGACTAACACCAGTTAACTCCGTGCCTCCGGTCTCATTTGCATGGGCGGACTTGCAACAAGCCCGATATTTACGCAATCCGAAACTCCGTTGGGGGCGCATCTCCTGAGAAACCTCAACTTAATTTATTCCTTTATAAAGATTGAAGGTGGCAACTCTGTTACCTTGATTCCCTCACCCATTTTCTCCATATTTGATACTTTAACGTCCTCAAAATGTCTAATAAACCCGTTGCTATTGAAGACGTTACTGGAGGTAGCGTAAATGCGACGCATCTCTGTGTATTAGTACACGGCGTAAGTAATCCTCCCGCCCTGTCATCCCCTGACGATCGACTTTTGGCACGTCATGGCTGACCACCTTTTTTCTGTTGCTACAGCTTTGGGGAAACCCTTCTCATTTGCGCAATGTTGCAAAAGCCCTTCGCGATAAATACTCCGAAGACGAATTATACATCTTGCTTGCGAAACAGAACAGCGGCAGTAACACTTATGATGGTATCGAGACCGGTGGCGAGCGCGTTTGTGCAGAGATTGAGCAGGAGTTGAAGACAATCGAAAGAAAGGGAGGGAAGATCACAAAATTGAGCATTGCAGGATACTCTCTTGGAGGTCTAGTATCGCGATACGCAGTTGGTCTACTTTATGCGAAGGGAGTCCTCGATGATCTTGAATGCATGGTAAGTCGCCTAAAACAATGGCAGAGCAAAGACAGAAGGACAAATGCTAATGATCCTGCGTCAGAACTTTACTACATTCGCATCCCCCCATCTGGGTGTAAGGACACCACTTAAGGGCTGGCTCAGCAACATCTACAACACCCTCGGCGCCAGAACGCTCTCCAAGTCCGGACGACAACTCTTTACGATTGATAGCTTTCGCGACACCAACCGACCTCTTCTCGCAGTGCTGGCCGATCCCGATTCCATTTTCATGTCCGGTCTAAAGAAATTCAACCGCCGCACTTTGTATGCGAATATTGCCAACGATAGAAGCGTTGTGCATTACACATCCGCTATCACCAAAACCGACCCCTACTCGGATCTCGAAAATGTCAAACTCAACTACCTCAAGGGATACGACGGTGTTATTCTCGATCCTGGCCACCCTGTATCACCATCTCCCAAGGTCAAAGCTCCAGATTCGCTATCGGCAGATTTTGAATCCGCTAAGAAATGGATAAAGAACATCCCCTGGATGCTAACAATTGGTGTTATCATCCCAATCGGCGTTGTTGTCTTCCTAGCCAACTCCGTCGTCCAGACATTCCGCAGTGCTAAGCGCATCAAGCTGCACGAATCCGGATTGGCTGGTTTGAAGATCGAAGACTACCGCATGCCCCTGCGGATCAAGGCGATCCAGGAGGAGGTAGAGCAAGCCTACGAGGTTCTCAACAGCGCTCAGGACCAACAATATCTGGCATCGGACTCAGACGAGGATCTGGCTTACGACACCGAAGATCGTAACCTGCTCAAGAGAGAGCGCAGAATGTCAACACCAGGACAACCTACGCTTGCCTTGACCCCCGACCAGTTCGAGATGATACAGAACATGGACGCAGCTGGTTGGCGCAAGTTTCCTGTGCATATCCAGAAGCACCGACATAGCCATGCAGCTATCGTCGTGCGCATGGACAAGGAATCTTTCGCTGACGGCTGGGTGGTTCTGGGTCACTGGGCTGAAAGTGAATTCTTGATTTAAACGGTATATGGGTCATGATTTAAATTATAATGAATAGGGTATATTGCGAGGAGTTACGGTAGGCTATACAGGATGATCTAAAAGGATAGAAATGGAATCTACGGCACAGTATTTACTATAAGCCTATTTTATAGCATAAATCACAGCATTATTATTATCTTGAGTATATGAGATTATATCAAGTCTTCGGTTCTCACGCGAGCACTTACCGATCTTGGCGCTTCGCTTGTGATGTTTGTTGTGGCGTCTTAGTGCTTCCTTATATCTTTCAGTTTTGTTCTGGAAGATTGGTGAGGTATGCGATCTCAATTGATTTGTGTGCAGTGATTGAGAAATTGCAACCGCCGACAATGACAATTATTCATCGCTGATTGTCATATGAAGTCCGAACCAGAATAATAAGCTGCGTCACTCATCACCTACATAGACTGCCCTAATCCGGAGCATAAACATTGGATAAACTTTCTTCAATCAATTGCTGTACTGACAAAAGTACAATGACACACTACTACACTAGAGTGGTATCGTGAAGTTGGATCTGTCGTCATCTCACCAAGCTTTTGGTGTTGCAATGATTTGATGACGCTATGATACAGAATCACGTGTTAATCGCCACATTCTCTCCCCAGACTGCATGACCCCTCACCTCTTGCCCAATCGGAAAGTTGCAAGTCGGCCAAACTTTGGTGGTCACCAAGCTCATCATTGGCTAAAGTGACAGCAGTTGCACCTCAATCAGCCGATTGCTCCTTCTTTTGCCTCCACTTCTTTCCTTGCGAATCTCCCTCTCCTCTTTTTTCTTTTCTACTGCGGAGACTGGACTTGACAGTGATTGATAGTGTGAGCCTCTTGCTCTGTTCTGCTTGTCGAGGTCGCGAGGGTCCAGTCCAAACTTGATCACTTCATCTTCTACATCTCTTATGACAAATTTTCGTCCGACTGTACTTTCCCCTCTCGTGTGAATCTCTCGCGGCCCGACCAAGCTGCGAGCTACGCTACGCTATTCTACCGTTTCCGTCTTACACTTGACTGCTTTCTTATCGATCCGTTCCCGGCTTCGCCGCACGGAGATAAGAAATAGTTGGTGCTTAAGCCGAGGCGCCCCGGCTTATTTTTCGCAACCACCAACCTCCTACGATCAACTTGATCGAAGAACACTAGAGCTTGCGGCTCATTGGGATTGGAACTTGGGACTGAAAGCTTTACAAATTTGTTCTGAAGCTTATTTTGTACGACTAGAAGGTCATATCAATTGTCAATCACCCAATTGGACCCTCCTCTTCTTCGCTTTTCTATACCTTTCTTTTTTTCTTAACGAGCAGTATCTGCTCAATTCGCGACAATGGTTCTCACTCACACGACAAACCACACCTACTCCCACCCATTCCCTACCGTTACTCTCGCCTACTTCCTCCGATACTCCTCTCCTCAGCTTAATCCCTTCGCCGCCCATGTTCTCAGCACCGACACCATCGAGAACTATGTCGACCCAAAAACTAGCCGGCTACACACCACTCGCATTCACTTGAAAAAGAGTCGAATGCCCGGCGCTGTCTACAAGCTACTTCCTGCCAGCGTCACTGGTGGCGGTTCTGGCGATAAGGCCTCGTACATCTTGGAGACAAGTGTTGTCGATATCAAGGAGGGATGGATGAAGACTGAGAGCCGAAACCTTAACTTCACGGGTGTGCTCTCTGTTATCGAGAAGCAGGAGTTTAATGTCCCCAACGAAGGAACTGCCCAGAACCCCAATGAGACTGCTGTGACGACTATGGTTCAATTCAGATCAAGGATTGGAGATAAGATTCGGGGCAAGCTGGGACAGGCCCAAGAGGATGGCTGGTTCAAGAATGGTATCATCGGTAGCTGGGGTACGAAAGGTATTCAGCGCAGCATCGAGAGCATTGCCTCTACCAAGACTCAAGACCAGATGGGCAAGAGCCGTGACGGCATGAAAATGGTTCTCGAGCGCCTTCGCAACAACGGTGTGATGGGCGTCCTCGAGACGATAAGGAGAGAACGTCAACGCCAGCAACTTGCTTAAACATCTCCTCCGATACGATGAACTGTAACAACGAACGACAACGGCCTCGGGGCAAACACGATCTCAGGAGGGAATATCTGGAAATGATTCTCGACCCGCTTTGTCGGATGAGCTCTGTGGGCTCAATGTACTATAACTGCTTTTAACCTGAGCATGGCGCAATGTGTCTTTTTTTGGGTAGGGGTATTTGAGGAAGAATGACGAAAACTCGGAGGCTATGAGGCAAGCGATTGGTGCTGGATATGGCCAGCTGATGAGGGGACGCAATTACGTCCAGCGATATGGCGCCTCTACTTATGTGGCATCCCCTCTCTTGTATTGAGTACGAAAAGGCTAAAGAAACAAAGGATCAAAGGTTCCAATTACCGTTTTGACAAAGATCAGATGTGTTTGTGTGATATTGAAGGGTGCTTGCGTGAATGGATGTCCATCACTTCTGTAAGTTCGCCTTGGAAGTGTCGCTAACCATTAGGATTACGAATGCAATGGAACTGCCTGTCAATTACCCCGTGGCGATTCTTTCACTGGTATATTATCCGTCGCTGAGATGCTCTTTCCGACTTTGTCGGATCATGCTTTATATAAGGTACCACCGGACACATGCGTTCCTTCCCTGCCGAAAGGAACATGGAATTTTGGCAATTTAGTCTTGTCCATCCAATCTTGACTTCGACTTATCAACTCCACCTCCACCTCAATATATCTTTCGGTGAGGTTGTGTTTGTTTATTACCTCGAGTATACTTTACTTGAATACTTCCTCGGGGTGTTACCGTTATCACTCCTGCGCCTACATGTATTCTGACCGATAGCATCAACTGCGACTAATACTGCATGCAACTTCTACCATCATGTCTTCTATCGACGAGACAACGGACCACGAGGACCATGAACCTACAACTCAAAACTCCTTACGTCGCCATAGACGCCAAAGACAGCCAGATGTGCTTTCCACTATTTCTGAGGAGTTCGACGCCGAAGAGGAGGAGAGGCTGGTGAAGAAACTGGATCTTTTCATCCTTCCCATAATGGCAATTGTCTACTTCTTTCAATGTACGCACTGCATCTTGTCTTTTCTGGCTTTACTGACAAACACTGAACAGATGTCGACAAAAACTCCATCAGCTACGCGGCCGTATCTGGCCTCATAACTGATCTGGAGCTCACAGACCGGGAATTCTCCTGGTCTGTCTCCATATTTTATGTTGGGCAATTGATTTCTCAGTATCCGGCCGCCTACTCGCTCAGCTATTCTCGCATCATTCGCTTCATCGGTATGACCGTCATCGGATTTGGTATCATCGAAATGTGCATTGCAATGTCAATGAACTTCCCTATGCTCGCTGTCTATCGCTTCTTCCTAGGGGCTTACCAAGCTGCAGTATCTCCTGCCTTCATTATCCTCACGTCAAAGTGGTACCGTCCGCATGAGCATCCGATGCGCGTCGCTACATGGATCTCGATGAACGGGATCAGCCAGATCGTTGGGGGCCTCCTCATGTTTCTGCTTGACGATGTGGACATAGATATCGGCAGCTGGAGGGTCATGTTTATTGTCTTTGGGGGGCTGACTGTCCTGTTTGGTATTCTGTTTATTATCATAATACCCGAGGACACTGCTACCGCCTGGTTCTTGAACAAGCGAGAAAGAAGTATTGCTACGAGAAGACTAGCCTTAGATCGAAACAAAGGCGATCCAAAAGGTTTCGATATTGGGCAGCTACGTGAAGCTTTGTGGTCGCCCTTGTCTTGGCTATATGTCCTGATGGCATTCTGCATTGCGTCTACCAATCCTATTACCAAGGTGATCAGCCTGTACCCTTAACCAATCCGACTGAACCGAGCTAACGGTAGATGCACAGTATTCTTCGATAATTATTCGTGGAGCTGGGTTTTCCGAGTCCGATACGATGCTTGCTGGTCTTCCAACTGGCCTACTCAATTTCGCCAGCTCCTGGATTTCAGCTCTTATACCCCATTTCTTTCCCAATACCCGGATATATACAGCTATCGGTCTAATCTTCATACCTCTGGCCGGCTCCATAACGCTCTCTGTTCTTTCAGGGGCCGAAGATGTTGATTCTTGGGGCATTGTAGCATCAACCTGGCTGGCAAGTTGTTATACTGCACCGCTCTGCTCATGCGCGGGACTCTTGGCAAGCAACGTACAGGGAAACACCAAAAAGAGTATTGTAGGTGCTGGATTCTTTGTTGCATACAGTGTCGGAAGCATCGTGGGGCCGCAGGTATGGGGAGCGGAGGGCGACCATTCATATCTCACCGGGTCTATCCTTACTGTTGTGAACTGGCTCATGCTTATGTTGGTGCTTCTCATATACCTCGTGATGGTCAGAAGAGAAAACAGGATCCGTGACCGCGAGGCTTCCAAAGAACTTGAGGAGTCCAGCGCTGCAGGGCAGGATATGAGAGATCGTATTCTAATCGGCGAGTATCAAGACTTGGAGCTCACGGATGGCCAAGACAGGAGGTTCCGATACAGTACATAGTGCATCGGATGCTGATGCGAGTTAAGAAATGGATAGGGATGGTGTTAAATGAGTTGGCATAACACATTACTACCTAAGTATAGTATGGATTACATATCATTGTTATGCGGACTTATTGGTATAACTGAGAATGTGCACCTAGCTACCTCACCGTGACTTGATCAAGCCATCTGATAAACGGCACCAACGGATCCCTCAGTGTCCTCAAAGAATCGGTATAAACCAAATTCGCCTTCCTTTTCCCTTTCGCTCAACATCTTTCCACCAGCCTTTTCAATGACAGAGCCAATAGCTTCGACATCATCGACAAACCAGTAAATGCAAATACCTCCCTTTCCAGGAGCAAAATGGCCAGTGTGATCAGGGGCTTTCTGAATGCCGCCTGTCAGACTGAGGCTTGGGTTGAAGTCAAATTTCATGAGTTGGTCTTTGGGATGTTTCTCGGTTTCCTCTGAAAAAGAGAACTTAAAGACAGTTTTGTAGAATTCTGAGGCTGTAGATTCTTGTCAGTGATGGTTCAAGCATGGTATATCCTGGGAGGACTAACCCCGGGTCACATCATTGGCCGGAATGCCCATCCAGATGGGAGTACCAAAGGCCGGGGGTTTCCACTCAGACATTTTGAATTGCGATTTACGATCGAGATCGAGTAAAGATATGCTTGATATGGAAGTGAAGAGGGATGATGATGGTTCATCCTGAGGTTGAAGAGACAGTCATGCCCCTTTTTATAGACCGCTCACATCGTCTTTCACATTAATTCAGGATTGTTCACGCTGTTGGACTGGTAGTCATACATGGAGAGACTTTAGGCCGATGGCTTGAGTTAGGACATGATAGTTACACGGTTGGAGCAATGAGAACGCGTCTGGACAGCCATCTTGGCAGGGGTCCAGTACGCCAGCTGAGCACGAGAGCACGTGTTGATCAACTGTACTGTAGTATCTGCAATACACAAAACATACTCGTATAGGTAGGTACATTATGGATGATGAGAAAACTTGACCGTATAGAGAATAAGAAACGAAATAATCCAGTCCCTCTATGCAACTTCAATCCCGGTTTTGGACCAATTATTTCTGTTAGGTATAGCATGACCGTTCTTACACCTATTAAACTCCCTGGCATATGCAGGCTTTGAATCTCTAATGATTAATGTAACGATAACGATTTCATTCTCTACTAACAGCTAGACGTATGTCGTCTCTTGAATTCAATTTAATAGGCGAATATCCCCTGCTCAGCTAAACTTATAAATAGCTGTTTGTAGATCAGTATAAAGACCTGCAGGTGCCAAGTGCTTCTAGAGTCATGTCACCCCTCGGACTTCCACTGGAGTTTTCGAAAATCATGATCATGATTTCTGGCAATAACAAGGATATAGCCTGTTGAACGAAACATCCTGGGGAAAATAGTCATACACGCTATGCGCTGTAGTTTGGTTCAGCTATACCAGGCCTGTCCATATCACCGACTTATAGCGCTGTTACACAACGCTCTGACCTTTGTTTCTACAGCGCCGTGCTCCGTGCCCCTCCTTCCATCCACTCCAAAGCTTGGAATCTGAGATGGCGGGGCAGATTAGATTATGCGCATCGGCCCGGGCACGTCATTGCGACCGTCCATCAGTATCTCGGTTCTTTCTTATTTGCTCTTAATTAGCCTTTTCCTTTTTCCTCCTATTTAACTTGCGATCCGTTAGAAAAAACTAAGTTCTGTTTCGTTTCGTTTCATCACATCATCGTCACTGCAAGACAAAACAAAGACAAAATGCCCGACCAAATATCCGTTCTCTTCGTCTGTCTCGGCAACATTTGTCGCTCACCTATGGCTGAGGGTATCTTCCAGAACCTCGCTAAGCAGCCGAATCTCAAAGACAAGATTGCCCGTATCGACTCTTGTGGCACGGGTATGAATATCACCAGAACCTCATATGACAATCGGCTGACCATTCATCATAGCTGCGTACCACAGCGGCGAACCTCCGGATGATCGAACCATGGACACCCTCGAGGCCAACGGTATTAATGACTACGACCACCTCGCCCGGCGCGTACGTTTCCCCCGGTCAGCAGTGCATCGCTATGCTTTACTGACACAATATTCTAGTTCCACCCAAGCGACTTCACCACATTCGATTACATCTTCGCCATGGACAGATCAAACCTCTCAGACCTTCTTCGACTACAGAAGAACAACCCCGACTCTACCGCCAAGGTGATGCTGTTCGGAGAATACAGCGGCACAAAGCGACCCGAGATAGTCAATGATCCTTACTATGGTGGAGACGACGGCTTCAAGAAGGCTTACGAACAGTGCACAAGGTTCTCCAAGAACTTTTTAAAGGAGATTCTTGGAGAAGAGTAAACGAGGACAGGCGCATGGAGAATTGATGATGCGGACGAGATATAATACCCGATACCTGTACAACGTGCAGAGGTCAAGGACTGGGGAATTTAGGTTAAACAGGGGGCTTACTAGAGACGGACCAGGTAGATTAGAATCTTATTGACATTTGATCAAAGCTGATGATTATTGGCTGTATATTCCCAGTCGCACGGTTGGATTAATGATTAATTTAGACGACCACTGTCGATCCCTTATCATGTCTCAGGTCCCGGCTCGTCGGTTCGCCGAGATACCGTAGGTCTGGATACTCGGTCAAGGTCTCAGCTCAGGCCTGCAAAAGAGCGGCCAAAGTCAATTCACCAGAGATGCAACCTCTGATGTGTCCATGTGCAGTCCCACTTGGCAAGCTTCAGCCCTATGCTGATGCAGCGGCCTAGTGGCTGGCCTCGATCCTGAGCTGAGAAGACGGACATCGTCATTCATTCAATTGTCTGTTGCAATTTGACTCTGACATGTTGCGTAGTTGTGCATCGGCGATACCGAAGCCAGAAGACACAAACACGAGGTCATAAACTGTACAACTGGCGAATTGACGGAGTGGATGAGGCTTTACGTGAGGCGGATCTCTCAGATGCCGGATGCTGTAAGATTGCTGACCATCTTTTTGACACTCCGCCCCGATGGAGTGGCTTGCGGCTGGAGATGTCTAAGCTAAGATAATTCAATGTCCACGATTACTAGACGGCAAGGTACTTGCCGAACCGACTGGTTTACAACAACAAACTCTCGTAAAAGCGGCGCAAGTTTGAAATCACCAATTTGAATTTGTCCTCTGAGCGTTCAACACGAGGAATTTCCCCTTTTTACGCAAGATGAAGCCGAGCCGTTGCATGCATATTGTAACTTTGAAGCCAGGGTAGTTGTCGCGCGGCTATCAACATTGAGACTCTGATTGGACAGAGACCGTCTTGGGGGCTTCAAGCTTAGCAAATCAGCCACATCACAAGGCGGTGACTTGTGTTGCTGCGGGGTCCATTTCTGTTGGTTAGCGGCTTCGGGTCACTGTGGATCGTTCCAGCAGCCCTGAAAGCCCCTGCTGAAGAGAACCCCAGGACAGATCCATCCAATCCAGTGGCAGTTTGCGAAGCAGGAGAAGCTTCCCCCCTCGCTCGACCCAACCCAACCTGGAAAGCAGCCAACCAGCAGTTGTCAGGTACCTAACTCCATACATATATCGCAACGCTCCTAGCCTTTGTTCTTCTCCTGTCACTGCATTGCTTCTTTTCGATCTTTATACCTTTAACCTTACCTATAACACTCTACAGCAAAAGCCGCGTTTCTCTCATCGCAAACCTTGTCGCATTCGAAACTTTTATTGCCCCGCATTCATATATATCAATACACCATGGGCGATCTACAAGGACGGAAGGTCTTTAAGGTCTTTAACCAAGACTTTATCGTCGACGAGCGCTACACTGTCACCAAGGAGCTTGGTCAGGGAGCTTACGGTATCGTCTGGTGAGTTTGCGCATATCTTATCACTCGTGGCACTCGGTCTTTCTTTGTGCTGCGACTCGAAACTCTTTTATCTCGTCTTTCTACCCCGCTGCAGTTGCTGACGATAGCCCCGCCTCCCAGTGCCGCCGTTAACAACCAAACCAACGAAGGCGTCGCCATCAAGAAGGTCACCAATGTTTTTAGCAAGAAGATTCTGGCCAAGCGCGCCCTGCGCGAGATCAAGCTTCTCCAGCACTTCCGCGGCCACCGCAACGTGAGTTTGTGCCTGGGCGCAATAAGGAAAGGGACGCGTATGCTGATATGTTCACGACTAGATCACATGTTTGTACGACATGGACATTCCTCGACCCGATAACTTCAACGAGACCTACTTGTACGAGGGTCAGTGACGATACCAGCCCAGAGAAGAAGTTGAACAATAAGCTGACGCAGCGCAGAGCTGATGGAATGTGATTTGGCTGCCATCATTCGTTCCGGCCAGCCTCTTACCGACGCCCACTTCCAGTCCTTTATCTACCAGATCCTTTGTGGTCTTAAGTACATTCACTCCGCCAATGTCCTCCACCGAGATCTCAAGCCCGGTAACCTGCTTGTCAACGCCGACTGCGAGCTCAAGATTTGCGATTTCGGTCTTGCCCGAGGTTTCTCAGTCGACCCTGAAGAGAACGCTGGATACATGACTGAGTATGTCGCTACTCGATGGTACCGTGCACCTGAGATTATGTTGAGCTTCCAGAGCTACACCAAAGCCAGTATGTTTGAATAAAGATCCCTGACGCCGTGAGATGGCTTACTAACTTGGTATAGTTGATGTTTGGTCCGTTGGTTGTATTCTGGCTGAGCTGTTGGGTGGCCGACCTTTCTTCAAGGGTCGTGATTATGTCGACCAGCTGAACCAGATTCTTCATATTCTCGGAACTCCCAACGAGGAGACTCTCTCCCGTATCGGCTCACCCCGTGCCCAGGAATACGTCCGAAACCTGCCTTTCATGCCCAAGAAGCCTTTCCCCAGCCTGTTCCCTCAGGCTAACCCCGACGCTCTCGACCTTCTCGACAAGATGCTCGCCTTCGACCCTTCATCCCGTATCAGCGTAGAGCAGGCTCTCGAGCACCCCTACCTTCACATCTGGCACGACGCCTCCGACGAGCCCGACTGCCCCACCACATTCAACTTCGACTTCGAGGTTGTTGAGGACGTTGGTCAGATGCGCGGTATGATTCTGGATGAGGTTCATCGATTCCGACAGAATGTCCGCACCGTTCCCGGCCAACAAGGTGGCGGTCTCCAGGGCCAAGGCGTTCCCGTCCCTCTACCCCAACAGAACGGTCAATGGACCGCTGAGGACCCTCGACCACAAGAGTATGCCGGTCACGGTAACGCCGGACTTGAGCAAGATCTTCAAGGAGGCCTGGATGCTTCCCGAAGATAAACAGCTACTATTCAAAGTATAAGAGGTGGAAAAATTGGATATATCCTAGAGGAGGATCAAGTACAGCATGCCTTCTAGTTCAAGATGAAAGATCAATTCTGAGTATAAGGAAGACGGACCAGTCTTGGAGAGTTTCAAGGATTTAATGCCTGGAATAAGAGAAGGATGGAAGGATCAAGTTTTGGCTTCAGCTGGCTGAGGGAGCATGCCCTAAATGCGTCGTGAGGGTAGAGAAGCGTTGCCCTCATCTTCATTTTCATCTGTTTTTCCGAATGAGAAACGAGATCAATATTATATTTCTTTACTGTTATATGATGCTTTTATCTATGCTTGTCATGTGAATTCTGGAGTGATTCTTCATACGTATGAACTTATCTACTTACTACCTTACTATAGAGGTGACGAGAGTGGGTGTAACGGGGTTCTGTGCGGTGATGCTACTGAGAATCTTGGCCGTTGTAGGCTTTCAGTGGTAGCAATCAATACAGTCACGCTGGAAACGTTGTTTATGCCGAACAGATTCTAAACCCAATTTCATTCATAGTATCACAAGTAGTAACGGTCACATATCCCTAGACCTGACAGGCATCACTCAGCCTCTGTGAAACCCCCTTTATGGTTTGCTGGAACTTCCTCATCAGACTCCGATATTTGTTCGTTACTGCCTAAAAGTCCCATGTCGGTCTGTTTTCGTTACTCTTGGAAGTCTTCTGTCACGCTTCAGGATTGTCTCCCCTTGATGACGGAAGCTCCATTGCTGTACTTCGGTGTCGCCTATTTCCCAAAAGAATATATCGGTCATCTGAGAGGAGATCATGTTGAGATAAAGTTTCGTTGAACTGCTTAATCAACGTAGTGACCGAAGACAGGACGATCATCGTCGGAACTGTCCTCTTCATCCTCATCAGAGTCGTCAGAGGTAGACTCACTCGTCTCCTCACGCTCGCTGTTTCGTTCATCATCAGCCTCACTCCCGAAGCCGACCTGATCACCACGGGTATCTCCAAGGATAGCCTCAAGCTGTTGTCGTAGCTCAGAGTTGCGCTTGCGCTTTTCGAATCTGCGGCGGCGGAGGATGTCGTAACAGTACATATCCAAAACGCCTTGAACAGTACCGACGCGACGAGGTTCCCAGCCCAGGGCGGCGCGAGCAGCGATGTGCCACAGCTGGAATGCCTGGTAGTAACGCATGTCACCTTCGTCTTCGTTCTCGAGAATTTCCTCCTTCTCGTCGATGGTTCGGTAGAAATCTTCGACAGTTTCACCGCACAGGCGTAGACCTAAAAGGGGTGCGACTCCGAGAGCGGTAGCCTTATGACCAGGAAGCTCGATGATATTCTTCTGGGTGATCTCCTCAAACATACCGCTAAAGACCTCTTTCTCCTTAGCAGCACGCTCAACACGATCGCGGTGCTCATGGACGAGGACGTCGGTAATGTAAATCCCCTTCTTGGTCGGGTCGTGGTTCAGGATCTTGAAGTCCTCTGCGTACTAGGCATGGAGGGCATTATCAAGCTGGTCTCGAAGGAGTTTGACATGTGAGCGATAGAGAACGGTATCACGAATAGTAGCGAGCCAAGTACTCTGGTCAAAAGGACCAGGATCATCGCCAGGAATCTCAGGAGAATGGCTGTAGCATAGATGAAGATCCCAAACTCGACGGATGACGCGGAGAGCGGTCTCGCCGTACTTGATCACGATGGTCTTGGAGAGGCCGTGAAGAGTTTCGGTATCGTGTTCTTGCCAGTAGAGGATCTCGGCACAAAGAGCATCGACACGGTTCTTTAGAGCGCGGTTATCGAGTTCATCGTAGTTGCGAAGTTCGTCATAGAGACGAGTGTGACGACGAGTTGAGTGAGGTACGGTGAGGGGGAAGGGTTCGGGAGTTGGTTCGAGGGCATTGGCTACGTCAGCTCCTTCGCACCAGGGAGGAGTGATGGTGATGAGCCGTTTGGGAAGAGGAGGAGGGGGTGCCATGGTTGATAGGATATCAGAGATGTATGTTTTAGTACCAAGTGAGGAAAACCCGAGTGTGATGTTCAGAAGATGGAAGATAGTAGGATGAAGGTTCGAAGGTAAACTTGGTAAAATTCGATCTCTTATATAGATGAGTATGGAGACGATACAGACCGGGTGAGGGTATTTCAAGTGAACCAAACCCCCTCAATGAGCAAGTTCTTTCATATCAAACGCGATTCTGGAAGTCTCTCTTTGATTAGCCGATAACGTTGTTTGATATCGTGACCAACAATGACGTTGAATAGCATTGAGAAGCGGGGTGGTATTGACCAGGTAACGAGCAGAACAATAGAGAACGCGCAAAAGGGTATCATTAACTGTCTAAAATCCAAAGCAGGTGACTATTTTCCATCTTTGTGGGTATCGTGCGTTTGCCATTGCATGCTGGTAGTGAGTAGATGATAGTGACCGTTCTTGGAAAGTGTTAAGTGAGCTTCTTGGAGAGCTGGAGGCCTCCATAGGGTCTTTGAAGAGATAGCAGCGAGAATTCCTTTGTTCTCTTCGGTTGCCCTCTTGGAGTAATCACCGAGACTCTTCCCTAGACTGTCGTTGACCCGCGATCCGGTTGTAGGCTTCCCTCAAATGCAGCTAAGCCAGCTCATATCGCACAGGGTCATCCAACTCCATAACCACCTTAAACCGTACGAGGCATATAACCAACACATCCAATTCGCCCATCATACTTGAAGATTTTCCATCATGCTCGTGCCGTAGGTGGTGCTGCAGGAGGTTGAGGATTGTTCCCAACAGTCTTATACATATCTCTCAATTCAAATTCCTCATGTCCACCTTCAGGGATCTCCCCAATCACTCTCGCCGGCTGACCAGCAACGATGGAAAAGCTGGGAATAACCATACTCGGCGGCACAACCGTCCCATCCAGAACCTGAACATAGTCTTTAACAATCGCAAACTCGCCAATGGTGCACCCCTTTCCGATCTGCACATGGTTTCCCAACGACGCCGCCTGCACGACGGTTCCTTGGCCAACAAAGACGTGGTCGCCTAGACGCAAAGGCATGTACGTGAAAGCGCCCTTGTACATGCGGCCAGGTGGACGCAGCAGCACGCCCCGGGCGAGGAAGCAGTAGCGACCTATGGCGACGGCTGTATTGCTGGCAGGCGCCGTGCCAGAGGAGGATGAGGAGACTGTGCGGGTGAGGTCACCTCTGATCATGACTTCGGGTTGGATGACGGTTTTACCGCCGAGCATAATGTTTTGGGTTCCGACGAGGACGGCTTTGCGGGAGACTTTGTTACCAGTGTCCTGTAGCGATGGTCAGCATTGAGACAAAGAGATGGCGGAGTGAATACTTACGGTCTCGATGTAGTCGCCTTTGGGAGGTCGGCGAGACATGATGGGCGAAATTGGCGATGCCGGGAGACTACGGCCGGGGAAATGGAGACGAACGGGGACGGAGACGGAGGAGGGAAGATGGAAGAGTGTCGGAGAGTCGGAGTGTCGGTCGTGTTTTGGCGGTCGCTAGGCCTATATCATGGCATGTGGGGCCGTAAGTGGATAATCAGAGAGAGCACAGGCAATACTGTACCTGATCTACATACTGTACTATCAAAGGGAAATTATGTATGGCCTCAAATGCAATAAAGACACTGCATTGCATACTAATCAGATATCAATAAAATCCAAAATTTATGATATCATCAATGAGAAAACATTAATTGGAAACTTGGTAATTCTGCCTTTCTTGACAAGCAGTTGGTTGTTAGTTAGATTCTCTGCCTTGAGAGCGTTTAAATCACCAACTCAGACACAAATCTCACAACCAACAAGACAGAACGAGTATGGAATAAAGAAAGCCTCGCTAAGCCTTGTGGAAAGAAGTCATGGCCAACATCAATTGACCTCCAAGCGCGGCCATGACCAACAACTATGTCCAACAAGCGGTATGTGTCCCAGAAAGAAAAGAAGCTGCATATCCCAACCAACAACAAACTGCCAAGCTCCATCTTTGACCTGACCCAGTACTATACTCTCTTAGGCAAGCAAACATGAACTCCATGTGTTACCAATTCAATTCAAGCAACTCCTCGGCTGAAAGAAATATTGAGTCCTATCCTACACTGCAAGTCAATTCAATAAGGGAATAGCCAATGATACCCTGAATGAACCGTAAGCTAAGAAAGGGAACTGATACTGAAACTAAACTGTAAGAGTTCAAGTCTCGAAGAATTCAAAAGAGAAGGTCATTTTCTGTGCCGCAAGCCCCATTGCAACGGTTGCGGGGTGTAGGTACTAGTTTGTAGAGGTTGCAAGTTGCGCAAGAGAGAGCCAACCAGAGATACAGAAGCGTTAAAGAGCGGGTAATTCTTTTGTCTTTTCAATCTCTGTCTCTTTCACTTCCACATGTCAATATTTGTTATCGTCAAAACCTCGTGTTAATATTAAATTAAAAAATGAGAAATGCAGTGGAAATGAAAAACAAAGTGATTCGGTTGTTTCATTGCAGTAGCGTTGTTTAGAGGGTAGCTGAAACTAGAAGCCTGACCTGATTTTATTGTTCCCAAAGTACCTGACTAGGATAGTCTCCAGTGTTTTAGATAAATTGAATTTTTCAGATTTTTTGTCTCTGGTTGCTTTTTTGTTGGCAAGTCATGCGCATGCACCTCTTCTTCAGGTGAACACAGTACATGTAAGAGATTATTCATCTCTGGAGTCATTGCATCGGATATGTTTGTTCCCATGCTTGGCTCTCAAGTAAGCAAAGGAAATTTACATTTTGCTATTATTAAAGTGAGATGAGAAAAATAATCGTGGCCGTGTTTTGTTGGATCTATTAATATGGGCGGCTTAATATCTGGGATCTGGGTCTTGGTCTTGGGTATTTGAGGGGCGCAGATGCGGGAGTTGCTGGGGCCGATTATGCCAAGACAATACAGTGAGATATCTATTATACTGTACAGTAGAGTCCCCTGGTAATAGCTAGTCAAAGTTCAGATGAAAACAGATGGTGTTTCATTACATTGATCCTCCTAAGAACATGGGACTCTGATAAAACAAAACGGTGAGACTAAACAATTAACCATTTAGCCACAACACTCAACACCATCTCTTCTCTCACAGAGACTCAGCAAATGTACGGCAATGTCAAGCCGAATACTCAACTTGGCCAAGTCTACCTACCATCAACCCCTGTAACTTCCCTCGCGCTAGGGTCGCCTCTCAACGCGGCCGCCCGTCCACCGCACGAGGCGTCCTTGTCTCTTCCAAGCGATAAAGGTTGCATCCTGCTCGTTGATGATGGATGTCCTTCCGCTTACAAGGATGATGGTCCCCGTCCACGTTTCGAGGCCTAGTCCTAGTTCCTTGCCTGCACATCGAGTAACTAAACTGACAAGGAGAGAGGGAAGAAACAGAAACAGACGGGTAGCATGTTTGTTAGATGTTGATTCCCTGGTCTCGACAAGGCGCAGTTGAGTCTTGATGTTTTATATAAACTCTGTGTCTCTCCCTCTAGAAAAGAAACAACAAGACACAATCAACTTTCTTTTTGAGTCTCTTACTCTTCTATTCATAGTCTCTCATCTTAGATCCCCGCTTCTATTACTGCACAACACCATCACACCCACACCCACACACAAAAAATAAGCGCCCAGGTGGAAACCATCGTCCACTTACAGCAAAAGGCCCCCCCTTGCTCTTTGCGTTTATTATTAGCATTGCCGCCATTGTGCCGCGACCTGTATAACAAGAGCGCGCTCTTCCGCCCATTTCTGCTCTATCCTCTCTACTATCACAACTCTCTCTGTTCTTATTAGTTGTTTCGAGTTTCAAGATCGACACCATCTTCTTTGAACAGAAATCAGTCCGGCGTCTCAGACTTTACTATACTTTGATCAACTAAGTAAAGTACCTCCTTAATCAAGATGCTCGTCAACTCCCTTTTCGTCCTTGCCTCTGCTGCTTTGGCTTTGGCTTCGCCTGTCAAGAACTATGGTCCTGGTTCAAGCTGCAAGCCTGGAAAGCCCATGCCCACTCTTCCCCTTAACGGTGGTGGTAAGTCTATAGTCTCTTCACTTATACATAAACTAGTCACTAACATGGTACAGCCACTGAACTTCCCTCTCCTCCTCAAGGTGTAACTCTGAAGCACATCGCCCTCGGCTTCGGCATTCAGAACTACACCTGCGCTGACGCCGCCGCCACACCCGCAGCTCAAGGTGCTCTGGCCGTTCTCTACGATGTCACTTCCTTGTACCCCGGCCAAGGCATTGGAGCTCTCCCTAAGGCCAAGTGGGAGTCTTTCACCTCTGATGTCCTCAACACTGGCGAGATCCCTCTGAACCTCAACGAGAACGGCGTCGGAGCTTCCCTTACTGAGCCCTTCCCGGCGAGGTCCTCCATCAAGGTTGACGGTATGCGCAAGCCGCTTCCTTACCTCGGCCACCACTACTTCAACGCTGCTGGAGTTCCCACCTTTGACCTCGACACTGTCAACCAGCTCCTCCTCTGCAAGAAGCTCGACGGTATCAAGGCCCCTGCTTCTGCCTCTGCTGGCCCCGAAGGAACTGGTGCCGTTGACTGGCTCTACCTCGGTGACGCTGGTGGTAGCATCGGAGTCTCCTACGTCTACCGCGTTCAGACTTCTGGTGGTGCTTCCCACGGCTGCAAGGCCAAGGGTGTTGACAGCACCTCCTACACAACCCTCTACTGGTTCTACGGTTAAACACCATATCCTAGGACTTTCACGATTTCTTTCTATTCTTAATTACATATTTTTCATTTCTTCTCGATAGAACGGTGGTTTATATCGGAGTTTATACAAAAGGTCACAATCATTACAAGGGACATATACGTTTCACGACGATCGTTATTGGTACAATCTGGGTCTTTGGAAGAGATACCACAGTTTTTATGGGTGTGAATAGGATCCGCCCTTTGGGAATTCTTTTTGGCGTTTACTTTGGTTGAGTGATTGAATAGGATTGCACATAGTGGTGGTTTATAGGGGTGATGGGAGATGTAGATAGTCGTGATGAATTGAATACATTCAAACAATCAATCTTCAGTATGACGACTTTGGCATTCAATTATGATATAGTGATTTCCAAACGCTGAGTCTTCTCCAAAACGCTCCTGCAAGCAAAGGTCCGGATCCAGCTCTGTCAACTGAATGATACGGTAGACGCATAACTCATGCCTCTTCCTTTCCCATCTCGTGCTTCTCATGCTCCACGCTATGTCTCTCGGAATTAACCGTCGCAGTCTGCATATACTTATGAGTTCTCCAAGTCAAAGCAGCGCACCAAATAATCATGGCGATACTACATGCAATCATTGCCCACATTCCTCGCTAATCACAGGTTAGTATTCTTCCGCAAAGAGACGATAGTAGGAAACTTACAATAAACCAGGGAGCCATTGAAGCACCATAGAACACAATACTCCACCAGGCGTTGATAACATTACTGCCTGTATTCATTCCAGCAAGGACGATACCGCGGAACATGGCTGATTCATAGCGCATAACGTCGTTGCACCAGGCAAAGAATGTAGCTTGGCACGCATACACGGATCCAGCCCAGTAGTAAGACGCGAAAACAACAGTTGTCGAATGTGGGTTTGTTGGATCTCTGGAGGCAACGAGGACCATGATCGATGTCGCGATACCCGTGATGCCGATAAAGTAACCAACAAGATATCGCTTGCCAGACAAGAAATCCGTCAAAGTTGCCCAGAAAAGGGTAGACACAATGCCAACTGCTGGGACACCACTAGGGTAGTTGTTCTTCTGCGCGACGGTGTACGTGTTGGTAGGATGGTTCTGGAGGAACAGAGCAAAGAGCGCGTTTGTACTGAAAGACTCTGTCTCGCCTGCAATAACCCAGAGGATAACAAATCCCCACCAGAACCAAGACGTAAGAACCATCTTTCCGTAGCCAAACGTGAGTTTAGGACGTTCTTCAGCCGGAGGAACGCGGGAAATAGCCAGAGCCCGCTCGTCTTCCGAAAGATAGAATGCGGTAGTCGTATGCGGCGTATCAGGAAACAAGAAGAATCCATAGATAGCGATAGGGATGGTAATAAGACCGTCAATAATGAACAGCCATCGCCAACCGCTCAGTCCACTCTTACCATCCAGACTTGCGTGAATGCCAGTCTGGATGAAACCTCCAATCATGGTTCCAGCTAGACCTGAGGCTGTGAAGATACCACTCCTCTTGCCCAGTTCTCGCTCTGTGTACCACGATCCGAGGATGTAGTGGGTGCCGACAAAGGTTGATGCTTCGCAGATACCTTGGAAGAAGCGGATTGCCATGATGGACTTTGGGCTTTGGACTGAGGCGGTGACCATTGTGAGGCCGCCCCAGAGAACCATCATGAGAGGGAACCAGATGCGAGGTTTGATGTATTGTAGAGAGAGGTTTGAAGGAACCTGACCGATGACATAACTGCGTCTGTTAGCTGAGTGTTCATTGAGGATGAACAGTAACGTACCCAACTGTGAAACAGGTAAAGATCTGGTTCAATTGATCACCCTCAAACCCAAGATCCTCCTTCATACCAGAAACATAGGCATTATTGATGTTATTCCGATCCAACTACAACAATTAGCATCCGTCCTCAACCTTGAATCTTGGGATAAACATACATAGTTGACAAGATAACTCAGACAACAAAATGTCAAGATAAAAAAGTCAATCTTCTGGACCAGACGTCTCTCGCCTGGCTTGTAGTCCACATGCAGATACTCCTTCAGTTTCGACATATTGACGAGCGGTGACTTGGTGGCGGGATGGATGATGAGGGAATCAAAGTGAGAGGCGCTACGCTGGGCTACTTATACATGTCCTGCATGAGCGCTGAAGATCTTTGCAGTCCAGGTTTATCTCTTGGTTACCTATGCTAGATAGCCCCGACACCATACTCTACTGTACTATACCTGTCTAGTCAATCAGCCAAACAACCTCTCTGTCAATTTTCAGCTGGCATAACTCACCTCAGGAAATAATTACTTATTGCAGGTCTCTAAGTTATCGTCTGATAGTGTATTCAGCGGTAGAAGTTTTTGGTTTATCTGCCCGATAAGCCAAGCCAGGCCAGGGTTTTGCGGGGAAGCGATAGGCTAAAACCCACCATGCGATATTATGGAGATCACTAACAGAGTCACAGGAACGATTTCTCTAGGGCGCAATTGATTCATTACTCCTTTGGGAAATGAACTTCAAGACATGCAGATAAGGATCTTGGTAACGTATCCTTGTTACTATCCCAGTCAAACTGGGGAATAGCTGATAGGTAAACTTGCCCTGTCAAGTCTTGAACACAATGCCTCGGTTCAAGACATCTCTCTACTGTACAGCTTGAGAGTTAATGGGTGATACTCGGTCTGGGTTTGTAATTGTGTCATAGTCACTGTGAATCTGCTCCAGCCTCTAGCGTCATTGACCGAGGCCTAAGCACAACCACCTCACACTAAAGATGAGGGGTGAATGATACCTGATACCGTACCTCCGATATCGAAGCATCTTCGGAGACAAAAGTATATAGCGAAGACTCCCAATCCTTGTTCCGTATCTCAAGAGCTGTCTAATATTTCCAAAACAAGGTATTCGATACGATCATCAGTCCATACTACCTTGATAACAGTAGAGGCTCCTCATTCCGCTCCTCGGAACAGTATCAACAACTTGAAGTTTAGTCTCGAGTCCGTTATATCCGTGTCGATAGTAGCCCAAATAGGAAAGACATCTATTACACTACAAAGTCGCAACACGACATTAGTTTATCTCCCAGTTCTGATTTAAGCCGTTGTTGATTCCGCTTGGCTTTTCTACCCAAGACATTACCTGACAAGATACTGCAGCCATGACTCTCACAACTACTACTACCACCACAGAGGCAACTAAGCTCGATACCACTCCAGCATGGAAGGACATCAGCGCCAAAAAGATCGAAGCTCTCAACTCATCTATCCCACAAGAATGGCGCATTCCTCAGGATCTTCTTCCTCCTGTGGATCAAGCAGATGTCACAACATGGCCAGAGGCATCAGGATGGTTTACAAAGGATGAACTGGCTATTACTTCTCTGACGGCAGCTGAACTCATCGAAGAACTCGCTTCTGGGACACTCAAGTCCGAAGACGTCACCAGGGCATTCTGCAAGAGGGCTTCTGCTGCTCACCAACTTGTAAGCACTCAACTCAACCACCTAGTATCATTTCTTACTAACATTTTGCAGACAAATTGTCTAGCGGAGACATGCTTTGATCGCGCAATCCAGACAGCACGTCATTGCGATAAGCACTTCTCCAAAACAGGAACACCCATCGGTCCCCTCCACGGTCTTCCAATCTCTCTCAAGGACAACTTCAACCTCAAAGGTCTTGATGCAACCGTCGGCTTCACATCCCATGTCGGCGACCCTGCTAGTGCCGACTCTGCATTGGCAACGCTTCTTCAAAATGCCGGCGCTGTCTTCTACGTCAAGACCAATGTTCCTACGGCTATGATGATCGCAGAGTCTGTTAACAACACTTTTGGAAGGACTGTGAATCCTAAGAATAGGAACACTACCAGTGGTGGAAGTTCTGGTGGAGAGTCGGCGCTTATTGCTTTCAAGGGAAGTCCTCTAGGTGTCGGAACAGATATTGGTATGTTTGAGCCTCCTCTCGACCTTGGACTATATACTTACTCTTAATAGGAGGATCACTGCGTATTCCCGCTGCTTGCACCGGCCTCTTCACCCTCCGTCCCTCGTCAGGCCGTTTCCCCGTCCGCAACTGCCGCTCAGGCATGCCCGGCCAGGAAGCAGTCCAATCCGTCAACGGTCCTCTCGGTCGAACCCTCCAAGACATCCAACTCTACAGCAAAGCCGTAATCGACTCACAGCCCTGGCTCGCCGACCCAAAATGTCTCCCCATTCCCTGGCGACCAGCCCAGCTCCCGGCCAAGTTGAAGATCGCATTCATGTGGCACGACGGCATGGTCCTCCCTACACCACCCGTTATTCGAGCCCTGCGGATCGCAAAGGAGAGGCTGGAAGCAGTTGGACATACGATTGTGGAATGGGACCCTGTTGATCAGAGGGAAGGTGGTGAACTTCTTCAGCGCATGTTTTTGGCCGATGGAGGACAGACGATTCGCAAGGAGCTTGAGCGTACAGATGAGCCATGGAGACCTGAAATGGCAGCTTACAGTACTGCGAGGGATCTAAGTACTTCTGAGATGTGGAGGCTTCAACTCGAGCGAACGGCTTTCCAGAACAAGTATTTGGATCGATGGAATAAGGCGGGTATTGATGCTATTATTTGCCCCACGACACCTTACAGCACTGGAAAGAATGGTAGTCTGAAGCACGGTACGTCTATCACATTATTGGAAAGCTTTATACTAACGAGTGCAGTCGCTTATACCGGTGTCTTCAACGTTGTCGACTATTCTGCCGTGTCATTCCCTACAGGGATCACCGTTGACAAGGACGGTGACCTGCTCGACTCTTCATATTCACCTTTAAGTCCAGTGTGCAAGTCTGTTAGCGAGGATTGTAAGTACTTCGCCTTTAACTATTGATACAGCAGCTAATCATTGTACAGATGACGCTGAGCTGGTGCATGGTCTACCAGTCAGTCTTCAGATCGTTGCTCGAAGACTAGAAGAGGAAAAGGTTCTGGCAATGGCCAATCTAGTGCACGAAACCATGAAGTAAAGGATGAAGCAGAAATTTTAAGCACTTAATAAGATATATATGAGCCTATACTGTTTCCAGGAGCAAGAATTGTCTAGAGTGCAGCATGTGCCGAAGGCTCAATAGTATGTGCGATGGGTGCTTGTAAGACGAGTAGTAGACGGTACGAAGTGTTGTGCAACAATCTTGCACGGTTAGAGTATTCAATAAAACTACTTTAACAAAGCACCCCAATGTTGGACCATCATGCTGTATATGAAAGAATCATGCATACTGTTGTCTATCAAAGAAGTGCAAGTCGTAGTGTCATGACCACTACGTCCGCTATGTAAAGCAGGGATATGCGATCTCAGGTTAGAATACAAACAATCAATGCAAACAATCAGCATCAACCAAGTCAATTAACCAAGTAATCATTGTCATCCCTTCTAATCTAAGCGGCATTCTTTTGATATTGTACCACTACCGTACCCGTCCTCACCCGTTCTCAGCCACATTCCATCTCACCCAACCCATACAAATTAGCACCAAAGAAACTTTCATCCCTTCCCCAATCTAAGCATAGACACAAAGATCGCATTCCCGAAATTCCATGCTCATCTCTTTTTTAAACTTTCCTAGTTACCCACCCTCTTCAATGCGGGGAAGGGGAAAAAGAAGAAAGGGGTGCAGCCGGATGGGAACGGGAGAAAAGGAACACGGCTTTAGACATTGCGAATGCCGGTCGAACGCCGCGGGTGAGTCAGAGATGGTGGGTGAGATCGGTTCAGCCGGCGGGTATGCTTGAGAAGACTTGTGCATGTTTCTAGATCTTGTGGCTGAGATTTAGTGGTGGGAAAGTTATCAGCTGAATGATACATGTTTGATCACGATGATGGCACAATGAGTAAATGACTGATTTTAATAGGTTTCATGATTAATTATTCTAATCAGTGACTCTATCAAGAAGCCCGTTCTAGGCGATGAACCCGAGGCTTTTCCTCGGGGTCCAGTTGCTCTCGACTGTCTAATAGACCGGGGGTATAGTCCGAACCGAAAAACTCCAAACAAAGTGACATCTGAATATTGATGATGTCCCGTATGAGAAAACAAAAGACCCTGTTCTTTTTGTGTATAAAACTTTTGAGAAGCCAATATCCGTCTAAACGCCTTTTAAAATGCTGCAAGCTGTTCTCCTCTCTTCTTTTTAGTCGCGCGCCCGTTTATGCCGTTTCGTCGTTAGTGTGGTTTGAGGTGGTGTAGCGGTGAGTAGTGGAGATTTTTGGTGTGGTCGTGTGCAAATCACCCATCCTTGGCAAGGCAAGATAAGGGGATTCGCATATCGGAGATAAGAAGTGCGGAGTCAAAAGTGAGGGAGAACGCTTATAGCACTTGGCGAGCCTTCTCCTCGGCGAATGCCTTTCGGCTCATCATCAAGACGCGCTCAAAGCCCTCACGGCCCTTGACAGCGTTCTCGCGGAAACGGGAAACCATTGTGTCCTCGATGCTGTTCTTGATTCGCTGCCAGCCGCCGCAGAGAGCAGTGATGTTGGCGTTCTGGATAAACTGGGTCTGGTGGTCGCCGCAAGGCTTGTAGACAACCTCCTCTTGGACGTTGACGAGGTTGCTCCATGTCAAGTTCTGGCTAACCATGGTGACGGTCTTGTTTACGGGGTCGACGTAGCTGGCCTCGTACATGAAGCTCTCGTCTCCAGTGCCTCCGATGATGGTCTTGATCCAGTCAGGGACGGTTTGCTTGCATGTGATCAGACGCTCGGTGCGGAGGATGCCTGTTGAGGGGTCGACTTCGCGTGAGAGGGTATCGACGGCGATGACATGCTCAGACTTGTTGTTCCAGGGGCCGTATTTTGTCCAGTTGGCTGTGGACACCTCGTCCCAGGAGTAGTTGTAGGTGACAGAGTTGCTGAAGACCTTCATTTTGGCGGTCGTGTGTTGTAGGTAAAAGTGTTGTAGATTGGAAGTTGCTCGCGTGTGTGGAGTCAGAAACTTTTTTTTCTCGCGTAGAAGCAAATGTGCTTTTTGATTGGAAAAAAGAGGGAGAAAGACTTATTTGTTTGATAAGTCAAAATTTGAAAGATGAAAGAGTGAGATGATTCCTCCTTATTATATCACTCGCGAAAACGAAGATAAAGCAAGATCTCCAGTGGCGATGGAGCGTGACGGAAGTGAGGGTAAAGATGAGCAAGAGGAGCGATGGCGATGAACGGAGATGGAGATGCGGCCTTTTTAATTGGGGACAGTCACTGCAAAATTATTCCATGTGAAAAAGGAAAAGTGGAAGGAAAAAAGCACTCTCACTCGCTATCGCCGGCCTTCGGCTCTGGGCCCGAGCACATCCGCAAACTGGTACTAATCCCGATTTGTCATGCATCTAACTTTGTAGGGTAAAGCCCATCGATCGCGATAAAGCCTCGGGATATCAAGAGACGCTAATTGGCCCGGTCTGCAGGAGGAGGTCGGACTGCTGGCTCTGATCTCGTGCAGCGAATAGTGAGCGACTGTGCCACAGAGTGGCGAGTGCGTCAATGATGGGGAAAAAACCGGAGAACTATGAAGCTAAGCGTTGGTGATCAAGTGTCGAGCATTGGCCAATTGTCACTTGAGCGTGCGAGATCGGGAAGGGATTAGCACGGGCTGAAATCATATCAATTTCAGGGTCCTTGTGCATCGATACTTGTGGAATGTACAAGATTCGATACATTTCTAAACCAAAATAGTGACATTCAATGATGTCTCTTATGTTTCATCATAATTAACCATCCATCGATCGGAAATCTTGCAGCCGTCCAAATCTCAAAACGGGATGTTGTTTGCATTGGGAGTCATACCTACGCAATATATGTAACAACGCATAACTTACAAGGTCTGGCACACACACAACGGTCATCTTGGACCTATCAAATGTCTTGATGCTTTATTTGCATAATTCTGGGCATGAACAACACAAGAAATAATTCAGTAGCTGTGCCTAAGTAGTTTTCTAAATATGACAAGGTCTATCCTAACTGTTGGACCGACTGAAATAATCGCTTAAGAGACGGTCTAATATCACAGTCTCTGATACTAGCAATCAAGTTTCCTGTAACCCAAGATGTGCTTAACGTAAATCATGTTTTCTACTTATCATATAAATAGTCTGCATACAAAGAGGAGAGTCGTTTTTCAGATTCCTTCTCACAGCCTACTATTTCTTTCCATATCTTCTTTTATATCGTTTAGTAGTCGTCTCCACGGCTGATGACCTCCTTCACGGTGGGTCGAATCAGGATGGTCTAAAATATGTTAGTCATTATTACACGCATATCAATATCAAGGATTCACTTACATGCTCGAACTGAGCAGTGTACGAGCCCTTCTTGTCACACAAGGGCGGGTACGCCTCGACGATACCAGCGTTGACCAAGTTGTTGAGCTGTAAAGCATTAGCTTGTTATCTTAGATTTCGAGTCGCATACATACTCCGAGCAGGTACTTGTCCTGGCCAATGCGGTCCAGGTAACGACGGCAGAAAGGTAGGGTGCCGAAGTTCTTGTTAATAACGTTGAGAAGCGACTTGGCAGAGCTCAAGCGCAGGTCAACGTGCGAGGAGTCACCTCGCTTAGCGTAGTGGGAAGTCTCCATATCATCCCGGACGTATCCGTTACCGGTACTGCCAAAGGTCTCAATGGCAAATACGTCGCCCTCTTCCATCTTGGTCTGATCGTTGCTCTTGACGATAGGAACGGCCTTGGTACCGTGAATGCTGTAGGGCAGAATGTTGTGACCAGTGAGGTTGCGGATACTCTTGACGGGGTAGGTGGTCCCGTCGATCTCGACCTCGAAAGACTCCATGGTCTCCTGGATAACACCACCAATCTCGCCAACACGGGCGTCAATACCAGCCTCGCGAATACCAGCGTTGGTGGCCTCCTTGACGGCCTGGAGGAGGTTGTCGTACTTGTTGTCGAACGACATGGTGAAAGCAGAGTCGACAATGCGGCCGTTGACGTGAACACCGAAATCGACCTTCATGACATCCTCCTTCTGCAGAACCATCTTGTTGCCGGCGTTGGGAGTGTAGTGCGCGGCGCAGTGGTTGAGAGAAAGACCGCAAGGGAAACCCATACCGGCCTTGATACTGTCGCCCTCCTCCAGTCCAGGGTGTCCGGTAAGAGCACGAACACCATCCTCAATGCCCTCGGCGATCGAGGTCAAGGTCTGTCCGGGCTTGACGTTCTTCTGAGTCCACTGGCGCACCTGGCGATGAATCTCGGCAGCCTCACGGTAGTCGGCAAGGAAGTCGGCGTTCAGGTTATCGAGATGGCGCTTCTCCTCGTCGGTAGTACGGTAGTTGTTCTCGTCCTTGTACTCGACCTCCTCTCCATGAGGGTAAGACTTGTTAGGGAACAACTGGCTCATCTGGACTCGAGGAGGGTCGCTCTGGCTGGTAGGGTTCTTCTTCTTCTTCTTGGGCTTTCTCTTCTTCTTTTTCTTGGCGCCTCCTTCGGCGGGAGCGGCACCATCGACTTCGTCTTCGGAATCATCGCCGCCGTTGTCGTCGCCGGCAGCGTCGGCGTTGGATTGTGTGTTTGCGCCGGGCTTCTGAGAGCCATCGGCCACTGCGGGGCAATTAATATCAGTCCAGGATTCATACTGCGTGGCTAAGCCAAAGGTACAAACGTACCGTTGAGCTCCTTGAGAGCTTCGGTGGGGACTTGAGCTGCCATCTTGGCTAACTGCGCGAGAGACAAAACTGCACAGCAAAGCAAAAAGGAAGAAGAATTTGGTGGGAGGGTTGAATCAGTGGGAAGATGTCACACCCCACCAGGAATTTAGGTCTGGGTAGACAGAAGTAGTTAAACACTAAATCGGCTCATTTTGGTAGGTGGTATTCTGTCGTGTGGATGCCCCGCTGACAGATTTTGACATGACGAAAGTGGATTGGCCCTTCATTGGTACTGGACATTGATTGATACGCGAGCGGTTAAAGTACGTGGTCGGAACATGACGGCCATTGATAAAATAGATTGGCTGTCAGGGAGTAATATTTCAAGATCTAAAGATAGAAAAGCTGCAAACTAATCAATCAAGTGAACTGCAACTTCTTTTCCATTTTGTCTCATTCTTTACTGTCATTGATCAGATTGATGTACACAGCGCATGCCGTGAGTTTGGCTTACATGTATTCATGATTGCTTTACTATTGATGGACAAAGAGTACCTACTGTGGAAACTTATTCTAAGCGTTTCTTTGCAATTTATAGTTAATTCTTCAAGAAAGTCCTTGTACCATAATCAAGAGAAATATATAAGTTACATACTGTAGTTGACATGACAAGTCCTAGTGTCTTGGTAACGTTGACGCTCCCGTCTGGGCAGTCAGATGGATAAACGCTGATCTTCACCTCGCGCCACGACCCTGCAGTTAAATGTCATATAAAAAAGTTGTGTGATAGATATTATTTTTTGACAGACAAACAAACACCATTCATCATGTATAGAATTACATGGAAATTGCGCCGACTGTTTCACGACATCCTATAGGGTATCTCACAGCCTAAGACATCCCCTGTCAAATCCAGGCTGGCGCTGTCCATGACCTCACAGCCAGCCAAAAACAAGCTAGTCCAAACTTCTGAAATTCAGGGCATCGTCAAACCAAACAAGGGGTTCAATCTTAGCCACCAAGTCATACCTGGACTCATATTTGCCGCTCACTCTCTCGGGGACCTAAACCAAGCTGCCACGCCATTCACTTTTGCCTCCTTTTCTATCTGGTGATAACTTCAGATACAGAAACCTCGTATAACAAACAAAGCCACTCTCATTCGTCCTCAAGCTTACGACGACGACAACAACGATTCTGTTCTCCACTACGGCCGGTGCCTTATAAGCTGGAGACGGTTTCTCTTAGCGGCGCCACACTATCACGGGCCGCTGAGACGTTCGAGACCCCTCCAGAACTCGAGTCAGTTCAGCTTCGATTAAACTTGAACCTACGACTATCTACTCAACTTAGCGCACACAACTTTAGAGACCCCTATTTTGTTCGAATACACCATCTCTACAACAATGATCGATAACCATACAGAGGCTCTGCCCTCTGAGCCTGTCAAATCTCCCATTGAGCGCAAGCCAGTGGGAGGAGGCATCCCACCCAAAGATCCCGCCGTCGAACGATCCTCGACTCTTCCTCAACGACCTGCGGAAGACATGAACGGAAAGGTGGTGGATGCTACTTGCGACAACTGCTCAGTACCTCAAAGGAAGTCTACTTCTACGAGGAGCAAATCCCCTCCATCGCCCATCAAGATCGACAAGTCGAAGCCCGAGGATTTTGAGGGCGAGCTTGCAACGAACAACGAGATTCCCTCCCCGGAGACCCTTAGGAAGATCGAGAACTACCTTGTTCTTGACCGCCATGGCAAATCACATCCTTTCAAGACTCTCTACACTGGTAGCAACGTCGCACGACGCGTGCTCGTCATCTTCGTCAGGCATTTCTTCTGCGGTGTATGTCATGACCCATGTCGCATGATATTCCAAGTTACTGACCTCGTTTCTAGAACTGCCAAGAATTCCTCCGCTCCCTGTCCGAAGCCGTAACTCCCGAAGCTCTACTGCGATTGCCAGTCAGCACCTTCATCGTTGTCATTGGATGCGGTGACCCCTCTCTCATCGATATGTACGTCAACGAGACAGGATGCCGCTTCCCAGTGTACACAGACCCGACAAGATCCATCTTCAATAAACTTGGCATGTCAAAGACGCTACAAATGGGCACCAAGCCTGCCTATATGCGCCGAAGCATGGCCCATAGTATTGTGGGTAGTATAGTCCAGGGCGTCAAGCAGATTCCCCAAGGAAACGTCCTCAAGATGGGCGACCAGCGTCAAGTGGGCGGCGAATTTCTCTTCGAACCCCAAGATATCCTCACCCCTGTATCGACACCACGAAACGAAAAGCCACAGCCCGTAGGCGCATTCGAAGAAGCAGAGGAACGAGGACCAGGCAATAGCGGACATGGGCACGAAGAGAAGAGAGTAACGTGGTGCCATCGCATGAAGACAACACGCGATCATGCCGAAATCCCCGAGCTTATCGAAGTACTGGGACTCGACCAGGCCGCAGCAGTACCTAGTGGCCGAGAAGCGAACCGCAATTCGGTCACATCGGCTCGCAAGGGCAAGGGACGTAGCATGGCACAGGAGATCAGAAAGCTGAGCGCCGAAAGATCTAGAACATCTGACGAGACATGATGCGACTAGTTCATTGAAGTGCGCTATTGGGTTTGGCAACGATTTGGAGCATTGCTGGTTTTGGCACAGCGCTGGAGTAGGGATTTATTTGTTACATACATGGCATAGCTTGTGATTTTTGGATGAAGACGTTATGAAAGATGGGTTAGAGGCGCATCAGATGTGATATCCCATATTGTTCGATAGAATGCATCAACGTTTTATTTGCTCAATATGTGCCTCCTCATTACTCGTGAACCCAGCTTCCATCTTCTCGACTGTGGATGACTTCGTCTACTTTGAGTCTGAAATCGATGATCTCTTTGCCGTTGACAAGATCATTCTCCATTGCCCTTTTATCACCCTCCTCCAGATCCTTAACAATACCCGCTCTAACATGTCTTTCCCTCAATCGCTTCCTCGCGACTTCAAAGTCCACCTCAACAAACCAAACCTCATCCAACAACTTAGCCGCATCGCGCCAAACATCCTGATCTAGCGCAAGATAGTTTCCTTCAAGCACAACAACGCGGTGCTCCGGCTTGACAACGATGTCATCGTCCCGAGGATCCTTCAGCGCATGATCGAAAGAGGGCGCTAGAATAGGCTCTGATGGAATGGGTGACTTGGAGAGGCCTTGGACTAAGGTGAGGAATTTGGATGCGTCGAAGGTGAAAGCTGCGCCGCGACGGAAATGGGCGGTATCGGGGTCTGGCATGGCTGAGAGGGCGGCGCGGGTGAGATGGAAGCCGTCCATTGGGACAAAGGTTGCTGGTGGAGGAGAAGAGGGATCATTGGATTTTGCGCGGGCGTTGATGCGCTCAGTGATGATTTGTGAGAATGTCGTCTTGCCTGTTGAATGTCAGTATATTGTTTGAGGTCATCAAAGTGATCAATTTACCTGAACCTGGGATACCAGCAACGCCGATCACTATAGATGTTAGCAATGTTCCCAATAAGTAGAGATATGTGTCTCAAGTATGACCAAGAGAATGTTCTTCGCAGCCATCATGAGAGCTGCTATCTTATCCTCATGTCATGAGCATGCTGGATCAGTACTTACAAAGGCGTTTATCCTTTGGCGTCTCTTCATACTTCTTCCACGCCTTTTCAACGAGTCGTTCGACTTGGTTCTCCATAATTATGAACAAAATTGTATCGTGAGGACGAAATGATATGTTGAAGAAATGAAAGCTGTGATTGTAAGCTCGACTTTCGCTCCTGGATATGCCCCGCGGCAAGTCATTGCCCCACGTTGTTACATCAGAGCTCTCCACCCAATCCAACATCACCAACACCCTTGGGGTTGATGCATTGAATCCAAATGTTTTATTGTAAGCAGATATATAGATTGAGGACTATAGTTAAGTCCTGAGCAGGTGGGTGACAGAAGAATCGTCTAAGGCTTAGGCTATGATAATAAAGTAGCCTAAAATGCTGTCTAAGCTGGCATTAAGTAATCAAATAATTTCGTCTCTTATACCTCCAGGGACCAATTCTTCTGATACCCTGAGACTGAGGTAGTAAATTTGGGCCAGTACTATGCATCCTTAAGGAGAATTGAAATGCACATCATTATGCGATCTTCTCGGTAGGTACTATAAGTAGACGAAGGTGAGCCGTCGATATTCTAGGCCTCGAATAACTAGGAGATCCAATGGACAGATGACTTCCAAATACTCTTCACTCTGATCTCAATCTAAGCACAAAACTTCAATTAACTACAACATTTGATTGTGTGACAACTTGCCTTTGTCATCCAACTCCCACCAAAAACCCAAGTGGGTCCTATCACCAACTCCCAAAAACTCAGTCTAACTCACCATCAATCTTCACCCACAAGCACCAAAAATGGATGAAGAAGATCCCTTTGCTAGTTTCGCCGTCGCAGACGTCTCTTCCGACGAAGCAGACGAGGTTGAAACGAGCAAGTCCCGCCGCACAGGTCAATCAGAGGAGGCATGGCGAGAAATCCAGAAGGACTACAAGGCAAAGGTCGAGAATGGCAATGTAAGACTTTTGTAAATCCTGTTAAGGTGTAAAGACTGACATGATTGGTAGATATATGAGAAAATCAAGTTGCCTCTTGACAATGGAGCTTCCAAGATGGATATTCAGGAGGTCATACATGCCGTTGAAGAGCATTACTTCTTCCGTCGTTACAAGGAGGCCGAACAATTGGCAAACGACGCTCTGAGTACCAGCACGGGGCTAGATAAGGACTCAATGCAAGTACTGAAAGTCTACCAGGACAAAAGTCATCAAAGGAATACATCTGTTTAAGATCACGTATGAAAAGGGAGTTCTACAACTTGCTCAATCATGCTATCTGATTTAATTTTGTACATTTTCGCTCGAGCGCCTTCCTTTGCTGTTCGTCAAGACATCTTCAAAATTTCATCTCAATCTGATGTCGAAACCTTGTATAGCATCATATGCTAAAATCCTTCCAACAAACCTACTGCACGCCTGTCTCGAGGTCTCCATTATGGATCGGCGAAAGGTCCTGAGCCCTACTTGTAAGGAGGACGAGACTGGGGACCGGTAAAGGCATTTGCGCATGTGAAGGGCACCTTGGCGAAGCACGAGGCACTCAGGCCTTTTGTGGCCTTGCGTTCAGACTGAGAGCCGTTCGCCTGCTCATGGGTTGTGCCCTTCTCTTCAGCACGATGTCCCTTTTGGTTGAGGCTGGACTTGACAAGCTGGTCCCTTCTCTTCTCCCCACTAAAGATGAGCCTCATGTCCACAAGGGCTCGAATGAGAGCGAGGGAACCCTCCCTCTCCTTCTCGTCGCATTCCTTCAGAAATCCCTCGTCAATCCATTTTTCGAAGATTGCATCCTCGATCCCGGCAATTGTGCCAGTTCGGATGTCATCCTCCGCAACAAAACGCTCGAGGATGTCCTTGACCAACGGGACCATTCGTGTGACGACTGGTTCGAGATGTGAGACTCGTGTATTCTGGGGAGACTGCCAGGTATCATCCAGTGGGATAAGGACGTTTGCATCTGCTGCATTGTCAAGAGGCTTGGCAGTTATTGGCTCTGCCTTGACTGGCTCCTGGTGGTGGAGCGCAGCCTTCTTCAGCCTAGACAAACAGCTTCTGAACATCTTGCCATATTCAAGAGTATCAAACCGAATATTGTAAGGCCATTCCTTAGACTTGGCCTTAAAGACACAGTATTTGCCATCCACAACAGGCTTGTCGATGTCGAGGACATTGTGTATTTGGGACCCCTTTTCTTGACTGTGAAGGGCCAGGATACCTCCCTTCTTGTCATTGATCAGCAACTCAACCCGGCAAAGAAAGCTGAGTGCCTCGTGCTTAGAGGGCACAACGTGGCAGTGTCCACTGCCAACGACGAGTTCCAACGCGTCAGAATAGACTTCGTTTGCGTGAAGAGTGAAAACGAGAGGGATAGTCGGGGTGGCTGTCACATCAGCGCTGGAGCCTTCTGCTTTGACTTTTGTCGTCACTGTGACTGATTCCTCACGAGTAGCTGAGTGGCTCTGTATAGGAGCCCCTTTAACAACGACGGGGGTGTCACGGGGGCTGTTCTTAGGCATATTTTGGACACAATCCTTCCATGCCTGTCGTGGTGGGTTAAACACCACTGACATGCCGCCTTTGTTGGGCTCCCGGAGGACAACGCGAGGGGGCGGTCCACTATGAAAAATGTTAGAGGGCTGGCCTTTTATCCGAGCAGACGGTGACTTGCCTGTCGATTGTTCTTCTGGACAGAGCCTCCGCCACACGGCCTCTGGCCCACGGTCGAGCATCCTGGATCTCGAGACCTTGCATTTGTCGGGACTCATCGTCCTCAATCTTCGAGCCCCATTTGGTCGAGAGTTGGTATACTCGATGTCGAGTATACTCATCTGTGCCATTGTGATTGTTTGGGTTAAAAGAAGGGCGTTTGGCCTCATCACTCAAAGGGAGTTCTTCTTGGCGTAGGCGGCCCAGATCCGCCTAGTAAGGGGTTAGTAACTTGACCTTGCAGAAGAAATGAGGATATAGTAGAAAGGATTGAGACAAGAAAATGAGAAGGCATCTTACCATCAGGGCCGCCCGAACCATATCTTCATCAACATGGTCGCCCATCGCGCAAGTCGTCTCGGTAAACCACAAAGATTCAGTCGATAATGACAGTGAGGTGAAAGGTGTGATGCCTTGGGTAAAAACAAGGTCGGTGATGATGGGGCAAGATGGTGAAGTAAAGACGAGAAATGAGGCACCAGTGCGTTAATGAGCGTGACGCAATAGCGACAGCTTAAGACAGGAGAATGATATGAGAAGTGGGAGAATACAAAAGAAGAAGTGAAGAAGAAAGAAAGAAGGCTGGCAGAAGAAGGTTCGCCGGTCCTTGCCTCTGCGCTTGTGTGATCACGAAGCGGCCAGGGCAGCGGTGCTTAGCCGAGCCGCATAGAAAAGAAATGCACAGGAAACAATCTGGAAGGAAAGGAAGAGTAGAAGACGACACGGTGTTTGCTTATGGTGAAGATGAAAACACACAACTCGATCCTTTGGGGTTGTGGAAGAGGAGTGCTGTGATGTGTTGTGGAGGAGAAGAGAAGAGATGATTTGGTTGTGGTGGGGGGGATTTATAGGCACACAACAGCGAGCCAACAGTGAACCACCGCGTATCTGCCTGGTTTACGGCAGGAGGCATTGGTTGCTAAGGCACCTACATTGGATGGCAGGCACAATAACAAAGTGCTTCAGGGTGAGAGATTGGGTAAGGAGCCTGGGAATTTCAAATCTCCGATGGAAGCTCTAGGATAAAATGGAAGAAGGTTGGGCTTATGGCTGCATTGAAACTTGCAGATAAAGCCACAGTTCGTGATAATAGAATAGTATTCACTTACAGGGTGGCTTGATAGGTAGTTTGTAACTTTCTTTATCTGTCCCTGGATTCCCTGGGTACACAAGAAATGTGACATTCTAGAGCAATCCTGGAAGCCAACACTGCTGTCAGAAAACAAAAGGCTTTAACCACTAAAAGCCATTCTCATCCATGGATGTGGGAATTAATCCTAGGCTATCTATTTTCGTTTCCTCTGACATACGCGGATGATGTCTTTGTTACCCCTGGCTTGTTTCATCAACATGCAGCCATCCGCTCCAGAACCAAACGACACATCACACCTCACAATTTGTCTGCAGATCTGTTCTAGAATCCTTTGGAAGAGAGACCATCCCATCAGAAGGTCAAGATTGCATCTCGAAAGACATGCAGGTATCCGGATTAGATAAAGAAATCAAATTCTTAAACCAACTACCAACTGCCACACTCACCAAGCCGGGACTGACTACGGAATACTGCAGATACAATCGAAATTAAAAAAAGCCAACTCAGAAGGAAAAGCCGCGGAAACGAAGAACTCCCGGCATCACTCAAGAAGTAAAGTACTTCTGCCAGAAACCGCCAAGAGTCATCAGCTTGCCATCGCCAGCCGACCCTTTCGCCACAGCAGCCCTTGCCTTCAGATCACCAGCAGTCTCCAAGTCATTCGGAACCCCATAGTACAAGCCGCCGGAGTACTGACAGAAACCAAACATGTACTTGACCGTCTCAATGCCTGGATCACCATATGTCTCCAGGGTCTTCCAGTCTTCGATGGGCACGAAGCGCGCCTTCTTCCCAATTACTGTGAAGGATTAGTTAGCGCAAGCAGAAATCGGAACGGCAAACCGCATACCTTGTTCAAATTCAGAAACAAGCTTCTCAGGAGTCTCGCTGGCGCTGATACCCTGAACGAGACGACCGTTGTACTTCTCAGGATCAAGGAAGATTCCATGCACGAGATCACCATAGTCGTCTCCAATGGAGATGAAAGGGATCTCGCCGTTACCTCCCCAGCGAGGAACACGCAGAGTCATGTATCCTTCCTCATCAGCTGAGAAAGGAAATCCTCCGAGTAGAGGTGCGAGCTCTTCTACCAGATGGTTTTCGAGGTACCAGCCAGGACTGACAATGTTGACAGTTTCAAAGACACCTTTGCTCTTTGCATACTTTCCAACAGCATTTTTCACTAACTGGAATTAGTAGTGGCGATTCGAGTACAGAAAAAGAACTTACTATCGAAAGCGCGGTTGGGGATGGCGCCCCCAGTGATCTCAGAGGCAGAAGCCATGCCACTATACACGAAGTGAAGGACTCCCGCCTCAGCTGCAGCATCCACAACAGCTTTGCCAATATCAAGTTCAGTAGGTCCATCTGCCTGGTTGACAGACTATATGCGGTGTTAGTAGAGAGTTCCTTGCTAATTCCTATAACTTACAGCATCATCCGAATTAGTGTTGACGAAGACACCCCAACTTCCCCTGAACGCTTCAACTACCTCTTCTTTGACAAAACCATCAGCCTTGACGACTTCAACACCCTGACTAGCCAAACCCTTGGCTTTCTCTGAGTCAGGGTTACGAGTGATACCGCGGATCTTGAAGGACTGGGATCTGTTCTGGAGAAGAGACTGGACAACGCTTCCACCCTGAGAACCAGTTGCCCCATAGACAGTGATGATTTTGGAAGAAGTCATGATGGGGATGAGTGGGAAAGACTAGAAGCTTGAAGGTATGCTTGTGTAATGTTTACTTGGAACTGGTTGCTGATTGATATTATAGACTTCTACGGACGAGATGCATCCTTATATATTCAAACATTATGATTCAACTACACAAGCTTGCAAGCCATGACTTCAGCTCAGTTACGTACGAAGTTGCGAATAAGTGATCTCGGGGCACGCGGCCACCGTAAGAATCGGCATTTCAAGATATCAATTATCCCGATCGTCCACTTTTACCTACTAGAATGGCAGGAGAACCAACCATAGATCGTAAGAATAGAAATGGAGTTTCTCATCATCCGACTTGAGGCTGTGGCTTGCAGTACGCCCACTTTTGGCGGCGTTGGTCCAATGTGTGGAGATTATTAATTCCGCTCTGGAGAGCTGAAGATGGAGATTGATACGGAGGAGCGGACTTGGTGGAATATCGAGAGGGAGACAATAATGGCATGATTAATGATATTATTCTAGGACTATAGATCGGTTGTCGTCTGATTAGAGTGTGTCAAGGGAGGGTTGTGCATGAGGGTTGCATCGAATTAATGTTTAGTGAACACAAATGACCCAAAAACAACAGGCACTTAGACGTTAATTGCGACCTCGTCGTTCACCAACAGAACAACCAATGTTCTGTAATCACCGGTCTGGTGGTCTAGTGGTATGATTCTCGCTTAGGGAAAACCCTATAGCATAGCTTGCGAGAGGTCCCGGGTTCAATCCCCGGCCAGACCCTTTCTTTTGCACTTTTGGCCTTCTGATCTCATGGGCCATGATTCTGTTTTTGCCATTTGCTCGCTTTGCGTTTCAGGCAAGTGTTCTTCATGCATGCTTGTTGTGTTGCCTGCAAGTGACTGATTGATGATGGCCAAGACAACCACCAACCACTTGCGAGCACAACATCAGCCAGCATCCATTATAGACTTAGGCCTGGCTGAAACCGTTCGCAGATGAAAGTCAATTGTTTAGGGACTAGTGGAGGCAAGACGTTTATTAGTGGCTCAGAAACACATCAAATCTCATTATTAAAAGCCATTATACACGTTATACGACAAGCCTTTCCCAGCCCTCCCCTCTACCAACTCCCCGCCAGGTAAGAAGAGCAGCAACTCTACACACCAAGACCACAAAGAGAATGGAACTGACCAATACTACCACCATATAGTTGCCCTGGATACTATCTATGTCGAGAATTATCCGGTAGTTCCCACCTCTGGACACTCTCATGCGGCGTGTAAGCATTCGCCCCCCCGTTCGTATACCCCGGCAACTCAGACGACCTCGTCTCTCCCGGCATTTCCACCCTTGCATCGCGTCCATCCATCTCCAAGTTCGGTCTCAAGCCCTCGCCAGTCATCTCATGCTGTCCCGCTACCTGGATAGGAGGACTAGGTGTCATGTTAGGAAAGGGGTGGACCTCGCGACCACCAAGTTCACGTTGAACGCCGACGCCAGACAACTCGTTCGTCTTGGGCAGTGAAGAAACAGAAGAGATTATTGACGCGCCAACGGGCTTTCTTTGAAGAGTGTCTTTTCTTTCTGGTGTACTCGAGGCGGCTGCGACAATTGTAGGACCTCCACCAGTGGTGACTTGGCTGAGAGGCTGGGTAGGTTGAGAAAGCTGAGCTCTGCGCTGTCTTCTCCGTCTAATCCACCAACATGCGAATATGGCCCCGGCGATCAAAGCGACAACGGGTACTGCGACTCCCACACCAATCTTGATAGCGGACGAGCCATCGTCATCATTCTTGGGCGATGCTGGAGATCCATCGGAGTTCACGAAGTAGGTCGAGGTCGCTTCAACGATTACTGCAAGAAAAATGTTAACTAGTGATTCTCAATAGGATAAGCACGGAAACAGTACCTGAAGCAGCAGCAAAGGCACCGTCACCATGAGCAGCAGGAACTTACCCTGCGTCCTGACAGCGCCGTCCTCTGCCGTCTGCGTAATGACAGTCATACGAGTCGAAGTCCCATCAATACCGGAGTCGGCAGTTCGACTGGGCTGCGCATCGCTACCAGGATCACTGTTATCGGCAGTAGCCTCTTCTGTAACTTCGGCCGGGTTATACCACTCAGTGGCACCAGGCTGCGTGAAGCCTGCAGCCATACAATAAGAAGCATAGTATGACTGCATGGAGGTCAAGTCTCTGGCGCGATCACCCGCAGAGCACCGCGATGTGACACACTTGGACATAAAGGCATCGGCCTGGGACACTGAAGCTGCTGCTGTAGCGCAGTAGCAATTGTTCTCATAGGGGCTGTCGCAGCCCATGGCTGTGCCCATGTCGCTTACGACGGTGTAGTAGAGACATTTGCTAATACATGTGTGGCCGACATTGTCGAGATTGGAACTGATGCTGACACTCTCGAACTCGGCGGCCAGGGCAAGAGGAAGCGAGGCAAGGAGAACTGAGTGAAAGCGAACCATGGCTGATGGAGTTGTGCCTCCGGTCAGGAGATTAAGTGTTCAGGTATGGATGTAGTGTCAGTTTGAAGTGTTTCCCAGACTAACAAGACGAAAGCAAACCACACAACTACGAACCGGGTACCAGCATTATATGAGTCCGACAGACCCGTGTACTAGAAGCCTAAACTGCGGCACATCTTCACACCGTATGCGAACCCCCTCTTGTTTTCTTGGCTTCGAATAGACCTAGCCGGTTTAAGGTGAAGTCGAAGATCGGCATTGAAGCCATGCCCGCCAAAGCATGCACTTTGGTATTAATAACAGGGGCAAGCTTCTTCCAATTGGTTAATTAGAAGAGATAAGAAGTTTATTGGGTGATGTGCTGCATGAGCTGAATGGTGTTGGCGGGTACAGGAAGAGTCACGATGGGACGTGAAACCGCCATGTCGGCAAGGTGTTTGCTAGCAGGAGATAATGCCTGGGTTACTTGGATACGGCTTTTGAACTTTTATAAAGTTAATGTACTACGAGTTTGGGCTGTTCCTCTTTCTGCTATGAGGCTTCGGCATTCACCCTTTCATCTTGTCCATCTCTACTAGGAAAGTGAACTGTTGAAGGGAATCTCGAGAAAGGCTGATTCCATGACTGCCGGGAAACCGTTGGCTTTTGCCCTGCAAGGGTTCAATCTGGCGCACAAGAGAGATTGAGACGAGCCAGGATAAGGTATGGAGGGAGTTCAGCCGCAGTCAAGGGACGGACCGTGGTGGCTCAGCATTGGCCTCTTGAAGCATCCAAGATCTCCCGTGACCTGAGACCCCGGCCATCTTGAGATATTTGCTATAAATCTATTGGTCACTAACTTGGGTTGTCTGTTAAAGGACATTCGTGTGTTTCTGAAGAGACTTTATGCTGGAGGTCTAAGAGTGAAGCGCTTCGATGCAGGGTGTAGTCAGAATGAGGAGCGATCTACATACAACCTCATCTGCAGGCAGATTCTACTATGTAGGCAATCAATTAGACCAGTGGTGAGTGTGAACGGAAACACTTTCTACTCGTTCAGACTCTAAAAAGTCGTACCTGGTTGCTCACTCCTAGTAGTTGGTTTACAAATCTGACAAGATCGAGCATCAACCAATAGATGACCCGTGATATGATATCAATGTTGATGGAGGGTTTAACAGCATCATGATTTCTTATGTGACCCTGCATCTGCCGTTATTGAAGGGATCTTGTGGCGGTCGGAATAAAAGACAAAAACAGTGAATCCCGTCGGATTAAGCTCTTTGACTTTGGACGTATCCACTTGATGCGGGGTCAAGACGTTCAGCTACTGCAAGTACTTGAGGAGAATAACAGTCATGCCTTTTACAGTTCAACGGGTCTGGAATGAAGGAAAGAGTTTGTTGTAACAAAAATGTCATGAGCATCCACGTAAGGCATGGCAAAACGCTTGGAGCAAGACTACGCAAGAACAGTCGCAAACCAAAACCTTGGCGCAGGGGTTTCCAATTGACAGGTCGTGGCGCAGTCTCAGAACTGCGGCATTTCTAACCAACCACGAATACATATTCCCTTCCGGTCTTGACTGTGGCGATTCATTCGTCGACAGACAGGCAAAATATATTTTTGGATTTCTGCTGATCAGGTACTGGTTGTGTGAGTGGAGGAGGGACGGGAATGGGATGCGATGAGATGGAGATGGGTATGCTAGGGCTGCAGCTTACTATGTATTCCTTCTGTTCTGCAGGATAAGACTGAGTGAGGTGAGGGTGTAAGAAATAAGGGAATAGAATCTCCACAAACAATCCCTACAAAGTGATCCGGACTATTTCGTCGCTTATACAACCGATGTCCTTATCCTGAGGAGGCTTCACTAATCGGTGTAGGGTTGAGTCTAATTGCAAGAACTCTAGGGTAAAAGACATTCACTAGAGAGCCTTACGGTTCAGCTCAACGCCTCAAACACACACATTCGACGTGAAGGCTTAAAAAGGCGTTATCTAGGGCTGGGCTGGATGTTTTTGGCTGGATATCTGGCGGAGGCGCGGCTTGAGGCTAGGCTCTGGAAGGATTGACCTGAGGGGCCCTAGGCTGCGGCTGGGCTGACAGAAGTCACCGGGCTGAGGATGATGAGACAGACAGACAATACAGCTGTTAGAGCTGACTACATACCAAGAAGTAGTACTAGAATTAACTGCTCCTCCCCATGATATGTTGTTCATTTCTCTCTCGCTCTCTCGCTCTCTCGCACTTCATCATCTCCCATCGACAATCTAGGAGACCTGATCCTTGCCCATCTCTCCCAAATCCCTGTTAACGGTTCAAGCCGAGCCCCAAACTCGACGTCACTCACCCTCAGACCGTCGACGAATTAATTTATCAGGGACCCAGTTCTTTATCGCTTTATCGGTCACTGGGTCATCAAAGGATCGCCCATTACTATCCCACACGGGAAGCGCCTGAAACACAAAGGCCATTCGCATTGAAGGGCCCTTCCAATTCCTTGGATTTAGCGGAATAAACGGGGTGTGCCAAGGCATTTGGAACGTTTTTTTCTGAACTGTCTGTTCGCCGAGCCACAGAGGGTCGACGCAGCTTGTTAGCCACTAACGATAACACTCACCCACTGATCGGACTTGATATCCATCCATCGCACTTCGCGACTGGTACTGGACTGAAGCGAAGCGTCCGATCCCTGCGGCTGCAGTCTGACATACATTCGTCCAATATTTTCGTCAGCTTTTTGTCTTTGTCCTACACTATTTTTTGTTTTCTTTCCCTTTCTCTTTCTCTTTAAATATCTGTGCATTCGTTTCACAGTATCGTTCGTTGCCCGTTGATAGGCTCCTTGCATAACATTACGCAGAAGGCTTCTAAACAAACAAACAGTCGGTCGCCATTACTTGCTTTGGCTTGGAGGTGGACCACTACAAGCGAAACCCGGGGCAACCGCCAGCGCATCCATCATCATCAAGCAACTCCAGCTCTGAAATTCCCCGACCTATAAACCACATACTTCAAACAACATATGCGAATAGCGCCCTGAGTGCGCAGAGTCAATCGCAATCATGTCGTATAATCGCCTAAGTAAGTTCCTTTCACTTGTTACCCTTGGATCAGCACCTGCCCCCTTTCTCCCTCAATATGAGACAGACGAGACATACCCCTCCCCTCCCTCTTAAACAGCACCCCTGGTCGTAATTGCGACTCGACGTTATTACTGGTACTTGAATTCCTCGTCGTTTCGCGAAATTCAATGCCACAACAACATTAAACCCATCGTTTTCTCTTTCGCTGTTACTTGCGATAGAGTTTCCCGTTGCTACGACGCAGGACGCGCACGCCGTGGCACACCCAGCAACATCTTATTTGTCTACGTCTGCGCCCGCATCAAGACCTGCGCATGCCAAATCTACACACATACATACTCAGGACACCTTATCTAACTCCAATTGCCTTCAGACGACGATTACTACAACAACAACGAGATGGATCCTCGTATAGATCCTCGTTACGGCGCGCCGCCCATGGCTCACCCGCATCGAACACCTTCGCCAAGTCAACCGCTCCAGCCTGGCTACCAGCTCGACGATAACCCCTTCGACGATGGTCGCTATGGACAGTATGGCGCTTCCTCACAACATCTTGCTTCTCAGCAGCATCTCGCTATGCCAACGCCCGATCCTCACGGCAGATTAGCCACCCCCAGCGACCACTTAAACCTCAATGCCGCTGTAAGTTTCCAACGCAACTCCGCCTAAGCGTCTTGTTCGTTGAGTTTAATCCATACTGACTTTACATTCCAGCAATCAGTGGACAACCTGTCCGGTTATGGACCTCCTACACATGACTACGCTGTGAACCCAGAAGCGCACCACGACGCCTATTACAACCAACCCTACGAGCCTCGCATTCAACAGCCCTACGATCAAGGGTACGAGCAGGACTACGATGTGCCAGACAACCGACCTATGCTTTCTCATCAGCAGTCTGAAGCCCCCAGCGACTACCAAGATCAGCCCCAACAAGGCGGTGGAATAAAGCGTTGGAAAACCGTTAAGCAGGTTCTGCTGTACCGCGGTAACCTTGTTCTGGATTGTCCCGTTCCTCCGGTTCTTTTGCAGCAGAACCCCCACGGAGAGCGCGATGAGTTCACACACATGCGATATTCCGCTGCTACTTGCGATCCTAATGATTTCTACGACCACGACTTCACCCTGCGACAGAGGCTCTTCACCAAGCCCCGACACACTGAGCTGTTCATTGTTGTGACAATGTACAACGAGGACGATATTCTGTTTGCCCGAACCATGACCGGTGTCTTTAAGAACATTGAGTACATGTGTAACCGACCGAACAGTAAGACATGGGGTAAAGACGCTTGGAAGAAGATCGTTGTCTGTGTCGTCAGCGATGGTCGTTCCAAGATCAACCCCCGAACCAGGGCATTGTTGGCTGGTATGGGTGTATACCAGGAAGGTATTGCGAAGCAGCAGGTAAACGGAAAGGACGTCACGGCCCATATCTACGAGTACACCACACAGACTCACCTTCAGATCAAGAACGATGTTGTACAACTTGTTCACAGACGTCAGCCCGTTCAGATGCTTTTCTGTTTGAAGGAGAAGAACGCCAAGAAGATCAACTCGCACAGATGGTTCTTTACCGCCTTCGGTAGAGTCTTGGACCCCAACATTTGTGTCCTTCTCGATGCTGGTACGCGCCCTGGTGGAAGCTCAATTTACCATCTCTGGAAGGCCTTTGATCTCGAGCCCATGTGCGGTGGTGCTTGCGGTGAAATCAAGGCTATGTTGGGTACTGGTGGAAAATACCTTCTGAACCCGTTGGTCGCTGCCCAGAACTTTGAGTACAAGATGAGCAACATTCTCGACAAGCCTCTGGAGTCTGCATTCGGATTCATTTCTGTGTTGCCCGGTGCTTTCTCAGCTTACCGCTATGTTGCCCTCCAAAACGACAAGAACGGAAAGGGTCCTCTTGAGAAGTACTTCCTGGGAGAAACCCTCCATGGTGGAAGTGATGCTGGTCTTTTCGAGTCCAACATGTACCTCGCTGAAGATCGTATTCTTTGCTTCGAGCTTGTCACCAAGCGCAACTGTCACTGGATCCTGCAATACGTCAAGTCCGCTACTGGTGAGACTGATGTTCCCGATACAGTGACAGAGCTGGTTCTCCAGCGACGTCGTTGGTTGAACGGTTCTTTCTTCGCTGCTATCTACGCCATTGTCCACTTCCTCGATTTCCTCCGGTCCGATCACAGTTTCCTCCGAAAGTTCGCTTTCTTCATCGAATTCATCTTCAACACTATCAACATGATCTTCGCTTGGTTTGCTATTGGCAATTTCTTCCTGGTCTTCAAGATTCTTACGACGAGTTTGGGTGACGATCTATTACTCGGACGGACTGGAGAGATTTTAGGTGTGGTTTTCACCTGGCTCTACGGTGTATTCTTGATTACCTGTTTCGTGCTATCACTGGGTAATCGACCAGCAGGCTCTGGTAAACTGTACACCGCCATGTGTTGGTTCTGGGCTGCTATCATGATGTAAGTTGACTCGCTCCAATTGTGCGACCTATTACTAACAGTCTTCAGCTATCTAATGTTTGCTGCAATCTTTATCTCGGTCAAGGCTATCATTCAAGATGTCAACGACTCAAATGGCTTTAATATTAACGACATATTCAAGAACAAGGTCTTTTATATGCTGATTATTTCGCTCATGTCGACATACGGTATTTGGTTAATCGCTTCGCTGATCATGTTGGATCCCTGGCATATGGTTACCTCATTCGCTCAGTACATGCTTCTCACACCTACCTTCACCAACGTCCTGAACGTTTACGCTTTCTGTAACACACACGATGTTTCTTGGGGAACCAAGGGTGACGACAAGGTTGAGAAGCTGCCTTCGGTCAACACCAAGGACGGTACTGGAAAGACAGATTTGCCCGACGAGGGAGATTTGAACGCGCAATACCAGCGAGAAATCGGTGTATTTGCTCAGAAGCATGTTGAGGTCAAGACTGCGCCCACCCCCAGCATTCTCCAGGAGAAGCAGATGGACTACTACAGAGGTGTACGAACTGGTGTCGTTCTCATCTGGATGGTCACCAACTTTGGTCTCGCAGCGCTCGTCCTTAGTTCGGCCGGCCTGGACCGAATCAGCTCCAAGGAGGATGAGGAGGCAGAGAAGCTGAGCCGTTCTAACATTTACATGTCCATTGTTTTGTGGAGTGTGGCAGGTCTCAGTGCGTTCAAGTTCATCGGTGCCATGTGGTTCTTGGTTGTGCGCATGTTCCGAGGTGTCTAGATTGGGAGGCGCAGTCACCGCAGGGAAACGGGAAAGTTCGTTTAGCTCTTCACACTTTATACCCTTTTCATGAAAGAGATGTATGTCCGCGCACGTTGAATGGGGCGGCTTGGATTAACGTGTATGTATTACTTTTTACGTCGATATCATATCCTGGATGTTTTGACACAGCTACGGAGGTTGCGATACATACCAGGATGGCGTTTGGGTTGTTTAGTCTTCAGATCTTAGATGTACACATACTAGGATGAATTTTACGATTTGATACACTTTGTCTGGTTAACATTGACTTGATACCTTCTGTTTGCTCATCCATTGACTCGTAATGGTCGTTGATCGTGTCTTGCACTGTTACTCATCGGATCCACAAAAGTCCGATCGCATATCATGACGACGTTCAATTGTTCCCAGTTCTCATAACCAGAACAAGATCACCATGCCACGCAGCCCATCACTCTTCAACTGCCTAATAAGGACTCACCACATAACATCCCGCAAAAAGCTCTGGCGCGTCCGCCGTGCAGCAGAAAACCTCAATGTAGACTGGCTTCTTGTGAAGACCGGTAGTCCGCCCGGTCTAATGTTTGCCGAGGCGCGCGACCTGTCAGAACTGACGGAGTGGGTTTCCACAGTACAGTCGCTGCGCTATAAAGACTACCGATGTGTTGCGAAGCCTGCGCCTGCGCCGGAGGGGAGTGTGGTGGAGGATAAGGGGGTGAGGAGGATGGGATTTGAGGAGACGACGGAGGTGAAGGAGTTTGCTAAGGCTATGGAGGAGAGGGGATTGGGAGGGTGGTGGAAGAGGGGGATGGGGTATGAGTGATGATCGTGAGGAGGATTCGGTGAATTTGAGGGCGACGCGTCGAACGCGCGGCCGGGGTATCGTCGAGAGGAGTGTTGGAGAAGGTGGGAAGGTGAGTTTATTAATTGAATTGGATATGATGTAGTACTGATGCATGTCTAGATGAACGAGATTGAACCAGTGCAAGTTGTTCTGTGTTTCAAGATCAGCCTTATGAGCGCGCTGAAACAGGCACCATAAAGTATTTACTCAGGTACCGGGCTTTTATCAGATCTCAGACTACATCGCAACGGCTGTACCTTAATTCGTGATCGAGGAATGGCTGTGAAGCTATACCTATCAGTACTTAACGATGAAAACGTGCTTTTGCTTGCCTTGCGGCAGGGCGGCCTCAATTCTCACTTCACCCTAGGCATCTTAAATGAATAATAGTCTAAGATGGCCTAAATCATTTCGTCTCTTATGGTCTTTATGATTGATCAGTCTAAGGCAGCTACGCACGAGCTGCCACTGCCACTGTCAGTGCCCGGCAGGCGCAAACAAAAAAATGCACCTTGTTTGTGTAACTCCCTACGGGCTACCTAGAGCTATAAGGCACCTGCCTAGGTACTGAACTTATCTAGGTACCTACAACCACTCGTCCTGCATCACAGCTTCTGGGAAGCCTCACATCATCTTCAAACCTACCTTATGTAAGGCTTAGGGCTCCGAAATAAAGCATCGTAAATGCTGATCTAAACCAGGCATAAGCGACCAAATCTTCTTTCGTCTCTCAGGTTATGACTTCATCATCATGGAGCAGCAATCTTGTCAACTGCCCCGTTTCTCTCCTGAACTCATCTTCATGATCGTCGGGTACAATGATCCTCCCGACCTTCTCGCCCTCAGTCTGGCTTGCTCCGACCTTCATCACCGCTGCCGATCTCTTCTTGTAAAGCACCAAGGTGCCTACAGCAAATACAGAATCACCTCGGACCTGTCACCAGAAACAGCCGTTGATCTGCTGAAAGACACTCTTACAGCTGAGATCAACAGATATCACGTCCGTGAACTCGAGTTTTGGGGTAGCCGCCTGAGATGGGAAGATTGGCGGTCATGGAATCCAGCGCTGTCTGGTAACTACGAAGTCGCCGAAGAAGAGCCCTCGAGGTCAGCATGGGATGCGCGAGAGATTGAGGAATATATTCAGAAGGGGATTCGCTTGTGGGACCTTACCGAAGAAAAGATTGAGGAGCTCCAGATGAGTCTCGACCGAGGAATGGAAGCATGGCTCAAATTGCTCCTCATCTGCTTGTGCCCTCGACTTCACAGTGTCAGATTTGTCAAGCGAAGAGGCGATTCCTACAACATTCTCGCATGGATATCAGAAGTTATTAGCTGGAGCGTAGAGGACGGATGCCACTGGCCCCCGGGCTTCGAGTCATTACGAAGTATATCCGTTGGAGTCTCAATAGGCCAACTGCCACACGAAGAAGAAGAAGAAGAAGAAGAAGAAGAAGAAGAAGAAGAAGAAGAAGAAGAAGAAGAAGAAGAGTACTACGATGGGTTTGAAGAATTCACGAAGCTCTTTTATATACCCAACCTCAAGAACATCTACTTCAATGGGTTTTCCTGCCATGAAGACGAATGGGAAGACCACTTTTGGGATGAGGATTTACTTCCCAATGGTACCTCGAACGTCGAAAGCCTCTTCCTCGATGGCGTCGAAGGAGGCTGGGCTGACTTCTATTATTGGCTTTCTGGCGCTTCAAGAAAGCTGGATACAGTTGTCCTCAGAGCAATAGACTCTCGTAGAGGCGGCATGCTCGATGCTAGCAGCCTCGTTGACAGCCTGGCCGTTATGAACAAGACCATGGAGCGGCTCGTCCTTTATCACCCCGCCGCAGTGCAGCACGGAATGTTCCCAATAGAGATTTATAAGCACAAGTCCGTCAAACAAATCACCATAATGGCCCTTGATATCGATTGCCGCTTTGATTACACCGGGAGAGATAGGACTTCAGATATTGCGCTTGCGTTTCCACCCAACATCGAAGCAGTTTATCTGTGGGGGGAATTGAACGACCTCGGGAAACCAGGGCGACGGTGCCTAAGAAACTTGGATTCGTTTCTGGCTGAACTCATTGAATCGGGTGTCTACAAACACCTCAAAGCTGTGTACGTGGAAGACGTCGAACTCACATATAGACAACGTCTTAAAAGCGCCTCTCCATTCCGCATTAGAGAATGGAAAAGACCTGCTTTCCTAAAAGCCACTGCTGCAGGGCAAAGGGCCGGTGTGCACGTTGGTACACTCATGAATAGGGATGACGGAGGTCACTGGAAGAACTTCCCGGCCAGGCCTGACCGATTCAATATCAAAACCGGTCCGTTTGCGGCCGAGAGACCAGAGGAGTGGAAGCTTAACCTGTACACTGGTCAATGGGGGCCCGATTGCAGTGGATGTGGAGAATGTGAGGAGTGTTTGGCTGTGTACCCTTCTGAGCTGTGGAAGGAAAGTGCTGCACAGCGCTCGAATTCACCGTGAGATTGAACTGATCATCGGGCTATTAGAAGAGAGAGCATAAGAGATGAAAGTATTTTAGTTAGTTTATGCTAGCTTAGGCTAAATCTTAAATTAGCCTTAGAAAAATAATCTCGTTGCCTATTTGCGTGACATCTTTTGCTCTTAACATGCAGTATCCTAAACATCCTCTAAGCTTTAGGATAAAGATAGGCAAGGTTATCTAAGCGCTAGTCTAAGATGGCATAACGTGATCTAATTATTTCGTCTCTTAGGCATCATCAGTCTATCCACTCGGCTCTTTGACACTCTTATGTCCCTGTAGGCATGGAGCCTACCTGTTGTTGAAGTGACATTCTCCCAGGAACCGAGTCAACACACAGAGCTTCCATCTTCTATGCATAGTATACGAACCCGAGGTACCTGGACGAGTGGTATCCGCATTGCCCTTCTCTTCGAGCCTCTCTGTCTCGGCGGCGGTGGCTCTGGCCCCCGTTTACAACCGAGTATGCCATGGGCCGAGATGTCAGTATAAGAGGTCTCTTCGATTGGGATCACTATTGGTTCATTGGCAGCACCGGTTATAATTTCCTTTAGCACTCCTCTCTGCAATCTTCCTCCGCCGCTTGCGCGGACAATAGTTGTGCTTTACGAATGGTTGCCATATGCGCTTTAAACTTATTGATAGGCTTAGTATGTATTGTCAGAAGTCAATCATAATTAGAGTCATAAGAGAAGGGCTTATAAAGTAATCATAGGTAGGGTGTTATTAACTATAAGCTCTAACGCAATTTCGTCGCCTAGTTGCAACAGCTCCGTCACTCTATCAATGCCAATAAGAATTTTGCGTATTTCCGTGACAACCCGCCTATGACTCCTGGTTCCGAGACCAACATGCGTGCCATGGCGCGCTTCCAGGTCAACGATGCTCCCCTGCCCTTGGACCTCGCTGGTCCCTTCTTCTTGGTAGAGTCCGCCTGGGCTCTGATGTACTTTTCAAGGGTCTTCTTCCCTCCTATGATGTGCTTGCACTTCTCCGTGCTTACCTTGATTTAGCGAATGAGTCGGCGGAGATCCATGGAGATCGCGAAGAGGTTGTCGGGTAGCTAATAACACTTAGACCTAACCTTAGAGCAGTAAGAGCACGTGCCGTGAGAGCCAGGGACGCAATGGAGAGGCCGGCCGTATTCCAGCAGCCGCACAATGCATTGCTTGTACCGAAACAGGACGATATCGGGAAGTGCATAGGCTTGCTTTCTTATTATTGTTCTTCCAATATTACGCCTTAGACCTGATAAAGCGCCGTATCGCACCCCCTCCCCCAAAGGCCATATCGAATACAAGGCCGCATACCTCAACGTGAGAATTATAGCATATGGTAGGTGGGTTCAAGTTATGTAAACATTGAGTTCTAAATATATATCTATGTCATAGTTGAAGAAGTAGTTCGAGAAAGTGCATTTGCGCACTGGATATCATACAAAAAAAGACCAACGCTTCACCGTTATTCGTTACATCCAAGCTCTATTGTGTATCCGGACAGTCGTCCCAATTAAGCAGCGATCATGAAAGCAGCGACACCGGCAGCAGCAAGAGCAGCAAGCTGGCTGATACCGTGAGCAGCGGCGGCATTGACCTCGGTGGGTGCAGGGGCAGGCGTATAGTTGGGCAGAGCAGTCTGCATCATAACAGTCTCAGTAGCGCTAGCACCAGTGAAGACAACAGCAGCGTCAGAGCATGATCCGCCGCCGAGCTCCTTATTGATGTCATCAAGCTGATCTTGGGTAGCGCACTCCTTGATAAAGTCGACCAGGTTCTTCTGGTTGTCCATCTCCCAGCTAGCCAACGCCGTGTAGTACTTCATCAAGTCTGAGGAGAGAGATGAAGGAGCCGTGAGAGTGCATTCGTCGGTCTTGGAGCCCTGACCAACGGCCCAGCTGGAGAGATCGCCTGTGGGGGTAGGCAGGTTTCGCACGATGGAATTAGCTGTGCTTAGACACTCTTCGTCCTTGGAGTCGCGGGCGAAGATAGCGTTGAGGTTGCGCTTGTTGTGGGAAAAGCTGGGGACGTGGTTGTCGACGTGAAGAGTCTCAAGGATGTGGACAACGTCGACATGCTGAACGTTACCAGCGGAGACGCCTGTAGCGGCAGTAGCAGCGAGGATGGTGAGGTAGTTGGCGTGCATGTTTGCGATCTGGTATGTAGAGTAGAAGTTTTGTGAGTGACTTGCGATGTTTGATGCAAGAGATAATGTATTTGATGATGCTTGATGCGATGTCGAATGGTGAGAACTTGAGCGGGAATCCAAGACCGACTTATACACAAAGCCTACGATGTCACAAGCAACACAATGGCCACTCAAAAGACATCATGTCATGGTCCTCATTTCCCTCGCGCCTCGCGAAGGGTCTCAATCCACTAAAACGGAAGGCAGTGAGGCACAGCGGAAGAAAGCCCGACGAGGTAGCCAATGAAGATCTCTTCCACTGTTAAACGCCTAAAAAGATCCTGGGGACCCTAGTCTCTCTGCAAGGCTGAGTGGAAGTCGGAAGGTTGATCGCACCTGCCAAGCGAAGCCATGGATCAGTCTAATAAAGTGTATCCACTGCGAAGCCTTCATCTCCATTTACTGTACCACCTAGACCGATACTTGTTCGTAGCTTTTTCTTCAGAAACGTTACATGACAACTCAAGAGTCATCGTCTAGAACGGGCTGTCAACTCTATAATTAACCTTGTTTGCAGCCTTTATCGTGCAGTAGCGGAGTGACAGTGACTCTTAGGCGCCTGGTAGGGCTCAATTCTCGTATCCGCCTTTGCTGTAGCCAATGATTTACGGCGGGGACCTGAACCTTAATCGGGCGGTGACCTACCGGCCATTTCCGTTTAGGGAAGGGGGCTGAGTCTGGTTTCCCGTGAATGTCACTTGATTTGTTATTTCCGCAGGTAAGATAAGATAAGGACATAAGGCATAAGGAAGGAAGCAGGGGTTTTCGTATCCAGATATCAAGGCATATCGAACTTGGCATTCCGTTGCCACCAATTGACTCTCTCCTGTACTGTCACTCAGCTAGGACACCCTTGCTTACACTTGGCAGTGACATGCCTAGGTAGGTAGGTATGACGACTCAAGCGCTACAAGCTATACGATGTAGGAATGCAAGGCGAATCCTTTTCACCATATCGTGACGTCGATATAAAGTCCAACTTTTCTTGGCGAGAATCTGCCGACATGTCTATCTATTCCAAAATATGGATTGAGACTCAGGACTAAACCAAACATATCGAAATGGTCCGTTACTACGTAAAGCCATATTCCACGAAGAAGAATTAGACACGACTTTCGAAGCACAGATATAACATCGACTGGTATTTCGTACTATAATAGGCTCGTTAAGAGCTCGTTAACGTGTGCCACTCATTTAGGTTCTTGATTATGGACAATGGGATGCAGTCCGATGATCCAAGAGTACACGGCTAAGTGAAGCTGCCAAGACAGTTGGATGCCTCTCAGCACATAGGGCATTCAAAGGATTGATAGATTGCTGCCACTGTATTATGTATTTACCAGATATGGCAACTTCCAATAACATCCTCTGACCCTCTTGTGGAATCGTCTTCCACATTGCAAGGAACAAATTTCCAACATCGGCATGTGGTTTCTTAGTCTGAAACGCTGAAGTATACCATGTGTCTACTTCTGGTTATATATATGGAGAGTGTGCAGTAAGTTGGGTTAGCGATAGAATGTCTTTCTTTCTTTCAAGGCATACGGCCATGTATTATTAGCAGTGATATCACTAGAGCTAGGATGAACGGGCTGGCATATGCCATATGCTTAAAATATAGATAAATGAAAGATTAAATTCGTCTCTGTAGAACCTCCGAAGATGCTATATGTTAAATGTTCCAAGTAGGTCACCAATATCAAATTGACTAGGATATGAAACCGTTCGAGAGGGCATTATCTTGTTACTTAACTTCAGATTAGTGGATTTAGATAAGCCTCAAATAATACCTATTTTATGATCATATTGTAACCTTTCATACCTTTAGTGCAAGTAATACCCAAAGTTTTTCATCGTAAAGCTGTGAACAATGAACGGGATCAGAATGTGGTGTTTTCGAAACCACGTTGGGATTCTGAAGAAATCTTGAAAGTGACACAGCATAATACTTATAGCGGTCAACTTACATCCTGGACAGCCCAATCTTATCTCCGACAAATCAAGAACGGCTTTCCCTTTTTTTTGACCAGGATAAATGATTTTGTGAGCGCTTATTCGGTCTCACCTTCAGCCACCAACACCATTTGCAAGGTTTATAAGAAAACGGAAACTGAACCTCAATTATGGGCGAGAAAAGCGTTGAGTTTCCGAAATGTTTGCATATAAATGTATGGCTGATTTTTTGACGAGATTACTCTCTTTCGTGTTCCTTATCCTTTCAACAACAAGACTACCAATCCTTCTAGTTTCCCTCGCCATTCCATTATGACCAACCCAATCGATGCTTCGGCGCAACATGCTCATGACTCGAATGAGGTTACGGCACCCGCCAAACCTTCACTTAGGGTGAGTCGGCTACATCTGACAGAAGCTCTGTCTTTGAGAAAGCTGTATCGCTAATGGAAACCCCAACAATTAGGTTTCAGAACTGGGCCCATCTGCCACGCGTGAGCAGGATCTAGCCAACGGCCCGTTGCTATTGGGACTTGGTGATGGGCAGGATGACCATTTCGCATACCCAGAAATGGACCTAGGCTCTCCGGCGTCCGGGATACATCGTCCAGAACAGAGCATCCTGCCTATGATGCCACCGAGTCTTCCACGAGCATTGGCTACAGAGTCACTGGCTCAGTCTACGATTACGGAGTCAGGTGCATCATATTCTACGCCATCTGGAAACCTTGCAACTGTTCCAATTCCACCAGTTCTTGAGAATTCACTTATTCAAGATTTAATTGGATCAGCAATTGCTCCATCCTGGGATCCTCTGCCCCCCTGGCCGAGGGAGTTAGCTGGGCCAGCAAACGCTGATAGCATTGGAAGCACTGTATTCCCATGGTCAAGCGAGTTTTCATGGAAGAAATCCGGTCTCTGTTTCGGGGATGAGCCAATGAAGATCAGCAGAACACCAGAGGATCACTACTCCAAAATTGATTCGGGGTCAGAAAGCGTTCTGGTTGGTATGGGATCTTACTTTGAGCACTCGAGCCCAGCAGAATCGCCTGGGAACCTCGAAGCAGGGTCTACGATATGTTCTACTTCGAGTGGTACCCCCAGCGTCTCAGGGATCACGGATAGCGATACCGCTATGGAGTCTTTCGACAATGATCCGCTGATTGTTATGCAGCAATGCGTGGACTGGGCAGTAGAATTGCTAGTCGATAACTTTTTCAGATCATACGCGCCACGAAGTTCGAAAGGACGAGCTACTGGGACATCGCAAACGAGTATCCAAGCTGCCTCGGACAATCGTACAGTCGAAAGGCCAGGGCCTAGCAGAGAAGCAAAGGCTAGATACAATCCTCGCAAACGCAAAGCCCTCGGGGGCGATGAGGGAAGCGAAGATGAGGATCCTCAACGCATAAGACGAACGCCTACTGGTTCTGAGCTGGCTGAGGACTCTCTGGGCTGGGCCTGTCCGTTTGTGAAATGGAAGCCAGAGAGGTACCCCTGCTTGGTGGCTCCAAAGGAAATTCGGAAGCTGAAAGGACATATCAAAAATATTCATTGGAACGAGCATTGCGACAACTGTTTCATCACCAACCCTCCGGCTGAGCATGACAGCAAGGTTTGTATCCCATCTCGACCACAGCCTGGATTCATTACGGAAGAAATGAAAGCCAAAATTGACCAACGAGAAAGTCGTCTTGAACCTCACAAGGAACAATGGTACAGGATCTACCGCGTGCTTTTCCCAGGGGAAGAAGAGCTCTTTGAAACGCCCTATCTTGACAAGCAGACAAAGGATTATGTGTTGACAGCAAAAGAATACCGAGATTCTCCAGACTGCGACGATATAATCGAAGAGGCATCGGACGAGTTGAAACTTCGGGGCAAGACCCGAGAACGATTCAGGAATAGCATGCGCAAAAGTGTTGTCCCGAAAGTGGTCGAAAGGATGAAACTTATTGATGAAAGGAAAAGACTTGCTGAATCGGCCCAACACGATCTTCAGAAGGCTGATCCTACGCAATATGACCTGGTCGACGGTTCTAGTTCAGTAGAAACGACCGCAGCGCTCAATTCAGGAGGTCAAGCGTCCGGCCGATCTCAAGGCGAAACTATCACCTGCCACCTGTTTCCTGAGCCGGAACCTCCGCAAGCCTCTATGTTTCATGCACAACTCTCTGTAGATGAATCGTTCGTTAACAGCAATGGTCTTGGAGGTTGCCATGACATTAGTGATCTCGAGGGCTCGCTGGGGAACCTCTACTCGGGGTTTGCTTGTGACACATCTGGGAACGACTTCCAATTCGATGGGAGTTTGTTTGAACTTTGGTAGTAAATAGATAGCTAATTGAATATAAAATAGTTCCAAAAGGTCGTGAGCCAGCATCTGTGGGAGAACTTCTTCGCCGTAGTGTTTGGTTAATAAGAGGGAATGTAAGATCCAATTAACACTCTAGAAGCGCCCACTCAAACCTGCAAAGAAAATCATCTGCTCCGGTACTGATCCTCAAATATCAAGCAGAGCTCCCTTCACCCCGTCACCAAGCTGAGTTCGCCAAAGCTTGTTCTCATTAAGCATGAAAACCTCGCCATCTCTTCCGAAGCAAAAGTTTGCAACACCTCCCTCAATGAGAATCTTGCCCAGCAGTACGCCACCTGGTGACCAGACGTTGACTCCATCACCGCAACCGCTGTAGACATTGCCGTTGGTGTCGCACTTAATTCCATCAGGGATTCCAGTGTCGGCCATGGCAAAGACTCGTCGGTTGATGAGGAATGGTTGGCCTGAGTACGTTGCTACATCAAAAGCGTATCTGGTGGCGTCATTGTTAGTAAATCGATCTCATGGAACTTTGAAAATACGGTGGACTTACATGGTTGATGGACGAGTATCGTCAGTTGTACCATCGCCATGAACCCAGTCTGTATCCGTGATGTAAACAATCTTCTCATCAGGGCTGAAGCTGATTCCATTTGGTCTTCCGAAGCCATCTGCTACCACTCGGATCGATTCATCGCTCGGATCATACCGATAGACCTGGTTTGGCAGTCTTGGCTTAGGACGGATACCCTGTTCAGATCCATAGATGGGATCTGTGAACCAGATGGACCCATCAGAGTGGACAACCACATCGTTGACAGAGTTAAAATCCCTTCCGCGATAAGAACTGACGAGCTTCACGGATTTATATGGTGCCGTTGATTGCATGTAGACAATTCCGCCAGACTCATTCATTGTTCCCTGTGAGCAGAAGAGTATACCGTCCTTGTAGTTCACACCGCCGTTGGCCATGGGTACACCTGGAGCATCGATCTCTTCAGAGTCGAGTACAGTTCCATTGGGCGACAAATTGACTTTGCTGATCTGAATCTTTTTCTTTCCCGTATCCGGATCTTTGAATTGGTTGCTTGTGATGAACAGGGAGTTCTGCTTGGGGATAAAAACACCAGCTTCGTGGGCGAATGGATAATCCTTGTTTTCCAGTATGACATCCAGCTTTGGAGATTCACCGAAGATGTTCTCCGCGGCCTTATTAAAGACTTGGAAACCCATTGCGTAAAGACTGGCGCGCATGGTGAAGAGCGGCTTTTGGACCTTTATTTATCTTTGTGAGCAAATGCCGTGATGATGGTCAGGCTCTGAAAAAACCTGCAGTCAACAGATGCCCGTGGAACGTCGGGCTTTGGTGTTACGGTTCAGACTAATGTTAATGGCCCCAGCTTCAGCTACCCCTCAATTGCTCGTAAGTGGCTGGGATGATCTTCGAACGGCCCCGCTACAAACTCAATTGCCGATAGATGAAGATATGACGAGCGTTATCTTTCGTGGCTTGGAAGACGAACCACTCAGGCCTCGCTCTAGTAAGATGTGGTAAGATGTCAAATGTTGAAATCGAAACAGTATTCTTTTCACAAAAGATGATGCTCTTTGAGATACAAGTACTCTCGCTAGATCCTAGACGCACGATATAAGGTTAAATATCCTGGTCATCCCCCTGGCAACGACCCAACTAGACACCAGTACCATCCCCATTCACAGACTCCAGCATGGTCACAGTGCCATGATTCTTCTCATCCAAGCTCCTAATGATTTCTTCGCCACCAAAAAGTTGGTCAACGTCTTCCAACTCCAAGCCCTTGGTCTCAGGGAAGAATAAGAAGATAAGGGGCACCCAGAGGGTGTTCAGTACAGCAAATATGATGTATGTTCGCCAACCGATATTGTTGATTGAAATGGGTGTGATTTGGACAATCATCTAGGAAGCAATTAGTATCGAGTTGAGAGTATGTGAGATGAAGAACCTTACGTAGTTGAAGATCCAGTTGGCAGCTGTGGAGATGGATGAACCGCGCTGTCGTAGACGAAGAGGCAGAATCTCGGAGCTTGAATTTGTTAGTTGACACGAAATCTCGTGGATCAATATCGGGACTTACGGATAGACCCAAACAGTTGCTTGGAAACCGATAGTGAAGGCTCCCTGAAAGATAAAGAGCATTGCTGCAGCTGCAATTCCTGCCGCATGTGATGATGCTGTGTTGTTCTCTACCTGATAAATCAAACCAGCTTGAACAGCCATTGTCGCAGCCATGACGCTGATCATGGATAGAAGCTATGATATTGTCAACTTGATTTTCTCGAAAAGAGTGTGACACTTGAACTTACAAGAGGCCTACGTCCAATACGATCGATCAGGACCCATGGAATGAAAGATGCGACGAAGAACCATGTCTGTAGGAAACCTGACATGAGGGCTGACATATGAGCAGAGAAGCCAACACTCTTCTCGAATAAGGTGCTGGAATAGTCTAACAGGTTTAGCACTTCGTTATTACAGATCAGATATAAAAATACTTACATATGATGGCGTTGATACCACCCAGCTGTTGCATACTTTGCAGCAAGCAAGCCAAAATCAGTCGTTTGCGGGACTTGATGCTGTCTTCTTTCAAGAGGTCCTTCCAGGAACCAGAGCCGATCGATGTCTCGTACGCGACCGTTTGAGTGATGACACTGTGGAGAGCCCGCACGTCAGGATCTTCGGTAGAAGTACCCTGGATCTGAGCGAGGACCTTGAGACATTCTTCGGGTCTATCATGCGCTGCCAACCAACGTGGTGTCTCGGGGATGATGGTCAAGAGGCATATGATGATAATAATGGGAACGCATTGGAGAATGACAGGGACGCGCCAAGCGTAGCTTCCAGTGTGGGAAGACAGAGCATAGTCAATCCAGTAGACAAGAAAGATGCCGAAGTTGAGTGTTGAGAGCTGGGCGCAGACGTAGATTCCTCGGCTAGACTTGGGGCTGAACTCGGCCTGCATGACAGGGACGGTTGAGTTGACGGTACCAAGTCCAAGGCCAGAAACTATTCGGCCGACGATCATCATGGCTCGAGAGAAAGAGGCTGCTTGGAGAACAGCTCCGATGATCAAGACGATACAGCCGATAAAGATTGAGCGTCGACGGCCGAGCTTCTCTCCCCAGATAGCTGCAAAGATGGCACCGAAGAAGCATCCAACTGAATTCTGTAAGTAAATGTTCTTTCCTGTTGCTTGAAAGATGACTTACTTTCGAAAATTGCAACAATAACACCAATCATGTCAGCATCAGGACTATCGAAAGTATCCTTGAAAACTGAAGTGTTGACGAGACCTCCCATGAGGCCATTGTCATAACCGATGAGCATAAAGCCCAGCGACGTCAAGACACTGACAGTCAAGACGAGGCTTCGACCTTGCAACTCCATGTTGATAGTCGAAGTTCGATAACAAAAAAGAAGATCGTAATTATGAGACCAATCTTGAATCTTGAACAAGTTGTATATCACGAATAGAGCCCAAGACCATAGGCATGATGGCTTAATAAAGACATCTCGAGTTTATTTAGTGTTTTTGGGGTCCCCATGTTGTCGAGATCATGCTGCGGGGAAATTGGAAAGTCCCCCAGATGATTCAGACGGTCCAGACCTAAATCATTTGCCGTCGGTGTTTGAGCGGCACTTGAGTTGCCGATGGCTTGTTTTGTGTTGAAATCGGATAGCCGGCCGAGCTAGATATTCCAGGTTAGCCGTTTCTTTATAAGACGTCAATGCTGATGATCATTGATCGAAAGGTTTTGAAGAGAATCAAATCAGATTGTAGAATTAACCCAAGATGATGCTTCGGTTGCAGACAGTTGATAATAACATCAAAGGCCGATTGGCTTTGGTGACAGGTTCAAGGTGTGTCAGGTCCTCATGACAGAACATATCGATGGGCTAACTTTGATAGTGGCGGAATCGGTTCCGCTGTAGCCAAAGCTCTCGCTTCTGAAGGGTGCGATGTCGCCCTACACTATTCCTCAAACAAAGACAAAGCAGACAATCTCGCGAACGAGCTCAGCAAATCATTTCCGTCTCAACTGTTTGTCACTGTACAAGCAGATCTCTCCCAGAGAGAATCAACAAGGTCCCTTGTGCCGACTCTGCTTGCCCAGGATGCCGTATTCTCCAAACATAAGGCAGTGTCAGTTTTGGTAGCAAATGCCGGTTTGGGACGACGAATTCGGGATGTCGCAGATATCCAAGAAGACGACTGGGATGAGATGATGGAGATTAACAGTCGAAGTCAGTTTGTGGTTACCAAGGCTTGTGTTGATGGTATGAGGAAACAAGGATGGGGAAGGGTGATTTTGGTCGGGAGTATCGCCGCTCGTGGGAGCGGCCTTAATGGATGTCACTATGCTGCCTCGAAGGGAGCTCTTAGGTGAGTCAGATACACAAGATGGGTATATCTATTATACTAACAAATTTCAAAGTTCAATGGGTCAGAATCTGGCGACGTTGCTGGCACCTGAAGGCATCACGGTCAACACAGTAAGCTCTTCTCGAGTACGGCTTTGATATTTCAATACTAATTACCTATCCTTCCAGGTCTCTCCTGCAATGATTGGTTCTACGGGAATGATTCCTCCTCCAAAATCAGAGTAAGTCTCCGCCATCATCGTGGCAGCCGCAATAACTAACGTTGATTGTAGGATATGGAGCAAAGGATGTGATTTGGAAAAGCTCAAGGAAGAGGACACAGGACTTGCAATTGCTGCCTCCATCCCTGTTCACAGATTGGGATCACCTGATGAAGTTTGTAATATGATAACTATGTAAGTTTGCATGCTCTTAGGCTGAAGTTGAAGTTACTGATTTACTTGATAGGCTGGCGAAGAACGGGTATATGACTGGACAGGATATACTACTGAGTGGTGGTTTGAAATAAATAGGTAGACTTTCACCCTATCTCTCTGCGTCTCATCTACCAGACGTAGGTCCATGATTGGTGAAAGCTGCAGTAGAGGTTTGGGACAAGCTGGGGGTATCTTGAGTAGAAACAATCAGTAGACCTAAAATAGGATGAAACGGTTTGTTTCCCTCAAATGCCTTTGGTTCAAACGAGCCGCAAGCTTGTATCAACCCATCGGAATTCTTCCAATTCTGAGTTAGATTCAATAACCGTGACGGTAACCGCGGCAAATGTTTGTATCAAATGCCGACTTCCGAGTTGAGCGGAAGATTCCGTCATGACTTTTGCACCTTCCATCTTCTGACTTCGGTAGTCGAGATAGTCCAAACTCAAATCTCCTGCCTATACCAACCTTGGCATCAAAACGGAAGCCACAACGGACCAGCGCCATTTGCTGTCAATTCAAATGCCGCGTGGTCCCCCAAACTCGGCGTTTGATTTGCAGCAACGACAATGGCTCTACCAGACACCGACAAGAGGGTTTCGAGAGCTTGTGTGAGCTGCAGGTCTCGAAAGACACGATGTGATCTGTGAGTCGTTCTGAGTACCTGCAATTTGACGATAAACTAAATTGAGCAGTGACTCCAGCGGCGTACCTGGAGATCCTCCATGTCGTCGTTGCATCGAAAAGCACCAAGAATGCGTTCTCGCAACCTCTCGTCGAGGCGGTCGTCGCGTCAAAGGTCAACGCTCTAGTCATAGTCAATCGTCAACAGAACCGATCCGACAATCACCGAGTAGAAGGCTCAGCCAGATGAACCCACCGTCACATCCCAATATTCAAAGACGTCCAGATACTGAGGAGCCTAGTGAATGGTTGTCTTCGAATCTTGGATCAAATTCGGAAGATGAAGAGGGAGTGGAAGCGGACGGGCATGATTCTGGACAGCTCCAAGGACATTTTACGTCCTCGGATCTCCTAAACCCTTCTGATGCACTCGATTTGTTGGCTCATGTTGCCGATATGGAACCAGAGGGACATGATCCTGACAGAACTCAAGACGAAGGCGGACAAACCGAGCATCGAACAAGTGTCGCTGGCGCATCTCATGGCGCCTGCAACTATCCACCCATAGAATCAGGAGCACTGACACTTTCAGAAGCATCATTTCTTATTGAACAGTGAGTACTTGGAACGGTTCCTACATCCACTATTTCGCTGAGGAAAGGAATTCTAGCTATCATAACAACTTCCATATATTCTTCCCAATCGCATACAGCGCCGTGTTCGACTACACCCGCCTCCTCGAGTCACTAGAAAAGGAGCCACACCTTATCACTGCAATCTTGACAGTGGCTACAAAGGATGATCCCTCTTGGACTAGAGCCCACAACGCATGCGCCCGATATATGGAGAGCCAAATCTCAAAGTTGATATATACCGGTTCTACAACTGTTGGTGCCGTTGAAGCACTGTTGATACTTGCTGAGTGGGCTCCACAGTCACTGGAAGAAGATCTCATGATAGGATGTGGGAAAGAAGACCAAGGCTCGTGGATGCTTGTAGGCGTCGCTATACGTCTTGCATATCTCCAGAACCTGGAACAAACTGGGTTGACACAACGAGATGAAGGTGCGACGAAGGATCTGAGCAGAAAGAGAATAGCCTGGGCAGGTAAGACTACAAGCTCTAAGCATTAGTGCTGCAGATCCTGACTCGATAACAGCTTGCTACATGAGTGACCGTCAAGTTTCGATCCGACTCGGAAAGGGTTTCTGGTCTCGTGGCCCGGGCCCGTCTGTCAATCTACGAGCTGCCGACTTTCCGTATCTTCAGACGCAAACAATAGGGACCGACAATTTGGCTTTACTTTTCCAAGCGCACTTGGAGATGACTCAATTATTTAGCAATGCTCATGACATATTATACTCATCAACCAGCCACCGAGAGCAATTGTACACAGGAGGCGAATACGTACGATACATAGTAAGACTCCCTCTCATGAAATTTGAGTTTGACACTAACCACCTAGGATGACTTTTCTTCTGTTCTTCGCCGGTGGAAGCTATCATGGGGTGGTCTTAGCTTTGTGCCCCGTGTTAAAGCGTCCCTGATGTTATCTTACGACTTTCTTCGCCTCTATATCAATGCATTCGCATTTCAAGCCAACTTAAATCGCATTGTCCGCCACCCAAAGAAACGGCCAGCTGGGTCTTTATTTTCAGAGCTCGCTTCTGCACCAGATGCGAGATTCATATATGAATCGATAGACGCAGCGAACTCAATTCTATGCACTATCAACAGCTTCATTGATCCCACTACTGTCTTCAAATATATGCCCATCAAATTCTATCTCTATGTCATATATGCTGCTGTATTCTTATTTAAGGTATCATTAAGCGGTCTTTCCCTTCTTTTTAGACAGATACTGACAAATGATTACTTCTAGGCTATCTTCGCTGGAGCTATAAAGCCACCAGAAGCACGCGGTGTCCGACGGGCCATATACGAAACTATATCCCGTCTACAGAAAACTTCAGATAATCAACAAGGCTTGGGACAGCGCTACGCTCGATCCCTCAAGCTCCTCTGGTTGAAGATGTTGGGAAAGTCCAGATCGCAGGTTTCAAGAACTGGGGGGCTCTCTGACTCCTTAGTCTCAACAAACCAAGCAGCATCTCATGCTCCAGTGGATCAAAGCGAGCCAACGCCAAGTTCTGATCCTTTCAACAGTTTCTCGTGGAAGGACCTACACTCTCTAGGGGAGTTCATATCTAATGATGGCGCATCGCTCTTTAACGACAATTTCATCATCAGCCCGGAACAAGATTCGATACAAGGGATCGAAGGACCTGACTATATGAGTGGCAATCTTTTCTATACCGACCTGATGAGTGGATCTGATATCATATTCTAATTTTCGAGCTTGATGTTAAAAGGACACTCTGGCTTGGTACTACCACTCCCTTATTCGGAACTTCCCATATGCCATAGGCTCAACCTGTGACGGATTGTAACACTGTTTGATCAGACAAAATGTAGATGCCGACAAATAGAGGGTCTTGCATCGTGGCTAAAGAAGCCTAGTGCTTATATCGGCTTTTTGTGACAACACCGATGGAGTAATTACATACATATGTCAATAAGCCGTTGAGGACTCTGCCGTATAAGAAGAGTGTAAGCTGACAGTTTTTACAAAACCAACAACACAACTTTCTCGCAACTATTCATCATGGCTTCATCTCAGAGCAAAGATTTGCCCTCTTCTTCCTACTTTTCTGCCTTTGCGGCAAACTACGTTCAGCAAACCGGAAGAAGCACACGCCGTGTTTTTGAAGAATCGTTCGATGATATCCAGGCAACCAAGCCTATCAACAAAGATGCCGTGGTCCATGACAACGCGGCTGGCCCGGGGATAGCTGCTTCGGTTATTGTTGAAAAGCTCTCGGCCGATGGCCTACCTCGGATCCTAGTGACGGACAATGTACCCCCTATGGTTCAAGGGGCCAAGGATTCTTTTACATCATGGTCCCAGGTTGAATCAAAGATCCTCGATTCACTCAACCTAGAAGGGGTTTCTGATGAATATTTTACGCACAGCATCCTCAATTTCAGTGTTTTCACTCTCGCCAAGCCCATCCAAGGCCTGAAAGAGATTCACCGTACACTCAAATCCGATGGTTTGGCCGCGATCTCATGCTGGAAGCGCTTCGGAGCTGGTCAACTTATCCATGCCGCCCAAGCCATCGTACGACCAGACTTGCCGCCTCTGAAAATGCCCCATCCCGAATTTCTCGAAGAGGGTGTGTTGGAAAAAACTACAGCTGAAGCTGGTTTTGATTCTTCCAAGTTCAAGCTTTTGGAGAAGAGCGTTGTTGTCAGTGGATCTGAACTGAATGATGGACTGAAGCTGTTTATGCTGGGACCTTTGATGGCACCTGCTCGAGCTGGGTTTACGGAGGAGGATGAGAAGAAGTGGCCCGGGGCTGTTGATGAGGTTATTAAGAAGGAGGTTGAAACTTATGGAGGCGTTCGATTCGATGCGTGGGTCCTTCTGGCTCAGAAGTAGTTGGACGTGTCGAAGGAATGAAACAAGACAGTTTTATTAGAAAACTATATCGAACACGACAAATTACCCTTCCATAGCTCAAGTCGCTTAACAACAAGATCAGTCTTCAAACGACCATTAAATCACAGATAAGATCCCAAGACTTCGTTAGTATGCTCAACAACTCGTTCCAAAGCCGTTTCTCGTAGAATCCCTACCGTCTTCTCATTCAGCGTACAATCACATTTGCTCGTGACAAGAAACAAGCCATTCTCTTGTTTTCCATAAGAATTCACTCCCACTTTGCCTTCCCACGGCGTACCTCTCCCACCAAAAGCAGCACTGGTACTTGCAAACAAGTTTCTCTCCCCAGACTCCTCATCGCTGAATGAGAAAATAGCAATAAGCGGTTCAAGAAGAAGCCAAATAGTCCAAGACAGAAACGAACCAGAATCCAAACCTCTTCTGACATTTCCCGTGTTGACCCAGCCAGGACAAGAGTGAAGAAAAGTCACGTTGGGGTTCTGGTTGGCGAGATGTTCCAGGAATAGGGTGTTCATGGCTCCGGCTTGTGTGTGCGTACTCACGACGTTGAAATTGCCGGGCTTGTTTAGATCAATGTCTTCGAGGTCAATGTTTGAGCGTTCCATACCGCCACCCAAGACGCTGACGACTCTCGGACTTTCTGACTGGTTGAGGAGGGGGAGGAGATGTTGAATGAAAAGTATCCGGGTGTAGTATCGCAGCGTCTGGGATGCATCGAAACCTTCGATGGTATTCTTCCGAGCGGTAAAAGGGGCATAGCCCAGAGTGATAAAGACAAGATCAATAGTCTTCTCTTTGCTTTTGATAATCTCGCAAACTCTCTTCGTCTCGGAAAGGAGTGCGACTTCGCCCTCAATCCAAATGATTTCAGCCTTGGGATTAATAGCATTCATCTCCTGAATGAAAACATCACTGCTCTCCTTTCCACTCTTCCTACCAACAAGATAGACTCTGAAACTAGTCCCTTTCTCAACCAAAGCTTTCAGGGTAAACTTCCCAATCCCTGACGTCCCACCAACAAAGACAGCGACACGCGGGGCATTAGCATCGCTGATAAGAGCATTGGAAGCTTGAATGTCTCTAAATGAAACCATTATCTCGGCTAAGCAGAGCTGAAGATATCGAGTGGATCAATATTGAAGTTTGGGAAAGAGTCGGTTTGCTTTTGGCGCAAATACTAATATTAAATATTGGCAGTAGTTTACGGACCGGGGTGCAAAAAGAAGCCCGGTACGCCGGGTTTAGGCTGCTAATTACTCGTCACGTCGCACCAAGGTCGATAGACTCAAGTTCTAGAACACAAAGAGGCTTGCGTCGAATAATTAAACGTCTAACCAATAAGGCGATAGTAGGATGAAGACCCTAGGCTGACTGTTTCGGAGCCGACTCGGCCGTTATGATGATGAAGTTATTCTCAAAATAGGCCTTTATAGCGAAGACACAGCCATCGGACTCGCATGCGATTGAGAATAAGCCTTGGCTCGCATTTCGCTACGGCTTATTGGCGACGCGGCCTGTAAGTGTAGGTAGGTTGGTGAGAAATTGGTGCATTGGGCGAGCTAAGCCACCACTAACATCACTAACATCGGGCTGCGCCGCGGATCACGACGATCAATTTGTTGCGACGACGCGACAACAATTAATGTGAGGACTTGTTTTGTATATAAGATGATGATAATAACTTAGGATTATGTTGATTCAATTCATCAAACTGCATTAACATCCTTACTACAAACTCAACGATCAATCAATACCTATACCACCATGTCTCTTATCTCACACCACATTAGAAGCTTCCTTTCAGGGTCTTCTTTCTCAAACTCACCAAGCCAATACCCTAATGAGAAGAATGCACAATCTTATCAACTACAAACTGCTTCACGCGATGACCCAATTCCTCCACCACCATACTCTTCATCACCTTCAGATCAATCACAGCCCAAACCCTTCATCCTAGAGTTCCAGCCCCCATCGCAACAGGGCTATAAGATCTCACTCCCATCAAACAATAACAACCAACGGTTTCTCTACCGTCCGGCATAAGTGTCTGACACATCTAACGGAGACAAATTCGAAACAAGTTATCCTCAAAAGACGTTACAGTGGATTAAGGATTATTCCCCGGACAAAATGGTATCCGAGCGCCTGACTAGGAAGGGAATTCGGCCGAAAAATTGGAGGATGAAACTGGAAGGAGCAGTCAAATCTCAAGTGATCGCCGTGTAACCCAACCAGGGCCAGGGAGTAGATTAGTTGACATGGTACTATACATACGTCAGCAGAACAGGGCTGAAAGTTTCAAGATTAAACTCTGACGTTTATCATCATTTTCTGTATCAACAGCGCTTAGAATCACTAAATAAATAAACTTTGTTGGCGTCAGGTACAAGACTCAACCATCACGTGCACTAACTCGTATCTAAACCCCTGAAAAAACTAACCGTTGAGACTTGGCAGTTTCGGGGTCCAAAAACCGAACCACCGTTGGAAAAAGAAAAGCCGTCAAAATCTTACTAAGATCTGAAATTGCATGGCTTGCTGCCAGGTGGGGTTCTGTACGCCATGTCCCTGACTCCCCCTTACTACGTAGCACTATCGATTCCTATCCCCATCCCTTGAAAGGAATAAATACAGGGCCCCCCTTTCCAATCATTTTATATAACCTGTCCAAGGGTCCGGTTCTTAACATCATGATTAAGGCCTTTTCTTGAATCTGTCCCTCTTTTGTTTTATTGTCATATATTTTTTGTACCGAGAAGATGGCTATCGCGCTGATGTCAGAAAAGGCTTCGCCTTATCGCCGACCAGCTATTATCGCTGTGGGCGTACTTGTCTTTTTTATTCTCTTCGAGACTTTTTACTTATACTCTGATGCAGTAAGTTTTTAACTATCAAGGCGGTTTGTGCCTGACTGACCATGGCAAGTGGAATTCTACACAACCATATGGGTTGTCACCCTCCGAAATAGAATCGACCGGGGCAGCATCATCAACGCATGCGCCCAAGAAGCAAAAGAAGCCCAAAGTGAAGAAACCCGAGATCAAGACATCACAGCTTCACTTCCTGCTCCCCGCCTCAAACCCAAATGATATGTTCTGCGCCATCGTCGCATCCGCCCTCGCAAACCGTTATCCCGCCCCCATCATGGTTGGCTGGAAGGGCGAGGGCAAGTACAACGCTTCGGCCGCTCACACCGCGAAACTCTACTCGATCAAGAAATACCTCGACGAACTTCCCCACGGCGGAGACGACGACGACCTTGTTTTCTTCGGCGACGGCTACGATGTCATGGCCCAGCTTCCTGCCGAGGTTGTCATCGAGCGCTACTTCAAGGTTGCTGCTGACGCGGACCAGCGCTTGGCGGACCGTTTCGGTCTCTCTGTCCAGGAATTGCACAAGCGTGGGCTTAGGCAGACGCTCTTCTGGGGCGCGGATAAAATGTGCTGGCCTGCGCTTAATGAAGCTCAGTGCACCAAGATTCCCAGTTCGCATCTTTCCAAGACCTTGTACGGACCCAAGACTGGCAACGGCGATGCCACATATCGCGATGCCAAGTTTTTCAACTCTGGAAGCGTGATCGGACCAGTCGGCGATTTGCGCAAGTTTATCGATGCCGGTATTGACAGCTTGGAGGAGTCTTTCGACCCTAACTTCAAGTACAAGACCTCTGACCAGATCTACCTCGCTCGTCTGTACGCGCGCCAAGAATTGTCCCGCGCAGAGCAAATTGAGAATGAAGCTATGGATATTGAAGACATTGGCGAGAACAGAACCACGACGAAAGATGTAGCCGAGTACCACGCAACCATCGACTACGAGTCGGATTTCGTGCAGACCGGATGCTTCGCTCACAAGTGGATGAAAAAGCTTAATTACAACCACACCGACCACACGGGAATTATGTCCAAGGACGTTTTCGACCAAGGCGCCAACTTCAAGCCCTACCCCGTCCAGATGCCCTCCAACGTCTACCGCTCCTTCATCAAGATCTTCAAGTCCCTCCCCAGCGACGCAACCACCATGTCCGCACGCGACTGGGTCGGCAGCCTGGAGCTCTACACCAACGTTGCAACCCGCAATATCTTCGGATTCTACCACGCTACGTGCAGCAAGCGCACGCTTGTCGCGGACTTTAAGAAGTACTGGTTCCACCCGTACCTCACCCACCTCCTACAAGCGGCCTTCCAAGCCACGAAGCAGGACGAGCTTATCAGCGAGAGGCTCATTGACGGGCGCAAGTGGGTGTACAAGACGGTGTTTCCTTCGGAGGGAGCTCCTGAGGATGCGCTCGGTGGTGTTATTACGGATTACAAGGACGAGATGTATATCCCCTTCTCGTCGTTATGTAAAGATTCTGCGCATATTCTTGAGCGGTAATGAAATGCTGGTAGAATAGATTATTATGAGATTTGGAAGAGGCGTATGGGTGTTGGGTACAGCATGAGTTTCGTTTATAACTCTGCAAAGCTTTTTTTGTTTTGTAATATTATCTGAGGAGTTATGTTTTGGGCAGCATATATTCAATTTACTACAGCCATTTACTCTAAGGCTTTTCTTTTTATCTATTCACATCTTGCCCATTCACTTCTCAGTTCAATGTCGTTGTTTTGTAAGAGGTATGCTTCAACTTAGACCCCTTGACCAACATGCATACATGACCCTTGCTGCATGTTGAGCCTCATGCTGCATCTCGGCAGAATTCGGTATGATCCCGGCTTACACGAGGCCTGCCGTTAATCCTACCGTTAAATGTTGGTAGTATGCCCGACGTCGTACAGAGCCAGGGTGCTGCTGTCGAACATGGCCAGGGATTGTCATATCATGCAGCTCCGACGTGACGTCTACCACGTGCAGATATCCTCGTTTGATACTTCACATGATTGCAATTATATGTTGAACGAAAGAATCTTGCCCAATTTCAGAGGTCGGAGAAAAGAGAAATGAAGTAACGTGGGACTCGGATCAACCTGTTCATCAATGCCTAGATAGTAATGGAGTTACATGTTGTTTAAGCCTCTGAAATGAGAGGTATAAAAGACAAGGCATCCAGCATCATCAAATGTATCCACATCACATCAATCATATTTGACTTCCAAACAACTCTTCTCTCAACAATGAAACTTATTACATTCCTCCCCTTCGTGGCCCTCGCCGCCGCAAGCAACAACGCCAAGCCTACATCCAGCGACATCAGCGCTGCAATCGCAAACTTCCGCGCTGCCTTGGATCCCGAACATTCAGAAGCTCCATGGAAAGACAATCGCCATCTGGACAAGCTCTACTCCCGGAAGTGCAAAGATCTTGAAGGGTGGAAGTATTGCGTGAGCACTTGTCTCGAGCTATGCGATTTGATCTGCGACTGCGGTAGCTGTCCTTCAAACTGCGGTATGTTCCTAGTGATCCCTTTAGTATTATTGCATGTATTAACACTCTGTAGTCACTCAGTGTGCGAAGAAGAAGAAGTTTCAGGGATGTAACGGACCGGATTAAGGGTGGGCTGTCTTGACTATGATAGGAACTGTGATGGAGGCAAGTTGGTGTAGTAATGGGTAACAGAACAGCACCTACTCTACTCTACAGCTCTTTTCATATGTATAGCTATGTCAACTCTGAATTCGAGGAAGCCAGATTCTAAACGTGTATAGCTACCATCATTAGAAGTACGTTGTCGCCCGCACAAGTGATTGAATTGAATCACTGGGAGGATGTGTGATCATAGCCTGTATGCAGAGCTTCAAAGATACCTAAATCGATGGCTTATGCAGAACTTTTTCTCTCTTGGGATAGTGAATAAAGAGGTCTTTTTACTATAAATACCACGAGACAAGCGCCCGCCGTAAAAAGAACATGACTGGGAAGCATAACCACATACTTATTTGTACACTCATTCTCGTTTTAATAAACTGGACAACAATCGCGATCATGAAAGGAACAAATTTTGACAGAACCAAGCCTTATTGGATTCATAAGATCCCGATAAGCTGTGTAAGCAGTATGAATGATGTTGACCTGGTTCTGAAGCATCTTTACGGAGGATGGGGGTATACTGCTAAGGCAGAAGAAGAGCATATTGTTGTCTATTTAAACAGAGAAGACAAAAGCCTGGCTCGGGAACTAGACAGTAGAGGTGTGCTAAAAGGTAAATTTAGCCACCTAACGGTAGAGATTGAGATTGTTCCTGTCAATCCATAAAGAAGCTAAGGAGTAGACCTTAAAGCTATGCCTCTCTAGCATGAGACTCTTGGGCTCAGTAGCTGCCAAGCTGATCATGACGCCACATTGTATAAAATGACAGAGCTATGATCCGGGAAACATGCCCGTCCACAATGCTCTACCCCTTTACTCCGTGAATGAATACCATGAGAGGATAGATGATTCCAGTCTGCACATCGTCACATGTTCCTAGTACGATGGCCTACACATAGTCAGTTTTCTTCCAGACAAGTGATTCGAGAAGCCTTTTAACTATAAATACCACGACAACGCCCATCGAACAAATCTGACTGGAAATCATAACCGCATACATATAAACTTATTCCCAACTTAACAAAATGACCAACACCATGACCTCGTGGGCAGATTTCGACGCGACCAAGCCGTATTGGGAGCATATAGTCATGACAAATACCTTAAGCAGCACAAGCGACCTCGAGCTAACTTTGAAGCATCTTTATGGAGGCTCAGGGTATAAAATTGAAACCCGAGAAAATCAGACTGTCATCTGTTTGACGAAAAAAGATGAGACTTTAGTTTCAGAGTTGAACAGCAGAGGTGTGGTAAGATGTTTCTTTGGCTTTCTAGAGATACCGGTTGAGATTGTCTATGTTTATCCATCAGAAGACTTGAGAACGGAGCTTCCAGCTTTGTCTCTCTAAATTGAGACTCTCAAGCTCAGTGGCCGGCTATGAATCGATAAGTTTATATAAGTTCTTTTGTTGAATGAAGCTATTGTTATAAAAGGGGTAACCAATGTGTGACCGGATATTTGCAGAGGAGTGGTTGAAGTCCGGCTTGCTTGCTTGACCTGTAGCTTGTGAAGATACCCAGTACAACCAGGCCTCGAAAATTAAGAGAGATCTGGCAAGAATAAGAGATCTATCAAGGGTACCTGCGCCTAGACCTGAGATAGCCCTGTCTAGCATGACAGAGCCAGGATTCGAGTTCTTTTTCTTCCACCAATTGTTAAACTGATTCACCAGGCAACGACGGTGATAGACTGGACAAGTGTATAATCACCGTTCATATAGGTCAGCGGATGCCCTTAATCAGTGGACTGCCGTACGCTTTGCATGGTGATTAAGTTATGCTTCAGCGAACAATAGACAGCATATAAGCAGAAGGGTTTGCTGCAGACAAGAGGCATCACCAACAGCAACACACTCATTCTTCTTCGCTAAAATAACCAAAAGTCAGAAGCAGAAACCATGGCACTTGGAGTCTCATTAGATCCAACAAAGAAGGTGTATCACCATACGATCCTGAGGAGTCAAGTAAAGAACGAGAATCGTTTTAATGAAGCTCTCATGGATCTTCATGGAGGAGTGAGGTGGGGGTACGAAGCTTCTTACACCGACAGTCTAATTATCTTTGAGACAAACACCAAGGGGTTAGATGTTGTAAGGAAGTTGGAGGAGAAGGGAATCCTGAAGTGATGGTGGGTGGTTTAATGGTAGATGGCGGCTGTTGCGTCGCACAATTGGATCAGCTCGATTGCTTATGGATTTTGACACTTACATCTTCCTGATTTTCCAGATTGCCTTTAAAAGTATTTAGATCAGATCGCAGCAATCAGAGATAAAAGTTCTCTGCATTCCAACCTGTAAAGCAATTAAGTTTGATCGCTCATCTGTATTATACCTCTAAGGAGAGATCGCCATGTAAAAATAATTATTCTGACAAACGGTGGGGTACATATTTGCAAATAAGTCAGCTGTCTTCAACAACAGTTGATCGGCTTCCATAGCTCAGTTGGTTAGAGCGTCGTACTAATACTTCAATCTGAATATTCAGTGATGCGAAGGTCTCAGGTTCAAGCCCTGGTGGGAGCATCGCTCCAGCGCCGTTATCAGCTGTTATTTTTTGTCTTTTTTGCCCTATCGAGAAATAACTCAAACGTTCTGCTCATCACTTCTTTTTGACTGGGTATCAATTGTATATACTTTGTATCAAAACAACAGAGGTGATCATTAAACATTTACTACTCTCATTTCAGCTGGGAAAGGCGCGCCCTTCTCTTCAAAACTCCACTAGGCTGACAAAGAAATCCGAGTCGGATGTTGTCTGTCTTACATTTCACGATAGGCAATAACGTTAACAGATGCGGCTTCATGTAATGACGCCGATTGCGGAGTCTGTCAATACATCACTTACGATAACAGCGGAGTTTGCAAGTGCTGCTGATAAAGCGATGGGCAATTTACAAATGAGGCTATCGCCAGTTGGTACAATAAAACGTTATTGCTTAGGACGAAATAGATATATAAGTCAAGCGTCTCAACTTACATGAGAGCGTCACTCATCAATTCATGCATCTGCTGTAAGAGCTCAAGCTTCACTCAATTAACTATCTTATCTACACGATCAATATGTCTTCATCCAAACTCATAGTCATCCTCGGCGCAACTGGAAACCAAGGAGGTTCCGTCGTCGAGTCCTTCCTCTCCGAACCAAGCTGGAAAGTCCGCGCTTTAACTCGCAACTCCGCCAGCTCCAAAGCCCAAGCCCTCTCCTCCAAAGGCGCAGAAGTAGTCCAAGCCGACCTAGACGACCCCTCAACTCTTACTTCTGCTTTTGAAGGCGCACATGCCATATTCGCCGTCAGCGACTTCTGGGGTTTATTCAGCGAAGCCAATAGGTCCAGGGCGAAACCTGGACAGCCTCTCAATGAGTGGGCTGCGGAACATGAGGAGCAGCAACTTAAGAATGTGATTGATACTGCTTCCAAAGTTCCGACGCTGGAGAGGTTTATACTATCGTCTTTGTCGCATGCTGAGAAGTGGTCTAAGGGTAAGTATACTCGTGTCTATCACTTTGACGGCAAGGCTCGGGCGGCAGCCTATATCCCCAGGGCACACCCCGATCTCTGGGCCAAGGCCAGTATCTTCCAAGCTGGACTATTCTTGAATAACTTCATTCAGCTACCCTTGAACCGGCCTGTTAAGGTACGTCTGATCCTCTTCAAACCTGGCCAGCACTTGACTAACATGCGACAGAACGCCGATGGCATCGTACAATTCATCACGGCCTTGAACCCCGACACTAGATTCCCCTTCATCGCCGCCGAAGAAGACTCCGGCCCCTTCGTGAAAGCTCTCATCACCCAGGAGCCCGCAGGCCGCAACCTCATCGCCTATAGAGGATGGCTTTCACACAACGAAATCGCAGCAGCATTCACCAAAGCCACTGGCATTGAAGCCATAACTGCCAAATTTGATGGGAAATTTCCACCTGGTGTTTCCGACGAATTAATTGGCGAAATGGCTGACTGCTTCGGATACTTTGACGAGTTTGGCTATGAGGGTCGAGATGACCCTACTGTGGTGCATCCTGGAGATGTAAGTTGCGACTCGTCCTTTATGGCTATCTACTAATATTGAGCACAGCTACTGTCAGCGCCGAAGCTTGATACTGTAGAGAGCTACTTCGAGACACAAGACTGGTCCCAGGTTCTTGGTTGATAATATGGGATACTCCGGGCATGGCCACGAGGAAGCCGAACGTTGGGTCATCTCAGTGATGCCGCAGTCTACTACTTACAATTTGCACTTTCTCATTCTTATCATCTGCGTACAAGGCTATCACGAAATAATAACCAACAGTTTGTCAATATTTCTGATCTTGTATTGGTTCCCTATCATATACTTGCTTGAACTCAATTGCACCTCTCTTCCTCTTGATACTTCCTCCAAATGATAAGGCGAGAAAGATTCCACACCACGAAATGAAATCTCAACCTGACTAGACGCCAGACTCTGATATGAGGATCTGGCATGGCTGATGGGTGACGACCACCCCAGCACGCTTCGATGTCCTCAAAGCATATCGTCGCAATCGCTCTCCGCCTTGTATCCCTTGAACCAACCGATATCTTTGTTCGTAACTAGCCGCCCCTAAACAGCTAGTTTCTGCAACTTATCGTATCGCGGTGTTCCAAACCCAGTAACGGGATCCCAGCCCTTGACAGCCTCAAACCCAGCGTTGAGGATCACAGGTGACGGGAATCCCTCCAAGCTCATACCCGGGCAACCTTTTGTCTTTCCATCTACGATACTAGCAGTGTTTGTTAGAAGCTGAGACAATCACTTCCTCTTCGAAGACTTACTCAGTGAACCCTTTGTGGCCAGTCTTGTATAGCCATGGGTTGAGGAATCCCATCGCAGGTTTGCCCTTCTTCATTCTCTCGCTGTTAAGTAGGGCAACAATGGCACCGAACGTAGGTGCTGCGATACTGTGGAAATGTCAGGTAGCTTGCCACATCGCATCAAACCAAGTCCACTCACCTTGTTCCTCCACCTTCGACCTGTTCGCCATAGATGATGGCTTGGTGGCCGAATGCAAGAGCTGAAACATCGGGATAGGCTCTTCCTTTCTGGTTGTAGTATTTCTTGAATTTGTTCTCCTGCTTTTTCAGGTAGTCCTTGACAGCCTTGTCCTGGTACGAAGGTCGTTCAAAAAGTTCTGAGAAGCCACCGCCGCCCCAACTGAACCACTCCTCGTTGGGGTCGACATAGACTCTTTCAGGGTTGTTCCCCATTGTGCCACCAACGGTCGTGACATATGGACAGGCACTTGGAAACGTTGGGAGGAATTTGGTCGTGTTTTTGCCATCATTCGACTGGCAAGAAATACCAACGCCCTGGTTGCCGGCCGGTATCATGACAGACACACCACGCGCACCGATCTGACCGAATTTGTTGCAAATCTGACGGGCGTATTGTTTGGGCATGTGCTGTTCGTATGAGCCCCAAGAGATGGAGACGACTTGCGGGAGCTTCTTGGCAGGCAAGCCCAGGAGATATTCTGTAAGCCCAAGCCAGTTCTCAACAGACCGGCCAGGTAACTTTTGCATACTGTAATCCAGTTAGTATTATCCAGCTTTGTAGAGATCTTGAACCTTACTAGAGGTCTGGAATGAAGTCAAGATTGGAACCTCCCACAGCGATGTGCTGTACTGGCACTTGATGGGATAGAGAAACTGCGTACTGGGTACACTGATTTCCCTCCTCCTCTCGGAAGCCAGGTGTGTTTTGGGGGTTTATTCCACCAGCAGCTGAAGCGTCGGAGAATATGACACCTTCAAGGTCTGGAGCGAATCGTCGGAAGAACTCTTGAAGCTCATCTTTTTGAGCAGTCATCTGTCGTCTGTTAGCTGTAAATCTCTACGAGCAGCAAAGAATAGCCTACATTCTTGAAATTGACTATCGAATACAATGCGCCTTTCGCTGCCTTTGGGTACTTCTTCGGAATCTTGTAAAGTTCCTTGATACAAGCAGGCGTCACCTCTGTCTTGCACTTCTGCAGGTCGACAGGTCCTGGTCCCCCATGATTCCCGTCGTTGGTTGGTTTGGGCTTCTTTTTGTCCTTGGTATCCCGCTTCACCAAATTGAACGGACTATCTGCATCACTTCGAGCTTCATGAAAGCTTGAAAAGAAGGTGGTTGGCTGAATGGACGTAATATGGCGTCGGATTTCGTGAGGAACAGAGTATTCTCTAGTTCGCACAATACTTTCGTCAGCGCGAGCAAAAACGGAGAAGCGAGTGCTGAGCATTCCTTCGGCGTTTTCGACAGTTGTTCGAATGTGAAGCCATTCGCCTTCATCACGAACATGGTGGTCAGGAACTCCAGCATCCGACAGCCAGCGCTTGACAGAGTTTCGGGCCTTGTGGGAAGGGCTGAGAAGAGCTTTGGCAGCTTCGCGAGAAAGGTGCTTGCCATACTTAGGATGATCGGGGTCCGAGGTTTCGTAGAGGGCACGCTCGAGTAACTTATGATCCTCGGGCTCGAGACCAATGGAGAGGTCAATGAATTGGTCAGGAGAGGGAGAGTCTGATTCTTCCCAGCCGGCAGGTGTCTCATGCAGTGACTCAACCACAACTGGGACAGCCAAAACAGAGACCGCACTGAGGAGAAACCCCCCAGTCTTGAGGAGGTTGATCGCCAGCATGGTGTAGAAGTTGAGGTGTAAAGAGATAGTAATGGCAATTTCACGTTTGCTCTTCAAGATGAGCTTGAGAGCCTGCTGGTGTTTTAAGGTCAGTGGAACTTGGCTCTCTTTATATCGGGGTTCATAAACAGTATTCTGTCTGATATCAACTAAGATACCAATCCTACACCCCTGTCCCAACTGCAGTCGCGTTGGTGTTGTGGCTTTTCTCCTTCTTCCCATTGTGGTAGGTGGGCGCTTGAGAACAATATTAAGCCACCTTTATATTGTTCATGGCACGTACCTACCTCAACAACCAACACCACCACACTAACAGTCCCGATAGGACGGCTTTTGGACATCACTCCTGCCCTGCCGGGCGGAAAGGCTTCCTAGATCTTACCTGGAGTCCTGTAATGTCGCACATCATTTGCCAGATAGGGAAGCAGCGGTCCTGTGGCGTCAACCAAGAAGTCTTCACCCATGGCCCCGGTGAATCATTCTTTCTAGAAGAGCGGCAGAAGTTGTTAGATGAGACGAACCCGCGCACGACATTTATTGGCGCGACAGGGAACAAGCATGTAATCGGACAAAGAGTGAAGTTGCACATTCAGTCGCAAGAGTAATGAGCTTAGTTTCGGAATACTGTAGCGCTGCTGCTCCAGTTCTGGAGATATGATAGAAAGCCTGATCCAAGGACATACCTTTCATTCCTTACAGGAGGCGCTCGCAGAAGCAAAATGCAATGATAGTTGCGTTTCTCCTTCCGTCTACTGATTGGTCGGTATGCTCGTCTGATTGCTTGCAAGGCTTGATATGCAACTTATTTTAACTGGTTTCCTCTAGGATGCAAAGTTCCACCAGCTGATCAATGTCTCTTCTGTTGGTTCCTAGATACACAATAGTCTCTTAGCGATAGGGTGAGGACGTTGTGCACCTGCATACTGCGGGGTTTGGATGCATGCTCACGGCAAAGGTTAAGTATAAGCTGAAGGCGAAGACCAATGAGGCTCTCCATATATTGGAATGTGCGGCGGTTGATCATGTTTAGAGCCAACAGTGTTTCAGAGCCGATGTCCCTTGCGGGCCGCATCGGGAGTCTGCAGTCTCCTCCGCCAAGAAACTTGGCAAGCGAGCTTCCAACATCAAAGTTTGTCGATGATGACCCTGGAAGACGACGAAGATAGCAATAGCTGGCTCGTTCTTAGTGCGTTCTTGATACAATGCATTTCATGGCTTGCCAGATGTCGGACGACATTCCACCCGATCCACCAACACTCGTAATAAATTCTGCGTTCAGGGACTCGGAGCACATTTGGATCTTTGCAAATTGCAAGCTGACTGCAGATCTGCAAGGAGAATCCGCTTCCTACTGGTTGACATGTTTCTCGACGTTCGATGGAAGCGTAGCTCCAAAGCTTGGGGCAAGCAAGCTGCAGCCTTCTGAGACAGCAGGACACTAGGACTTCTGCAGAAGATACGAAGTCAGTAACCTGATCCTTCCCACTCAGGATGACCTCCGTGGCTTTTGCTAGGTTGTTTCTGCATCCTAAAGCCAAAGCATGTCAAAAAGCAGAGGGCACAAAGGGCAAAAAACATACAAC